AAGTAGATCTGCAGTACTGCACATCACCACGTCATATCTCATAATTGTTGCATAGAATTACGAAAATCACCTGTTGGCATATCATGAAGCCCAAGTTAAATATTGCAAAGTAAGAAGTCAGAATTTTTAATGAGCACTTCCTCAATTGTAGTATTTGTCACTTAACATCAGAAAATACAAGATCAAAATAAAAAGCCTGTTAGTTCGAGACAAATTACGAAGACTAAGATTATCTGGCCCAAATTGACCAGTTTTTAAATACTTTCATTTTGAAATTATAAGTCAAAGATTTTGGAATTACAAGTCAAAGGTTACAGAAAATCAAATGACCTTTAAAGAATTATGTTTGAGCAACCATAATACAAAGAAAGCGGAACTCGTTGCTATAATAATACAAAAACCCATATTTCATTTTTAAAAGACCCCTTCACCAATGGTGAAACGAATTCACTGTGCGAGATCATAAACATTATGCCCACAAAAAAATTGAATAATTTTAAATGACTTAAATAATAACAATAAACTACCCTTATTTTCAAAGGTATTGTGGATGTTATTTAAATTTTTATTCGGTTAAAAAATGCTACATGAATATAGACTGTGACTGTATAACCCAATGACTGCACTAGATGGTGGATTGAGAACATAAGCACTTAACCTTTTCACTTTTTCGAAAAAGTTTCCGGCTATTTAATTCGCGCTGCAACGTACAAATGAAGATTGCAGAAAAAATTTTCCAATAGTGCTATTTACCGTTGATGCTGACAATCGACATTGTTAAACATTGTAAATTTTGACCCGTCAGCCGAAGAGTTAAAGAATGCGTCTGTGATTCATCGCAATTTGTTCTCAGCGACTATATTTTATTTAAGCAGTTACTATTTATTTGATGACATTTATTGTCAATTTGTTATGCAATGTTGTTTATTTTAAATGATGAGCTAAGAATTTGATATGTGCTCTGCAATTTTTGGTTCTGTCCAAAAGCTTTTTTGATATGCTCAAGTTATATATTTGTAATACCGGGAGAATCTATTTGATATGACCAAATTGTTTGTATTGGTAAGCTGAAATGGTTTATTTCGCAACCTGTCGTATTTTGTTTTTATAGTAAAACTTTTTTACAATACGCTGATTTGCTTCATTTATTTATCCGGAAAAGACGTACTTCTTATCGCATAAGACGGTGAAAAAAAACCGTTGATGTAATTCAGCTTGTATTCCAAATTTATTTAATTGTTATGTGAAAGTGCTTTGTTTGTTATGCTGAGGTTCTTATTATGCTATGCTAAACTTGGTTTTTTGTTATACTGAAGTGGCTAATTTGTTATGCTGACTTTGCTATTTTGTTATGCAGAACTTGTTTGTTTGTTATCTTAAAATAACTTATTTGTTATGTTGAGGTTGTTAATTTGTTATGCTAAATGTAGAATTAATCAACTCTATGTAATATTTACTTCAACAGTTAACTTCATTATATCAATTGTCTGAACTACAGCGAGTTATTGAAGTTTGTTGTTCATTATACTAGAAAGGTATATATTTAAGTGTTGTTATTGATTTTTATGTTGGATGAAGTTGAGTATAAATCACATCAAGTATCATCATAGATCTCGAATATAATACTTTATAATTAAACATATTCAAAATAGATAATCAAAATATTACTTTGAGCGCTCATCTGAGATCAAATCCCTTGATTGAAAATCTTTGATTTGACTCACTGAGTCCTCGTAGTCAAAACTCTATAGGGAAGCATTTATATCAAGTGATTTTAATTGCAACAAGGAAAAGCTAAAATCTGGTTCGTTTTTAAAAAGAAATGTAGCTGAACTTGCTTTTTTTAATTCAAATTTACTAAGCTCAAGTAGAGCATAAGTCAAATAAGAGAATCAGAGAATAGAAATGAAGAAGAGTCTACAAGTTCAGGTAAGTTAGATTAAAGATGTTTATTTACAATAATATATCAGATACAAAAAATTCATTGATATGAGTTCACACGAGTTAGAAAAACTAATTTGAGTCCTACTTCAAGGTTAATAAGTTTGAATCTTGATACAAATTTAGTGAAGAAATCACCAGTATTTTCTAATCAAATATATGTACATTTTAGCTCAAGCATTTTCTTATGGCTTATTCTATAATCTATCGAGCTTTGTTCAGGTATAACAACAGAATTTGCATCAAAATATAATGGCTACACAGTAGAGGATATCAATCCAAGAGGACACATTTTCAAAAATAACTCTGAGTTGCTCTTCAATAATATCGTATATCAACTATCTACTATGAGCGCCAAAGGTTTTGCTAAGTTCCCCAAAAAAGCAAGAGGATCAAGTCAAAGTGTCTCGATTCAGCATAACAGAATTAGTAAATTTAGCGTAACAAAATACCTCGATTGAGCGTAACAAAAAACTTAGATTTAGCATAACAAAAACCCAAATCTAGCATAACAAAATAGATTGAGATCTGCATATCAAAAAGCTAAGATTTAACATAACAAAAATCTTAGATTTAGCATAACAGAATACCTAGATCTAGCATAACAAAGTAAGTTGAGATTTGCATAACAAAATAGGTTGAAATTTGCATAACAAAAAGCTAAGACTTAGCATATCAAAAAATCTAGATTTAGCAAAACAAAAAACCTAGATCTAGCATAACAAAATAGATTGAGATCTCCATATCAAAAAACTTAGACTTAGCATAACAAAAAACCTAGATCTAGCATAACAAAATACGTAGATTCAGCATAACAATATAGATTGAGATTTGCATAACAAAAAGCTTAGATTTGCATAACAAGAAAAATTAGATCTAGCATAACAAAAAACCCGGATCTAGCATAACAAAATAGACTGAGATTCGCGTAACAAAAAACCTCAAGTCAGCATAACAAAAAACCCAGATCTAGCATAACAAAATAGATCGAGATCTGCATATCAAAAAGCTAAGATCTAGCATAACAAAAAACTTAGATTTAGCATAACAAAATAAATTGAACTCTGCATAACAAAATCAAGCGTTCAGGTGGCTCCAAAAGGAGTTGAACAAGTAAGCTTTACCAGCACTATCGTAACACTCACCACTATGCCATTGGTAAATCAAGATCTGAGTGAAAATTAAGTAGGAAAAGTTCGCCCGAGATCTCCAGCCAAGCTCGAATGTTTTAAAAATGTTTTTAGCGACACGACAATGATAATTTTTAGATACCATTGGAAAATTTTGTTTGATTCAATCGTACACTATCTCTTTACCTCTTCAGTTATTTCCGTTGATTATGCAAGTGAATGCTTAATAGCATGCTACTGAATCGCTTTGTTTAACCAATATGGAATCTCTTAATTATTTGTGTTAATTAATAATTCAAACATTTAGCTAAAATTATTGTTTCTTCCTTCATCACATACCCGCAATAACTCTCCAGGATCTGAGTAGTGACGACTGCATTATGGGCATCACGTAGACTACTAAGTGCATCCACTTCTTGACGGGTTGTTCAAAAACCATGGCTAACAATCTATTTATGGCTATTTCTTCGTAGATTTGCTGTAATAATTGACCAAATTTAAATACACTGATTGTTGTGACCATTTGAATGTACTTGTTGCTCACCTAATTGCCTAACTAAGTGCAATCTCTATTTTCTGGAGCATTCAATTTCCTCCCAACCTGAAATAATTGTAACAAAAACTTAAATAATTTTACTTCCCCAACCTTTCTGATTCATTCAAAGAAAGTATCTCCAAAATTGTTGTTTAATCATATGTAGTCGCTGATTTGATGTATGAAGATTTTACATGGTTGTCCCCTGTAAATTTGTACTTGCAATGAAGTTTTTAAAATTGCCCGTTTTTAGTGATTTTAAAAATTAGCGGCAAACAAAAAGCTGTAATATCATTCGCAATAGCGTTTGAAATCAAAATGATATGGTACTAATGCACAACTGAAGTCCTAGTTGTAGTAGTTAAACTATCGAGTTGATCAAGTTAAGAACTACTTGATTGTAAATTTAAAACTAAACTAACTATAAATATAGTGTCGTGTCGTCAAACTGAAACATAAACGCAAACCCGGAAATATATTCCCGAGTCACGTTTGTTTTTTAAATGTGGCATAGTGGCAGGTATTTTCAGCAAACCATAAAGTTACCGGGTTCAAATCCCTTAAACAGTTTCAATCACTCGGAGATATATGCCCATGCACGTGATACAGTTTTTATAGCATAGTGGCAAGATATCCCGAGCTCAAAATTTAAGAATCTCGGTTCGAACCTTAGCACAATAAAAAATTTTAGGTATAAAGTTACACAAAATCAAAATCGATGAATTCTACATTTTTGCTAAATTTTAGAGTCGGATAAGATAGCTTATAATGATTCCAAGTATTAGAGGTAATTTTGAACATGATAGCTAACAATGTGGTGGATATATTGATAGTTTAAGTTTTCCTGATTTTAGGTTGATAATTACACAAAAACGGGATTTATTACACAAAATTCATATTATTTTCATATTGTTGTCAAGAATTTTGTCTTGAACCATCTTCATTATACAAAATCGATTGATGAGCTTGTAATATTATTTGATGTGTTTATAATCCAGAAAAAGTACAGGTTTAGGATCTGAAAGAATTCAAATCAAAGAATTTATTATGTGGGGAATTAACATATAAATTACGCAAGTTGCGGTCCAATTAGTAAAATAAAAGAAATTTTTGGTTGCAAATTATAAACTTTGAATAAAATAGTAACTTTCATCATTTTCATTTAATATAATTTGATTTATTACGAAACAATCAACCAAAATAGACTAAAAAGTTTTGTAAAATATATAGCCTAAAGTATAAAAAAATCAAATTGAAGTCATAGAGTTAGATATAAGAAATATTTCATTATAAATAAATAAGTCATGATTAATTAAAAAATTACAATATTCTTGTAGTCTAAATATATACTACCACCTAAATTAAATTAACGTTAAGTAAAGTGAAACCAACTTTTAGAAGAATCCTTTAAAAGTAGGATTACCTGGTAATGGAATTGGTTTAGCACTAAAATATGAATTAAGTTTAGTAGCTGTACCAGCTAAAGCATTATACCAAGCAATAAAAGCAGTAATTATACCAAATACACCACCAGCAACTGTCACTCCTTTATGACCACTTAATTCACCACCTGCTAATAAACAAAAAGTAATAAATAAACTAAAAAATAAACTAAAAAATGCAACAGTAGTTTTTAAAGTTAAAAGTACCAACATAAATGTGAAAATAGCCCAACCTAGTAAGAAAAATCCAATACCATTAGCCATTTGATCTAAATTATTTTCATAAGCTTTACCAATACCAAAACTTTCAATAAAAATAGCACCAAAAGCTAACCAAAAAGCACCATATGAACAAAGAGCAGTAAAACCAAAAGTATTTCCAGTAGGAAATTCAAATAATCCAGCTAATAATTGAACTAAACCTCCATAAAAACAAGCTAATGAAACTACAACATTTGGAACTGCAATTCCCATAGCTTTACAATTGTATAAAGATAAAACAAAAGTTGTAAGGGCAAAAGCACTTTAATTTATTTGTTAGTATCCAAATTCAAATAATAAAAAAAAAAAAAAAAAAAATGTATTGAAATTTGATTATTTTAACATACCTTAAACCTACTGGAGCAGGATTAATATTAATAGTTGGATAAGGTGTTGGTCCAGTAATTAAGGAACCACCAAATGCTTGTTGTAAATCACTTCTTAAATATTTTTTATTGTTAATAATAACATATTCTTGATTATCTCCAGTAATTTGAACATTATTAACTGGCATTTCATATGAATTATTTGATTTTTGAGATGAAGATAATGACATTTTTTCAATTTATTTATTCGGTAATTGATGTTGTGGTTATTATTGTTGCAGTTGTTGATAATATGGTTGGTGTTAAAAATTAAAAGATTGATGAAATATTAGTTGATAATTTTGTTGAGAAAAATTTATCAATATTTATATTTCCTAAATTTTTAAACTTTCGGAGTTTCTCAAAAAAGGGAATATTTCAAAAACACAATCTAAAAATAAATCTTTATTAAAATCAAAATAAAAAAATTCCTTAAAATAAATCAAAATATTATTCTTGAAACAATTTTCACTAAATTTTATTTAGTAAAATCTAAAATTACGCATGAATGAATCATTCATTAAATGATTTTACTTATTTACTGTTAACTTGTTATAAGATGAAAAAATAATTTACATGCAATTTTTTTTTTTTTTTTTTATTTTTTAATTCATTAGGTTTTGTGTTAAAAGTTTAAAAGTTAATTTCAAAGTGAAAATTTAAATTTTTTTTTTTTTTTTTATTTTTTAATTTAATTCTTTTCAATTTTTGTGGGGTTATAAAATTATTGATATCATATTCGACAATTAAACAATAAATCAATAACTTGGGTATGGCTTTTGTCATTTTGTTGAGATTGAAAGTATGACTTACAAACGTTTCAATTAGAAAGTTGACGTATTATGCATATTTTACATCATATAAACGATAATTATTATATTGTCGGTGTTATTGAAAATATCTTGACTTCTCCAGTCAATTAATTTATAACTTATTCTTTATAATAAATTATTATTATTATATTTTTTAATAAATTAGATTTAAAATTTATAATTTTGACACATTTATTGACTTGATAGAAAAATCTTTCGATAAATAAAACTATGTTGATGTAATGCTAATTAAGAAGTTTAAATTGACTGAAAAATAGTAATAGATTTGAATCAAATTTAATACATTATATCGCATTAAATTGAATTTTAACCGATTGTTTTAAGAACAAATATAAATAACTGACCCCATTCGAATTAGAAGAAAATCTTAAAAAGGATTGGTGAGGGTCAACTCAATAATATTCTTATTATGTCTAAGTTTTAAGTCAAACTTGAAGTAAAAGTGTAAAATTTTCTTGCACTTTTTGTAAAGGTGGTGAAATTTGAAGGATTAATGTCGTTATGTATTTTTCAATCATTACCTACCATTCGAGATCTCAACACATACAATTCTAAAATATATAAGATATACTTATTGTTTCTCATTTCATCAATCCATTGTCTAATAAATTGAAATTTTTAACAATCATGCAAATAAAACCACCTCATTTTATTGAAATATTGTGGGGGTGGTTATAAAGAAATTTTAAAAAAAAATCTTAAGATTTTTTTAATCTCGTAAATTCATTTCTTTTTATTAAAAATTGATTATTTTCATAATCAATTACTTCAAAGTCCAAAAAATTAATATATATAATAAATCTAAATTTGGTTAAATTCATATTAAATAATTGACAATAATAGATCATTTACATAATTGATATATAATTATAGTACCATGATAGTAATAATTTATTTCTTATACTTTCGTTTAATATTAAATAAAAAAAATTGTCTAATTAGTTATAAAATAAAATTAAAAATATAGTTTATATGCAGAACGTCAAAAAAGTCCGAGATCTGAAAAGATCTACAATTTTAAACAAACTAAGTAAGTAATACGTCAAAAAATTTCAATTCTAAAAAACTTATAGGAAATTATAATTTATTCAAGTAAATAACGTATTAATCCCTTGTAAAAATTAATAGAAATTTGCTTGGTAAATTTGAAATTTAACCAATAAAAAGCCAAATCTCATTCAAGTATAATACAAAATTTAATAAAAATTATGTTGCAACCAAACCAAGAAAATAAAAAATATAACTAAAATTAAAATATTATTTCTTTATTATAATCCTCAAGTTTATGTGAAACGCAATTAAAATATTGGAAATAAACGGTAATAAAAAGTCACTTAGTTAAACAATTATAATGTAAAAGGCTAATTCATTTATAGATCTTTTTGAAATTCTGGGTAATTCAATAAACTTTACTCATAGACTGAAACAAAAACTATCGAAAATCAAAACTACAAAAGCTTATAAAAATAAAACATATAATAACTATAAACTATAAATAATTATATGAAATTTAACAACTAATAGCAAATAATGAAAAAGTCAAGCTAAACCACCAAAAAACTAAATAAAAAAATAAATCCTCTCCTACCAAAAAAGCACTAATAAAAAAACTAAAAATTTAAAAATAAACTTGAAATTAATACTTCACCTAATCATCTTCAGCATCAGTACTAACTGCAGATAAGATTTCATAATCATCATCATCAATTAAATTTTTCTCTTCTTGATCTTTTTCATAATTCATCATTTCAAAATCATCATCATCATCTTTATTACTAGAATTATTACTTTTAGAATTTAATAATTTTGTAGTTTCATCAATTTCAATTAATTTACTATTTGTAATAACTTTTGGTAAAACAATTGAATGTTCACTTGATGTTTGATAATTATCTGTTGTTGTACTAGTTGTAGAATCTTGTAAATTTTGTAATAAATCAACTTCATCATCAATTAATTCTTTTAAAATTGCAATTGTTGAATCATTTGAAATAAAATAACCAATTGATGAAAATTCATCATTATTAATAATAATTTTATATGGAATTTTTTTATCATCATTTTGATTATGATTTAAATTTAAAGTTAAATTAAATTTATTACTATTACCAATTTTTATACCTTGATTTTTTTTAATATTAACTTCTGAAATTAATGTTTCATCTTTATTAAATACTAAAATATTTAATCCATCACAATCAATAATATTTTTTGAATTATTAAAAATTTCAATTTGCATTAAATTATCAGATTTCATTGTATATTTAACTTTTGATTCTTCTGTAACTAATGTTAATGGTTTTTCTTTATTTTCTTTAATTTCTTTAATTTCTTTAAATGTTAATCCACTTGAAGTTTCATCAATTTCCATATCACACACAGATTGGTCAAATGAATCAACATCTTCATCTTCTTGTTGATCAATTTTTGTTGCGGTATAATTTCTAATTTGATCTTGTTTGATGTCACAATTGGTTTTATTGAATCCATAAACACCATTTTCGTTATCTAATTTTAATTTCAAATCAGCTTCTTCAATAGAAAATGGGGATTTGTTAACTAACTGAACTATCAATTTATCATTTGAATGACCAGATGATGAAACATTGATTAATGTAGCATTTTCTGATACATTATCATCAGTTGATGCTTTAGCTAATAATTCTTTAATATAACTAATCTTCTCATCGTCATCTTTTTTATCAACTAAATCCAAAAGTGCATTATATTTATCACTTTTATCAATAAAAGTATCAACATTATTTACAAAATCATTTAACCCTCTTGTAACTAATAAATTTTCCAATTTTTCTCTATTTTTTAAAGAACAATCAGCTAATGGAACATCATAAATAATATCATTATTTTGTCTTGAAGTTGAAAAAAATTCATGATTTGGGAAATAATGATTATTTTTAAATTCAGATTGTAAATTAGATTGTAAAACTGATGGTGTTGTAATTTTAACCATTGGATGAAGATAAGAATGTGCACCATAATCCAATTTATAAGATTGTTGTTTAGATTCACATTTGGAACATAAATCATAATCTTTACAAATTAAACAAGCATATCTAACACCTTTGATTGGGATAAATTCTATTGGATTACATTTATCACAACAAATTCTCGAATGGATAGGTTGCTCCTCTTGTGTTTCTTCTTCTTCCTCTTCTTTGGCTGATGTTGCTTTTTCAGCTGTTGATTCCTCTGTTGATGATGATGTTGTTGTTGTTGTTGGTGGTGCATTTCCAAAGCTACTACCAAATCCATAATTTTTGTTCAAATTGATTTTATTATTTGAAAAAAATTCTTTTAAATGTTCCAAAGTTGTTTCTAATAATGCATCTCCAAGTTTAGCTAAATCAGCAGATAAATCAAAATTAAATTCATTCAGTTTTTTATCTTCTCTACTTACAGGAGTTTTATCTTTAATGCTTAATTTAACATGATTTTTAACTTTTAAACTTCTATGAAGAGATTTAAAATCTTCTTCACTACTTAATGGTATAAAACACTTATGTTTTTTAGATTTTCTTGTAATCTCAACATTTTCAACATCTTTTGAAATCAATAAATTTAAATTCTTTCCATTTAAATAATCAATTAATGATGATTCTGAATTGATTTTCATGAAATCATTTTTATTAACATGAATGACTCTATCAATATTCTTTACACCATCATTTGAATCTTTCTTAGTAACGTTCAATTTAATTGTAATTAATTGAGTTGTTGAATCCATAATGATAATAAAATGATATTGGTTGCCACTATTACTCTCCAAAAACTAACACAAATAGATTGAACACCAATATAATTTAAAACTATGCTACTGTATTAAATGATTAACCAATTATATATAACCAAATTAAACAGCTAATGATTGATTGATTGATTGATTAATTGATTAATTAATTGATAATTTAAAATTAATAAAATTGATTGATTTAAATAATAAATATAAGTGATGGCAAAATGTACAATAAATGATAATAATAATAATAATATAATATATAAATTTTATCCCTTAAAATTTGAATGTGGAGAGAGAGAAAAATAAAGAGAGGAAAGATTAAATATTAGGATAATAATATTATCTCTTATCTAATCTTATATGCTAATTAGTTGCTACCAATTCTGTCTATTTTTAATTGCATTATTAGTTTTTTTGACACTATAAACGCATATCTTTGATTACTCTGATCGGATAAAATTATTTGAACTTGATTCAACTTTGCTTTACCATGGATCTATTTAGTTATTAATATTGGATCTGCTCTAATTGGATCTGCTAAACTACTAATAATAGAGGACGATATCAAATTGCTTCTATATTTGTTTTGGTAAAAATGCTACCAAATTTTTGAATTTTATATTTAATACTTACTGTACTATAATTTGCAAAATTGGTTGCTTTTAATATTCAAAATAATAGAATGGTTTCAAGTAACTTTATACAATTAATATTTGACTAAAATATCAATTAAAATAAACAATTATCGTCAACTTTTCAGTACTTTTACAGTTTTTGAAGAATTTTCAAAAAGAATGACAACAACGAGGTATCCAAAGGCTATAGTATTTGATTTAGATTATACATTATGGCCATGTTGGTGTGATACTCATATACGTACACCAATAAAACCTATATCATCAACTGAAATTATTGATAAATCAGGTATGAAATTATCATTTTATCCCGACGTTGAATCAATTATAAAAGAATTAAAATCACAAAATATTAAAATTATAGGAGCAAGTAGAACAGCAACTCCAGATATTGCCAAAAAATTATTAACTTATTTAAAGATTGATGGTAAACCTGCTATTTCTTATTTTGATGCTTTAGAATGGGGTCAAGGTTCTAAAACTAAACATATTAAATTAGCTGCAAAACAATTAAAATTAAATCAAGAATTAGAAAATGGTGAATTTATTTTATTTGATGATGAATTAAGAAATAAAGATGTTTCTAATATTAATTGTTATTTTGTACATATACCTGATGAAGATTTAGGATTAACTAGAAATATTTTTACAAAGGGACTACAAAATTGGTCAGAAAATCATAAATAATGATTAAATTATTAAATTGTATTAATTTATTAAATTGTAATAAAGTATTATAAAAATTAGCATTCAACATATTTAGAATTACATATATAGACTAGAATTAAAATATTATAGACATTGTATAAATATTATATTGTTCAATTTGATTGTACTTTTGTTTTAACTGAATTAAATAAAGATTTTAATTCATTCTCCGTCGCATTTAGTGGTGGGTTAATTTCATTCTAAATTTCAAGTTAGTAAATAGATTTTTTTTTTTCAATCATCATTATTTGATATCCCATGACGAACATACCTTAATTAACCAATCTTTAATTTCTTTAATTGACCAAGTATTAGAGTCATTTAATCCATTATCATCAAAAGCTTGTTGAGATTGAAATTTATCAATAATTTTATTTTTGTTGTGCGGATCATTCCTCTTACTTTCAATAACAACTTGTTGTTTTTCAATTTCCTCGAGTTCTTCTTCCGTCTGTGAATCTTCTCCTGTTATATAATTATATATTGATGTTTTTAAGTGGGGAAAAGTTTTTAAGGCAAGATAACTTGTACTTATTATTACTGCTCCTGATATTAATCCTGTTTTTATGTACCGGCTTGTATTGGATTTATTTTTTAATTTCAATGACATTGATAAGTAGCTGAAGTAGTGATAGTATTGACTGTTGATTAAGAATGAAGTAATTGTATTATGTTGAATGATCTTATCTAAAATATAATATATTACTTGTCATATAAGATAAGACAGCTACCAAATGATTTATTTATATAAATTATATTACTGCTCAAAATTACTACGGAGTGAGAATAATATGTGCAATATCATTTAATACATTCAACATTTTAACATTTATATACTTAATATATAATTTTATTCAAACTCAAACTTAAACTTTTTTTTCAAGACTTAAAGAAATCTTATATTGCTCTTCAATTGTAGGACATTTATCAAACCACAGATCTAAATATTTTTGAATTTCAGGGATTTCAATAAAATTATAACCAGCATTTTTAAATCTATCAATGCCTGATACAATTTCACTTGTTTTTGATCTTTTGGAAAAATTAATCATTCTAGTTCTATTTATTAAAAAGTCAGGGTTTCCATGAAATACAAATGTTAAATCAGATAAATACACTCCAAAAAATGGTACACAAGGTTCCGACCCAATAAATTTCAAGACATCTCTATATTCATTAAAATTTCTTGTTGAATTCATTAATTTATTCATATTCTTTAAATGAGCTAAAGAGTCTGGACTTGCAAAATTCCAAGTTTTTCTTAATCTATGAATTGGAGATGAATATAATGCTGATATAATAGCAGTCATTGATGAAAAATTATTATATTGTCTACATTTTTCAGCAACTTGAATCCAATATCTTATAATTTGAACTCTTTTTTTAGGCTCATTTTTTCTTAATATCATAAATGCAACAAAATTAGTTAATTGATTTGATGCTTTTATAAATGAAGTTATACTATCAATACTTTCATTTAATCCTGATTTTTTACCCCAAACTTTTGCTACACATGCAAATTTTGAAATTTCACAATATAATTTAAATTCCCTTAAAGTTAATTGTCTTGCTAATTCAACATAATCAATGTCTAATAATTTAACTTTTCTCAGTAATGATGAACCTTTAGTTAATGGAGCTGGTGGTTTAGCATTTGATATAACTGGTTGTCTTTCAACAATTTTAAATTCTCCTGCTATTAATTTTTTTAGGTCTGATGCTAATAATCTACCTATTGAAAAAGATTGTACGGCTGGAGACTCTGCAAATTCTAACCATTTTTTCAAAACTGGTTCATTATAATATGATGGTGACCAATTTTTTTCGATTAATAATTTCATTATATTCATAACTCTTAATCTTATAGGATTTTGTTTTCTCATTATCCAATTATTATAATCTTCAAAACTTAATCCTTCTGGTGCATATATATCAAATCTATTGATCAATAACATAATAAACTCTCCTAATGACATCATAGTTGCTAAAGTTAACATGAATGCAGCATTGAATTGACTATCAAACATATCATGATGTGTTAAATGTGATACTAATGCTTCTTTTGTACCACCTTTTATATTACCTTTTACATCCAACAATAAATCATGTTCATCATCACCTTGAAGATACCAAGGGACATCAATAGCGTTATTTTGACCTCCACTATAATAAGAATGCTCTTCAGTTTTTTCTGCAGGTATTGTATTATTTCTTTCTAACAACAATAATTGTACATCAAAATCGTCATGCATTACACGAGTTGAATAATTTAGTATACCTTCACGTTCATCAATTAATTTTTGAGTTAATTCAACAATTGTGTCACAAGCTTCTATTCCTTCATTCAAATAGTCAGCTAATAAAGTATCATTGTTTAAATTTTCTGAAACAACATCTGATGGGTTTTCCGTTTTAAGTAAAACATTTGTTAGTAGTAAAGCTGTTCTTTCTGTAGAATTTTTTAAAATTTCTTTATCATAGTATAATGGATCTTTCTTGATAGATTCTCTCATCATATTGACATTAGTTTCAGATGATAATGATTGAGTAGCCATTATGATATTCATCACTAAATTATGAAATTCTTGTTTAAATTGGAAAAAGTCCAAGACAATAGGATAATCAAAACTTAAATTTGAATTTGAATTACTTTGATTGTCACCAATTGATAAAGTTGCAACTGATTTTCTTAACTTTTCCTTATTTATGTCATCACTGAAATCATTTTTTTTAACTAAACAAAATACCGTAAAATCAAAAGATTCCATAAGATCTATTAATGAACTAGAATGATGAAGATATTTATATATTAATCTTAATATCAATGAGTTTCTTTCCATTGGATCATCAACACCAGATTGTGCTTTTAAAATATTCAAAGCATCTTGAGTCACCTTAATCATTTCTTCAACACAATGATAAACAGAATCTAATGCTTGATTATCTAATAAAATTTTCAAATGGTATCTATTTTTTAGCTCATTCCCACTAACATTTAAAAAGCTATTTTGTGAAAAGAAGAATGGGTTGCACCAATTTCCACCATTAAATTCATTCGAAATATATCTAGGATATGATTGTGGTAAAACATCGGATCTATCTTGAGTTTCATCATCCGATCCACCAGAAGAATCGTAATCTTTAGAGCTTACAGTCTTATTAGCAGTAATTTTGGTGAATATTGTGATATATTTTGTAGCATTATTCTTCATTGTTTGAATATCTTTTTTAGCTCTGATAAAATAAACATCGTTCGTTGAATTTTCTGAATTTTCTACGTTTGATTCTTCAAATGATATATTTGAACCTTGATAACTGTCTTCCAAACTCAAGGGCTCTTCATTCAAACTTATGGTAATATTTGGTTTTGCTCTATTCAAATGTAGTGTTCCATCAACGTATAATTGAGAAAATGATAAACAAATTTTTCTTAATCTATAAGTAATCTCCTTGTCATACTTTCCATTAATAAAATCGGCCTGATTTAATCTTGCAGATGCACATATCAATACAGTCAATTTATTTAATCTAGCAAAATGAGTATTGAACATCAAAGAATTATCAGTTTGTAAAGTGTGTTCAATAAGTTCTAAAATATAAATTACTTCTTCTTTTAATTTGGTAAAATGACTTATGTCCGAAGAATGTTTATAAAATAAGTTATCCATTGCAAAAAATGGTTTAGTGAAATGATGATAGGATGCTTGGGTGCTTTGAGAACTTACTGATGAATGAGAATCTCTTTTTAATGAATCAAATGAAGTTGTTGAAGACGATTCTCTTTGTCCCAAACTACTATCGGTGTTTTGATAAGCCTTTAGTTGTAAAACAGAAGTATCCTTAATAACGTCGGAATCTGCATATTCTAAATTGGGTGGTAAAAACTGAGGATCAAATTCTGATAAAGCAACTGATTCACAATAAATGTTCAATTGATGACAATAAAACACAAAATCGCCTCTCGAAGTATATCTTGGTAACCATGTAACTGTTCTATTATTTTTAATCTTATAATCTTCCACTAACTTCTCAGCTTCCTCTATATCTACTAAAACTATATCTTCTTCCTCATTACCTGAAATTGTATGAGAAAATGAAGGTTGATGTGAATAATCTATTTCAGTAGCATCTGCTACACTTGAAGAATTCCGACTACTTTCATTTACTTCATCTATTTGACTTGGTTGTAGATTCAGGTGCTTAGATTCTGAAGGTATACTAGTTTCTGAACTTGCAAAACTAACTACTGAATTTTTTCTTGTTGAATTTATTGGAGTGTTTTTCTCTGATTCATTTAAACTCTTTTGTAGATAATTTGTAAAAGATGGTATTAAAACATTTGCAGCTGTATTTGCAGCAGTAATAGTATCTAATTCTTTGTTATCCTTCATCTTTTTCAATACAGGTTGAACATAATTTACTGATCGTACATAGTTATGAGGAATCCAGCCTCTATTTAATTCTCCATTATTTCCAATTACTACTCCATCCCACCAACCAGTGGCGGATTTTGCTAAAATATATACAGTATCACCTAAATTTAAAGTCAATTGTGAATTTTGATTACCTTTATAATCATATAATGCAATTGCTGTATCAATATGTTTCAATTGCAAACCATATGAGGATAGTAAGTCAAATGGAGTTGGAGTATCTGGGGCTATTTCGTCAGATGAAACTTTGTTTGACATGAATATATTTCTAGTATTTGATATTAAGTGTAAAATGAACTGAAAAAGCTTTGGTGTTGAGTATTATTTTGTCACTAATTTGCCAATTTGGCCATAAATAAATTCATTAACTGAGATTAATTTAAGTTGTAATAATGTAAAAATTACTCCAGAAATCAAAATTATTTGTTTCAAAAATAAGTTTTAGTTAGATTTGGACGTGGAATCTTGAAATTTAATGATAAAATAAATAATTAATTGAAGAATTAAAAGGTGTTTAAATTGATGGATTAAATAAAAATAATATGATAAGACAAATGATCAGTTTTTGATAATAGTTCTAAAGTTGTATGTGTAAGTGGTATTAATTAATGATATAAACAGTTTGAAAATACTTCTGGTATAATTTTATGAAATTTCAAATTTCCCGCATTTTTTAATTTCGTTACAATACTGTAAATAATATTAAATCCTTATGATAATAATATTATATTATAATTAATTTGACTCGATATTTACCAGATATTGTTATTACTTAATACAAATAGCAGTCATTTAAATAACAATTGACAATTGATACTCATATACGCCTCAAAATTACTATACAATTGATCAAATTCCTCAATCATACATTTAAGACTTAAAATTTATACCATAACTTGAACTTGATTAAAGAAATTACAACTACAATTTAATCATTCCATATTGATATTCAATTCAGCCAGCACAGATCACAGATAATACCTGAAAATTTTATACAATAAATTAAAGTAAGAATAAAAATCAAATTTAATAATCAAATGTCAATATTTTTCAAAGCTCCATTAGAAATAGAAATTAGACTAAATAATGAAGATACAAGAAAACATACAGAAGTTAAAAATATTCATGGAAGAACAGAAAGGTTACCAATTTATAAAGATGGAGAAAGTGTGAAAGGTACAGTGACTCTAAGAACAAGAGATGGTAAGAAAGTTGATCATTTAGGAGTAAAAGTTCAATTATTGGGTTCAATAGAAACAAATAATGATGGACTAAATTCCTCAAATTTTTTAACATTAGCAACAGAGCTAGCAGCACCATCACAATTAATCCACTCAGAAACTTATCCATTCGAATTTAAAAATGTTGAAAAACAATATGAGAGTTATAGAGGTAAAAATGCAAGATTAAGATATTTTATAAAAGTTTCAATATTAAGAAAATCAAATTCTGAAATTACTAGAGAAAAAGAATTATGGGTATTTCAGTATAATAATAAATTGAATCAAGAATTGTCAATTAATAATAATAAGCCAAATCAACAACAACAACAACAGTTGAGTAAAACCCCTCCAAAACAAATTGAAAAATCTCATGGTGTAAAAATGGATGTCGGAATTGAAGATTGTTTACATATAGAATTTGAATATTCGAAATCAAAATTTTCATTAAAAGATGTTATTATTGGTAGAATTTATTTCTTGTTGGTACGTTTAAAAATAAAACATATGGAATTATCGTTAATAAAAAGAGAAACTGTTGGTTCTCAACCAAATCAAGTTACAGATAGTGAAACTGTTGTTAGATTTGAAATTATGGATGGAGCTCCTGTTAAAGGTGAAACTATACCTATTCGATTATTCTTAAGTGGATTTGATCTAACTCCAACTTACAAAGATGTCAATAAAAGATTTTCAGTAAGAACTTATTTATCATTGGTTTTAATTGATGAAGATGCAAGAAGATATTTTAAACAAAGTGAAATAATACTTTATCGTGATAATCAGTAAGTTTTTAGTACATAGCTAATCAAAAATAATACATAATTCCATTTCAGTAGGCAAATGGTTTCTAGTATACTTGAGTAGATGAAAATGAATTGTAGACAAGGAAATAACATTAGATCATTATTTGTGTCAGCTTTCGAATTAATAACACTGTTTTGAACATGTACAAATTGTTGCCATATTATTAAGGATGACACAAATGAATTATATTGATGGAGTGAATGACAGCAAAGTGCTCATTGACAAATCAGGCTCTTTTGGGCAAGGATAGTCCAGCAATTGTCCATTACTCTAATTTTTGGCTCTTGTTGGTTTGTATGGTACTGCATATAAGCTCGCTTCAAACCTTTGTTAAGCTTCGGCTCTATTTTCATGAAAAAGATTGTAGCAAGAAGCCATTGAACTAAATTTTGTTGAACTGAGTACGTAAGAGTGGCTACAGCTTGTTTTGAAACTTAACCCTTTTTTTTGATGTAACATTATACTTTGAATTAAGGTGCTTGCGTTATAGTTAATAAATTAACAACAACATTATATACCAGTATATATAGGAGCATAAAAGCTTCACGAACTCTTCTGAATACTCTGAGATGTAATAAAATATTACCATATGTAAAGAAATATTGTTTTTGATGGGTATAATATGTTCAAGTTCTTGTTTTTTACGATAATCATACTATACATTTCCCTAATATTTGTGGAAAAATCAACCAAAACAATTAAAAAAAGTTAACAACCTTACCGCAGTATTATCGAGCTCACAACCGTACTGCAATATTACCATCTACTACAAGATCAAATCATACTTTCAATCACTTCAATTGTTATGTCTAATGAGTGGAGCCATCAGGAAGCAGAAATAGAAAAGTGTTTAGAGTCCAGTGCAAGTGAATCTAGCATTAGAAGTATATGCTTGAATAGAGATTTAAATTTGTAAGATTTAAAAAAGGTGCGCAATTTAAGGGGAACTATGTCAAAACAAATTTATTATCAAGGTTTTCAGTGGTATATTCTTTATAAAATTTCACAACTACTGAACAATGCGATATGGCTTCAAATGTCATTGTAATTAATGATATTTTAAGAACAAGGTATATCGTTACTAAAACTTTAATTTATTTGGCTATTGAATTAATGATAACGAATATAATACTTTCTTTCAATGCTCCCTTTGGTGTTCACTGCAGGTTTTTTTTAAAATACACATTGAAGTGTCTATGAATTGTCAAGAAGTGTATAGAAGAAACTTCGAGATTTAAGTTGAACTCGAGAAGCAAAAAAATTTTTAATCTTGGTATTTGTATGTCGGTGATTCGAAGTTCAAAATTTGTTCGAGGACTGAATACATGGTGAATTTGATCGTTCTACACGGTCAAGAACTGTCAAAAATTATTGTCTAAATTGAGTCGGCTCGTACAATAATGGTACCCATCAAATCATATTTTTTTCACATCGTAGTACAAAATCTAAGATTCTATAGATAAATTTATTAGAAATATTTTTTAATAGATTTAATAAAACACTTTACAACTAACTAAAATCAAAGTAATGATTCTTTAACAACTATTGCCACCTTCGAATAACAAATACAATATAAACTATTAATGTCATCATATTATGAATAATTACCATGTTCCAAATAAAATATGGAATGAATCAACACTACAGCAACAACAACAACAACCACAAGAAAATGTATCAAGTAATAAAGCTATTTCTGTATTCTCAGCAGGTATAAGAGCTTTAATATATCAATTACAAAGTTTTTATTTAAGAACTCCTGTAAAATTATTCCGACCTTCAAGATTTGATTATATGGCTTATGTAAGAGCATATGCAAATAAATTAGATAATATTGATAAAAAACCTTATAAATTTAGAACTCATTCATCAATTGCAATGTTGGTTAAAGTTATTAGAAAAGAAGGTTGGAAATTTATACCTGATCAAATTTTACCACCTTTAATTTTTAATTCAGCAACTGGTATTATTTTGTATGGTACTTATTTAACAAGTTTAGATCATTATCAGAAAAAAAGAGGTACCGGAAGAGGTGAATTTAATTGGTATTCACCAATAGATACATGGAGAGCTGGGTTTATTGCAGGAGCTGCACAATCATTAGCAGCAGCTGCAGTAGATGGGATATATAATCGACTGACGATTTCTGAAATTTTGGAAGGTTCACATCAAAATTTATGGCAGTTTGGATTTCAAAAATTAAAAGAAATTGGATTTTTGGGAGTTTTTGCAGGATTTGGATTTTCATTTATAAAAGAAAGTTTTGGATTTGCATTTTATTTTTCAACTTTTGAAACTGTCAAAACTCAAGGTTATAATATAACTTTTCAGATTTTAAAATTTTATAGGTTACAAGAAGATAGAATCAAAAAATATTTACAACATTTGTTTAATTGGAATAAAGAACAAACTGATGCCAAATTAGAAAAACTAGAAAGGTATAGATCTGATAGAATTTTAAAAACAACTTTCGTATTATTAGCTGGTGCCTCAGCTGCTTTTGCACTTTTAGCTATTCAATACCCCATTACAAAACTTCAAAAAATTCATTTATCAAGGTTAGAAGCATTGGATATATATAATGCATCAAATAGACAACATAAACCGTTTATTAAATTATATTATAATTCTTATATTGATACAATAAATCAAGTTATAAGAATGAAACAAAGAGCAAAAGTAACTTGGTTCAAAGCTGCTTATAGTGGATTTGTAAGAAATGCATTATCAACAATACCTGCTACTTCTATTGCTTTATTAGTTTTTGAAATTACAAGAACTAGACTTGCTGATAATTTTGAAGAATACGAAATTTTAGAACCTTAAACTTAACTTGTATATATAACAAATATTATAGATTCATATACACATACTAGATTTATTTGGAAATTCTTTTTAAATAAGCATTCCAACCAGCTTCTTTATATCTTTTTCCTTGTTCTACTGGATCTCTACCTTTCCCAAATAATCCTCTACCAACTATTATCACATCAGTCCCAGTCGAAACAACTTCATCAACAGTACGATATTGTTGACCCAAATTATCTCCCTTATCATCTAATCCTACCCCTGGAGTCATGATAACCCAATCAAAGCCTTCATCTTCTCCGGACATATGATTTTGAGCTATAAAACCCATTACAAATTCTTTATCAGTTTTTGCAATTTCAACTGTTTTGGCAGAATATTCTCCATATGCTAATGAACCTTTTGAAGAAAGTTCAGCTAACATGAGCAAACCTCTTGGGTTTCCAGTTGTTTCCTTAGCACCATCTTTTAAACCCTGCACTACACCAGTTCCTGTTACACCATGAGCGTTTGTGATATCTGCCCATTCAGCGATTTTATATACTCCTCCTACGTATTGATGTTTTACAGTATTTCCAATATCAGCAAATTTTCTATCTTCAAATATCAAAAAGTTATGTTTTTTGGATAATTCGATTAATGGGAGTATTGTATTTTCATATGAAAAATCATCGATAATATCTATATGGGTTTTAACTAAACATATATATGGTCCTAATTTTTCTATTAATTCTAAAAATTCTTTAGTTGATCTAACATCTATTGATGCACATAAATTCGACTGTTTTTGTTCTATTATTTGAAATAGTCTACTTGTAACTGGACACTGATTAGTTTTAGATCTCTCCTGATACGACTTTGTATAGTTCATTGTTGTGAATTTGTTGACTTAATTGATTTTGAATAATTGTATATTCTTTTGCACATTTTCGTAAAAAAACTCATTACAAAACCAGGTCTAACACAAAACCAAGTTCTTCATATCTTGGGGAAAGATTTTACACTTTTTCAAAAACATTAAGAGATCAAGATACAAATCAAGATGTGAAGAGATGAGCTACATAGATTATTTGGATAAATCTAAGCTATTGTAAGGAAGCTTGTGTATTCGGGATTTTATACAGACCTCGTAATTTTTCATATTTCATCTGATTTGACTTCTTTTTCAGCTTCATTAGGTTCGACTTTGGTATCATTTTTAAGTTCTTTACTTAATTGCGGGAATAGTTTATCAATCTCATTCCAAGTATTTGAGTAAAAATCTTCATTTTCTTTAGTTAAAAGCCCATTTGTTTCCAAAACAAGTAATAAATTTTTAATATTTTCAGCATTTAATTCAATTTGTTCAGGTTTTAGAAATTTCCCATTATTTTCATTAAATAATTGAATGATTGTTAAAAGCTCAAACCAAATTTCTTTTGTTGTTTCAAAACTTAACTTATCTAAATTTTTAAGAAAAACTTTACACATGATTGAAAATACTTCAGTTTGAGTTATATCAAATCCATTTTTACCCTTTTGGAAAACTTCTGGTTTTGATAATTCTTTAAATAGTGGAAATAAACTTGCAGTATATAACCCATTTAAAAATCTTTCTTGTTCTAATTCAATGGAAAAAGTTATGGATTTTAATGATTTTACAGCAAATTCTCTAACTTCTCGACATGGGTTGAAACATTGATGTCCAATAGCTTGGATCGCATAAAATATTAACCCTTTTTCTTGATATTCCTCATTTTCTTTTTGCTTAGATGTAAGAATTGTTGTCAATTCAATTGATTTTTTGGATAATGATATAACGTCTTTGTAGTATAAATTATCTATTTTTTTGTTTCCTACTTGTTCGTTCTCTTGTTCAAATTGTGATCCGACTGCACCCAATGAAGATATTTCATCTAACAATGCTAATACAAATACAAAATTTATTGGTGTAATTTCATCTTTTGAATTTTTAATAAAGACCTCGAGAAATGGTATGATATCAAATGCATAAACTTGTAAAGAACCCAAAAAGCGCAATGTATTCCAATATTCTTCTTCAAATAATAATTTTTTACAACACCAAGAATCATCATCAAGTAATGATAATAAAGGTTGTACTATTTGACCACCTTGCTTTCCAATTAATTCTTTATCAAAAATACTAATAGATTTTACAGTCTCTAGTAAAATGGTATAATTTTCACAATATCTCAACAATAACAATTTGTATGCAGTTAATCTTATTTGACTCTTTTTACTTATATTTTTTGGATTCAACTTTGATAAGACATGCAGCATTATATTTTGTTCATTCAATAGTAAAGCAAAACACACACAAGCTTCTAGAATAAATAAAGTTTCTGTTTCATAAAATCTCTTGGATTTATCTTCATATTTTGGTAAACCAAGAAGTAACAACTCGATAAATTTAATCAAATTTTCAGAATCACTTTTAGAAACTGTTGCAAATACATTGGGAATATTTACAGATTTGATACAGTCAATAGTCGATAAAGTTGCTTCAATTTCAGCATCTGATGGTTCAGGAGGATCTTCTGAATAACCTTTTAAGAATGATGAAAAAGTTGATAATAATCCTGAATTATTTAATGATTTTGTATTTTTTATGATGAATATTGGTGAAACTTTTGATAATTGTCCAATTTGAACTTTTTTCTGAAATTCAATAAAAATATTTGGATCAACTAAACAATTTTCAAATAAATTTAAAATAACTTCTATAACTTTATCCCAAGAACTTGTTACTTTACATCTACTTTTCTTTAGTAATCTGAATAACATAACAGCAGCTAATTGAGCTTTAAAGTTTCTCCCAAACCAAACAGCTAAATCACTAACAAATACTTCATCATCTTTATTTTCTAATTTTATTTGAGTTATTGGAATTTCATCACGAATATTGTCATCAGTTTGGGATTTTTTAATTGGAGTTTTCGACAAGGTACTGAACGTAACCAATCTATTAACTAAATCGTCAACAGCATTATCAAGATCATATTTCATACAAACATTGATAATTTTATCAACAGATGACATTAATCTAGTGACAATATGATCATCAGATGCATCATTGTAGACAACCATAATAGTACTAATAATTTTTTCAATAACTGACTCAAAGAAGTATTTATCAAAATCACAAATTTCATATTCTTCTTCTTCAAGATCATTCAATTGTTTGAAATCTTGAGTGGATATAAGATTATGCCAAACATCATCAAACCATTTATCAGTACCATGATGTTCCTCAGGCATTATTATTTCTCTATCTTTAATCGAGTGATAAATCTTAGAAAGATACCATTCTGGAAAATCTTTTCCATTATAAACACCCTTTAGATTTCTCTTATAATCTTCTAAAAGCATTTGTCTCTTGACTTGTGGATTATGTAAATCTGTATTCAACATAATTACTGAATATGATAATATAAAAACAGAATCTTTATCTGGTCTAACAGGTTCATGATCAATTTCAACAGTTTCAGACCCCTTTTTTGTAGAACTACCACTAAGTCTCCTAATTCCTTCACTATTTTCTTGACATGAAACATAATATTCAGCAAATTTCTCAACTACTCGTTCAATTTGTTGAGATTCTCCCGGTAATCTAAAAGCTTTCAATAAAACTCTTAGTGCTTCATCCACTCTTAAATCTTTGAATTCAAATAAATGTATAAATCGTTCTAAAAGATCAGCATTCTTGGGTTTTGCTAAATATTCACCCAACATTTTTTTGTTCAACCTACCTGATTTTGAAAAAAAGAAATTTGCCAATTCTTCAGCAGTTTCATCTTGTATGAATTTTTCCTTTAACAAAAGCTTAATACCTTCTTTTGGATCTTTATTTAATAATTCAGTACATTTAATGAATGCTGTTTTCTTCAATTTCTTTTCGATATACTTATTTTTTTTAGCACGTTGATGACTGTAATTGGAATTTCGTGCTCTATCATTTACTCCATTCACGAAAGACAATACACCTTCTAAACATAATGGTGGAACATTGTGAGTTGTAAGTAATGCTGACTCCGGTAAGGATAATTTACACAAAAATGAGATAATATTTTCTGATAAATCGGATTTATCAAATTTACAATCATAATCAATATAAAGTTGTGTAAAAAATGCTGGAGATCTAATCCATAGCAAACTCAATGATTCAAGTAATAGTTCTTTTACAATTGGAGACTTATTAGAATTATTGTTTTTGGGTTTTGTCATTTGATCTTTCTTTGTCTTTTTAATTTCTGGTGATAGTGTTTGTATTATTAATGTTACAGAAAGTTCAAATTGAGGTTTTAATTGATTTCCCAAAATAATTGAAATTGTTGAAAAAAGTTGTAATGCAGCTCTTAATAATCTAACTGACTCAGTTGTTGTTATAATTTGTAGAATATGTTTTGAAATTGGATCTGCAATCATTGTTAATAAGGATAAATGCTTCGGTATCTCTGTCCCCGCAACTTCAACAGCTGTATTTATTAGTGACAATGCAAACACTCTCGTGCTTTCCATATGTTGATATTGATTTGAAGGTGATATAATTGATACAAGTATACCTAGAAATTCATTAATGCAAATAATTCCAAATTGTTCATTAACTTGTTCTCCTGATTTTCTAGGTGAAGCTAAATTCTCTGATGAAGTATTTTTCTCACCTATTTCTAAAGCATCTGTTCCTCCTATTGTATCTTCTGGTAATTTAGTATTTGCAAAATTGGTTTGTAAATCATCAACTGATTCTTTATCTAAATCTATCTCTCTAAGTCTAGTAAAAATTTCCATAGTTATCGACATCATTGACATTTCAGCTGCTCTTCTCAAAACTTCACTTCTTTTCTTATTACATGCTAATGATAAACAAGTTTGTACTATTTCCGACACACTTTCATTAGAAAGTAGATTTGAAAGTGGACTTTCCATGAGTTTCTCCATCAATCTCAATACTTTTAGTAGTACCGCATCATCTGAGTTTTGATCTGCTGCCTCGAATCGACAGTGTGTTAATGCAGAAACTATTTGAATTAATGAATGTTGTAGATTTTTGGAATTTAAAGATATGATTTCATAAGTGAGAAATTTTGAGACAGCATTTAATGATAAACCTGTTACATATCCAGATGTTGTAGATGATTTAATTACTAATAAAAATGGTTGTAATAATGTCAAACAATCGATATCATATATGTCATTTGCATCAGTAAGTATTGTTCTTAATTGTAAGAATGAAGATAGCAAAGGATTGTCATGATTTGGTCGATTTACCGAGTTAGAACCATTAGATTCAAAATTTTTATCCGATGAAACATTATGATTATTCAAAATTGAAGATATTCCTAAACTTGAAGAAAATCCATCTCTATCATCATTTCCTCCAAATAATTCGCTAGCATTTAATAGACTTGCAACTCCTCCTTGTGGCCATTTGTTGGATCGCCTCATTGCTGAGACCATAATCATACATTCATTAATTACTAATGTGATTGGATCAACACTGACAGCTTTCCCATTAACCCAATTTTGATTGTTCGACTTTATGTTGTTTGTATTGATAGTCATTAATTAATTGAAAAATGTAAAAAAACTTTTAATAAAGCCTTGAATGAATTGAAAGATAAAATTAAGGTAAAGTCGTTGCTTTATAACTTGAATTTTCAGTATTATCTTAAGTTCTTGTATAATATTTCTCCGCACCACTTCTATTTCAATCCATTAAATTTGTTGATTAAACGACGAAGTTATATGTTGTTATCAAAAAATGGGAGCTTTAGTTTAAACCTTGATTAGACGGAAGTTGATCTAACTGAATTCAATATTGAAAATTAATGCTGTTTTACCTTGTTAAATTGGTGTTGTTCAGATCAAATTAAATTTAAAACTGTAAATCTGTCAAATGTAAAAATTTGAGCTACCATGTTACGCAAATATTAATACAGTATCAGTACTAGTACTTTCATTTAACATCTATTGTGTATAAATCATACCTCTTTAGTAGCAGTGATGTGCAAAGATGTTCTCGAATTAATTGAGTACTTCTTCATAGCTCAATTGTATTGCTTGTTTCAGAAATTTTAAAACAACTACTGTGCTTGGAAATTTAGACAAAAGAGGCAAATTAAAATACTTGTTAATAGTCTACTGAAAATCATTAAGGATAGATCTATCCTAATATACCCGATTTCATTCTACATTCGTTTTTTTATAGAAATGATACCAATCAAATGAATCCAATTTCTGAGTAAATCAAACATTCTTAATAATAAAATTCTTCTTTTAAACAGTAAGTATATAAACTTCATTAACAAATCTCTCGGTTTTGAAAAATTTGAAAATTTACATGATGTAATAATAGAATATTAATGTTAATAGAATCATAAGATTTTTACTAACAAAAACAGTACACACCATTATCAACCAATTATTTTGGCTAAACAAATAAACATAAATGGTATCAGTTGCTCCAGACCGGAATAGTTCACTATCGTCTTCATTATCAACTACAACTCCTATACCATCAACTGTATCATCATCAAGATCAAATCTTAATAATTTACGTAAAAAATCATCGCATTCATCAATAAGTAATAAACAGTTGAAAAATTCACAGGAGACATCATCAAGAAATAAACTAATCATACGATTATTACCACCTTCACTAACTAAAGAAAATTTTTTAAATCAATTAGCTACAGTATATCCATATCATGCATCGAAGATTCAAAAATTTTATTATATCAAGGGAATTTATCCACTGAATTCATTTGAAGTTCCAAATTATAGTCGAGCTTACATTGATTTCAATAATGTGGGAGATGTTGAAGAATTCTTGAAGTTTTTAAATGGTGTTTCATTTGAAGATGAAAAAGATAGTTTAATTCCAGTAATTGAAAAATGTTTATTTTGTAAAATGATTGATTGTAGAAAGAATTTGGGAAAGGAAAACCAAACCAATACCAAAGTTCAAAGTAATACGAACACTAAATCAGATTTTAAATTGGAGAATGATGAAATTTACAAAAAATTTTTAAGTTTCTTAAGTAATCATATTAGTGAATTTGACTTATTAAAAGTCAACAGATCAATAAATAAGAAACTAAAAACAGAAACTAAAAAAGATGATACAACCTCCGCCACTGCCACCAAAAAGAAAAAACCGAGAAAGAGGAAAAACAAAAAGGAAGAAGCAACTACAGAGGGGAGTAAAGTAGAGAAGAAAGACACCAAGAAGGAAAATAAAAAGAAGGAAAACCCGAAAAAGAATAAACCTAAAAAGACAGACGAAGTAAAAGATAAACCAGTAAATGTCAAAACTAGAGACAAGGAGAATAAAGTCGAGACGAAGCAATCAAAACCTAAAAAGACAAACCCAACTAATCCGTCATCACCGAATAGCGATGAGTCTACAAATACACATCCAAAAAAGAATAGGCATCGGAAAAAGCAACAGAACAGTAATCCTAATACAGTAGAGAACAATAGTTCTAGCAATGTCTCTAAACCACAACAGAAACAAAGCACAACTGATCCGAAGACAAAGCCTTTCAAAATTTTAAAAAATAACCAATCAAGTAACAACAGTAACGAAAATTAATTAACGAAAGCCAAATTTAACATGTTATTTATTAATAAAAAGTATGTACAAATTAGTTAGTCTATTTAACAATGAATTTTGATGATTTTCCCCATTAACACCTAAATTTTTCTCTGATAATAATCTTTAAATGAAGTCCAAGCTAATCTCCATTCAGGTTGTTGAAAATTCAAATTCAATATGTCAAAATCATTTTTTTCTAATTTTTTCAAATATAAGCTTGTTGGTATACCTATCATTAATGGAGTAAATAAAGCATCTGGAATATTTCCTTTCCAATTTTTAGATTGCTTTTTCAAAATTTGATCCGATGTATTACCTATAGTATCAGGTACTTCTGATTTAAAATCTTTCAACTTCTTTTGTGCAGTTAACATATGATCATTAGCTACTATTGCAGTATTATATACTACTTGTTTCAATTTATCACTTATATCTTTGATCTCTTCCTCATCCAGAATATTACCTGAAAATAATTTTAAAATTGATTCTTGTGATAAGTTTTCTTTAGTCATTAAATCAATAGGTAATGTAATTTGATTTTTTGAAGTTGCATAATATTTTAATCCAGTAATCATAGATGCTATTGCAGTTGCTTGACCAATATGAGCAGCTATATCGGTAATGTTTGCTTGTAAACTTGATGAGCTCTCCAACAATTTGACCGAAGATGGCGATATTGATGATGATAACAATAATCCTTGAGTTAAATAATTTAATTGTGAATATGTACCTTCTCCATAACTACAAATTTCATTAATATTTTGAAAACTTGCGTTATCTTTGATAAATAATCTTCTTGTTTGTAGAAATTTTTGAAAAAATGAAATATCTAAAATTAGACCTTTTTGTAAAGCATCACGTAACAATATAGCAATCGGTTCACCTAATTCTTTTAAATTTGATGAATCTTCAGTAAATATACGTAGTATTAAATCACTCCAAAATTTAAATTTTAAATCAGCTGTAGAAATACCCATAGTTTGCGACATTTGTTTTGATGCTTTTGAAGCTACTGATTGACTATTTTGACCACCTTCATTTATCTTGTTTATTTCTAAATTAAATGCTCTAATTGCTAAAAATGTATTACGAGCTGGTTCTGGAATATATTGAGCTAAAATATATGATGATCTGTCATTTTTTTCTAATAGTTGGCTCACGTTTTCAATTGAATTCTGTATTAATTGATCATAGTTTGTGGAATAATGTCTATAATTTATATATGAAAATGATTTGAATTGATTTGGTTTTAAACATTTCGATAGAAGCATACTATTTGGAATATACATATAACGAACTATATTACTTCATATATCAGAAGTTTATAGACAAGTTGACAAGTTATAGCCTTAATAATTATTAACTCAAATTTATAAGAGTTCTTAATTCTGTATAATGACTTTAAAAGTAATTAATTAATAGAACGTATAGTTTCTTAGAATGAATTTGATAAGTACTTACTAGATTAAACTATGTGCCTAAAAAGGCGCGCGCACTATAATTTGTATGTACGGTTGTTATTACACCATGAAATGAGAGGAATACATTACCGTAATCTCTTCGCAACTTTCACAACGGACAAAGTCAAAATATTGTATGAGGGAGTGAGCAGCTGCTTGAGTCAACTCTAGACTGATTGTTAAGACTTTATTATATTAGACATTCAAAAAACCGGTTTTTTAATGCTATAATAACTTCAGACTAAAATAACTCCAGGCTATAATAGCTTCAAGGAGCTATATTGAATTATAATAAAACATCTTCATCCTCTAAAAATTAGATTTTATTGAGTATATAGGGCAACCCGAGGAACGTTAATAAACATAGAATATTTTGTTTTTAAAAGATATAAGTAACACTACTAGCAAATATATATGTTTCAAGTGATGCTACCAAACAGTTTTAAAGTTTCGCACAGATAGCACGCAAAATTGTTGCAAATTTAAAAATATCAAAAAAGTATCAAGATCAAATCTAAAGATTGTCAAAATAAACATATCAGCCTCATATTTTGAACAGAATCAAGAATTTTCTATTTAAATATAAGAATACAGTAAAGCATCCGGGTTGGTAACATTTGCAACTATAAACATCAACGAGTCATATATAAGGTTACTATGAGATATACCTATCTTTCAACAGGAACAATTTACTACAAGTACTAAGTTTCCTGTAGGAGCATCTTTTACCTAGGTATTACTTTTCATGACGTATCTCGAAAAATTCTCGATTGGGGTGGTTCACAGCTTTAATAAATGAAGTGTTACAAAATTTAGAAATATCTGTCCTTGCACAGCACCTGCAGTTTTACGATTAGCAACAAATCGCTCAGGTGAGCAAATACTTTGTACCGCCCTAACGTGCTTGATGGTACTTAGAGCTCGTTAGATGGCTTAAAAGTCTGTGAAACTACCCCAAAAAAAATTGAGAATTTACCAATTTGCGCCCGGACATTTCAATTTTTTTCCTTTGAATATTTTTAATGTATTTCTGAATACCCTCACTCTTGATCTATTCAATGAAATAGGTCTCATTGCATAATCTTCTATAGTTGTCGAGATATTAGGCAAAACGTACAACCTGTTCAAATGAGCAGCTACAACCTTCAGACCAGTTTCAAAAATTAGATCTTGATCTATAAAATCGAATTATTAAATGTCTGCGCTGACATTTTTGTCAATTGTAGAGATATAGGCCATTTTAGTTTTGGTCCTTTTCAAAGTCAAAGTTACACAAAGCCGGAGCTTTACCACCGAGGTCACGTTTTTGTTTTTGCATGGCGTAGTGGCCAGTATTTTTCAGCTAATTTTTAAAAGAGATTGGGTTCGAATCCTGCTAAAATTTGAAGCCCAGGTTAAAAATTACACAAAACCGGAAATAGACCTCCGCGGTCACGTGCAAACTGTTTGTGGCGTAGTGGTTTGTAATTTTAAACAAAATATTCAAAGATACCGAGTTCGAACCCTGAGAGTTAAAAAATTTGCAGGAAATAATTACACAAAACCAAACTTACTAAATACAGTGAATTTGCATATTATAAAAGCATCATCAGTTCATTTAAGTTATTAGAAAGTTGATGAAGCACTGTATAGCTTGATAGCTTTAACATAAAAGTAGTTATGAGCCATTTAAGTTTTCCATATTTCAGGTTCAAAGTTACACAAAAACCTGTAATATGACACAAAATTTACACATGCATGTTTTGAAACCTTTGTAAGTGTAAATAATACCATTCACTAATCCAAGTTTTACAAAACACTTTGTACCTGGTAAGGATCAAACTATGTTTAGATTCGGTGCTCCTGAAATTATCAAAAATAAGAAGCACTTTCAAATTAGGCTGTAAAAACTGCTTTCCATTTTTTTAAAATATACGAAGAATCCAAGTTCTGTATATAACACTACTAATTAAAAATCCAAATTAAGCAAAAAAATAAATAAATAAATACAAATAATAAATAATAATCTATTTTTAATTATTAACAGAGCTATAATGATGATTTAACAATTAATTATAAAATTTCAATTTAAAATTAAATGATGATTCTAAGGGGGAATATATTAACTAAATCAGAACTAATCATTTATAATTAAAGTCTTCTTTGAAATTTTCAATTTCATTTCATCAATTGTTTCTTTCAATTCATTTCCAATTTGAAACATATATATATGATACATTATTAATTTATACCAAACACATAGCATTTTTTTTATTAATTAACAAATAATTATTATTTATCACTACCTATTTATAACTTTTTTCAAAATTTAGAGCAAGAACTACTTTCTTCATCAATTTTTACCTTTAATTTTCATTTTTTTTCTATTTAGCATTTTATACCAATACATTTATTTTCATATAACACCTCAATTGAGTTTTATATTACATTTATTCAATTAATTAATAATGTCTAATGATCCATTCAATAATAACTTAAGTGATGAAGAGGAAGACGATTTATTTGGAGACAATAATCACATTAATAATGACATCAATGATATTAATCAATATTCATATAATCCCAATGATATACAAAACCCTTTCAATTCATCATTAACAAATATAACTAATTTAGAATATAATAGAAATCCAACATTTGGTATATTAGGTTCTAATAATTTAAATCATAATTATTCAATATCAACTACAAATTCAAATTCAAAATCTAAAACATCATCATCAAATACTTTAACAAAAGATATTTATGAAGAAGAAAGTGATGATGATGATTATGACGATGATTTTTACAAAGAATACGATAATGAATATGATTATCCTAAAAGACAAAAAACAGTTAGTTTTGGAGATGATAAATTAAAATATCCACCAGTTATATATAATTCAAATATAAAAAATAATTCAAATTTTTATGATTTTAATTATCCCCATAATCAACCAATTAATGAGAATTTATTATCATATAATACATCTACAACCAACAATAATTTTTCAGGTGATGATTATTTAATAAATCCATTAGAAGATGCGGAATATGAAGATGATGATCAATTTAATGAAATTTATGGATATGGAGATGAAGATAGTTTATTTTCATTAGGAGATATTGATCCAAATGATGATCCTATATTATTTAGAAAAGCAACAATGTTAACTCAAAAAAAATCAATAAAATTTAACAACAGATCAGGAAATACTATAAAAAAGACTAAAAGTAGAGGATCAACAATCACATTTGATGATGATTCAAATACTTTAAAAAATTTAAAATATACTAAAACTATAAAACGTGCAAAATTAATTAATGGGAATTATATAATTGATGCACCAATACCTCAAGCATTATTAGACAATTATGGATCTAAAAATTTAGAAACAACTCAAAATAAAAATAGAGAAATGACATTTATGAGATATACTGCAGCAACTTGTGGACCATCAAATTATATAAAATTTAATTATAATTTAAGACAAGAATTATATAAGCCTATAAGAACAACTGAAATTATGGTTTGTATAACAATGTATAATGAAGATGAAATTTTATTAGCTAAAACCCTTAAGGGAGTTTTTGAAAATGTTTCAGATTTACAAAATAGATCAGATTTAACATGGGGTGAAGATTCTTGGAAAAAAATTGTAATATGTATAGTAAGTGATGGTAGATTACATTTAAATAAAAGAACTCAAATATTATTATCAGCATTAGGTTTATTTCAAGATGGTTACGCAAAATCCAAAATTAATGATAAATCAGTAAAAGCTCATATTTATGAATATACATCAACTGTTGGAATAGATAGAATTAATGATCATGTACATTTAAAACCAAATTCATCACCTATACAATTTATTTTTTGTTTAAAAGAACAAAATGCAAGAAAAATAAATTCACATCGTTGGTGTTTTCAAGCTTTTGCTCCCATATTAAAACCAAAAATTATTATGCTTTTAGATGTTGGTACAAAACCTTCAAAAGATGCTTTTTATTATCTTTGGAGATCTTTTAAAGACCCGAATGTAGCTGGAGCATGTGGAGAAATGAAAGCAAGTTTAGGTCAAGGTAAAAAATTATTAATTAATCCTTTGGTTGCAGCACAAAATTTTGAATATAAAATTTCAAATATTTTAGATAAACCAATGGAAAGTGTATTTGGATTTATATCAGTATTACCTGGAGCTTTTAGTGCTTATCGATATGAAGCATTATTAAATGTTAATGGTAAAGGACCTTTAGAAAAATATTTTAAAGGTGAATATCTACATAAATTATCAAACACCAATGCAGAAGAAGAAGGAGAAGAAGATGATGAAAAAGAAATTAAAGAAAGAAATTCTCAAGAAGCTGGTATATTCACATCAAATATGTATTTAGCAGAAGATAGAATATTATGTTTTGAATTAGTTGCTAAACAAAATCATAAATATAGATTAAGATATGTTAAAGAAGCAAAAGCAGAAACAGATGTACCTGAATCAATTGATGAATTTGTATTACAAAGAAGAAGATGGCTTAATGGTTCATTATTTGCAGCAACTTATGCAGTTTTCCATTGGACAAAAATATGGAGATCAAATCATTCTCTATGGAGAAAATTATTTTTACAAATTGAATTTTATTATCAATTAATTACAATTTTAGTTAGTTGGTTTTCATTAGCATCATTTTTTTTGGTATTTAGAATTTTAACTGCAAATTTAGGTGCAGTTGATATGAATTTTGAAATTGGGAAATATTTAGCTATTATATTTTTATGGTTTTATGTTGGATGCATAGTATGTACTTTTGTATTAGCATTTGGTAATACTCCCAAGGGAACAAAAAAATTTTATTCAATAATAAGTTATATATTTGCAATAATGATGACTTATATGATGTTTTCAGCTATATTTTTAGCAATTCATACTGCAAATAGTATAATAAATTCACACACACAAGATTTTAAAATTATAATGATTTTAACAAATACGAAATTTAGAGATTTAGTTGTTTCAATGGTATCTACATATATTTTATATTTTATCGGATCATTTTTATATGGAGAACCAAGTTTTATGTTTACTTCATTTATACAATATGTTTTATTATCACCAACTTATATTAATGTATTAAATATTTATTCATTTTGTAATATTCATGATGTTTCATGGGGTACAAAGGGAGTAGAAAATGCTAAAAATTTAGGTACTGCAAAATCTTTAGGAATTGATAAAAATAATATAATAATGATTGCACCAGAAATAAATGAAAGTTATAATGAAGTATATTTAGATCAAATTCAAAGTTTATTAACTACAACATCCACCAACAACATCCAACAACAACAAACAGAATTAACAAATTTACAAAAATTAAAAGATGATTCATATTATCCTTTCATACGTACAATAACAGTATTAATTTGGATGTTAACTAATGCAATATTAATAGCAATTGTATTAGAATCAGGTGGAGTTGATATTTTAACAAAACATACTTCGATAAATCCAGATGGTTCAATAAATGGGAACTCTGAAATTTTTTTAACTATTATATTATGGATAGTTGCTGGTTTAGCAGTTTTTAGATTTTTTGGTTGTATTTTATATTTAATATCTAATGGTATTAGACCTTTAAAATGGAAAATTCAAAATCATAAAGTTAAAAAAAGAGTTAATAAAAATCATGAAGTTTAGAATCTTAAATTTTATATATATATAATTAAATTTTAGCATGCATATTTATTATATATGTTGACTTCTATTCTTATTCTCTATTCATCTTCAAAATTAGCAGTTACTACATTTTTAGTATATTTGTTAAAAATCCATAATTATTAAAACTATAAACAGTTATAGATCTAATTGATTCATAATTTTGAAAATGATACGACCACAAAAAAATTTAAGAATATGGGGTACATTATCGTACAACCAGATCTCATTAAATAATAATTTGTCCGCTTAAATCAGATGTCTACCAAAATAAAAATATAAGCCTAAAAATAATAAATTATTATATCGATAAGATACGATACGATCTCTTTCATTATAAAAATAATTTATTATTCTTACCAATAATTTAAATGTAAGATAAAGTTGAATAAAAATTACGTCATTACATAAATCTATTTTAATCGTTTACTTTCAAGCTCATTCAAATTGTATAGTTTATGAAATAAACACACAAGTATGAATATCACTAGAGTGTCGATAACAATTCAAGTATATTGGAAGCAATGATCGGCTAATAAGTGACACACTTGTTTTACGAAATCTAGGAACAAATGGAAAAGAAAGAAAAATTGCAATGGTTATATATTTAAATACTGAAACCAAAATTACATAAATCATAAACAAAAAAACAACAAAACATAGTTGCCCTGAAGATTTATTAATTTATATGAGCCTTATCTCTGAAATTTTCAAAAACTCGTTTCAGTTTTAATCAGTAGTTAATTTAAGGATACGAAACTAAATTAAAAATCTTTTCAATAATTAGGTAATAGCAATCTAAATAGTATTATTTGAAAGATCTTACCAGATAAAATTAGGTGTAGATCGTTCTTAAGGGTCAAAAAAATGAACGATCTAATTATTCATAATGTACCTATTATTAAAATTTAAACGTACATTCCAATTCTATTTGATTTCTTTTTATTTTTATTTTTATTTAAATTTAAATTTTAAAGTTAGCCGTTTATACGTTTTTAATATTTTCCATTAACTAAAAAACTATAAAAAATTGACCAGCCGATTATGACAGATTTTTTTTAATTTTTTTCACACAAATAAAAAATTAAACCGAATAAAATTTAAAAAGGTATTAAAAATTAAGAAATTCAAAGTTTTTACTGGTTATAAATCTTTGATCTAGACTAAACAATCAAATTTACGATATACTTAAAGTTGAAAAGATCAATACACCAGCACTATTTCAAGTTGTAACTTATGCCTTTCAATCGATTTTGAAAAAAGAAATAGATCATTATGTAGCCTAATCTCTAAATCAATTAATCATAGGTTTATACCCTATACGCCCTAAATTTGTACTTAAAACAGCTTAATAGTTGAACGAAATACAAAAAATAAAGCCGAAACTTATATAAAAAAAATTTTTTTACTTATCGGATTAATTATTATTTAGTTTTAATTTTTATTTAATAATGTATGGAATTTGTAACTTGCATGGATATATGGATATAAAACTTTAAATCATTTAAAACCGAAAGATTTCTGAAACAGTTTTAAAAATTTGAAACTTTATCGACCCAACCAGCTTTTTTTGTAAGCCTAATTTGCCTTACTTTTTTTTAAAAAAAGAAATTTAATTTTGAAACAATTTAATTTAAAGAAAGATCTTGTTCCACAATTTCGAGAGAAATTTTAAAGTGAGCCTTTTACAAAAGGTCGATCAATACTAACTTTTATGTCTAATACTATCTTGATCAAATACCTTGAAACTTGAATTTACATAAACGTTCACACTATCAATCATGTTCTCCTCTATACAGAAGTACATTCTTTAAAGGAAAAGAAATCTTTATTGAAAGATATTAGGTCTTAACTTATACAATATTTGTGTAATAAAACGATGAAAAAAATTTACTTGGTGAAACAAGGTTTTGGACCTAATTAAATTTGACGTAATATTCAAAGTATATACTACTTATTATTAATATGTTTATTTAATCCTTGGATATAAAGATATTGTGACAATTGACCCAAAATAATTTCACAAACAATACTTAAAATATGGTCCATAAAACATAAAATAGACGATATATAAAATCATGAACAATAAAAAAAATTAATTAACATGTATATTTTTATACCCGATCGGTTAAAATATTTGTTTGTTTTTATATAAAAATAAAAAATAAAAATAAAAATAAAATTCCATTAAAAAAAACAGGTAGTGTAANCAAAAAAAAAAAAAAAAAAAAAATACAAAAAAACACAAATTGAGAAATAGTTAGCCATCTCTACCTGTATATAATGAGTTATCAAAGAGTAAAAGAAATGAGAGATGATGAGGGATTTTTAAATTTTTCTAATCAATCTTGAATTGATTAAGTAGTAATTTATTACACCAATGTGTTTGTTACAGATTATCAATAGATGATAAATATTGTAATGATCGATCAAACAATAGATCAGAAAGTAAGATTCAACTAAGGTAATTAATATTATAGATTTAAAAAGTGTAAAGTCATTGACCAATTAAATTTGAAACATATTTAAATATTAAAATTATCAAATTAATTATTGATGTTACAAATTGAATAAATACAAAAGTTATATTTAAAATTCTTAATTTTTTATTTATTTTTACAATAAATGATCAATTAGGTATTAAGTAATGTTTATCTTTTTAAGTTTAATAAGTTACATGTACTGAAGGATAGTTAGAAGTAATAGCAAGCTCATTTTCTCAAGAATTTAATCCACCCCTCAATCCCATACATACGTTCAATAAGTTTGTTGTATCCTTAAAAATAATTAATAGATTAAAATAATTTAATTTAAAATATTTTAAGTAATTAAGCGTTTAATTTTAATTCAAATATTGTACATTTTCTTTTAAAATATTCTTACCATTTTCTTTTAAAAAATAAACAACAAATTTAATAATATGGTATAAACGGTTCAAAATATATTGGTTATGTAACCTATTTAATTTTCAATAGTAGTAGTAATATACTTTTTAATGAAAGATAATGTACATAATATTATGATTGATAATAAATCAATTTGTGTTATAATATTGCTGAGTTTGTACATAAACATATTATTATTATAATAATATTTTTGTTTATTATTTAACCTAATATAATTAGAAGAATAATTTTGAATGGGAATTATGTTCTTTGCTTAACCTTGATACTAAAGAGTACATTGAAACTTCGTATTGAATATTCAATACACTACTATTAGTCACTACTGATTGATCAAAGTAATGTCAGAGAATTAATCGGTTCGTATAAATAAAATAAAAAAAAATTTGAATAAAATAAATAAAATAAAAATAAAAAAATAAAAATAAAAAAAAAATAAAAAAAAAAATAAAAATCTCTCAATTTAAAAATAATAAAAATTTTTCAATAATCTTAATAAATAAAAACAATACAAATTTTACTTCAAGATATAAAATCGTTGAGATTTCTAGTTTATATTTTTAAAATTTTTATAGTTTTTTTCTACTTCAATTGAATTCAGATTTTTCATTTGTTTTAAAAATCAATTAATATTCATTCATTTTTTTTATATATACATATTCATTTCATTTCAAGTTCTTTGAAAATAATCACTTCAATTGATTAATAATTAATATCCCCTATTCAATTGTTGTTCAAATTATTTTCATTTAATAATATATCAATAACCAATTATAATACTGAAATAAATAAAAAAGATAGAATTTAATTGAATTACAAATAAAAAATGAGTGCTACTGAACCAACTAATGAAAAAGTTGATAAAAATGTATCTGATGATGAAGAAGAAGATATTGATCAATTAGTTTTAGATTTACAATCTAATCCTGGTAATTTAGATGAAGAAGAAGAAGGTGAAGATGATAATAAAGCTTCATTTGTTGCTGTACCAGAAGAATTATTACAAACCGATCCAAGAGTTGGTTTAACTGATGATGAAGTTCATAAAAGAAGAAAAAGATATGGTTTAAATCAAATGGCTGAAGAAAAAGAAAATATGGTTTTAAAATTTGTTATGTTTTTTGTTGGTCCAATTCAATTCGTTATGGAAGCCGCTGCTGTTTTAGCTGCTGGTTTAGAAGATTGGGTTGATTTTGGTGTTATTTGTGCTTTATTATTGTTGAATGCTTTTGTTGGTTTTATTCAAGAATATCAAGCTGGTTCAATTGTTGATGAATTGAAAAAAACTTTAGCTAATTCTGCTTTAGTTGTTAGAAATGGTCAATTAGTTGAAATACCTGCAAATGAAGTTGTTCCTGGTGATATTTTACAATTGGAAGATGGTACTGTTATTCCAACTGATGGTAGAATTGTTTCTGAAGATTGTTTATTACAAGTTGATCAATCCGCTATTACTGGTGAATCATTAGCTGTTGATAAAAGACATGGTGATAATTGTTATTCTTCATCAACTGTTAAAACTGGTGAAGCTTTTATGATTGTTACTGCTACTGGTGATAATACTTTTGTTGGTAGAGCTGCTTCTTTAGTTAATAAAGCTTCTTCAGGTACTGGTCATTTTACCGAAGTTTTAAATGGTATTGGTACTACTTTATTAGTTTTTGTTATTCTTACTTTATTAGTTGTTTGGGTTGCTTGTTTCTATAGAACTGTTAGAATTGTTCCAATTTTAAGATATACTTTAGCTATTACTATTATTGGTGTTCCAGTTGGTTTACCAGCTGTTGTTACTACTACTATGGCTGTTGGTGCTGCTTATTTAGCTAAAAAACAAGCTATTGTTCAAAAATTATCTGCTATTGAATCATTAGCTGGTGTTGAAATTTTATGTTCTGATAAAACTGGTACTTTAACAAAAAACAAATTATCTTTACATGAACCATATACTGTTGAAGGTGTTGAACCAGATGATTTAATGTTGACTGCTTGTTTAGCTGCTTCAAGAAAGAAAAAAGGTTTAGATGCTATTGATAAAGCCTTCTTAAAATCATTAATTAATTATCCAAGAGCTAAAGCTGCATTACCAAAATATAAAGTTATTGAATTTCAACCTTTTGATCCTGTTTCAAAAAAAGTTACTGCTATTGTTGAATCACCAGAAGGTGAAAGAATTATTTGTGTTAAAGGTGCTCCATTATTCGTTTTAAAAACTGTTGAAGATGATCATCCAATTCCAGAAGATATTCATGAAAATTATCAAAATACTGTTGCTGAATTTGCTTCAAGAGGTTTTAGATCTTTAGGTGTTGCAAGAAAAAGAGGTGAAGGTCATTGGGAAATTTTAGGTATTATGCCATGTATGGATCCTCCAAGAGATGATACTGCTGCTACTGTTCATGAAGCAAGAAATTTAGGTTTAAGAGTTAAAATGTTAACTGGTGATGCCGTTGGTATTGCAAAAGAAACTTGTAGACAATTAGGTTTAGGTACAAATATTTATGATGCTGATAGATTAGGTTTATCAGGAGGTGGTGATATGGCTGGTTCTGAAATTGCTGATTTTGTTGAAAATGCTGATGGTTTTGCTGAAGTTTTCCCACAACATAAATATAATGCTGTTGAAATTTTACAATCAAGAGGTTATTTAGTTGCTATGACTGGTGATGGTGTTAATGATGCTCCATCCTTAAAGAAAGCTGATACTGGTATTGCTGTTGAAGGTGCTACTGATGCTGCTAGATCAGCTGCTGATATTGTCTTTTTAGCTCCAGGTTTATCTGCAATTATTGATGCTTTAAAAACTTCAAGACAAATTTTCCATAGAATGTATTCATATGTTGTTTACAGAATTGCTTTATCATTACATTTAGAATTATTTTTAGGTTTATGGATTGCTATTTTAAATCATTCATTAAATATTGATTTAGTTGTTTTCATTGCTATTTTTGCTGATGTTGCAACTTTAGCTATTGCTTATGATAATGCTCCATATGATCCAAAACCAGTTAAATGGAATACTCCAAGATTATGGGGTATGTCAATCATATTAGGTATAATTTTAGCTATTGGTACTTGGATTACTTTAACTACTATGTTTTTACCAAAAGGTGGTATTATTCAAAATTTCGGTGGTTTAGATGGTATTTTATTTTTACAAATTTCATTAACTGAAAATTGGTTAATTTTTATTACAAGAGCTCAAGGTCCATTCTGGTCATCAATTCCATCATGGCAATTATCTGGTGCAGTTTTAATTGTTGATGTTCTTGCTACTTGTTTCACTTTGTTTGGTTGGTGGTCACAAAATTGGACTGATATTGTTACAGTTGTTAGAGTTTGGGTTTGGTCATTTGGTGTATTCTGTGTAATGGGTGGTGCTTATTACATTATGTCACAATCTGAATCATTTGATAACTTATGTAATGGTAGATCATCAAAACCAAAACATGATTCAAGATCATTAGAAGATTTCTTAGTTTCTATGCAAAGAGTCTCAACTCAACATGAAAAATCAACTTAATTTTAGAAAAAACAAATATAGAGTTTTTTTTCATTTGTTGTTGCATTTTTATTAATAATTTAAACTTTTTGATTTAATTAATAGATCAAAAACTCCAAAAATCATAAAAAACAAAAAAAAAATAAAAGATATAAAAGAAAGAAAGTGTTGATAATTTATGGACATTATTTTTCATATAACTTAATTTATTCCCCCACCCCCATATATTCCCATCTTATACCACAACAACCACCATAATTTTCAAATTCCCCAAATGAAAAAAATTTATGGTATTTCCCCATCACCAACAATATAATTAATTTCTCCCCAAGATTAATTATATTAATATTTCATGATAATGATATAAACGTTAAATAAAGAAAATTTACTAGAAGGTTAATTTTATTCAAATTTTTTATTTATTTTTCAAACTACATTTTTGTATTACAAGATTTTTTTTTAGTTTCAGTATTATAGGTTATTTATTTTAAATTTTTTTTTTAATTAGTTACGTTAATTAATAGATAATAATATTTATAAAGTAGTTTTTATTGTAGTTGTTGTTTCAAATTTTAATTTAGTTTATATTGTATTGTAAGTTTAGATTAATTTATGTTTGGAGCATACTATTTTTACCACTTGTCTCATCAAAACTTGACTTCCAAATCTAAAATTGTGTCAATTTAAAAAATATCCCTTTTTATTATAAGCACTTTAATTAGAGTAATTTACTAAGTCAGGAACAAAATCAAACCCAATAATTGATGAAACATAATGTATATTCAATATTCCATACTTAATGGAACATAATACATTTTTCAGTATTTCATACTTAATAAAACACGTGATTGAACCGCTAAAACAGGTCGAGACAATTTGGACCTAAAATTTGAGCGAAAAATTCAAAATTAGTACGGTGAAGGTCGATTGTGTTTCACTCGTTCTACACTCGTAAAATTATCCGAGGATTTCAAAAATTATAATAAATAAAATTTGTAACAAGTATAGTGATCATTTAATGAATAAAAATCCGCCAAATAACTGCTTAATTTAAGCATATGAATCGAATATATTAGGGCCAGTCCTAGTGGCAAAATGTTTAATGGATAAGCTCTAATCGAATAGTATGGGGTAATACTGGAAAATTCTATTCATAAAACTTAAATTTGAAACAAGATTCCGAAATTTAAAATCTATACTTTAGGAACAGATTTTCCAATGACGGAGAGACAGAACTAGAGTATTATTAACAGATTTTTTACTATTACTTCAATATTTACATTTATGTATATTTTATAAGAATTAAAGGATAATATTCCTTTAATAATCAGTAAATATCAATGTTCTAAAAGCTTATTTGTAAAATTATTTCGAATCAAACTTAAATGACTACAAATATTAAACTACATGAATCTAGATAATTCTATTGCATGGTAATCATTTCAATTAACCTCTCTTAATATATTTAGTTGAAATGAAATATTTATAATGTAACTCACATATATTTTTTTAAAAATATATTGGTTACAATATAATAAACTTAATAAAAAGAAATCCTCGGTAATTAAGTTTAATTTTTTTTTATCTTTTTTTATTTTTTTCAGAATCGGTATTTAATTATTATTATTATTATTATTTGAATTTTGGTTTGAATTCACAAGCTAATTAAATTTATTAATTAGAGAGAGAATATATAATAAGAACTTTTGACTAATTGACACGACTTTTTGATTTTGAATTCTACCACTATATTCAAAATGACATACTAATTATAGATAAGTTGATGATTCACTAAGACTGGTAATTATCTAGGTTTAAATAAGTTTGAATCTTATAGACTGAAGGTAAGAGTTGGTTTAGATATTATTTTTCTCTACCTAAAAACGGTTTATTATAGAATAATAATCTTCTATACCATTAATATATTATATTTATTTAACTTACACAAAATTTGAAAATAATTTCTCCCCCCGCAAAATTGAAAAATATTTAAATTTCCACATTTTAAATTTTAAAGTAATATTAATACTACTAGTACAGTACAGTGTTATATATAATTAATCAAGTTTGCCCCCTTTTAATAGTTCAATATTTTTACAACCTTTTTCTTTCTTCTTTTCTAATACAACATATATTTCGTTATATATATATTATATTTCATAAAAGATAACATTCAATCAATTATTATTCATAAATTAAATTATTCAATTGAAGATATAAATATTATTATAATTACTGGTTTAATTATAAATTACATTTAATAAAAGATAATTTATCAAATTTATAAATATTCTTAATTTTTAAAAATAGAAAAAAGGAAGAACAAATTATTTATTTCATATATATATTACAACAATTTATAAATCATGTCTAAAATAGATTTTAAAGATAAAGTTGTTATTATTACTGGTGCAGGTGGTGGTTTAGGTAAATTTTATTCATTAGAATTTGCTAAAAGAGGTGCAAAAGTTGTTGTTAATGATTTAGGTGGTGCATTAAGTGGTGAAGGTGGAAATTCAAAAGCTGCTGATGTAGTTGTTGATGAAATTAAAAAAAATGGTGGTGTTGCTGTAGCTGATTATAATAATGTTTTAGATGGTGATAAAATTGTTGAAACTGCTGTTAAAAATTTTGGTACTGTTCATATTATTATAAATAATGCTGGTATTTTAAGAGATTCAAGTATTAAAAAAATGACTGAAAAAGATTTTAAATTAGTTATTGATGTTCATTTAAATGGTGCTTATGCTGTTACAAAAGCTGCTTGGCCATATTTTCAAAAACAAGAATATGGTAGAGTTGTAAATACTGCTTCACCAGCTGGTTTATATGGTAATTTTGGTCAAACTAATTATTCAGCTGCTAAATCTGGTTTAATTGGTTTTGCTGAAACTTTAGCAAAAGAAGGTGAAAAATATAATATTAAAGCAAATACTATAGCTCCTTTAGCAAGATCAAGAATGACTGAATCAATTTTACCACCTCCAGTTTTAGAAAAATTAGGTGCTGAAAAAGTTGCTCCATTAGTTTTATATTTATCATCATCTGAATGTGAATTAACTGGTCAAACTTTTGAAGTTGCTGCTGGTTTTTATGCTCAAATTAGATGGGAAAGATCTGGTGGTATAACTGTTAAACCAGATGAAACTTTTACTGCCGAATTAGTTGCTAAAAGATTTAATGAAATTATGGATTATGATGATTCTAAAAAACCAGAATTATTAAAAAATCAACATCCATTTATGTTGAATGATTATACTTCATTAACTGCTGCTGCAAGAGAATTACCTAAAAATGATTTATCTGGTGCTCCAACAATTTCTTTAAAAGGTAGAGTTGTTTTAATTACTGGTGCAGGTGCTGGTTTAGGTAAAGAATATGCAAAATGGTTTGCTAAATATGGAGCTAAAGTTGTTGTTAATGATTTTAAAGATGCAACTAAAACTGTTGAAGAAATTAAAGCTGCTGGAGGTGAAGCTTATGCTGATCAACATAATGTTGCAACTGAAGCAGATGCTATTATTGAAACTGTTTTAAAAGCTTATGGTACTATTGATGTATTAGTTAATAATGCAGGTATTTTAAGAGATAGATCATTTGCTAAAATGACTAAAGAAGAATGGGATCAAGTTCAAGCTGTTCATTTATTAGGTACTTTTAATTTATGTAGATTAGCTTTCCCAATTATGGCTGAAAAAAAATATGGTAGAATTGTTAATATTACTTCAACTTCAGGTATTTATGGTAATTTTGGTCAAGCTAATTATGCATCAGCTAAATCAGCTATATTAGGTTTATCTAAAACTTTAGCAATTGAAGGTGCAAGAAATAATATTAAAGTTAATATTGTTGCTCCTCATGCTGAAACTGCAATGACTTTAACAATTTTTAGAGAAGAAGATAAAAATTTATATCATGCAGATCAAGTTGCTCCATTATTAGTTTTCTTAGGTTCAGAAGAATGTCCAGTTACTGGTGAAACATTTGAAGCTGGTGGTGGTTGGATTGGTAACACTAGATGGCAAAGAGCTAAAGGTGCTGTATCTCATGAAGCTGAAACCACTGTTGAATTTGTTAAAGATCATTTAGAAGAAATTGTTGATTTTACAAAAGATACTGAAAATCCAAAATCTACTACCGAATCATCAATGGCTATCTTATCAGCAGTTGGAGGTGATGATGATGATGAAGATGAAGAAGAAGAAGAAGATGAAGGTGATGAAGAAGATGAAGAAGAAGAAGAAGGAGAAGAAGATGATCCAGTTTGGAAATTCAATGATAGAGATGTTATATTATATAATATTGCTCTTGGTGCAACAACAAAACAATTACAATATGTTTATGAAAATGATTCAGATTTCCAAGTTATTCCAACTTTTGGTCATTTAATTACTTTTAATTCAGGTAAATCACAAAATTCATTTGCAAAATATTTAAAAAATTTTAATCCAATGTTTTTATTACATGGTGAACATTATATTAAAGTTCATAAATGGCCACCACCAACTGAAGGTGAAATTAAAACTTCATTCCAACCATTACAAACTACTCAAAAGGGTACCAATGTTGTTATAGTTCATGGATCAAATTCAGTTGATAATAAAACTGGTGAAACTATTTATTCAAATGAAGCTACATATTTTATTAGAAATTGTCAAGCTGATAATAAAACTTATGGTGATAGAAGATCATTTGCAACTAATCCATGGGTTGCACCAAAAAGAGAACCAGATTATCAAGTTGATGTTAAAGTTGGAGAAGATTTAGCTGCATTATATAGATTAACTGGTGATAGAAATCCTTTACATATTGATCCAAATTTTGCAAAAGGTGCTAAATTCCCAAAACCAATTTTACATGGTATGTGTTCTTATGGTTTAAGTGCAAAAGCATTAATTGATAAATTTGGTATGTTTGATGAAATTAAAGCAAGATTTACTGGTATTGTTTTCCCAGGTGAAACTTTAAGAGTATTAGCTTGGAAAGAAGGTGAAAATGTTATTTTCCAAACTCATGTTGTTGATAGAGGTACTATTGCTATAAATAATGCTGCTATTAAATTAATTGGTGATAAACCAAACTTATAAATTAAATTATAATTTATAGTTTATTCTTCTATTAAATATTTGAAAAATTTAAAATATAAAATATATTTGTTAAAAATTTGTAAATTAATTGTAAATCGAAAGCATATTAAATGATAATCTTCTACTGATCGGTATAGATATTTATCTTAACTCTTTTAGTAAAAGAATTTGAAATTAGAAAATATTTTTTTTGTTAGTGGAAAAAGAAAAACGCGTCTTTTTTCAAGTTAAAAAGTTACTGTAAGTTTACTAAGATTATTATCATCAATATAACCATTATCAATATCAATCCATAGTCATTATCATTACAATATATCTCAATTAATTGATACTCATATCAACAATATTCCTCATCTAAATTCCTTACAATTGGTTGTTCATATTAATTATAAAAAATTAAATCCAACACTATAACTCACAAATTGAGTCTTATTAATAGTATTTTGATTAAGAAATAAATGGAATTAACTCAATTATCACAAACTCAACCAACTCAACAATCACCATTAACTCAAACACAAAACAAATTATTAGATCAATCAAATCCAAATCAAATTTGTCAATTATTATGTTCAACAAATCAATATCCAAATAAAAAATTAAATACTACTGATAAAATTGAAAAAGATGGTAAATTAATTTGGAATTTTGGTAGATCAATTGAAAGTGATTTACAATTAAATTCTTCTTCAAGATTATCAAATAAACATTTTATATTATGGTTTAATATAAATGATAATTCTTTATGGATTAAAGATATTTCAACAAATGGTACTTATTTAAATGGTAGTAGATTAGTTAAAGGTTCGAATTATTTATTAAATCAAGGTGATGAAATTAGTGTTGGTAATGGTATACCAAAAGATATTGTAAAATTTATTATAATTTTTACAGATAAATATAATCCTGCTTTATCACCTGATTCAAGTAATATAAAAGATCAAGGTATATTTAAAGATTTTATTATAAAAAATGAAACTATTGGTCAAGGAGCTTTTGCAACTGTTAAAAAATGTATTGAAAGATCAACTGGTAATGGATATGCTGTTAAAATTATAAATAGAAGAAAAGCTTTAAATATAAGTAGTAATGGACAAGCTGCAGGAGGAGGAGGAGTAGGTGGTGGTAATGCATTAATTGGAGTTGATAGAGAATTATCAATTTTAGAGAAATTAAATCATCCAAATATTGTATCATTAAAAGCATTTTATGAAGATTTAGAAAATTATTATATAATAATGGAATTAGTACCAGGAGGTGATTTAATGGATTTTGTAGCAGCAAATGGAGCAATTGGAGAAGATGCAACTCAAGTTATAACTAAACAAATATTAGAAGGTATATCATATGTTCATAAATTAGGTATATCTCATAGAGATTTAAAACCTGATAATATTTTAATTATGCAAGATGATCCAATATTTGTAAAAATTACAGATTTTGGATTAGCAAAATTTAGTGATAATTCAAGTTTAATGAAAACTTTTTGTGGTACTTTAGCTTATGTTGCACCAGAAGTTATTACTGGTAAATATGGTTCATCACAAATTTTAAATGATTCTTTTAAAAATAATTATTCATCATTAGTTGATATTTGGTCATTAGGTTGTCTTATTTATGTATTATTAACATCTCATTTACCCTTTAATGGTAAAACTCAACAACAAATGTTTCAAAAAATTAAACAAGGAGAATTTCATGAATCACCTTTAAATTCTTATGAAATTAGTGATGAAGGTAGAGATTTTTTAAGGTGTTGTTTACAAGTTGATCCAATGAAAAGAATAACAGCAGAAGAAGCATTAAAACATCAATGGCTACAAGATATTTTAGAAGATTCATCACAACAACAACCTCAACAAAATGATTCATCATCATCATTAAAATCTCTTAGTTTATCACAATCACAATCTCAACAATCAAGAAAAATAGAAAATGGAATACATATAGAATCAATGAGTAAAATTGATGAAGATATAATGCTTCGACCTTTAGATAGTGAAAGAAATCGAAAATCAACTAAACAAAAACAACAAGATTTTAAAAAACCAAAAAGAATTGTTCCATTACCTCAATCACAACCATTAAATAATTTACCAATGTCACAACCTTTAAAACGACCTTTTCATATTGACCCGATAACAAATAAAAGAGAAGAACTGAAGAAAAGAATAAAAATTGAACAACTACCTGATAATATAAATCATAATAATATGAACAATAACAACAACAACAACAAAAACAAAAACCATGAAAATAACAATACAAAACTACTAGATCTATCAAAATCACAACCAGTAAAATTAAATGATGATTCAAGTGATATTAAAATGAAATCACTTTCATCATCATCATTATCAGAAAATTCATCACCATCATCAATACCAGCACAATTATTATCAACATCATCATTAGTTAAACCAAATAATAATGATAATAATAATTCCAATAATTTAAATTCAATAAATTTCAAAATAATTCTAGAACCAATATCAAAATCATTAATTTCAAATTATATAGAAATTTCAAAAAATTATTATTCAATAGGTAGAGCAGAAGTTTGTGATATGGTTATATTAGATGATAGATTATCAAAAGTTCATTGTATCCTAAAAATTAATGAGGAAACAAAACAAATTTGGTTATGTGATATGAGTACGAATTCATGTAAAGTTAATAATTTAACTATTGGTAAAGGTAAAAAAATTTTATTAAATAATAATGATCAATTATTTTTAATCAATGATTCAAATACAAATGAATTTATAGGATATAATGTCAAAATAAAAACAGAGGATGAAATAGTTCAAGATCAAGAAGAAAAAATTGTTAATGATGAATTAGAAATTGACGAAAAAAATAATAATGATGATGAAGATAATAATGATAGAGAAAAGAATAAGGAGAATATAAATCATAATATTAAAATTATACAACAAAGTATTGATGAAATAAACTTAAAAAATCTGTTAATTGAAAGTATATAAATTATAACTATTGCACCATGGAAACATAAGATTGAAGGACAATATTCATTCTATACATTATGATAAAATGTACAAATATACCGTATAGTAAAAGTATATAAATATTTTATATATTTTAATGATAATAAATATCCAATATTCAATTTATTGTATCTATTGCTATGTTTATTAGTAGTTTCGTATCCATATAGAATGAATAAGTACTAAAGTCCTTAATTGTTTGTTTAATATTTAAGTATAGAAAAAAATACCTCCTAAAATTAAATTTTAAAATTTCATTAAAATAGCTTCTACAATTTATATCACTATTCTACATACTTCTATAATAACATCATAGAAAACATCAACCAAAAAAAGACCATAGATCAACTTAATGTCATTTATAAAACCAGTAAGAAGAGTATATACACAAGAAGACCTATCAAAATGGATAAATTCAAATACATTTAATGAAATTTTAAATTTCATATGTGATTTACAAAATTCAATATTATCAAAATCAAATGATTATAAAGAACCACTAGAAGATAAAACTGAACAAGAACTAGCTAAAGAAACAGAAATAATTGATAAATTAATAAAATTATTTAATGAAATTGAAAAAATTATCGAAAATCATCCAATAACTAACGAAAATAATCAAAATAATAAATCAAGATTTGGTAAAATTGAATTTCGAGATTTTTATAATGATTTATCAAACAATATTGAAGCATTAATATCACCAATTTCAAAAATTGGAATAATTGAAACATCAACATATTTATTAAATTCATTTGGTGATCAAACCAGAATAGATTATGGATCAGGTCATGAATTAAATTTTATATGTTTTTTATATTGTCTAAACAACCTTCAAATAATAAATTCCACAATGTATACTTCAATTATACTAAAAATTTTTACAAAATATATGTCAATAATGAGAATCTTACAAAAAAAATATTGGTTAGAACCAGCTGGATCACATGGTGTATGGGGATTAGATGATTATCATTTCTTACCTTTCTTATTTGGATCATCTCAATTAGTTAATCACCCGTACCTAAAACCAAAATCAATTCATAATGATGAAATAATTGATCAATTTCATATGCAATATATTTATTTTGAATGTATTTATTTTTTAAATCAAATAAAAATTACCAATAATTCAAATGAAAAATTAAGTTTAAGATGGCATTCACCAATGTTAGATGATATATCAAGTGCTAAAAATTGGAACAAAATAAAAGAAGGTATGATTAAAATGTATAAAGTTGAAGTATTAAGTAAATTACCAATAATTCAACATTTTTTATTTGGTTCAATTTTAAAATGTCCTGATGATATACCTGAAGTACATAATAATAACAATAACCAAAGTACAAGTGATTGCGGTCATGTACATAATGAAGTTATAAATACATGGGGTGATTGTTGTGGTATAAAAATTCCAAGTGCTATTGCAGCAAGTGAGAGTTTAAAATTACAAAATCAATCAAATTATAAACAAATTCCTTTTGATTAAAAATATACATATTTTGTATGTTTATATTTATTTGTTTAAAAAATACTAATTAGTTCTATTCATTATATCCAATACTAGTAGATATTAATATATTTCTTGGAAAAATCCCAGGAAATGGTAACAAGATTTTCAATTTCTTTTTATCATCATCAAATTTTGAAACATGTATATAACCCAATACAGAAGAATTTAATAAATTTTTATTAAAATTAACTTCTTCTTTTTCTTGAGTAGGTTGTTCTAATTGAGTTATAGTAATTATAGAATTATCTAAATTTGAAGAATTTGGATTTTCAATAATTGAATAATATTTTTCTAATTCATTTTCTTTTGTATTTTCTTTTTCAAAATCATCACCAGATGGTAAAAACAGTAAATTATTTATTAAATCTTTTGTTAATATACCTTTAAAAATTTTTAAACCATTTGCATCTATTTCAGTTTTGAATGGTGATAATCTTGTTTTTAAATTCCCATTAAAATATTCTTTTATTGTTAATTCTTGAGTCATTCTTATAAATTTTTCATTTAATTCAACAACACCTTGTGATTTATTAATTTTTATAATTTGTAAACCTTTGGTTAATTTATGATTTAATTTTTTTTTCAAATCTATAGTTAATTTTTCATTCCCAATTACAACTAATATATTAATTTTAAAATCACTTATTATATTTTCAATAATTGGGAACTCTTTCATTCCTAATGATGGTGTATCAACAATTATACCACTATTATTACAAATTGTATCATTTTCTAATCTAGATGATACTAAATTACCCAATTGAGATAATTGATATTTATATAAATCTAGATTATCATGAATATCAATAAAACCATAATTTTTAACAATAGGTTGTTTTGGATTTTGGGTTAAACTACCAGTAGTTGTAGTTGTTAATCCATATCCATTACAACTTTCAATATCCAAAAAATCATTCATTGGAATAGCTGATAATGAACCAGGTAATGCAAAAACTCCATCTTGAGGATTTAAATTTACTAATATTGGACATTGATTCATTTTTATTGCATAACTTATTAAATTTTTACATAATGTAGTTTTACCCAGTTGTTTTGATCCAATAATTAAAACTCTTGGTCCAAATGTCAGTAGATCATTTGAAATATTGTTATTATCTTGACATGCTTGTCTTTTGGATTCTAAATACAAATGTAAATTAATAATAGATTCCATATTAGTTTCTTTACTTAAATATTCAGTAAATTCATTATCTTCATCACTACTTGATGTAATTAATGAATTATCATTATTTTCCAAAATTAAATATTCAATTTTTGATTCAACTTTAGGGGAATATATACAAGTTTTTGTTCCAGTTAATTTAATCTCTGTATTATTTGGTAATTCTGTTCCATTAATTTCAACTATACCTTGAACTATTTTAAATTTTAATATTTGTTTCAATGGAACTTCAATTCTCCATTCATATAAAGGGGGTATAATTATAGACTGTACATTTAGATTATCTTCATTTATTAGCCCTGATCCACCAAAACCTGGTATTGACATTTAAATGCTTTTGTTATTAATTGTAGTTCTTGTTGTTGTAAATTTCCTACAACTTTGAATAACGTCTTAAATCTTAAAATTGTTTCAGTTCACAAAACAAAAAAATTAATAACTGTCGCCAATTTATCAACTATTAGTTTTAATTATGACACGACAAAGTTATAATTAAGTTTGAATGTACATAATAACAGGATTAAGTGTCTAGGTATATAACGATATATACTTGTAAATTTTTTAATTAGCTCTGGAAAATCTCAGAATGGTACAAATAGGATTAAGGGCTCTCGAATACAATTTTCATTAAAATTATTTACTTTATTGCTTACTTAAGGTAACATATCATTAACAACAAAATCATATTATTTGAGATATCAAGTAAGTTTATAAAATCAATTCTAAAGTTTATTTAATTTATTAACTAGAATTCAAGGTAAAATCAAGAGATCATAAATGAAAAAAAGAACTCCGATGTAGAGAATACGTGAGCATTCATCAATCTCTACGTAAAGTACAATACATGAGTTTGGATATCATCATAATTTTCTGGTAGTAATAGTAATTGCATTTATTTATAAACAAATTCATTCATTACATCAATATTGAATATATACTATACTATACTATATATATATATTCATTTCTCTAAAAAAGTACTGGAAATGTAATAATAAATAGCGATAAATGTAATAATAATTAATAAATGAAAAATTTAATTTATAATTTTGGTCTTGGATCTAATTGTTTAAAAACTGATTCAATAGCAGTTGCTTTCATCATATTACCTTTAACTTTTAATTTACCATTCATAAATAATTTTTGACCATTAGCTTTACCATTAGCTAATTTAACAAAATCAACATCTTTTAATAATAATTGAACATCACCTTTTGGTGGTGGACCATCAGCTTTTTTAATAGTACCATCTTTTTTTAAATCTAATACCCAAGATTCATCTTTACCTTCTTTATTTTTTAAAGTTATAATTATAATGGCATTAACAGCTTTAATTGCTTTTTCAGCAGCAGATTTATCTTGTAAACCATCAGCTAATTCTTTTAATAATGGTGATGCTTGAAATCCTTCGGCTTCTACTGACATTGTGATTTAATTTAATTGATTGATTGATTGATTTATATATGAATTAATAAAAGTAATATATATATAATGATATAAAAAAAAGAAAAGAAAGAAAGAAATGAAATTTAAAAAATAATTTAAGGAGAAAAGTTTGATTATTTATATAAGAATATCAATTTGGTAGTTACTACTTAATTATGTTGATTTTTTTTCAATTTAATTTTTTTTTTTTTCATATGAAATTTAAAAATTATAAAATGTGGGGGAAATATTATACAGTACCAACTTTTTATTGATTAAATGATTAATCAATAATTAATCAATAAATGTGTACAAAGTGTAAAAAGCAAAAGTGAAAGCAAAAATCACATTTTGTATGGAATCTTGTAATCATTAACAACTTCACTTACTTATAAAGCTTAGCGGACTTATTTGATTACTATTTATGTAAGTCTATATTTAAATCTGTATTTACTAGTTAAATTATCGAAATATAGATTTAATCACTACAAAACCATTAGCGTATTAAATTAAGAGTATAAGTTATCTACAAGATTGTTTTTTCAAATAAAGTAATATATGAATTATAAGATAGTATTTAATAATTCTAATATTAATAAATAAAAAAACTATCAAATGTGTGTATTTTCAATCAACGGTTTAAAATTCTGAAACAATATTTTTTTGAAATTTAATAATTTTAGAATATGGAAGTTAAATTTAATTATTTAAAAATTCGTTCTAATATTCTAACATTATTATTAATAGTTAATAGTAATAGTAATACGTCAAATACAATACAATAAACACTAAATAAATTGAAACAAAATAAATTTAGTTGTTGGTTTAATTTCATTCCTTGTATAGAATTTAGTACAACACCTCGGGTAAATTTTATTAGTACTTAATGAAATAATATTTTTGAAAAATGGAGTAAAAAAAAAATAATTTTATTTCTAATCTCCTTTTTAATACATCAAAATATTTTATATAGAATAAATTATTAATATTATTACATTATTACTATCTTTAGTAATTAATTTAAATTTGATAAATTTTCATTGAATAGTTGTTAATAAATTATATACTACTTTGTAATTATTGTATATTAATTTTCATTAATGTATACAACATCTTAATAGAATTGGTAATGAAATAATAGTATCTCAACTTTCTAATTACATTTTATGATTAATCAATGGTATTTAATTTTGCCTCCCCTCTCAACGGAATTAAGCTGATAGTTGACCAACGGATGAATTATATAGAGAAAAGCTAAGCCGCACAGATATATCCAGATCTGGATACAGTCTAATATGCAGTAGATTCCAATAAATAGACCATTAGCAAAATCTAATCACAATACTTTTTAGATTATTAAATTACCGATATTAATATTTGAGTGTGAATATTATATAAATTTAATTAAATAAAATATTAAACTTCTTGAATTAATATATATAAATTATATAAATTATGTCATAATTGATAATAATTGAAGACAAATAATAATATAGAAGAATAATCTTTTAATAGAAAAAGATTGAATAACATCATAAGAGATTTTTTTTTTATAAATTTCTTATATTTTATTCTTATAAATTATCTACATAATTATTTGAAAATAAATTCATTATTATCATTATTAACATAATCACATTGTTTAGAACCAAAGAAAAAACATCACATTATTATTATTAGTATTATTATTATCATTCATTATTGAACTTTTATTTTTTTTATTGTACTCTTTCTTTCTTTTCTTATAAGAAATAATCTGGTGTTTTTCTTGTTACAGTTGGTTCACCAGGTCTAACAGATGGATCATATTGTAAAAATTGTCTATTATGTTGTTCATCAACTTCCATTATAGCAGCTTGATTACCACATCTATAACAATAATTTGGTGCTGAAAATATTGTAACAACACTTTCTTGATGACTCCATGAAAAACCTTCCATTACTAATTGATGAGCTCTTGCAATTAATGATAAATCATTTGTATGATTAAATTGTTCTGAAATATCTTGACCAAATGTGAAACCTGCACCTCTTGGTGATATACCCCAACCACCTCTATCATCTGGATCTGACCATAATAAATCACACATTGGTCCTTCATGTGGTACTTCTTGTATACGATTTAATTCTCTAACTTGATCTATAGTTTCAATCATTGGTGATAAACCACCATGTAAACAAAATACTTTATTATCAACTAATGCTGTTATGGGAAAATAATCAAATAAATCAGTAAATAATTTCCATACAGTAGCTGATCCATATTTTCTTAAACATTCATCATAAAATCCATAAACTTGAGTAATTTGTCTTGATTCATGATTACCTCTTAATATAGTAATTCTATTTGGATATCTAACTTTCATACAAACTAAATAACTAACAGTTTCAACTGAATAATAACCTCTATCAACATAATCTCCCATAAATAAATAATTTGTATCAGGACATGGTCCACCAATTTTAAATAATTCCATTAAATCATGAAATTGTCCATGAACATCACCACATATTGTTACTGGTACATTAACTGGTTGTACATTTTCTTCAAATTGTAAAACTTCTATTGCCATTTCACATAAACGTTTAACATCATTTTCTTTTAATGTTTCACATTTTGATAATGTATCAATCCATTGATCTAATTGATTTATTGATTGATTATTCAATGTTTTAGTATTGTTATTAGTATTTGTAGTATTTGTATTAGTATTAATTGATTTAGATTGATCTTTATTTGTAGAAAATTCTTTTAATTTATTTGATGATTTTATATTAGTGGGTATGCTATTAGTATTTTCATTATAAGTTTGATTTTGTTGATCTTCAACATCTTCCATTGGTACATCAGTATCTAAATCCATTTTTTTTGTATATCTCCTTTTATTTGTATGATTTGATTATTTCTTAAATAACTGTGGTTTTGAATATCTGAATATGTAATATAATTTGATGTTGTATGTATCCTTTTATCTTTAATATAACAATTATTCCAGAATTGATTATAATAAACTAAATAAAAAACACAATTTATTACTATAACTTTATAAGTTTAAAAATGCAAATTTAAATGAATTGAAAATTAAAAATTAAAAAAAATATTAATTATTGATGTGAATCTAAATTAAGAATTTTTTGAAGAATGATCTATTACAATGATTGATCTTGATGATTGATTTGAAGAGTTGATTATTTAATTGATTGATTGTATTGATTAAAATACTATGGTTGATCTGTGTAAGTTATAATTAATTTTAATGAATGATTAGCTATTTTGAATTTTAAAGTAGATGGAATTTTAATTTTATTATTTTTCTTTTTTTAATTTTGATTGTTGAGATTTTTTTTTTTATTGATTTTGTACGCTACCAATTATTTTATTATTTATTATTATCATTAGTAGTAGTTATTACTATAAATTTTGTTTTCAGTAACACTACCACAATCTACTTTACAATTATGTCATATTGTTAAGTCTACAAAAGATAGTATATAAATAAGCAATGATAATTGACATTTATTGCATTATTAATACCAAATTGATAAGTCAATTTATTATGCTAAACATTGCAATCACACTACAATGAAAGTATGAATCAAAGCACTGAATCACATTAAATTCGTACGAGAAATTGATTCAATTTTTTCTCGCACAATTGAAAATGGTATAACGTTAAAATTAGAAATTTTATAGAAATTGTCATTCAGGTACTTGATAAATTGAGATATTTTAACAAAAAAATCCATTGAACTTTTGTATACATAATAGTGGTGACGATTTCCTTCGTAACTAATTAGTCAGTTGTCTTTACTTGCTTTTTAGAATTTACGCAAAGTTTTACATTTTATCTTGTAGAACTGTTACAGTAGTAATAAAACCCTTTATTTTTTACCAAAAAAACAATCAATTAATTTGTTGCAAATTTTTGAAAAAATAATTAACAAGATAATAATCTTTTTCGTAATGCAAATTATACTTTAGAATTTGAATCTTAAAATTTCTAACGAGTCAAAATACACATTCTTTTACTCACTAGAATTCACATAATTTATTATTATGACTTCAAATTTGAGATGATCTTTACTTTTAATATGTTGAATAAATTTTTTTCGTTTTAAGCCTCATATTTAGTTGGATAGATGAATGCTTCTTTATCTAAATTAATTATTATTGACGAATATGACGCATTAAAATTCACTGATTATAATATTTCAATTCATTTTATTTGCAACCAAAATTTCATTTAAAGTCAATTCAACTTATTCATTCTTTTCAATCTATTCAAAGTTATGAATCTTAAATCTTTAATTGTATAAACATTTGAATCATATATATTGTATTACATACTTGTTAAAAAATAATAGAAGTTTTATAGACACGTTTAGATCATACATTTAAGAATCACACCAGGTTGATTATACAAGTTTCACCTTTTACAAGTTTATCTTACCATTAGCTTAATTTACCTTTTTTATTATATTTGTTCATTCATTTAGATATTAAATTCATTTATTTAAAATTCCATCTGGTCGTTTCTTAATTTGGTGTATTGCAAGATGGATTTTGAAAGCCCTGTTACAATTGTAAAGGAATTATTATTATCTTCCAATTCGACAATTCATACTTCTTGTCAATTTAAAGAATCATTATATCAACCATTAATCAATAACTATTCTAATTCAATTAATCCATGTTTTTTGGGTTCAATTTCAATTTTAATAACTGGAATCTTAACAATTGGTTTATTAATTCAATTATATATTTTATTATTTCATAATTATTATGGGAATCTTAAAATTAAATATAGTTTTGGTTATCCTTTTAAAATTAAAAGTATTGGAATATTTCAAATTTTAAAATTAAATTTAATAATTTGTCAATTAATTCTTATTGGTACTTTAATTTATTGGTTTAAAAATTGGTCATCATTATTATCTTATGGTTTAATTTTTAATTTTTTTTTACTTGGAATTATTGTTTTACCTTTTACTGTTATTGAACCTACAAGAAGTGTTGTTTCATTACTTTCATTATCATCATATTGGATATTTCAAATTTTATTTAATTTAGTTGTAACTATTCAAGATTTTACTTCAATCTATAAAATTTTCAACATTAACAACAATATATTAATTAAAACTATTGAAATTTGTTTATTACTCAATTCAATTTTAATTTTAATTTTTGAAGTTGGATTATATTCTCCAAGTTTAGAATTAAAACAATATTACGAATTAAATGATTGGTATATTGAAACTGTTCATAATTTTTGGTCAGAAATTACATTTTTATGGTTAGATTCAACAATAAAACAAATTTATGAAACGAATTCAATTGAAGTTGATCAAACACCTCCTTTATATATTGATTTGAAATGTAATACAACATATGATGGGTTAATTAAAAGATGGAATGAAGCTAAGCATAAAAATCCAAAAACTATATCATTATTAACAATTTATATTCAATCTTATTATACAGACATTATCAAAATGCTAGCATTAGATCTATTAGCAGTTTTGTTTAATTTAGGTCAAGCTTTTTTATTACAACAATTTATATTATATTTTGGTAATGAAGAACAAAAACCAGCTATTGTTGGATTTTCAATAGCTACTGGTATATTTTTATGCGCTACTTGTAGGTTTACATCAATTTATAGATTTGCAGAAATTCATTTTAGAATAAGAACTAGAGTTTATTCATCATTAGGAACTTTTGTTTATCAAAAGGCATTGGTTCTTTCAGCAGAGGCTAGAAAATATAAAAACACTGGTGAAATTATAAATAATTTAGCCGTTGATGTTCAAAAATTAGCAATGTTAGGAATGTATGTTTTTGTTTTTAATTTACCAATAAGACTTACAATAAGTTTATTAGCATTATATAAATTATTGGGAGTATCTGCATTTTTTGGATTTTTAACTGCTGTTATAATGGTACCTTTAAGTTCAAAAGTTTCAACATCAATTTCAAAATTAGTTAAACAAAATATGAAAATTAGAGATGAAAGAACTAAATTAACTTCAGAAATTTTACAATCTATTAAAAGTATAAAATTATATGCTTGGGAAAAACCAATGTTAAAAAGATTATTTAAAATTAGAAATGATAGAGAATTAGTAATGGCTAAAAAAATTGGTCATTTTAATGCATTTTCAATGTTTTTATGGAATACAATTCCGTTTGCTATAACAATAACATGTTTGATTAGTTTTGTTAAATTGAGTAAAACGGTTTTAGTTCCTTCACTTATTTTCCCAGCATTATCATTATTTGATATGTTAACTGAACCAATTTTACAACTCCCTGATGCTTTAGTTGCAATGATTGAAGCAAGAATTTCTTTTAAAAGATTGACTGATTATTTTTTGATGGAAGAAAATAATTCAAAAGTAATTCACAGAAGTGATAAATCAAATGATGCTGTTGTTATCAAAGATGCTACTTTTAATTGGGACAAAGAAACAATTGCATTACATGATATCAATATTAAAGCCGAAAGAAATCAATTAACTTGCATCGTTGGTAAAGTAGCATCAGGTAAAACTGCATTAATCAAATCAATTCTTGGTGATATCCCAATGACGAAAGGTTCTGTTGAAGTCAATGGATCAATAGCATATTGTGCTCAACAACCATGGATTCAAAATGCAACAGTTAAAGAAAATATATTGTTTGGTCATAAATTTGATGAAAAGTTTTATATTAAAGTTATAAAAAGTTGTCAATTATCACCAGACTTAAAAATTTTACCAGATGGTGACGAGACAGTAGTTGGTGAAAAAGGTATATCTTTAAGTGGAGGACAAAAGGCTAGGATTTCATTGGCTAGAGCTGTTTATTCACAAGCTGATATTTATTTATTAGATGATGTTTTATCTGCTGTTGATGCTCATGTTGGAAAGAAGATTATTAAAGAAGTCTTGAGTTCAAAAGGTATGCTTGGTAATAAAACTACTATTTTAGCAACTAATGCCATAAATGTATTAAGAAATTCTAATGAAATTGTTTTACTACAAGATGGTAAGATTAGTGAAAGAGGAAATTTTGCTGAAGTCATGTCAATTGATGGAAATTTATCAAAACTAATCAACGAACATAGTCACGATTATGATGATGATGAGAAAGAAGGAGAAGAAGAAGAAGAAGAAGAGGACGAACAAGAACAAGAACAAGTAGATCAAGAAGAAAATGCTAAAGAAGTTGAAATAATTCGTAAAACTGGCCATAGTAAGGAAACAACAGCAAAAGGAAGTATCAAATTAAGTGTTTATATAGAATATTTCAAAGCATGTAATTTCCCAATGATTTTCATTTATGTTTTGATATATGCAGGTAATGTGACTTTTAATATTGGTGCAAATTATGTATTGAAATATTGGTCAGAAATTAATTTAGAAAAAGGATATAATTTTGATATTACATTTTATATTTCAATTTATGCTATTGCTGGTATTATTGCTGCTGCATGTATGTTAATAGCTGCTTTAATAATGTGGAGTTATTGTGTATTAAGAGGGTCAAAATATTTTCATGATAAAATGGCAAATGCAGTATTAAGAGCTCCAATGCAATTTTTTGAAACTACTCCAATTGGAAGAATTTTGAATAGATTTTCTGATGATATGAATGTGATTGATCAACAATTAATTTGGTCAATTCTAGCAGTTGTTGATTATGGATTATTAGCAATTGGAGTTTTGTCAGTGGTTGTTTATAATTTACCTATTATGATTGTTGTTATTATTGTTTTATTTTTTGTTTTTAATAGAGTAAGAAAATTTTATATTCCATCAGCAAGAGAGTTAAAAAGATTAGTTAGTATTTGCAGAAGTCCATTATTTTCACATTTATCAGAATCAATAAATGGAATTGATACAATAATTGCTTTTGGTCAAGATAATAGATTTAGAAAAGTTAATAATATCAATACTGATAAATTTATTAGAGCTCAATATACTTTATTATGTTGTAATCGTTGGTTATCAATTAGATTACAAACTATTTCAGCAATTATAGTTTATGCATCCGCATTACTTATATTATCAACATTAGGTACAAAACATCAAATTAGTTCAGGTTTAGTTGGGTTCATTATGGTTAATGCAATGAGTATATCAAATGCATTAAGTATGATAATGAGAGGTTGGGCTGATATAGAAACAAAATCCATATCAGTTGAAAGAGTTTTGGAATATTGCAATTTAAAACCTGAAGCTCCAGAAATTATACCTACAAATAGACCACCAACAAATTGGCCATCCCAGGGTTTAATTGAATTTAAAGATTATTCAACAAAATATAGAGAAAATTTAGATAATGTTTTAAAAAATATAAATTTCTCAATTAAATCAAAAGAAAAAATTGGAGTTGTTGGTAGAACAGGAGCTGGTAAATCAAGTTTAACATTAGCATTATTTAGAATTATAGAATCAACAAATGGTTGTATAATAATGGATTCCATAAAAGCAAATGAAATTGGACTTTATGATTTACGTAATAATTTAAATATTATACCACAAGATTCAAATTGTCTTGAAGGAACAATTCGAGAAAATTTAGATCCATTAAATGAACATTCAGATGAAGAACTTTGGGAAGTTTTAAAATTATCACAATTAAAAGAATTTGTTTCTAATTTAACAACTAAAACAAATGAAATTGAAAATTCTGGATTAAATGCAATGATTTATGAAAGTGGATCAAATTTATCAAGTGGTCAAAAACAATTGTTATCATTATCAAGAGCATTATTGAAAAAGACTCAAATTTTAGTTTTGGATGAAGCAACAAGTTCAATAGATACAACAACAGATTCATTAATTCAAAAAACTATTAGAAAAGAATTTAATGATAAAACTATTATTACTATTGCTCATAGATTAAATACAATTTTAGATAGTGATAAAATTTTAGTACTTGATCAAGGAAAAGTTATGGAATTCGATTCACCAAAAAATTTATTGAATGATGAAAAATCCATGTTTTATTCATTATGTTTAGAAGGTGGTATTATCAAGAAATAATTCATTTTTAAAGTTTAATTAGACATTTGCAAATTGTTTCATATTTTTTTTATTTTAAAATTTCATTAACATTCGCTATTTGTTATGAAAGCATGTTTCAAACAAAAATCATTATTTATCTATTTATTTATTTATTTATTTATTTATTTTTTAGTATTCATTTATTATTACTTATATTTTTATTATTTCATTAAAGGATTTTGAAACTTATAGAATTTAAAATTAGGTTTGGGTATTTGGGAAATTTGGGTTTATTTTTATAAATAAAACATGTATAGATTTTAATTTAATATAACGTAAAAAAATTATTACGCATACTTTTATCAATATTGGTATATTGCATATATTAGTGTTAAAAATATTGCATATATTAGTGGGAGTTTAAGTTGAGACTTCGTTTATTAATAAGTTACATCATTTGAGGAAGGTGCTAATAATATACTCAGAAATTCAAAACCCAAACTAGATATTTACCTTTACTTATGGTAGAAAAATTCTAAGTTTCCTTTACCTAGCAGAATTTTTGCTATTTCTTCAACTTCAACATGTTGCTTTTTTCTATTTTGTTTAGCTTTTATAGTTTATTTTATATTTCTTATACTTTATATTCGGTATAGTCTTAAATATTTTCAACATTATATTAAATACATTCATTTTTTTACAAATTGTCATGTTCAAAATGAGTACAGAAGTTAGTTACATGAAAGCCAAGTAATTATCAATGCTAGTAATTTATTAAAGTATGAGATATTCATATTACCTAAGCTATATATTCATAATTAGAACCATCTCTTTTCAAATATTCTTTTTCAATTAAATCATCAATAACTTTTTTAATATCAATAATTTTAGCTTCAAAATTAACACATTGTAATAATACTTCATTTAATAAATTTGTATTAGTTATAGTTTTTCTTGATTTCATAATTCTAACAATTGCAGCTTGTAAAAATTGTTTTCTACTTTCATTAATTTCATTTTTAACTTCATCTTCTTCTTCAATTTGTTGATTTGTTGTTGTTTTAACAGCTGATATAAAATTAACTTTTAATTTTTTGGATTTGTATTCTTCTACTATTGTCAATAAATTATTTTCTTCTATTATTAGTTTATATTTAATTAATGCTGAAAGATGAGATTGGAATATTGATTTTTCACATCCAACAATTTCATGAAGTTCATCGATTGTATATGAATCTTTGGAATTGAATGCTAATAAAATCATTAATTGAATATTTGTTACTTGAAAGATAAAAGCTGGTTTACCTTTTTTAGATAAATTTGCTTTAATTTCTGCTCTACCATGATTAAACAAAAATTTTAATTGTCTACCATGATGTTGTGCAGAATAAACTTCTTTTAATTTTGTTATTGTATCTGATAATTCATTTGGAATATTTAAATTATAAAGCTTGTTATAAGTAAATGGCCAACTTGCTTGTGCTAAAATCATGGGTGTAAATTCTTTAACTGTTACATCGTCACCTAATTTTGATTTTACTTTCAATTTTAAATCTTCTGACGCTTTCATATCAGAAAACATTTTTGTCATTTTAGAAGTATATTCAATGGAATTTTCTTCTTGTAATTTATGTATGACACTTTCTTCTAATTCTTCAGATTTAAAATTTCCATGAATTAATCTTTTTGCTAATAATCTTCTATAATTTTCTTCAAATGTATCTTTATCATTTATAAATTTGAATATAATCATTAAATTATCAGAATTCATATCAATTATATCTGAATCTTTTGAAGTTGATTTTAAAAATCCATCTGCATATCTTGCTAACAATTCAGGAGTTTTGCATGATGATCTTGGTTTTGGAATTGCAATACAATTGTTATTTACAAAATAACGACATGCATTATCTAAGGATCTAATGAACTTTGTATCTTTATTAAATGCTTTTATAACAACATCATTAAATTGATTATAAATTGAAATCAATTTATTAATATAGATCTTTGGTTCAATTGTTTTCTTTTTACCATCTTTTATATCTTGTTCTGATTGTTTTTGAATTTCTTCTATTACCGAATTTGCTTCTCTTTTAATATATTCTTCCAAAGCATTTGCCAAAGGATCTAAAGTTTTTGGAACTCTTGATAATAATTTATACATTCTTTGGATATGGTCAATTTGATTTTGTTGTAATAGTATCAAAAATTGATCATACATTTCATAAGCATGATTTTCAATCATTGATTTATTTAAAATATTAATAAAAGCCTTTTTGGAATGATCTTCTAAAAAAGTATTTGATCTTGAAATTTCTTCAGCAATTCTTGTTTCACATTTTTTCATATAATCAACTACATTATGATTTGCTAAATATTCTGAACTTTCTTTTAAATAATATGCCATAGTTGAATCAAGAAATGGTTTTTCAAATGAATTTACATATATGATTAAATTTGGTTTTTTCAAATCTTGTATATCAATACTTAAAAATACTAATGATTTTATAGCAGTTGAGATTAAATTTGTATCAACTATTAAATGATTTCTTTGTTTTTCAATTAATTCTAAAATTTGATTAATTAATATTTCATTATTTGGTTGAAACATTTCATTTCTCCATTTAATTAACGATAAAGTATTAACATCAAACACATCTTTTCTACCATCTGATCTTTCCTTCTGTACCCAATATCTATTCATATAATCAAAAACATTATTCATATAAACTGCTCCTATTGTAAATCTGGTCCATTTTCTAACATAAAATTCTAAAAATGATTCATTTGGTTGTTTTTTTAAATTTTTAATAAATTGAATTAAATATAATTCTAACTTTGAATAAATTTCTGCTCCTGCTAACGAATAAGAATTATTTTCAGTATTATTTGAAATAGATTGAGGAGTTGAACCACGTCTTGATTTATTCACACAATAATTATAAACTGCTGTATAACAATTCATGTACATAGTCGACGTTACTCCTTGATCATTTTGTGCCCCTAATATGAATTCTAAACCTGGTTGAATAAAAGTCCAAGTAGCATTTAAATCAGTAAATGCAGGTAATGTTGAGGACATTGAGTAGGTTGTATTGATTGGTTGTGGTTGTATTACTTATTGAATAATAAAAGGAAAGTAAAAATACAAAATTGGTTGTGAACTATTTTGATCTTTTTTTTTATTATTATTTTAATTATTATTATTATTTTTACTATTGTATCAAATAAGTTCAGAAACAATAATAGCACTAATGTTAATAACCAAAACAATATTCTCAATTAAAAGAAACCAAATCTGACTATTCATTAAATGATTTGCTTAGGAAATAAAATTTTGGAATGAGTGGTCATCAATTTTTATCATTTGTGGTTTTAATTTTATTTATGCTGAAGGATCAACTCAAAGATAGAATTCAAGCTCATTGCAAAAATTCGTAAAACTTGTAACTCAACATCATAAAAAAGGTTACAACTAGATTGAAAGCGGACACTTTTTCAAAACTCTAAGATGGCAAGCTCATTAATTATGTGTGGAGATAAAGATTACATAAAACAAGATTTTTACTGCTTTTTAAAGGAAAGGAAACTTTTAGTGGTGAATAATATTTAATTGGCTAAATTACTGATGAATTGCTGCATTGGTTGTAACTAGTCGCTCAAATTCAATGCAGGGATTAAAAAGTGGGTATCAAGAATATCTGAGGAAGCTGATAGTATTATCATTTTTGAGTTTTGAGATGAAACATTTTGTATAGCTTTCATATCAGAAACAAATCCTTATTTGGTTAAAGCTATATAATGCAGGCGGATCTCAAGAAAAATTTTTGTTACATCGTTGATATATTTAAACTTCACGGTTTTTGGTTTGGAGGATACAAAATCTTCATTTGAAGACTTGTACGAAAGCGAGGTTTCCAAACAAACAGAATAAAAGTCCAAACCAATTTGATTAAAAGTAGGTCAGAGTCATACAGTATCTCAGAAATCAAATGAATCAAATTATTATCGAAATTGTTATAAAAATTCATGGACTATGAAAAAATTAGATGAGAAAAACCAAGGCAATAACTGTAGAAACCACTCATAAATTGAGTTCAGAAACTATAATCCGTTGATGAAAGAAAGAAACACGTTAGATCATCCATGGACTATAGTTAGAAAATTCAAACATAATTTTAATAATAGTTTTAAGGTATATTCTGTAGTCTTCATTGTATGTATTACACCTATATGTTAGTGAATTATATTATCTCTCATTCAAAATGAACTATTCGGAACACAGTGCAATCTCAAATACTTCTGCTTAAGTCTTGATTCAATTACGATATTAAACAAAGGTAAATAAAATAGCATTATTCCTGAAAAAAGAGGGGAAGATAAGCGTATGCTACCAAACTAGAATAAATAATATGGAGTAGTGAAGATTTTTTAAAAATAATCACCAATATAAATATATTGAATTGTTACAATAAAACAACTCTATATTTGAAAGTTTAAAGACCCTTGAGCTCAAATGAGTTTTAGTGCATGCAATTCTTGGTCAAAGTTACCCTATTTTAAGTACTTTAAAATCTGTATAATATTTTGCGCTCAAAATACATTATTATTTATTTTTGCAGCTAAAGATATACATAACAAAGATTTTGCCATTTATATATATACAAATCAAATTATTTTCTCATTAATTTTAGCTACTTTTTCTTCTTCAATTGATCACCAAGAATCTACTTTATCCATACAAATACTACTTTCACCCATACAAATGTAGAGCTATTTATTTATTTAACTACTAACTTCAAAATTTTAGTTTCATTATCAATTGAGAATTATTTGTGAGACATTTCACCCACATGAGTATGGGAATTACCTGAGTTGACAACCTGAGACGTTTTTTCAACCCAACGGACAAATAAATGATATTATTAAACTTGGAGACCAACCTTTGGAGACAAACTTGACTAACTGACTGGACTATGATTTAGATTAGACACTAGAGTGAAGCAAGTGAAGCAAGTGAGATTTTTGGTGTTTTGGATAATTGATTGACAACCCTTTTTGACTTTGGTACTTGAGATATATGACTATGAGTGGGCAGGTTGTTTGGTAGAGATAGATAGTTGTTTTTAGTTCAACTTTTGATTTAGATCATTTCATACTATTTTTTTAAATTTAATACAACAATGAAGACTAAAGATAGCAGAAAAATCTAAAGAAGGAACAAGTACTAGTTTGACTTGATATTAGGAAACAATGTTAAAAAAAAATCACCAGTGTTTAAAAACGGGACAAAAGTATCCTGTAAATATATTGCTTAAAACTTGAGGGCTTAGAGGTTTATTACATAAACATACAAATTTGTTTCAAAATTTGCTACCAAATAGATTCAGAAAATGGTCACATATAACGCGCACTGAAACATACAATACTCAATTTAGTTTATGCGTAAATGATCCAAGAATATATTCTGGAGAATCAATATAAGTTAAGTTTAGATTTCTTGACAACCATTTCAATTTACTTCGGGATTTGAAGTTATAATCTATTTATTATTCAAATCAGCTGTTGTTAAATTGCTCTATCCATTACAATTATTAAGATTCCATGAAGACTCACTTAATTACTATCCCCAAAAAAAAAACTGAACAGATTAATTGGGTTAAACCAATTAATAATTACTTATTGTCAATCTATGGAAACACATCAACATATCAAAATGATTTGACTTCATTTGATAAGCTAAGAGAAGATATCAGAGGAGTAAACGCCGATAATACTGGATTAAAATTATATTTTAAATATTATAGTCAATTAGAGATTTTAGATATGAAGATTCAATTTTCATCATTAAATAAATCCAAAAGAATTGAATTTGTATGGCATGATGCTTTCCAAAATGATATTATACATTCACAAAACTCCTTAGCTTTTGAAAAAGCAAATATATTATTCAATATTGCTTCCTTATTAACAAAATATTCAAACAATAAATATATTGAACTGCTGGCCAACAATGATAAAACATTAATTGCTGAACTGATTAATGTATTGAAGCAAGCAGCTGGTATATATGATTTCATAAATGAAAACTTTTTACATGCTCCAAGTGATGATTTAAGTCAATCAACTATTAAATTCTTGAGTGCTTTATGTTTAGCTCAATGTCAAGAAATTTTTACTTTAAATACTATAAATAATGATTTAAATCAACTGAAAAATTCATTGATATCTAAATTATGTAAATCAACAAGTATATTATATGAAGAATGTTATCAAATGATTAGTAATGAGGAAAAAGAAGATTATAAAATAGTTGATGATTTTGAAAAGGATGAATTTTTGAATCAACCAGATCAAGAGGAAGAAGAAGAAGAAAAAAAATCAAAATTCGTTACTGCACAACTAGATTCTTCATGGATTTCAATATTGTATTTCAAATTTCAATTTTATAAATCATTAGCATTTTATTTTAATGCTTTACAATTAGAAACAAATAGAAAATATGGTGAATCGATTGGATTCTTAAATGAATCAAAATTAATTTTGGATGATATTAGTTCTTCTACTATAAAAGCCATATCTAAAAATTCAGGCACTGTTTATGAGATTTTGGACAATTTTAAATATCAAAAAGATGTGGTCAATATAAAAATTAATGATTTAATGAAAGATAATGATTTAATATATCATGATTTAATTTTGAAAAATGCAAATTTAAATCAATTATCACCCATGAAAATAGCTAAAGCCATTCCGTTAAATGAAATGGAAACTTTCAAACAAATTAGTGAACAAGGTTATAGTAATTTCTTGAATAACGTTATTCCTATCAATATTCATGAATTATCCAGTTATTACTCAGAAGAAAAATCTCAATTATTAAGAGGTGAAATTGACTATTTCGAAAGCTCGAATGAAGAGAGTAAATCATTTTTAGATTCATTGAATTTACCTCAAACATTTGATCAAATCAAACAATCTTTATTACAAGACAATGACGAGATACCATTTGAAGTTACAAATAAAATTGATGAGATTTCGCTCAAAAATAATGAACTTAAAGAACTTGAATTATCAAATTTCAATATGAAAAAACAAATTAGAGACCAAATTTCTCAAAACCCACAACTAAATCATATAAATAAAGTTTTATATGATGCAACAAAATCAGATGAAAAATTAATGCAATTAATAGATAGAGGGCTTTATGAAATATTATCAAAAGGTCCACAATCAAACGAAGTTAAAAATTTATTTAAACCAGATCAAACTTTAGAAAATCCAATTCAAGAAATTTCATTATTAGATAAAGATGATTCACAAGAAAAACAAATCAAAATAATTGAAAATTTTTTACAAGACTTATCTAAAATAAATTTAACAAAACATCAAACAATTGATAAATTAAAAAAAATGATTCATTCAGATGATATATCAGATGTACTTATATTAAATTCAAGACAAAAATCAAATAATGAAATAAAAACAATTATATTCCCACAAGAATTAAATAAATTTAAACCATATACTGAAAAATTAGATTCATTGATTAGTATGTCTAAAATTATTTTAAAAGATTTAAAAGAACAGTGGGAGATATTATTGAAAGATCCAGAGATTAAAAACTTACAAAAAGTAACAACTTCCAAAAATAAAAAAATAATTGAAAATACTCAAAAGATTAATCAATTTTATGAAAATTGGAAGCAATATCATAATGGATTGAAAAAAGGTAACACATTTTACAAAAATTTACAAAATCATATAACTCAACAATTAAATCAAAATTCAACTCAATTGTATCAACAACCACCATTACCACAAAAGCAACCTTCGCAACAATCTTATCAAAGACCACCATTACCACCACTAAAGCAGTCGATGACTAACAGTAGTCATTGGTCACAAGATTCAACTAGATCTTCAACTCCAAATAATTCAAGTTTAATTTATGATCAACCATCAACTTATGATCCTGATATGTATGATTTTTTTTCAAAAAAATCAGGAAAATAAAATTTATAGTTTAATTGAATGTGAAATCTTTCGTTGGTATAATATATTAGTCCTTATATCAAAACTTTTGTAGTTATTCTATTAAATTTCGATTAGACCAGTAGCTAAAATATTTGGCCGATTATCGGATTTAAAATTACGGTTTCACATTTTCACACATTTTTAATTCAAAGATGCCAGTAAAGCTAAACCGCATGTAATTTAACACAAAAGATGTGAATTTTATTGGGGTAGATTGTAATAATTTTGGGGTAACTTTAGGACTATAAAACATAAAAACAACAAGGAGTCATGTTTCAATCTAGGCTACAATTTGCACATTTTGATCAGTCTCATAAACAATAAAGAAAATATAAGAGAAACGTACAAAAATGTACATTTAATTTTTGAAATTTCACCTATTGGTATCAGCAATAAACGAAATTCTTAAGGGCTTGCCTTAAGGAAGTGTGATTCATTTGCAATAGAAATTTTTAAATTATATTTATTTCTTTTTTGATGTAACAGAAAAAATGAACCCTTTCTAGATTATAGTATTGCACAAGTGAAAAAAATTATGGATTTTTTTTTTTCAATACTCTAATCATTCATGACTTCATTGAATTTTACGAGGAATTTAGAGTTTCATTCCTTTTTTGGTCTCAAGTTCTTTTAGTTGAAGAATGAATTTTAGTTTGATGTAACAATGCCAGTAAACAATTTTTATTATTAAAGACTTGCTTAATCTAAAAATATATTCCTATCCCTAAAACACAGCATTAATACGTTTCAAATTTATAAATTACATATACAACCGGATCTGAAGCTCAAAAAAAGTCAGAACTATTGAATTCTGTCAAAAGTAGTAGCAATTTTTAATTCAGGACTTACAAAACTAAGTACGATAAAAAAAAGAAATTAATCAGGGAGATCTACAATACAATACGCAATACAAAAAGAAAGATTCGATCTCGTAAATTACAAATTTACGAACTAGAAAAAATGGATGTAACCTTGTCTAACTTTAATTAAGGTTTAAAAAATTCTAAAACTTTTTTACTCCATTTATGATTAAATTTCTTTTATTTCTAGTCAAAAAAGCTTAAATTTTCAAACTACCCTTTAATTATGTAACATTTGAGTTGTGATTTACCAATCAATTCAAACATCTATTGAAATATGGGGCTCACCTTTATGAAACACGTTTGCCATTTACTTACTTATTTACAATGAATGAATTCAATATAAATTAAGGGAAATATCCATCAATTTTCCCAAAGCGTTTATTGTTTTGCTCTCAAAAATCATCCAAGAACTTTTTCAAATAAATTCACAACCCTATAAAAACATTAACATGCAATTAGACTATTTAACTACTTTAGGTTTATTAACAACTATTGTCAATGGTTTAACATTACCAAAATTTTCAATTCCATCAATTCCAATTCCAACTAAAATTATACCAGTTTCTATTCCAACTGCTATTCCAACTGCTATTCCAACTGCTATTCCAATCCCAGTTATAGGCGGTGCTTCAATCCCTTCAAATATTCCAATCCCTATAATTGGTGGTGCTTCAATTCCAACAAATTTTCCAGTTATTCAATTACCTAGTTTCATTCCACAAATTCCAGGTTTACCAACTTTAGAAGATTTAAAAAAATTAAGTAAAGAACAATTACAAAAAGAATTACAAGCTGGTGGTATATTAGCTTTTGATATTTTAAATTCTTTAGGTTTTGATGCACAAGCTTTAATTCAAGGTGGATTAAATGGTGGAAGTATTCAAGTTGGTGCTAATGGTAATGTTGGACCAATTAGTGGTTCAATTGGTGGTGGTGCTTCAATTTCAACAAGTGATGATAATGAAAATTTAATTGAAAGAAATTTAGTTGGTGGATCTTTTACTTATGCTACTGCTATTGCTTTTTCAATTTTACAAAAATATGGATTCTCCTTTACTGGATTTGCTCAAGGTTCAGTTAATTAATTTTTCAATTTTTTCTTAGTCAGATGATCCAGGTTTCAAGATCAATTCACGTTTGATTTTATGTTTAGTATTTCAATTGTTTCCTTAGTTTAATAAATATTTCATTAAAGTTGAATATCGTTTGTATAAACTAGATAAATATTTAAAAACGTATAATGCAATGTACAAATAAATAAAGCAAAGTAGGGTTATGAACTTTTTCTTGGAATTTTTACCTTCGTAAATTAATTACGAGATCAATTTTTTCCATTTAATAAATTTTACAAACTTTTAGATTACGAAAAGTTTCATTACTGTTTTTATATCGTTAATGTATTTGTTTTTGTTCCAACAAGTTCTAATAAAACTGACATGAAATATGAGTCTCTCTATAGTCGATTAATTGATCACAGTTTTTGGAATATTATCAATTTTAATAGGATCAAAACCTGTTAGAAAAATCTGCTTAACTATTCTATTTTTCTTATCAGTTTGATAATAATTTATTATATTTAAAACAAATCACAAATTTTCAAATTACATCTGAGATAATTTTGATATTATATCATAAAAGTGAAGTGCTCTTAATTTTTATTTTCTCATGAAATTGCACATTCTTATATAACTTTTATTTTACGCACTTATCCCGCTCTTAAATATTGATGTAAAGATGTCAATAAAAAATCTTTTGCAACCAGAACCTTGTCATTGGAAAATATAGTACATTTGTGGAACATTGATCTCAGATAGTCCTAATCTAGACAAAATTATAGTCAGAGTGACGCTAGAGCTTTTAAACTCAAGGATCACTATAATTAATCCTGGTATTTATTGCTAAAAATATAAGTAAACAAGATATATGTACATTCTAAATCAATGCGATAACGAGTGCAATTTAGATTAAACTAGATTAGTATGTTGTAAACTTGAGGATTTAATTTTTTATACTTATCATTTAAAACTTCTAGCCAGCCTTATAGTTTAAATAAATTTTTTTATGATGATTTTAAATGATCAAATCATGAATGAATACAAAAGGTTGCCAATTGGTCTCGTTCTGAGGTTATGTCACTCATGTAAAAAATCAAAAATAGATGGTTTTGTAGTTAATCTTGTTGTATGTAATTTTTTAAATAGTAGTTTGATTAATATGTATATAAAAAATAGAGGAATAGGAAAAGGAATATATTTGATGGAATGTAATTCATGGGACTTTTTAAGTTACTAAGGAATATACAAAATTGTTACCTTTTACAAGTGCAAAACAGACCTTTCTATTAATAATTTACTGTATTTTATTTCTATTTAGAACAATGTTTAATGTTCATTTAACTTGTCAATTATAATGAATAAAACTATAATTTTGATTAATTGAGAAGGAAAGAACTTTTCGAGCTAATCACCTGCATGTGTGTCTATTCAGTCTAAACTGTAAAAATAAATTTCAACTTAATATTCAAATCAGACATATCAATTTGAAACTAGACAAAAAGCTATTTTTATATGTCATGATAGTAATAACTTAAACTGAAAGCAAATGTTTTTGAATAGAATGTAAAATAATCAGCTCATTTTTACGCATGAAAAATACTTAAAAATTTCTATACTTTTAATAAATAGTAAGTTTATATTGTTTGAAACTTGTACCTTAAAATAAACGTTATTTCATTTAACAGCCAAATAATAAAGGAATGAATTTTCAGACTATTGTATTTTTATCTACAGTGATTCTAATTAGGAGAATTTTCAAAGTTGATACTCTTTACTCATGCATGGTGTGAATAATCTCAACAATTTTTTCAATAATTGTTACAATAAAATATTTAAATGTTATCGGATTTAAATTAAAATTTCACATCTAGATCTACAATTTAAGATTGCATACATTAAAATCTGTAGATCGAATTGTTTATTGTTAAACGAAAAAAAGGTATCAAGATCAAACGTCAATGTAATTCATATATGAAGTGAAATATTAGGTTGATTGATATGATTGATTCTAAATCAAAGGTGTGCTCAAAATTTTTTTTGTATCCTTCTGTTCCATGTTCAAACGATAGCAAAACTATCAATTAATTTCTTTTTATTACAAAAAAAAAAAAAAAAGCAATAAAAAACCAATATTAGTAGAATCAATTTCACATTCCATGCATTTCTTTTCTCTTTAATAGATTACTGTATCTACATTTGAAATCGAAAAAAAAAGGTATTAAGCTAAACTTGAGACTGACAGGTTAAAAAATGTGAAAAGTGATTCAGTTGTATCTCAAGTAAAAGTTTTAACTGCATTAAATTGTAAGAGATGGAGTCCCAAATTATTCAAAAGATAAAAAATTAACAGATATCTAATTATTTATTTTGATTTTGTATTATTTCATTATTACAATAGACGGATTTATGGTATGATTATATTAGTGTCTTAAATTAGGTCGATAGTGTTGAATCTGGGGTCTATTCTTGTGTTGTGTTGTGTTAATACAATAACGAGAGAAACAATAAATTTAAAAAATTTATGCAGTTTCGGGTATTTGTGGAATATATTTAATTCTGGAATCAATTCTTTCAATTCTTTAGTAAATCTAGAATTAAACTTAAACAAGTTAAAAGAGGAAAGATGTATAAATTCTTTTTATACTTACCTTGAATTATTTGAATTATTTGAATTAAGAATTTATGATTAATTGTTAACTTATATTTAAAGAAAATATATATTCAATAAAACTTTCCTTAAATTTAAATTAGATATTTTAATACACACACACATAAAATATATTTTTAATATATATAAATTTTAGATTTGAATAATCTTTAATTCCATAATAATTGATAATTATTCAATTCAATTTGATTCTTAATTTCATCTTATCATGATCTATTAAAAGTCATTAAATCGTTCATAATCAATTTAATAATAGATCAAAAATTAAATCAATATTTCAAAAAGAGAAACTACGAGTTTCATTTAATTTTTTACAAAAGTATAATATTTTAGCAACCAAATTATTCAATTTTCTACTTTTGAATCAATATTATAACCTATAAGATTTACAAGACATAGTACTAATTTCATTTTAATATTATCATTTAAATAATAAAATAAGTCAACTTTCTAAATTGTTATTGTAAGAAATATTCTATATATTTGTTTCATGTTTGCGGAAAAATACCAAACTCATAATACATTAAGATCAAATAATATAACAACTACAACTACAACCAAAATTCCTAATTCTACATCTAATGACTCATCAAATATACAAAATAACGATAGTAATATAACATCTTCAACTGCATCCACTACACCCATTTCATCAACAACTAATTCCAAAACCAATAAAGTTTCATCTTTTGCAACCACTTTTTATCCAATGATGCAAAAACTGCCGTCACCTTCTTCATCAACATCATCATTACCAAAAATAGATACAACAAACTTATCAATGTTCAATATAGATAACTCAGATAATAAATTGGGAAACCTACAGCCAAAATCATCACCTCCAGCCAAAAATTCAACTTATTTGTCTACAAATTCAAAAAAATCTTCTGTAAATAATAATGACAATACTCGAAATAATCAAGTATTAAATTCAGACAATAAAATATGTCAATGGTATTGTTGTTCATGTGGTCAATCATATGGTTCAGTATTATATAAGGAAGGTGAGAATAATCAAGAAACTTCTTTAAATCAAAATCAAATACCTAATCAAACAAATTATAAACCACAAGATCTTCAAAATTCATCATTCAGTAATAGCAATAACAATAAGAATTATATTTTTGATAATTTGAAATATTATAGTAATGTTGTATATAAGGATCATCAAAATTTTATAAATTCACCCACTAATAAATCAGTCAACAACAACAACAACAACAACAACAATAATAATAATAGCTATTTTGAATATAATCCATCATCGTCAAAAGAACTACAGAAATCACCAAATACCAGAAAAAGGGAAAGAGAAGAAGAAGAAGAATCACGGGAAACTTCAAATCAAGAAAATCGACTGCAAAAATTAAAACCTGTGTTTAGTCCCAATTCTATATCAACTCCAATATTATCTCCATTAAATATAAATTTAGAATTACAATCAAACAACAATAATATAATTGAATATAAGGAAAAAGTTATATTAAATATTCCAACAAGATTTATATGTCACAGATGTGATCATATGATGTGTCCTTATTGTTTGAAATTAAGGTTAAAAGATATATAAAATAAAATTTATAGCTTCATTTTTAATTCTACGATATTTGCATTAGTCTAATAATGTTTTATTTTCTATTTATTGATTTTCTATTCAACCATTTTGATTTATTTTTCAATATTTTATTCTCTGATTTCGGTACTACTATATTTTTAGTATTAAACGTTTGAGTCTTGACGTAAACTGGACCCTTTTTTATACTTTGTTTATTTGATTGTTTTAATTTTTTCAATCTTAATTCAATTTGTGCTTTTCTAAGCTTTTCATTTTCTATTATTGAAAAATCATCTTCTTTTAAATGTTTTGGAGTAGTAGTTGTTGTTGTTGATGGTAGTGATATTGATATATTATCTGGTAAAAATTCAGGTAATTTTTCTGGTTTTTGTAAAATATTTTTAGATTTTTCTAATTCTTTTGCTTCTAGTTCCCTTTTAGCTTTCTTCTGTTGTATATTTCTTTCATTTTGTAGTTTTCTTTGTTCTTTAATTTGTCTTTGTTTAGCAATTTCTTGTTGTTTTAATTCATTTTGTTGAGCTTGTAGTTGATTTTTAGCAGTTGATGTACTTTCTTCTTCAGGTGCTTCATCTGAGTCTGAATCTAAATCTACTTCTGATTCTTCAACATCTCCTAACTTTGAATCTTCTTCATTACTATCTTGTTCTACTTCTTCATTTAGGTCATCTCCATCTTCATCAAATGTGATTTTTTTATTTTTTGGTTTTATTGGTTGATCATCATATCCTAGTATATTGTCTTGTGATACTTCGTCAGGATTATTTAAATTACTTGTTTCATGTATCGGGTGTGAGTTATTATGTAGTCTACTTCTTGTTAATGCCATGTTTTTAGTGTAGTTTGCAAGTTATTAAGCAGGTACTAAAAGAAAATCTCATCTTGTGTTTTAAATTTAATTGTAAGATCTTTTGTGGTGATCGACCTAAATTTAGGTCGACTCATTTTGTAGTTCTATCACAAGACAATTAGGTGGTATTTCATATAATAAATACGAAAGACATAAAATAACTAAAATATTAGTAATATTTTTACAACCAACTTTAATAACTCAAAATTTTTGCAACCAACTAAATGCTCATAAGCAATGATTCATTATACCTTTATAATCTAACATTGAAACCACCTACCGATTATATATACTCAATCGTTGGAAATTTCATACCAAATACCAAACAACAACAATTAATATTAGTTTCATCAACTTATATATCATTATACATTTCAAATTCAGAAACAGGTAAATTAGAATTACAATTTAATCAAAATTTATTCAGTTGTATCAATGCCGTATCCAAAATATTATACAAAGAACATGATGTACTAGTCGTAACTGGAGATTCGGGGAATTTATCAATTTTAGAGTACGACAACAAGCATAAAAATTCATTTAAATCAATATGCATTTTACCAATGTGTAAAAATGGTTGGAGTAAAGCTTATCCAGGAGAATATTTGGCCGTAGATCAATATAATAGATGCATATTGGTAAGTGCAATGGAAAATAAAAAATTACTTTATAAATTTGATGATAATGAATTATTAAGTTCACCATTAGAACATCAAAATAAAAATATAGTAACTTTACAAACTATAAGTTTATATAATAATTTTGAAAATCCTTTATTTGTATGTTTGGAATTTGATACTGATAAAAATCAAACTTTAATAAATTATTATGAATTTGATAGAAGTTTAAATTATTTAACTAAAAGGAAACATATAATTTTATCAGATGAATTTAATCATTTAATTCCAGTACCCGACCCAATAGGTGGAGTAATAGTTTGTGGTATAAACAAAATCAAATATTTTGGGAAAGATCAAAATGAAATTATTATACCATTATTTACAAGATTAAATCAAAATTCATCCATAATTAATCATGTAATCCACATCCTTAAAAAGAAAAATCTTGGTTTCTTTATACTACTACAAAATGAATTTGGGGATTTGTTAAGACTAACAATCGAGTATGATCATGATACAGAAATTATAAAGGATATAACTGTAACTTATTTTGATACAATACCAGTAAGTATATCACTAAACATTTTCAAAAATGGCTTTTTATTTGCAAATTGTCTTAATTCGGATCAAAAGTTTTATCAATTTGAAAATTTAGGAGATAAATTGAAAGACGATGAATTGATTATAAAAAGTTCTACATTGAAAGGAGATGATAAATTTGTACTAAACTTGAAAAAAGTAGAAAATTTAGAGTTAATTGATACGTTAGAATCATTAAGTCCAATATTTGACTCAAATTTAGTTGATGATAAATTAATCACATTATCAACAAAATCAAAATTAAAAAATCTACAGCATGGAATATCTACTTCAATCCTTGTTGAATCTCCATTACCAATATTACCTACAAAAGTTTTTACATCAAAATTAACAAAAAATTCTCCAAATGATGACTATTTAGTTATAACGTCTACACTTGCATCAAAGACGTTAGTACTTTCAATAGGTGAAGTAATAGAAGATGTTACAGATTCAAAATTTATTTTGGATCAACCAACAATTGCAGTTCAACAAATTGGGTCACAATCTATAGTACAAGTATATCTTAATGGTATAAGACACATTAAAAACAAAAAAATAACTGATTGGTATCCACCAGCTGGTATAACAATTACGAATGCATCTACAAATAATCAACAAATTTTAATAAGTTTATCAAATTCAGAAATTGTATATTTTGAAACTGATTTAGATGATCAATTAATTGAATATCAAGAAAGATTAGAAATTTCATCATCAATTTTAAGTTTATGTATACTGAAAAATGAACATACATCATTTGCAGTAATTGGATGTTCAGATGAAACTATTCAAGTCATATCATTACAACAACATAATTGTTTAACTGTAAAATATTTACAAGCATTATCTTCTAATGCTCAATCTTTAATTATGTCAACCACAAATCAAAATTCATATATTCATATTGGAATGGAAAATGGTGTTTATGTAAGAACTAAAATTGATAAATATAATGGGAAATTATCAGATACAAGAATTAAATATCTTGGTACAAAACCAGTTCAATTACAAGAGATTAAAATAAATGAACAAATAAATGGAGTATCAGCAATTACATCGAAACCTTGGATATGTTATCAACATCAAAATAAATTCAAACTAACTCCTTTATTAAATATTGATATAATAAATGGTACATCTTTTACATCAGAAGAAATTGGAGGAGATGCATTAATAGGTATTAATTCAAAAAATTTAATGATTTATTCATTAGGAGATGAAGATCATCCATTTGATCCAAATCAAGATTTAACTACAACTGAATTAAAATTAAGATATATGCCTAGACAAATTTTGGAATTTGAAAATTTTACACTTGTTAGTGAAGTTGAAAGGGGAATTGAATCTCCATATAAGACTAACTTAACAAAAGATGTTAAAAACAATGGAATTGATGAGGAGCAATTAGAACTGTTTGGCTATAACCGAGGTGACATTTATGCTTCATGTGTACAAGTTATAACAAATGATGAAATTATTCAAACTTTAGAATTTCCAAAAAATACAAAGATCTTAGGAATTACAAAAGTTTTATTTCAAAAATTATATCTTATAATTGCAGTCAATATAGGTGATGAAAATTTAATTTATACTTTCAGATTAGATAAAAGAAATCAATTCCAATATGTACATAAAACTCAATTAAATTATTACCCCACAGTTATAGATTCATTTGAAAATAAATTAATAATTGGATCAGGTTCAAGTATATCATTATATGAATTAGGACAAAAGCAATTACTTCGAAAATCATTAACTAAAATTCCATTTATTTCAAAAATTAATAAATTAATAATTTCAGTAAATCAAAGAATTTTAATATCTGATTTATCTAATTCTTTAATGTTATTAAAATTTGATACTGACCAAAATAAATTTTTACCAATTATGGATGATATAATCAAAAGACAAGTTATATCATTAAAACAATTAGATTATGATACATTTATAGGTAATGATAAATTTGGTAATTTATTTGTATCAAGAATTCAATCAGAAATATCAAATGAAATTGATAAAAACTGGTCTTTATTAAAAAATAAAATTCATAATAACGTTTTAAATTCATGTATTTATAAATTTCAAAATTTATGTGATTTTTATATAGCTGATATTATAACATCTTTCCAAATTGGAAATTTCAATAATGGAGTTGAAAAATCAATAATATATACTGGAATTTCAGGTAAAATAGGAATATTCATCCCATTAATCTTTAAAACTGAAATTGAATTATTTAATAATTTACAAATGGAATTAAGAAAATTAGATAATAATAACGTAATAAAAAAAGATCATTTAAAATTTAGAAGTTATTATAATCCAATAAAAAATATAATAGATGGTGATTTAATTGAAATTTTTAGTAATTTATCAACTAGTGATAAATTAAAAATATCTTCAAATTTAAAAAAATCAATTAATGAAATTGATAAAAAGATATGGGAAATTAGAAATAGATCAAGTTTTTAAATATTCAATAATAAAATCTCAAAATCAAATATTTAAAAATTAAAATTTTTTCAGAACTAATAAAATATACAAATAAATTAATTGAATTAGATTTTTTAGAATTATATTATAAATTTTATCTCATTTTTTATTCAACGTAATGTGTTATGAATCAACTATACCCGTTTTTGATTCAATTTTGATAGTATTGTTATTATTTTTATTTAATTTTTTCTTCAATAATGGACTTTTTTCATGATCTTCTTTTAAATTTCTTTGATTATTATCTTCTTCATCATCATCATCATCAATTTCTTCTCCATTTGAATTTCTCTTTATTGGAGTTTGACCATTTGGTGTACTAAATTGTACAAAATTCCAAAATGCAGGACTTGATTGATTTGGTTGTTGTTGACCACCAGTAGGTACTAAATGATTTGAATTTTTACCATTTTGATTTTGATGTTGTTGAACTTGATTTAAATTTTGTTTTTGATTTGATCCACGTTCTGGTGTATATGCTTCTAATTGAGAAATTTTTTTTGGACTTGTAAAATTCATAACTTCATTAGTTGTTGTATTATTTGAAGATATTGGTATGGAATTTAATGAATCATTTTGATTTGAATTATACAGATGATTCATTGTTGTTATTCCACCATTATCTGGTAATTGATTGTTGTTAGTTATATATGATGAAGTTCTTGAATGACCTAAATTTATTTTAGTATCTTGATTATTTGGTGGTGGTAAATTATATAAGGATTGATTATTTTGCATTTTAGGCATTTTAGAAATTGAATCTCTTTGTTGATGTAATTGTTGTGGTTGTCTTAATGGAGATGCTAAATTACTACTATAACCATTATTTATTGGATATTGTTGATTGGTTTGTTGACCATACATCAACGGCTGTTGCTGTTGTTGGATTTGGGATTGTTGTTGTTGAGTATAGGAATACGAACGACCTGATTGAGGATACATATTTTGTTGTGGTGCATAACCTATTTGATTTTGTACCAAGTTATTATTGTATTGAAGATTTTTAGAATTTGATCTTTGATGATCATAAAATGATTGCTGAGGCGGCGGTTGTATTGCTTGTTGTTGCTGTGATGGTGGTTGTTGTTGATTTGATGGTTGTTGTTGTTGTTGTTGTGGTGGTGGTTGTGAAAGTTGTGAAAGTTGATGTGGTTGATGTGGATGATGGTATTGATTTACAACATCATTCATTTCCATAACTTGAGCTTCAGGTAAATGATTATGAGTTGCTAAATGTAAACTTAATTGACGAGATACAGAAGAACCTCTTCTTGTTTTAGAAATTGTACCATCATTTATTTTAGTTAAAAAATCTTCTTTATAAGATGAACTAATTTGCCATTTCATACCTTTACCAGGTTCATTTGGTCTTCTTGGAACTTTTTCAAATGCTTTATTTAATGATAAATTATGTCTTATTGAATTTTGCCAACCAGTTTTGGAATATTTATAATATGCATAATGACTTGAAATCCAATTATAAATATCTGATAATGACATAACTCCAGAAGGATTTGATAATATAGCTTGAGTTATCATTGTTGCATAACTATAAGGAGGTTTTATATCTTTTGAATCTTCTTTTGATAAATCTTGATCTAAATTAGATTGTAAAGAATTTGCTGAAATCGAACTTGGTGAATGATTTAATTGAGCTTTATTATAAACTTGAAAACTTTTCATTGATCCCCCTGATCCTGATCCTCCATTATTAATCATATTACTACCATTATAATTCAATCTTTTATTTGTTTTTCCACCATGTTCTTCTCTATATTTTGCAACTGCTTTATCCAACATTTTTGGTGCAACTACTGGAGGTGAATCTGGTAATATAAACATCATTTGTGTACCACCAACATCTAATATTGCACCAGAATGTAATCCATTAACTTCCAGAGAATTCATTGAAACTTTTTGACCATCAATTCTGGCACCATTTCTACCTAAAACTTTTAATTCCCAACATCTTAAATCTAAATTATAAGTAATAGTTGCATGTTGTCTACTAACAATTTTTGCTGGACCTAAATCAATATCAATTAATGGACCATTATTTATATTATTGTTATTTGAATTATTATTATTAACTTCAGTATTTCTACCAATAGATATGGCTAATGTTTTAACATAATAAGTCCAATCTTTCCCAGCAATCTTGGCATAAGCTTGTACTTCAGTAGCTAAATTCTTTGAATTTGCATAAGTTTCGGAAACATTTGTTTTTTCATCAGGACATTGTAAAGTTGACATAACAGCATTAATTCTATCTTGTGGATCATTAAATGTATGAAAATCATTTGAATTATCTAGATGATCATTAAGTGTACGTTTTCTTGGAGTTGTAAATGAGGACATATTTTGAAAATTAGGGAATTCAAGTTCTCTCCTGTTGTTGTAAAATTTTATTATAATACGTGATTCGACGTGGGTTGTAAATTTCTTATAGTTTTTAATGATGAATTGAATTGATTATGAAAAAATGAACAAGTATAGCTATACAAATTTTATTGTGTTTTGTTGACTTGTTTAAAAGTTAAATTTTATCTTTAATGAAAAATAAATAAATGATGTTAATGGAAATCAAATATAAAAAATTGATTAGTTTAAAATGCAAATAAAACTTTGACAAATAATAAATAATAGTGTATTAATGATTGATTGATTAATTAATTAATTAATTAATACTCATACAAATGAATCTAATGTATTAATAATTAAATGATAATATAAGATTGTTCTTATTTAATCAATGTTACTAAAGTAATTGAGTAAATTGAAGTGAGTGAGTGTTTACTTTTTTAATTAAAGTTGAAAAAAAAAAAAATAAAAAAAAAAAACAAAAACAAACAAAAAAAAAATCATGATTTGGTAGCGTCTTACTCATTTAGTATAATATTACTATTCTATGTGCCGTTCATTAAAATATATAGAAATCATTTAGTCTAAATTAAATTTATTGGTTAGGGTTTAAATATTAGATGAGTTAAAAGAGTGTATAATCATGAAATCCAATTAATTGTTGTATTATTGAAGTCTAAGTAACGGTTTTTTATTTATGATCCATTCTAGTAAATAGTTGAATTTTCATTTACTATACTAGAAAGTTCAAAGGTCTGCAACATCCAATTCCTAATATTTCAAAATTTGATATAAAAATGGAGAAAAGTATAAGATAAAGTATAAGTCTTTGACCAAATGATTGTATAAATTCAAAATTGTCATTAATTATAAATTTAAAGTTCATCTTATTATTAAGATTCAAATTTTGTTTGCTGGCTCGTAAATTTAAAATATTATTTCTATTTCTTTTGCATTTTGTTAATATACAGGTTTGTGATTATATTAATTATTGACATTTTACAAGTTACAACCCTCGATAAATTGTACTTATTATTACTATTAATTGTTAAATCAAAAAGATAAAATTTTCAGTTATCAGTCAGATCTTCTGTATGAGTCATTTCTCAAGACCTTTGAACCTTAGACATACTTCGTAGTTTAAATCATTTATATAAATTATTAATGAACTATTAAATTTGCGCGCCTAATAAAAATCGCGTTTTTTAACTTTGTTTCATATTCTTCATACTTTTATTAGATTGATGGTTTAATGAATCTAATGAGAAAATTAAAAGGTTAAACTGTTGAAAAGGTTGTGGCATGATCTGCACCACGTGAATTGATTGTGGTTAATTTAGGGTCGATTGTTGTGTTGAATTGTTGGTAGTTTGGGAACACTTACCTTTGAATCGTTCAATGAAGGTTCAACCTTAGAATGGGAAATGTTTACAGGCAAGTATCAAAATAAGTTTGATAATGCTTCAGCGTTTTCTTTTAAGAGTACGTAGATAACTTTATCATTGAAATTTACATTTGGCAACTACTTCACATTTTTTTGATTCAAACAAAGTCTTCTATATAATTCATTGTTATAAATTAACTTTAAGTTTTCAATTTTAAAATAAGATTCATCATCAGATTCAAATTCAGTATATGGATCAAATTCTTCTTCTGATTCTATCTCTTGTTCATTCCCACTACTACTAATTCTTGTATATTCTGGTTCATCTCCTTTTACTTTTTTGGTTATTGCTGATTTAACACTATGTAAATATTCAAATTCAATTATTTCTAAAATACAATATTTTAAATTTTTATCAACATCAAATTTAAAATGTTTCTTTATAAAATTGATATTTGTGAATTTCAAATTTGATTTCTTGATCAACATAAAGTTCAAAATAGTAAATGGATTATCAAATTTTATATTTCCTTTACTTATGTAATTTAACAAATGTTTCTTGGGAAATATACAGCATATTTTATGAGTTTGATCAGACATAATTGCTGTTATATCTTTTTGTGAAGATTCTTTGCCAAACTCAATAAATCTTAAACATATTGATTGATCTTGACTGTTGAAATTTTTTTTAATAACTGGTTCAAATTTCTTGTTGTGAAATTTAATGGATAATAATATTTGTTTTAATAACCAACTCGATTCAATTTTTTTAATGTTTTCTTCTTTCGATCTAAATGATAATGGTTGCTTTTCAAAATTATTAAAACCTTGAATACCTCTTTGTTGTGGGTTTACAGTTTTGACAGAATGTGAATCTTGATCATTTAATACATCAATGATTTGAATTGGTTCATAATTATCTTTATAATCTTCTTCATCTGATAAATTATCAATTATAAGTCTATTATTTGAAGTTTGTACATTTAATTCTAATTTTTCATGTTGTTGAATTAAAGTTTGTATTTGATATCCATAATGTTGAAATAATAACTTCTTTGAGTTAGTATCCATTAATATTCATTGAATATTTCTTGGTTGTAAAAATTCATTTCTAAAATTTATTTTTCGTTAAAGTTATTATTATTAAAATAAATTTACGCGAGCTTAATTTTTTAGCCGCATAGGATAATTAATTTGAATTTAGATTGCATTTTTTGCCTGTAAATTATATTAAAGTTGTGGTACTCTTAATGAGTGAAATTGGGGTGTTTGAGCTCTTAATGAGTAGCTTCATGATTACTTCATGAGCTTTAAAGATGAACATTAAATAGCACAATCGTAGATTGAAACTGATAATACTATCATCAGATAAGCATATAACAAGAGATCTAAATGAACTTGACTGCTGTTCTGTAATAGACGTTAGTTTTATAATTATTGCTATTCTTTTAAGCTATAACCTAAACTGCTCTATACTCAAACTTAATTTAATCAATGATCGTTAAGTCGTTTCGAATTTACAGCTAGAACTGAACTCATATCATTAACAGTAAAATAGCAATTGCAAAAAATAATTGACCAAAATTTTTAACAGATTTTTATTGACTAGAAAAAATGAACTACGGATGTTAGAAACCTAAGGGAAATCACGAAAATTATTCACTTCTCTTACTTCATAAATTGACATTGATATAAATTTTATTTTGTGTACTTGTTTCACTATTTTTTGGTAGCCTTACATTTGGGTTATCAATACAATAAATGTACAGTAATTATCATTTACAATTGATAAAAAAAATTAAATTGATGACAAAACTGATTAAATAGATTACATAATATAATTAGAATATCTTCAAATACTTAAACCGACAAGGTTTAACCAGTTTTATTCATATCCAAGAACGAAACCTTCTACAGAATTCCATCTAGATTTACATTACAAATTTTAATTATTTATTTCTTAATATGAAACATATCAAAATCATTATGGATCTTACAAGCAAAATATATAAATATCGAAAAATCTCACAATTTTTTTTTATCAGAATTATTTCAATTTCCAATTAATTAATAATGAAAACTTTTATCAAAAAAAGTAACAAACAACCACCGGTTCCTAAATCAATAAAAGTAATTATTAAAAGGTTTAACGAAATTGACAAAAAAACCAATCGTAAAAATTGGAAAATCAAAGTTAAAACTTTAGGAAAGGATATTAACGAATTTGAAACTAACTTCGATCAAAATAAAGATCAACGTTCAAGTAATAAAAATCTTTACAAAAGGTTCAAAAATCATAGAAAACAAAAGTCTGGATTATCCGAAAGGAAATTTGATGCAAAAGTAGTTGATGCTGATGCTGCTAAAAATGTACCTTCAAGTGAAGAATCTTCAACTGATAAATTGAATATAATAACTGACAACACCGAATGTTTTGAAACTGATAAACAGAATATAATTATCTGCTGAAACTTTATATAATGATATTATAGTATTTCTTATTATAATGATTTTTTGCAACTTAATGTACGTTTAATTTTACTTCTCGGAAAAAACTAATATAATTAATTAATTAGTTGTTTCAAAAAACCATTCCGTAAAATTAACTTACAACAAGTGACAAATTTCGTAGACTTATATTTTCCATTTGAATAAATGTAACGAGCATTCATATATAATTGATCACTAGTTCCAAATCTAGAGGAAGGGTTGGAAAATGATTGGATTTGATTGAGTTAAAATTTCCAAATCTTAGTCACTTTTTTTTGTACTCATGGTAAATAGAGAATAATATTCATGATCTTCTTATACTTCCACACATTTAATATCAATTGTCTGTATCATGAACTAATGATTTATCGATTAATGAGATCAAGATTGTACTTGACGTCAATCAATAAAAATTTTGATGATAGTATATAAATTAAGTATATTAATTATTATCAATGATTACTATTAACCCCATATTCTTTTGTTCATATTAAAATTTCACAAGATAATTTCTCTTTTTTATTTACTACTACTACATAAATATATAACCATATTTACAACCAGCATCATTCAATTTATATAAAAATTACAACCAATTTAATTTACTACTTATTACTACTTACTATTACTCATTAATCATTAATCATCGTTGATAAACTATTATTTTGACTTATCAACTATTTAATAAAGTAGTTTTACTAATTATAGAAATAACTTTAATAGTAATAATAATAATAATCAATAATATCAACTTCAAACAACAACTTAATTTTTAAGTATTTACTTAAGGTTTTAAATTTCTAAAATAAAAAGTATAAATGGTATCAAACTGTCAACATACGATATAATAGTTAATAATACACGATTTAATATAAATATCACTGAATTAGTATAAATTTATAAGAACCAATTTAATTATCAAATATTATATGATCATAAAGAATTAAACTTAATATTTGCATGGATACTGAATTGAGAATATCATCACCAATTAATAGTGCAACTAATGCACTAATTACAACTACACCATCGGTAGATACGGTTATTCAACATTTATTTAATCAATATTTAGAAATTCATCCAAATCTTAATAATAAATCAAACTCTACAATACTAAATAATGAAAATAATATCGAAAATAATCAAGATATAATTGAAGAGAATAATGAAAATATAAAAATAAAATCATGGTTTAATTTAAGAACAATACCAATAATTGGAAAATTTTTACCAGAAATAGATGATAAAACAAAAATTATAAATGAATTATTAGAATTTCAAAAATCAACAACAAATTATAAAGATTGGGTTAATTGTTCATTAAAATTAGATGAACTTTTAGGAAATAATACTTGGAAAAGTGATCCACAATCTGATATTTATGATTATAATTTAATTTATAATCATTTAACATTAATGAAAAATGCAAGATTAAATAATAATTTTAAATTATTATTATATTATATAAGAACTAATTGGGTTAGAAATTTAGGTAATATGGGAGATTCAAATTTATATAGACATTCTTATGTTGGTACTAAGAAATTAATTGAAGAATATTTAAATGAATGTCAATTATCTTTAAATTATTTGGTAGAAAATAATCAAAATTATGATAATGATTCAAAAAATAAATTGAATGATAGATATTTGTTGGGAATGTTAATTCAAACTAGAAAAAACATTGGTAGAACTGCTTTAGTTTTAAGTGGTGGTAGTACTTTTGGAATTTTTCATATTGGTGTTTTAGCAACTTTATTTGAAGCTAATCTATTACCAAGAATTATAAGTGGTTCTTCAGCTGGGTCAATTATGGCAAGTATATTATGTTGTCATACAAATGATGAAACAATTGAATTATTAGAAACTATAGCAAGTAGAAATTTTAATATTTTTGATATAACTGATCGTGATTCAACAATAACAAGTAAATTTAGAAATGTATTGATGTTTTTAGGTCATTTAATTAAATACGGTACAATATTTGATATTGAAGGATTACAAGAAACAATGATTGGGTTTTTAGGAGATTTAACTTTTAGAGAAGCTTATAACAGAACTGGTAAAATTTTAAATATAACAGTATCACCTGCATCATTACATGAACAAACAAGGTTATTAAATTATATAACTGCTCCTAATTGCTTAATATGGTCAGCTGTTTGTGCAAGTTGTTCATTACCTGGAGTTTTTCCATCAAGTTCAGTTTATGAAAAAAATACCAAAACAAATGAAATTCATGAATGGAATAATGATGAACTGATGAAATTTGTTGATGGATCAGTTGATAATGATTTACCAATTACAAGATTATCTGAAATGTTTAATGTTGATCATATAATTGCAGTACAGGTAAATCCTCATGTTGTACCAATTTTAAAAGTTTCAGTTAGTAACATAGGAGGGGAAGTTGAAAATGATATAAGTTATAAATTAAAACATCTATTAAATAATGTTTATGATTTTGTATCAAGTGAAGCTATACATTATTTACAATTAATGAGTGAATTAGATATTTCAAAAAATTTAAGTAATAGAATTATTTCAATATTATCTCAACATTATTCAGGTGATATTACCATTTTACCAGAATATAAAGTTACAGATTTTATCAAATTATTTGAAAATCCAAATCCAGAATTTTTATTGGATTTTATTTGTCGTGGTGCAAAAGCTTCATGGCCAAAAATTTCAATAATTCATAATCATTGTTCAGTTGAATTTTTATTAGATAAAGCTATAACTACTTTAAGAGGTAGAATTATTACAACTTCAAATTATAGAATCACTCAAAGTGGAGAAGATTTTAATCATAATTCAACAAATAGTTCAATAAAAAGAAGTCAATCATATTATAAACCGAGACACAATTTACATAATTCAACCGCATTCCAAAATGCACCATCATTACTAAACAACAACCAAGATAATCAATCAGCACCAAACACTCCAATAAAAACATATCAACGACCACAAGGTGTACAACGTCATAATACAACTTCAAATACAACTTCTTCACATAGACGTAATAGTGTAAGATCAAAAAGAAATTCAATGAGTGCAACAGATATTGAAAAAATTTCACATAATAACAACTCCAATGGAATAACAACTCCAAAAAAAAGTATAATTCCAAAGGGAACATCATCAACTACATTATCACAATTAAATCATTCTTATAATACTGACGACTCCAATGATTCAATAATTGGTAGACAAAAAATTAGAAAAACAAGAAGTAGTGGAAATTTTGATAATAATTATAATAACAATAGAGTAATATTAGGATCATCAGAAACTTCCAATACAAATTCATCAAAATCTTTTGGTAATAATAATCAAAAATTAGAAAAAATTAATTTACCATCATCATCAAGATCTTTAAAAAATTCATATATCGGATTAAATAGATTAAAAGATACAGCAACTCAAAATGAATTACAACAACAACAAAAGCAACATCAACAAGATTTAATTAAAAAATTAGAAACTGTTAAAAAAAAATCTATTTTAAAAAATTCAAATAATATTTCATCAAATGGTATTTCACAAAATCAAATTCAATTTTATGATAATTCTGAAGATGATGAAACTGCTGGTATTTTATATAATCAAGAAGATACTTCAGAAGACGAAGAAATTGATAATGAAAATGAAAATGAAAAAACTTTAAAAGATACGTTAGAAACTACTGCAAACGAAACAAAAGATGAAAAACAAGATGAAAAACAAGATAATGATAAAGAAACAAATAATAAAGAAGGTGATGTATCAACAGTCACATTTGAATCTATAAAAATGGAACCATGTACTGATTCTTTAGTTGATGATATAAATGCATATTACGGTAATAAATAAAAATAAATAATTATTAGACATACATAGCTTAAATTCACATTAAGTTCATAATCTATTAAATTACTCTGTTTATTATATTATGTAGTGTCTATTCTTGTATGAAACTTAATATAATAGGTATAATCAATCCACATCCTAAAATTCCCAATTTTTTAAATTTCATTCCTTGTACTTTTTGATTTTCAGAATCATCAATTTGAAAAGAATTTAACCCACTAGATAAATCATTATATTCACTAACATTTTCATCTCTAAATTTAAAAAATGAATTTATCAAATTCAAAACAATAAATAAGAAATTCCCAGTTGAAAATAATAAAATTTCACCAATTAAAAAATTAAAATTATCATTAATCTTTAGTAGACTCAAACAACCAAAACTACTTAATGCAAAGCAGGGAGTAGATAATGCAAATAACACCAAGTGTAAAATAAAAAATCGTTCATGAATTTTATTTTCTGATTTTAATATGATTCCAAAACTAAAAGCTGTTGGTAATTTATGTAAAATTATTCCTAAACACAATAAAATTTTTAAAGTCTTGTTGGTGGATACGAAACTTGAACCTAATGATATACCATCTATTGATCCATGAATTAATAAACTTAATGTAATTGATGAACTAATAACTGATTTAAATGATTCCACTATTGGGTTTTTAGTTGATGTTATATCTATAGTATCTGATTCTATATAATCTTTAAAAAATTGATCAATGACAAACAAACACAAAAATCCAAAAAGTATAGGATATCCTATATTTAAATTTGTTGGAGATGTACCCAGATCAATTAAGATTTTAATTGATTCAGGTAATAATATTACAAAAACAGTACCTAATAAAATTCCAATACTTAGGGAAGTTAAATCATTAAGGTATTGTGATGATTTTTGCAAGTTATTTAAAAGCTTTATTGGTAGTATACTTGCTATAAATGTTGTTATAACCATTAATGATGTTATTATTAATAGTTGAATAAATTGTGACATCTTTCAATGATCTTGATTCAATTTATTTGGGGGTTGCTTGGCTAATTATATGATTAAAATTTCTACTTCCATTGTCTATTTCTTCATTCAATTGATATTGAGATTTTCTTTATTAGATTCTAATGTTGATAAGCTTTACCACCTAATTGAATATAATTAAGTATTAAGTGAATATTATATGCGTAATATTCAAAACATGGCGCTTTTTTGTACTCCATATTAATAATTATTTTATTAATTATTATTTACGCGTATGGGAGTATCAATATTTATTTTATTATTTTATTATCAAACTAATCAATTTAACATCAAATTTTAAGTTATCCAACAAGTTTTAATAATCAATGATAAAAAAATAATGAGTCAATCCAGATGATAGATGAACAATTAATAAAAGATAAAAGTAAATTAGCAATATTATATTTTAAATCAAATGAATTTTCAAAAGCGTTAAGTTTATTTAATACACTTATAGAAAAGCTAAAGAATTTACCAATTGAAGAAATCAAAAATATTAGATTGAAATATTATGATTTATCAGAAAATCCAAAATATGGAAAATTAGTTCATCCCAAGTTATGTACTCTTCTTGATCAAAGAGCTTCAACTTATGAAAAATTAAATAATTTAACAAAAGCTTTACAAGATTCAAATACAATTTTAAAAATTGATCCTTTCAATGTTAAAGGATATTTAAGATCTGGTAAGATATTAATTTTACAAAATAAAAAATTTGAAGCTTATAAAATTTATCAAAATGGGATATATGTATTAAAAACTTTTCAAAAAAATAATTGTAAAGAAGACATTGATCTAGTATCAAATTGTCAAACTACTTTGATTGAAAAATTAAAATCTCAATATCTGTCTTTGAATCGAGAATTGAAATTGGAAAAAGAGATTTCAACTAATAGCAAGAGCGGCAATAAGTCGATTTCTCCGTTGTCATCAATATCATTATCACAATCTTCATCAAACTCATTATCACGATCGTCATCAAAATCATCATCACAGTCTTCCTCACAACCAAATAAACGGAGAAAAATAGAAAGCAAAAACCTTGATCCATTCAAACATTTTCCAATAGAAGTTATAGACGTTATATTGAAGCATTTATCTACAAATGAAATATTTAATTGTATGAGATGTTGCAAAAAATGGTATATTACTGTAATTAGTTTACAACTTTTTGAATTCAAGTGTAAAAATAATATAACATTGGATGAATTTATTAATGGTTTAAAATTTTTCAAAAAAAATGTAAGAGGTACTTACTCAAAATCAATAAATTTGAGAATAAATCAAGTTTATAATTCTAAAATTTATCATATATTATCAATAATAATTAAAGAAAATCAAATTAATTTTAAATCATTGGATTTATCAGATTTAAATTTAAATTTACAAAATATTTATCATGTTTTTTTTAAATCTGGCTGGAGATTAAACAATTTTAAATTTTTAAAAGAATTAAATTTAGGTATAAATTGTTCAATAAAATCTTCTCATACTTTACTCAACATATTCCCAAATTTGAAAAAATTAAAGATTATTACAATAGTTCCTGAAAAATCTGTACTAAATAACTTACCTATCAATGATAAATTATATAATAGGTATAAAGATCTAGTACTAGATGATTATAAAAATCTAGAAAATTTAATACTTATAAATCATTCAAAATTATTAGACTCAAATATTATGAGAATTTCAAATGAAACTTATACACCTTTCCCTCCAAATTTAATCAAAAATTCATTTAGTCAATTAAGTGAGTTAACAATTGTTTCATTTGATTTAAGTAATCATTTACCAGTATTTGGTGAATTTATGATCAATAGTCAAAAATTAAAAAAATTATATTTTGAAAATAATAAAGGTATAAATTTAATTATTTTATTACAAATGTTTTTAAATTATAAACCAAATTTTAAATTGACAAGTTTTACATTTAGAGAATATCAAGTTGAAAATATTTTAAATTTACAAGAATTAGGTAATATCGAAATTATACCTGAATTATCATATGTTGAAAATTTAGACTTGTATAAAAATAATTTATCACAACAAGCATTAATTAAAATTTTAAAATTTTGTTATCAAACTGTTGTAACTTTAAATATTGGTAATTCAACATACTTGGATTTTTCAAATCATAAAGTTAATAATTTAGATCATAGATTTATAACAAATTTAACTCAACAAAGACAAAAACAATTTCAAATCCAATTAAATGAAATTTTAAAAAAATGTATAAATTTGAAAAATTTATATTTAAATGAATTAAATATTGATACAATTGGAATAATGAATATTATTAAACAATTTGAAAAATTATTTCAAGAAATTGATCAAAAACCAAAAATATTAAATTTAGATTTAAGTTTTAATAATTTTGATGGAATTGATTTATTAAAATTATTAAACTGTTTGGAATCCACTAAGTTAATAAATTTAAATTTCATTGATATAAATGGATTAGGAATATCTCAAGATACTATTGAATTTAGTTTGAAAAAAAAATTAGTTTCAAATACTAATTTTGATCAATCAAGAATTAAATGGTTACAATATGGTGGTAATAGTTTAATCATTAATTAGATTTATAGATAGAACTTGTCACTAAAAGTAAAGTTGATAAAAAATTAGACCAAACCAGATCAATAATAAGCATATGTTGTCTAATTGTTTGGACCTAATAAAATTTCATTCTCTGTCGTTCCAATTACTTCCAAATTGGACCTAATTACCCCACAATTATTCGTCTTAAAATTTTCATATTTACTTCATGCGACTTAGAATAAATTTTTTACTCTCAAAGATTTTCATTATTATGAACAAAAAAAAGAAAAAGACTAAATAAATAAAGATAATAATAAAAATTAAAAAGTAATTATTGAATCAAATTGAAAAATAATTTTACATTATATTTATTCAAATGTCAACAATAAAAGATGAAGCTAATAAATATAAAGATGAAGGTAATCAATATTTAAAAGATCATAAATTTGAAGAAGCAATAGAATCATATACAAAAGCAATAAATTTAGATCCAACAAATCCAATTTTTTATTCAAATAGAGCTCAAGTTAATATAAAATTAGAAAATTATGGATTAGCTATACAAGATTGTGATTTTGCAATTGAACAAAATCCAAATTTTTTAAAAGCTTATTATCGAAAGGGAGTTTCACAAATGGCTATATTACAACATAAAAAAGCTCAACAAAATTTTAAATTTTTATTAAATAAATTACCAAATGATAAATTAACTTTAGAAAATTATAAACAATGTACAAATTATTTAAAAAGAGAAGCTTTTGAAAAAGCAATAGCTGGAGATTCTCATATATCTATTTTTAATACTATTGATTATGAAAGAATACAAATTGAAAAATCATGGCAAGGACCTGATTTGAAAATTACAACAACTAAAGATTCTCAAGGTAATATTTTAGTTGATATATCCAATTTAGATGAAAATTATTTAAAATATGTTATAAATCATTTTAAAAATGGTGGTAAATTACCTAAAAAACATGTATTTGCAATAATTGCTAAAATAAATCAAATTTTAAAAAATGAAAAAAGTATGACTGAAATTTCAATAAATCATTCAAAATTAACAAATTTACAAAAATCCAATGATGAAATAATTGGTGGTGAAAAATTAACAGTTGTTGGAGATACTCATGGACAATTTTTTGATGTTTTAAATTTATTTAAAAAATTTGGTAAAGTTTCTGAAAATCATATGTATTTATTTAATGGAGATTTTGTTGATAGAGGTTCTTGGTCAACTGAAGTTATATTATATTTATATATTTTAAAAATCTTGTATCCAAAAAGACTATTTTTAAATAGAGGTAATCATGAAACTAATGATATGAATAAAACTTATGGATTTTATGATGAAGTTGAATTTAAATATAATAAAAAAATTTATGAATTTTTTACTGAAAGTTTTGGTTCATTACCTTTATCTTGTTTAATAAATAAAGAATATTTATGTATGCATGGAGGATTATTTTCAAATGATAAAATTAAATTAGAAGATTTAAAAAATATAAATAGATTTCCTACAAATGGGTCCTCACAACCTCCAAAAGAAGGTATTGCAATGGAATTATTATGGACTGATCCACAAATAATAAATGGTAGATCACCATCAAAAAGAGGAATTGGTATACAATTTGGTCCAGATATAACTGAAAGATTTTGTTTAAATAATAAAATTAGAAAAATTTTAAGATCTCATGAAGTTAGAATGTCAGGAGTAGAAAATGAACATAATGGTAGATTAATTACTATATTTTCTGCACCAAATTATTGTGATTCAACTGGGAATTTAGGTGGTGTTTTACATTTCACTGAAAATCCAAATTATGATTTTTCAAAAGATAATGGTGAAGGTTATAAATTAATTGATGATAAAAATTGTCCTTGGATATTATCTAATGAAACTTTTGAAGCTGTTGAACATCCAGATATAAAACCTATGGCTTATTCAAAAGGTGGATTTGGATTTTAATGATGGTGATGATGGTGATGGTGGTGGTAGCTGTAAATTATTTAAATTATAATTAGATATTTAGACTATAAAGTTTTCTTGATTTTCATCGTATATATGAAGTATTTATGATTAATGTAATATTATTAGAATTTAGATAAAATTTTAGACTATTTCTTTACAAATTTATTAAAAAGATTATCCATTTTATGTAAAAAATATTTATAAAAAAAAAAAGTTATTAAATAACTTTATTTCATCTATAAAACTTTTTTAATGTTTAAATTCTTCACCAACTGAAATAATACTACTAATTAAATCATCAACAGTTAAATCAGTCAAAATTGGAGAATTAAAGACAACTCTAAAAAATTCCCCTTGTGAATCATCATTAGGATTAGGACTAAAATCAACAAGATATTTCCCCAACAGATGTAATCTTCTCGATATAAATCTTGTAATTTCAGTATTATTTTTTGTTTTTACATGTTCAGGTTTATAGTAAAAACAAACTTGTAAACATTGAGGAGGATTAGGTCCAACTATTTCAAACCTGAAATCTTTTGTAATTTGAGAAACAAAATATTGTTGAATTTGAAAAGCATGATTTATTCTTTTTTCAAATCCAGAAGTACCATAATATAACCAAGATAAATAAAATTTAAAACTATCAGCTCTACGACCACAACCCATTGTACCATCAGCTAAATCATAATTTTCTGAATCATCATTATCTTCTCTATTATGAAATAAATAAGGAGCTTTTAAACTCATACTAGTTTGAAAATTTGAAACTTTTGGTAATAATAAAAATGAACATGTATTTGGTATACCCAACATTTTATGAGGATTTACAGTTATTGAATCTGCAAATTCACTACCTGATAATCTATCTTTATATTTAGGTGAAAATATTACATTACCACCCCATGATCCATCAATATGGAAAAAAATATTATATTTTTTTGCAATTTGTGAAATTTCATTAAAATTATCATAAGATCCAAATACAGTAGTACCAGCAGTAGCATTTATATATAATGGAGTATATCCATCTTGTAATGTTTTTTTAATAGTTTCTTCTAATTCAGAAGTTATAATTTTCCCATCATTATCAACATTAATTTTAAATACATTATCTGATCCTAATCCTAATAATATAGCACCTTTTACAACTGAATAATGACAATGTTTACTAGTATATATAGCAAATTTATATCCCAGATTACCTTTATTTTTAGTTTCTGGATATTTTAAACTTCTTGCAATTTGTAAACTTGTTATATTTGACCATGAACCTCCACTAAATGTTAATCCACCACATGTATCTTTATCATTTATAAAAAATAATGAAGCATATTTTTTTCCAATATAATTTTCTAAAACTGATAATACTGGTGATACAGTATATACATGAGAATTTGTATTTAATACACTCAACAAAATATCTGATATAATACCTATTGGATTATTTGATGCATATAATTTATCTAAAAATCCTGGATTCCAAGTATTTACAGAATATTCTAATACATCATCAATAATTTTTTCAAGTTTTTCTTCAGATACTGGATTTTCTAAATTATTATCATTTTTTAAAAAAATTGACTTTAAATAATTTGGTTCATTATATTTACCTAATGAATTTGAAGTATATAATTCATGATTTGGATCTGATTTTGCAATATGATCTAGTATTTTTGGTTTTATTAAAGTTAGCAAATTATCTAATTCTTCTACTCTATTTGATTCTAAATCCGATTTAATTGTCATTTTTTTAAAAGGTTGGATGGTTGGTTTGAAGTAAAAAAGTTTTTAAAAAGTTGTGAAATTTTGAACTATTATAATTATTATAATTTTTTTTTTGTTCAATAATAAATTTTAATTAATTGAAAAATTATTTTTTGTGTTTTTGTAATTTATTAATACTTTTCAATTATTCAAAATGTGGAGTGAAAAAATTTAATATTGGAAAAAGATTGAAATATATGTTTATTAGAAAGTCATGAATCACTGACGAACCAAAAAATATTGATTAATTCATTTGTTCTTTTCAAGTTTTCAATAACTAACATTAATTTACATTTGTTTCAATTATTATGAAAAATTTAAAGTCAAAATTGTGGTGGATACAAAAATAAAAACTTTTATTTGGTTGCAAAAAAAGAAAAAGAAAAACGAAACTTTAACTTTAACTTAAAAATCATATTCGAAACAAAAGACAATAAGATCAATATTGTAATCAATTGCAAAGTTGTAGTTACAAGTTTAATAAATAAATAAAGATTTATTTTAATTGTATATATTTATAAATATATATATATATACTAAGCAATCAATGCAATTTATATAAAAAAATTAATAATACAAAAAATACTAATTAAAAAAAAAATTTAAATGAATGGAATGTTAACTAAAGTCTATTTTTTATCAATTAATTTATCATGTAAATGATCATTAGTATCATCACTATCAGTAACTAATTGATTTTGTCGACTAATTTCTAAATTATTATTCTCATCATCTTCATTATTATTATTATACTCTAAATCTGATTTTTTAGATTTTTTCAACCATTTAAATCCAACTATATAAATAAATTTATTAAATGCTTTTGTTGGGAATATTTTTTCAACCCACCAATTTGGAACAAGTCTAATTAATAATCCTACAGGTATTGATATAAATCCACATAATATTGCTGTTGCCCACATTCCTGGAGTTTGTCTTGCAATACTGAAAGCTGCACCTCCAACAAACATAATTAAAACTTGAAATCCTCCAATTATAAGAGCAATACTTATAAAATACCAATTTCTGAAAAGGTGTTGGAAAAAATTTAAATTTTCTAATGTAAATCTACCTCTAATAGTTTTAATTTCATCTGCTTCATCTAATTTTCTAGTTACAAATAATTTCCAAAATTGTAACCATACAAAAGTATTAAATGTCATTGCATCTAATTGTTTTTCTTGATGATTACTTATATGATGATGATTTGGGAAAAATAATTGTTTTCCTGCAAAATGTAATATAAATGTTATAATTAATTGTGTTGTTGATTGTCCTAAAATCATTTTCCACATTGATGTTGAAATTAATGGTGCTGTTCTACCTGCTGGTTTTCTATTTAAAAATGAATCATCTGGTTTATCTGTTGCTAATGCTAATGCTGCTAAAGTATCCATAATTAAATTAACCCATAATAATTGAACTGCTGTTAAAACTGATTGATTTTCTGATGATGCAACTGCAGAAACAAATGTTAATACACATGCTGTAATATTAACAGTTAATTGAAATTGAATAAATTTTTTGATAGATGTTGCAACTGTTCTACCCCATTTTATAGCTTGAACAATATCTGTAAAATCATCAGTCATTAATATAATATCAGAAGCTTCTCTTGCAACTTCTGTACCTGCTATACCCATTGAAAATCCAACATCTGCTAATTTTAAAGCTGGTGCATCATTTGTACCATCCCCAGTAACTGCAACAACATCACCTCTTTTACGTAATGTATCAACTAATATTCTTTTATCTTCTGGTGATGATCTTGCTAATACTTTTAATTGAGGTACAATTTTATTTCTTTCTTGTTGTGATAATTTTCTAAATGTTGGACCTTCCATATATGCATATTCATTTGATAAATCATCTGGTGTTAAAATATGACATTCTTTTGATATAGCTTTTGCAGTATTTAAATTATCTCCAGTAACCATACGAACTGTAACTCCTGCTCTTTTACATTGTAATACAGCTTGTGCAACTCCTGGTTTTAAAGGATCTTGGATACCAACTAATGCATCTAATACAAATTGTTTATTTATTTCACTTGCAGTTTGAGTGACATTTATAAGTTTTGTAGGATCAGCTTCGGTGGTGTTGCTATTTGATTCATCAATTAAATCTTTTGGTGGCCATGATTTAATACCACAAAAATCTCTATGACCTAATGCTATTGCTCTTAAAGCATCATTTGCATATTCATCAATTTTACTTAATACTGCATCTCTTTTTGTTCTATCTAATTTAATTAATTCACCTTTATCATTATTTTCAAATCCACAATTTTTAAAAATAATTTCTGCTGCTCCTTTAACATAAACTCTGAAACCATTTTCAATTTTCATAACTATACCTGCCCATTTTCTTGAACTTTCAAATGGTATAATTTGTACAATATCTGAATGATTTTCTTTTCTAATTTCTTCTAATGTTTTGTGGTCAAAACTTCCAAATGTCTTTTTAGCTAATAATAATAATGCAGATTCTGTTTTGTTTCCTAAATATGGTTCATTATCCATACCTAATTGTTGATTATTTTTTTGCAGATTTTTTTGAAATATACTTTGTAAAAAATTCTTTTTTGGTGGTCTTTGTTTTGCTGCTAAAGCTTTTGTTTCATCATAATCTGAATTTTCAAATGCAGTTGAATTAAGTATCATATTTGTTGTTAAAAAAATTCTTAATTCTGGTGTAATTTCTTCAATTGCTTGTTTTGAAGTTGGTTCATATTTATTATCAGCTGCAGTATCATCAAATTCTAATAATTCACCATCTTGTTTTAATCCAAAAAATCCTCGAACTATTCTCATTTTATTTTCAGTTAAAGTACCTGTTTTATCTGAACAAACTGCTGTTGCTCCTCCCATAGTTTCACAACTTTTTAAAACTCTTACTAAATTACCATTCTGTGCCATTCTTGTTGTAGCAAATGCTAATGCTAAAGTAACTGCTAATGGTAAACCTTCAGGTATAGCAACAACAACAATAGTTACTGCAGTAATAATAATATCAATAAATTTTTTACCTTTATCTGCTGATTTTAATTGATGGAAAGTTCCACCAGGTGCAATATCAACACAATATCTTATAAATAATACAATAAATAATATAATAGCTGCTAAAAAACCATATTTTGATATTCCTTCAGCTAAATTATCTAATCTAACTTGCATTGGAGTAGTTTCTGCTTCAACATTAAGACTTGCCATTGTTCTACCATGTATTGAATTTGATCCAACAGCAGTAACTACAGCATTTCCTAAACCTGATAATACTTTAGCACCTGAAATTAAATAAGGATCTTTAAATTTTATTTGTTGACTACCAATATCTTCATCAGTTGGTAAATTTTTTTCATAAATTTCCATACATTCTTTTACTGGGAATTTTTTAATGGTTGCTGATTCACCAGTAAGAGCAGATTCATCACATTCAACTTCACCTTGAAATAATATACAATCAGCAGGTACAACATCACCAGTTTGTAAATTTATAATATCACCAACTAATAAATCATAAATACTTATTAACTTTTGTTCACCATTTCTAACAACAATTAATTCACGATCTTCCTTTTTAGCATTTAATTTTGCAAATTGTCTTTCCTTTTGATAATCATTTGCTGCTCCAACTATTACAACTATACAAACAGCAACTAATATAGCAACACCTTCAACCCAATCTACTTTTGGTAATGGTTTACCTTCATCATCATAATGAGTTCCACTTCCAAATGTTTCATATAACCCCAATGCTAAAGAAACAACTGCTGCTATAGATAATATAATTAATACTTTATCTTTAAAAGCTTCATAACATAATCTAAAAAATGATTTCAGTACTTTTTGTGGTAATTTATTTATACCAAAATTATTTCTTCTATTTTCAAAATCTTTTTCATTTGAACCATCTAATCCTTTATTTGGATTAGTTTGTAATAATGAACATAATTTTTCAAATCCTCCCATTTCATAAAGATATTTTAAAGATTTTGGATCATGTAATGCAATTAATTCTTGTGGTGATATAAAATTACCTAAATTTTTTCTTGATGTAGAAGTTGATAATCTTGATGCTAATTTATGTAATGATAATGAAGTTTGATTTGGATTTGTTGAAAATTTTTGTGGTGGTTTTGATGATCTTGTTTCATCTAATGATATTTTTGGTTGTTGTTGTTGATCTTGTTGCTTTTTTATATCATTTTCTTGTAATGGAGTATTTGAATTTATTGATGAAGCATCGTCATCATCATATTGAGGAATTTCTAATGTTTTACCATGACCCAACTTGTCAGATGGAGTTCGTGGTGCCATTTGAAATATTTAAATGATTTAAATTGTTATATGAATGAGTTATTGTAAAATTTAAACAAAACAGTTTTTGGATAGTTTTGATGTTTGTTGTATAATTTAATGATATAAACTCTTGATGATCAAAATATAATTTTAAGTTGTTCTTTGAAATAACTGATCTAATGGATATTCAAATAATTTTATTTTATGGTAGAATCTTATGTTGTATTTTTAATTTAAAATATGATTACTTATAAACCTTTATTAATATTTATATAAATTGTTCTAAAGTTCTATCAAATAAGTGGTAATAATTGTAGATAAAAATGCAAAATTTGTATATATTATATATATGAGATTATGAATGAATGAATAATGAGTTAAATCTTTTGCTGTAATATAAATAAAGTAATGCTAATAAATATAATTTTAATATAAAGATAATTTGAAATTGTAAATGATAATATTATTGAATTCTTATATAATATATTATAGATAAATAAAAATGATAATTAAATGATAATTAAATCGATATATAAAAGGCAATCTTAAATTATATTATATAATTTGTAAGTAAATAATTTGAAAAAATTGAAAAATTTAATAATTAATATATAAAATAATTAGTTGTAGATCTTATTTACTTAAATGAAATATTTATAATGAAATATTAAAAGTAATGAAATATTTCAATCTATTTAAATAAATATATAATCAATTTGAACTCAGTTGAACAATCAATAATTCCTTTTATTAATTGAAATTGAAACAATTTTGATTATGATACTTATTATTCTTATTTTAGTATGTGGAATTTTTATAATCTAAAAAAATAAAAATTAAAAATTTAAAAAAAAAAAATAAAAAAATAAAATTAAAAAGGTACAAAAATGAATCTAATTTGTGTAAGAATTATTGACTTTTTCGTTTATGAAAAGTAAGGCTTATATTATGCAATAGTATATTGACTAAAACAACTTTCTTGTCATCATTATCTCAATCATTACATCTCAATCATTTGCCCCCTTCATTCAATTAGCTAAAGTCTTTTCAATTCTTTTGAGTGACATCAAATTTTTCGGTGTTAAATAAAAGAAATAAAATTAAAATAAAATAAAAAAAAAGAGGCTGTGTTTTTTTCTCTCGCTTTTTTTTTATTTCAAATTTAAATTAAAATAAAAAAAAAAAATCATCCAAGAAAAAAAAAAATATCAAAATACAATATAATCAAAAATTCTATTAAGGTTAAGTAATACGATCACAAATGTGTAAATTGAAATAGAAATGGAAGTTGTGTAACTGTAATAATAATAGTAAAACTTTGTTTCAATTGAAGCCGTATCATTAATTGGAACATAGTTTTGACTTCTTTTTTCTTTAATTGAAGGTCCAATTATATGATTAAGATTAAAATTAAAGATTTAATCAAGATTAAGTTTACATTGAATCAAAATCTTACATTAATTGACTTTTTATTATTACGCGGTTAAATTTTTTTATTTAAATTTTGTTCAAGTCATTTTTTTATAATTTGCGTCACTACTTTGATTTATAATATATCAAATCATTCATTTTAAATTATTATTTCTATTAAATTGATTGAAAAGTAATTGTCACATGAGACAATACTTTAAAAAGAAACTTATATATATATAATCATATTATTAGTTGACTTATTTAATAAACTGCGGTCAATGGCGGTTTACTATATACAAATGAATTCTGTTTTATCTCATCTCTTTATCACACGTTTAAAAGATAAATTGTGATCATTTACAATTTCATTAAAATACAACAAGGGTTTAAAAATAATGTATGTAGTATATTAATTATTATATTTTATATTGAATGAAATTTCTCGTAAATTTTAATAGATAAAAAAAGCTTGTAATTTCTTACAATTGCTTAGGAGGCAAAGTTAAGATGAAATTTTTAATCCTTAATTATTAAATAATTCTATGATCTATGTTAAGATCCCATCAATTTACAATACAGTAGATAAAAATTGATGATAATTTATTGTAATTTTAATGGTTCAAGATTATCAACATTTTATTTAATAGTATTTCGGATTTATGCAAATAATTTACTAAATGGAAAAATAGTTTTAAGTTTTTTAATTCTTCGATATTAAATTTATTTGGTTCATACATTTTGTGTAATTTCAATTTATTTATTTTTTTTTTTAATTTTATTTTATTTTTATTTGATTTCTAATTGTTTTTTTTTTATTTTATTAGTTGGTTGAGGTACGGAAGTTATGATGATTTCAAATAATAAATAATTTAATTATAATTTAAATTAAATTGATGTTTCAAATTAAATTATGAGCCACTCAATTATGATAATTGATAATAATTATATAATAATATGAACGGAATTTTAATTAATTGTTTCCAGATTTTCAAAAATAAGAGGCGCAATACATTTTGATTAATTTCATCAACAACTTTTTTATTTAAACATTTTTGTATATACTAAAGAACAATATTATACTTGCAAAATTCAAAATTGTTCATGGGTTTGATAAGGTAAGTATTTCAATCATTAATAAATAATTTATAAAATTCTTAACTCCTGTTATAATAAGAAAGAGATCAGATTATTCCATCAATAACTTCGCCCGTTTGTTTAAGCACCAAAAATCATTGAATTGAAAGGCACAAAAATTTCATCATTTAAGTTGTTCAACTTTTACGTTATTGAATAAATAAATGCTCTGAGTAATAACTCTTATCAAATTGCCAAGCAGTTTTCGAAAAATGTGTAAAGTATCATTTTTGCAGCCAAATTTTAAATTTTTTTTTTTTTTTTTTTGCCAGTTTTGAATATTTAGCTGCTAATCATTCAAGGCTTAGACTAATTATCATAAATCAAAATGTTCTTGTTTACATTCTCTAAAATGAGTACTTGATTGATTCAAAAGGCTGCTATTGTTTAAATTCATAAATTAAATTTTCTTTCGCTATCGGTTAATTTTGACATTTTTACAAAATTGCAAGCCAAAATTTGATTAAATTGCGAAGCAAATTAATTTAAATTTTGCACCGACAAAAATTTATTAAAATAGTTGACGAACACTGCCAATTACTTTCTTGTACTTGCTAAACATTTCGAATCTTAATTTCATTAATTAATTTGAAAAATTTATGTTTTTAAAAACTATTAAATTAAAAAAAAGATCGACTGTAATTTCATTTTTTGTCCAAAAAATCATGCCAGCAAATAATCTTATTGTTAAAACTAAGCACTTTTAAAATTCTAAATATGCCCATTTAGCCCAACGGTTAAGGCGTTAGCCTCCTAAGCTGAAGACTCCGGGTTCGAGTCCCGGAATGGGTTGGTATATATAAAAAAATATTTATTTTGTGAAACTATCATGTTTTTTATTTATAGAGAATAGAAATAGCTCAACTTTTTTTTGACTTATATTTTTTAATTATTGATACATATTTCTACTTTTTATACCTAATTTAAATAAGGTAGATTTTTTTTCAAAATTTATTCTCCCATGTTAATTCATTACCAAATTTATCTTTTAAATAACCTTTATTTTGATCACATTTTAAATGTTGTCTAGTACCAACATCACAAATAATTTTTTTAGGTTCCAGATTATCAAACATCATTAATCTTGGTTTATGTTTTATCCAACTTCTACTTATATCAACTTTATTTAAAGTTTTATCAAATATAACTAATCTTGTTAAAGGATATAAAATATTTAAAGGTAAATAACCAAATAATCTTGAAGCAAAATGAGTTGAATAACAAGCTATAAAAAAATCCCAATCTTTTTGTTTTGCATATTTTAATTTTGATTTTTCACTAAAATTTAACGCTAATGATGTATCATTTAATAAATAAAGAAAATAGTAGTAATAATACAAATAATTCAATGAACCTGATATACTTAAACTTTCACCTAAAGTAGCTATGTATCTAGTTGATACTATTAATCTATGAGTAAAAGCAACTCCCATTAATGGTGCATCTAAATCAAAAGCATTACTTGATATACATGGTGATATAGGTATATAATTTAATTTTGAAAATGATAATGATTGTAATTGAGTTTGAATTTCTAAATAATGATAATTACTTTTATTGGAATTTTCTTCTTGAGTAGAAAAAATTATTTCATCTATTGGAACTATTGAATTGTTTGTTTCTTGAATATGTATAACTGTTTTAGGATTATGAAAAAATAATGAACTTAAGAGGTTGTTATCTAAATGTTGATTTGATAATGTATAAAATGAAATTTGTGATTTATTTAATTGATTTGATTGATCTAAATCTATTACGTCATTTGATGAAATTTGTGAGCAGATGAATGAAATTATTAATATGAAATGAAATAACATAAATCGAAATTGCTATTAAAATTATAACACTGTAATGAAAGAATATAATGTATTGAAAACATGATTTTGTTAATTATTGATGAATATCACATATCATAAATCTTTATAAATCTTTATAATTTTTTACTCCACAAAATGTTTTTTTTTTTTTAAAATTTAAGCTTTGACACATTTTTTAAATTTGTGTAATTTCTACTTTTAATTACACAAAATTAAAAAGATTAAAAAAAGTTGAAATGATATGATAATTTTAAATTTTAAGTACGTACCAATCTACGAACCAAGTCATAATGATACCAACAACAATAATACTAAACAATTTAAAAATCATATCATTCATATCAATACTAATAACATTAACTTATCTAATCCCTAAATTCATATCACCAGAATTAATAACTCATATACAATTAAATTATAAAGTTATATTACTTTCTAAAAAATTTTGTCAAATTAGACCTGATCAATGTAATTATTTAATTAATGAAAAGTTAAGTGATCCTGAATTATTGAAAAAAAGATATTTTGAAACTTATGAATTATTATATATTGTTAATTCGCATATTTTAAAAATTGATGAAGTACTAATTAAATTTCTATTAAATAAATATAATCCATTTTTCCATTTATTAAAATTAATAACTTATATAAGAGGTATTGAAATAGATCATGAAAATGCAAAAGATATAGTTCATATTTTAATTGCTATTTCAAATACTATGATTTTCCATTCTTTAATGGGAATGTTTGTTTCTAAAATGTATATGTTTTTTGTAATGGGAATAATTATTACTGTGGTTGATCCATGGAATAAATTAACTGGACCAATTTGGAATGTTTTAAAAAGTTCAAATATTTTTTAAAGACAAATAATTGTTTTATTGACAAATAATTGTTTTATTGACAAGTATATAGACGAAATTACAAAAACTTTTTTAATTTTTAGTCTTTTTTCAAAATCCAAAATTAAATGCACTCATATCTGGTTCTTCAAATACTTGAGGTGGTGGTGCTTCTTTTTCTATTATTTTTTTCATAAATCCATTCTCTCTTTGTTCTTCTTTTTCTTCAACTTCTGTTAATTTTCCATTAGAATTTGGTAAGTTTTTCAAAAACATCCAATTTTTTAATAATAATAAAGCTAAATAATCACAACCCATTCTTGTATATATCATAGATACTTTGATAACTGCTTCAAATTCTTCTTGTGGATTTATCTCAAATGATCCTTTTAAATAATCAACTTTATGATTTCTTAATTCATTAAATAATAATATTAATACTGGATCATCACTTAAAAATGATTGACCTTTTGTTGATAATTTAATTGTTTTAGTATTAAAATTTTCAAAATTTTTAGATTTTGAAATCATTTCAATTGGTGATTTTATAAGTGATTGTATACTTAATTGTTTTTCTTGAATTTGCCAAAATATCCAACTTATTGTCCATCTATCATTATTTTCAATAGCTTTTGGTAATATAAATCTTTCAATAATTTGTATTAAAACTTCATCATATTGTTTATTAATAGTGGCGGTACCACAATAAACTTTTGCAATTGCTATAGATAATGATATATCACCAATTTTATTTGCTATTATACTACAACAATCAAATGGTTTATCTCCCAACAAAAAGAAATAAGCAGCGTCGTAATATCGATGTTTACCTAATAAAACAAAAGCATTTTTTAAAGCAGCTGATCTCCAACGATCAGTTGTAAAATCATTATTTAAAAATGATATCATTTTTGTTTTATCTTCATGATTTACTATTTTCCATAATCCTAAAAGAATTTGTTTTTTACGAAGTGCTAAATAAAATAATGATAAAATTCCTGAAGGATCTTGATTTAAACTAAATTCATTTCTTGCAACAGATTCAATTAATTTAATTAATCTATCAGTTTTAATCCAATATACTAATTTTGTTTTTTTAACATTTTCCCAAGTTAATTTTTGTTTATAATAATCTTCAACTGATCCCAATAATACTTCTTTATTTTCTGAATGTAATGCCCAATTTATATCTCTCATTGAGAGACTTTTTTGTTTTGTTGATAATTGAAATAATTTAAATCCAATCATAAATCTTATTCCATTATCATCAATTGTAAATTTTTCTAATTGTTGAACTATTGTAATTACTGAAATTAAAGTACTTTGTTGATGTCTAGTTAATAAAGGTAATGAGATTTTCATTAATTTTTCAATTAATAATTTAGCTAATTCATCATTAAATTCAGTAAAAATATCTAATTTATAAGTTGATAATCTTCTTTTAGAATTATAAGATTTTTCATTGAATTCCATACCTAAATTCCATAAAATTGGTTCATCATTTCTTAATACTTGAAATAATTTAATTAGAATATCTTGAACTATTTTAATTTGACTCATAAATAATGCTTGAATTAAAAATTGTGGATGATATAAAGGTAATGGGCCATTCAATACTCTTACTAAGTTTGAAATATCATAAATTTGTTCTTCTGCACCACCAGCACCAGCAACTTCATACCCGCTCATTAATTGTCTTATTGTTGAATCAATATTACTAGAACCTAATTTAATCCATCTATCATCTATAAAAAACTGATTCCCACTTCCAATAACTAAATACCCATCATCAAACCATATAGAATCTCCAATTTCATGTGATGTATAATCTGATATATCTATCTTTTTTATGGATGTATAAGTTGGTATATGATTTGTATAATCATAACGTAATTGAGTATATAATAAAACATGACGATTAAATCCTATTGAAAAAATTGCATTTGTAGTTGATTTTTCTTTTTCAGTTGCATTTATAAATGTCCAATCTAAATCTTTAACTTCTTCTTGAAATGTCTCTTCATATTCTAAAAATTGTTGATCTGTATCCCATATAGTTACTTTTTTACCTGATTCATCAAGAACTGCAACTTTCCCAGATACAGTTGAACCATTGATCCTTTTGGATTTTTTGATGTTTGTCTGTAAAGAATATGTATTCACCCATTCAAGTTTTTCATTTTCTTTATTATCAAAAATTAATGTATAACTATTAAATAAACCTTGTTCGTCTATTACAGCTATTAATGATTTATCGGGAGTTGTTAAAAACGCATCAACTCTAACTATTTGATAAATGTCTGTATTTTGAGGTAAATGTGATATAAGTTGTTCTTCGAATTTAATATCAATGACCTTAGTGTCTTCATAACTTAAATTCAATTTCCAACATTTTATTTCATCTTTGTCATATATTGCGACGACACAATATTGTTTTAAGTTAAGTTGTGTTGTTGGCCATTCAGTTAATACAAATGTTCTTGGAATTTGAAAGTTTTCAACTTTTAAAATTAATTCTGCTGGTAAATCATCATTAATCCTACCATTACAATCCCATAATGAAATACTACCAGTTTTTTCAACTATAATAACTAAATGTCTTCTTTTAAAACCAGCTGGTGGTTCAATATCATTTATAATTGCAGCATCCCAAATCAGATTTTTATCTCCAACATCAATTTGAAATCTTTTTGTTATTGAGACTACTCCATATTCTAAAATTATAGGTTCCCATATATAATTGAATTGACCAAAATTTGATATTGATAATAATACATTTTCTGATGAATATAATGAATTTGATCTGACTAATTTTCTTATAGATTTATTATGACCTTGGAACTTATTATACAATGAAATTCCGAGTTCTTTTGATATTTTTTTAAAATTTATTACTTCGTATCTTAGTGTATTTTTAATTCTATCATGGACTAGAAATGAAAGTGCCTGCACTTTTGGTAGTTTACAAATTTTCTTAAAAATTATTGGATTTAGGTAAGTGGTTATAAATTCTTCACTTTGTATATAATCAATTGTTAGTTCATGGTCACATCGTAGGTTCAAATGTGGGAAGACTTCAACTTTATATTCATTAAGTAATTTGAACTTTATATTACTTGGTGGAGTTTGTGAAATATTTGAAATTGCAAAAAGTTTTACATTTCCTTGTGCTGTAATAGTATATAATAAATCCAAATCATTTAAATTTAAACCTTCAAACATTTTGTTGGTGCTATTTTTTAGTATTGGTATTAAAGTTTCTTGTAGGTAGTAATTCTCTACAACAAGTATATTTGCAACATTTTCCAATTTAAGCGTTGCCCAATCACTTATATGATTATGACCGTTTGTTTCATATGATGCCCAAACTTTAAATTCACCATTTGTAAAACTATAAATAACTTCACTTTCATCGATTGAATTAATATAACTCCGTATTTTCTTTATATTAGCCATTGAACTATCTATTGTTTTCTGTGGTTGTTGTTGTTGAGCTAATGATTTTTTTCTCCAATGGAAATCTATAATGTAATTTGAATGTAATAAATAACTAACTTCAAATAAGGTATTTTCGTCACCATAATTGATTCTTGTCCATACTTTTATTAGCTTATCATAATAGCCACTTGTTGTCATTATTAATTTTGCACTTGGTGTAATACATATCTTGGTGATTGGATTTGGTTGAATTGACTCCCATCTTCTATTTACATGTATTTCTCCAATTTCTTCATATATATGATATAAATATAACATTTCCTGACATCCAATAACTAATTCATATTCATCTGTTGCCCATTCTAAACAATTAACTTTAGAGCTTACTTCAAATTGATAAGTTTCAGTCCATTTTGGAATTCTCATATACTCTGCAATTGGTTTAAATATTATAACTTTACGATCATATGCTATCGAAATAAACCCATTATTTTCGTTAATGTTCAAAGCTATTAAATCTTTTTCCAAATAAATAGTTTGTAAATTTGTATCAATACTAATAACTTTATCTCCTTTCTTGGTGAATATGAATTTTGCAGTTAATATTATTAAATTATTACCTGAACCATACGCAATGATATGATGATCTTTCCAAGTCGCTTCTACTGCTGAAGACGAGCTTTTATTTACCTCACCAGGCACAAATGTTATAGTCATATAACTTTGACTCTCTTATCTTTTTGATTGTTTTTGATGTCTGTTAAGGTACTTATTATTTACAACCGAATTTTAATTGTATGTGCGAGATCTTTTTTTTACACTTAAAACATATGATTTGAAGCATAGTACGATTATAAATTTATTTACAACTAATTATATCACCAAATGGGAGCAAGGTATGTTATGAACTCAAATTGATAATGTTCTGCTAAAGGTACTAACCGTCCAATGTTTCAGTTGTAAGGATCAAAAAATAGCTTTAGCAATATGTTTACAAAGATCACCTTGTGTGCTAATACAAAGAAATACACCAAAAGATTGTTTGGCAAATCCTGAACTTAAAAAAGATTTACCCGAATTATGTAAAGCAAATTTTAGAGCATTTATGGATTGCAAAAATGGAGTATTTGATATGAGGAAAAGAATGAAAGGTAATGCACCATTATCAACTGGTAAATTTGATGAAACTTTTGAAAATTTATCAAATGGTCAATTTGATGCACATGAAGAAATTAGAAAATTGAATGTTATGAATAAAAATCTATCAAAACAACAACAATTACATGAAGAAAAAGAACAAGAAAGATTATCTTAAAATTAACATTAACATTAACATTCACCATTTAATTTATTTATAAATTTTTTAAAAATTGGATTAAAATGATTTAAATTTTGAAATAAATTTGAAATTTCATTCATTTGTTTTATATAATTTTGTACAGAAGGGTCCATTTTATTTCTTTTAATTTGTTCAAAAGTCTGATTAAGTATTGATTCAAATTCTTCAATTGTATATAGTTTTTTATCGTTATTATTATTTAACGTTATTGTTTCTAATACTTTTATAACTTTTAATAAATTTGTTTTAACCAATTTCATTTTAATTAATGTTTGAACTGCTTCATTATCATCATTTACTTTTAGTTTTTGATTGATCATATTAAGTTCTTGCTGTAATGACAATATTGAATTATTTAATAAACTTGTATAATATTGTAATCTTGTTGTACCTTCTTGATTTGAATTTATATAGGTGCTCGAGTTTTCTAGCTGTACTAATTTCAGTTTTAATTCATTATTTGCGATATCATTGACATAATAATCAAAATGAGTAATTAATTGGTTAATTGTGTGAGATAGATTCGTTAATGATTTTTTGGAATATGCTGACATTGGAGTTGTGGATGTTTTTTGTTGAGTAACTGTTGAAATTAATTTGTCAACATATGTAGTTGGATTGAACTCATCATCAAAAAACATGGACATAGAGTCCTCTATATTTGAGGTTGTAGTTGGCATTATGGATGAGTGATTAAGTAACTGATAAAAATATAATTAAATTTGTTGCAAAATTAAAATCATTTATATGTATATCATTAATACAACCAAATTCAAATTACCCAGAGCATTTCAGTGCAGAAGCATCGATAAATTCTTGATATTACAGTTCCTCAATATAGATTTTACAAGATATAATTGAAACATTCATTCAAATAAAAATACCGACCCGAGTCTCAAAACAATAGGTTGTTTCTAATTAGGTCGGGAGAACTATATACCATGCAACCAGATAATATACAAAATAATCAAAAAGATGATGATGACGAACCAGATGAATGGGATCAAAGAATACTAAAGACAGGATGTCATCAAGAAAATTTAAATCTACAATTATGTCATGCTGATACTGGAGATTGGAGAAAATGTCTAAAAGAAATGCAAGAATTTAGAGCATGTTGGGAAAAGAATAAAAATAATGAAAGAACTTCAACTGTTGATAATTAGGTAAACGGATTTATTCAGTCGAGTCAGATTGATATTGCCTTTGATAGTCTTGTAAATAGATACTTGAAGTTTTTGGAAATAAATTGACATGTATATAATGAACTATGCTATTGCTCTAATTCGTTAATACTTAACAAGGTTGATGAGTAATTCTATTTCATCGTGAATTCTCAAAAATCTAGATCTAGTTTGGAAACATCTAGTTTGTGTGTAATTGTAGATTTTAATCAATCATACTTATGGTCAATTTGCAGCCAGATCTAAATGCCCTCCAAACTATGCGGATGAAAGTCCAAATCAGTTTCAAATTTGTCAATTCTCCTGTAGTAGAATCAATAATGGTATCATTGTTTTCTGCTCAGAAAAGTAAATGTAATTTGTATAAAACTTGTTTCCTGAATCATTAAATTGAAAAAACTATAAACTCTTTAAGGTGAATATCTTGTTCTTGATCCGCTCTAGTTCTCGTTTTGCTTGCATCAGTTTTTTGACCGAGCGTAGTATCAAAAAATTTATTTAATACGAATATAATCAAATAGAATATACGATAAAAAATTAAAATTAAAGTGAAACAAATATAATTATCAATAGAGACGCGGCTTTTTGGTTTAAAATAGAAAAATTACTATTTATTTACAACCTTGAAACTTTCTTCCATTAACACCAAAAAACAACAAATCAATTTATAACACATATGGTTTGATGTCACAAAGAAATATTCGGGAGGTTGAAATTGAATCGTCGCTACAAAATTCCAGAAGATTTCAACCATTAAAGTTAACATTACATCCACCGAATTTAAGACCACAATCATCATTCACGTATGATGATATAGAGGACTTTAGTAGTGATGATGAAGAAATTACCAGTGAAGAAGAGGATAATAAGGAACCAAATAAAAATCTATCTCATCATTTCAAAGAGCTTATTGAAGAACAACAACCACAAAAATATAGTCTAAAAGCAGAAGATTTGAAACTGGAATCAATTAAAAAATTTAAAAACAGTTGGAATAACATAATAAACAAATACTCAAAAATAAAAGATGATTTAGAAAGTGATGAACTAGATCTAGTAACTGGTCAAATAATTACAGATAATGGACATTTAAAAAATTTAAATAGTGTTGATAGAAATAATTTAAAAAATGTGAACATTTGGAGGGAAGATTATGAAAAAGAAGAACATAGAATTAAAGAAAGAAATAGAAGACATAGGGTTAAAAATACTAGATTAGCAAATTTGAAATTAGATCTTAATAAAAATACCAAGAACAATCAATTAGAATTTTTACATGGAGATACTCTAAGAGATGTTTCACCAACTAAAGGATCAATACCAACTGCTTTTCACACAAAAGAAGAATCCCCAACTAAAAAGAGAAGAGTATTAGTTGATGATAATGATGACTTAGAGCTGCTTGGGTCTGATTCGGAGGAAGATGAATATGAAGTAAATACAGTCAAAGGGAAAAATCAAGCAAGAGATTGTATAGACTTATTTAATGCTCCAATTTTACAACCATTCAGCAAAACTTTGTCATCGTCACCAACCAAATCAACAAGTTTTTCAATGATGAGAAGTTCACCAGTAAAAAATAATAATCTAAAAATTGAAGATGGTCTCCTTCTGATTAAAGCTGTATCACCAAGTAAAAAATCAAGAGAATCCACACCTATTAAGAAGTCAAGAGAGTCAACACCTTTGGAGTTTCATGAATTTAATTTTCTTGATCAATCACTGCCTAATCCAAATACAAAAGTAAAGACATTAGAAAATGATGGAGTTATTAACAATGAAAGTTTTACGGATAGTTTATTAAAAACAAAATCAAAATCTTCACCACCAACAAGGGATCTAATTGATGAATCCTTTACAGTGATAGACGAACTTGAATTTTTCAACATAAATAATACAACAATAGCAACTTCAGACTATTCTTGTTGCTTTGAAACATGTAAATTCTTAACCACCATCAAAAGTTCTTATAAACAGCACTTACTAAATGAACATTCAAATGCATTGTATAGATTAGGTTATCCAATAGAATACAAGATAAACCAGAATGAAAACTCAAATTTACAAGCCAACAATATAATATATGAACAATTTCCAATTAAACTAAAAGTACCTAAAAATTTCGAATTTTCAATTAATCAAAATCGACTAAATAATTCCATATTATTTTGTCCGATTTTAGGTTGTGGATTTTTGACTGATGGAGGATTTAATGAATGGAAAGATCATTTATTTCAAGCTGATCATATTGAATATGAAAATGATGCAACATACGAGAAACATGAAATCATTGATCTCACAGAAGAATCTAATGACAACGAAGAGAAGAGAAGTAACACATCCAATTTGACAATAGATAATAATAATTCTAACGAAGGTTATGAATCAATAGACGAATTATTTAAATAGATGAACTTTAATGTATTTATTACAAAATGTTTTACTAACTTTATATTATCTATCTACAAATTCATAAAATTTAAAAAATCATTAAATACTATTTACAAAAAGACTATATGAATTAAGCTACCTCAGCAGGTGGAATATCTTTACCTTCATCTTCTTTTGAATTTGGTCTACCTTTGAAAGCATCAGGACCTTTCAAATATTTATCAAATGCATCATTCCTTTCAACAAATGGTCTAGGTCCGCAAATTCTTATCATATCTTCTCTTGTTAAAATTTCTTTCTTGAATAATTCTTGCGCAACGTGATCAACTAGTTGTAACTTATCATTTAATAATGCTTTACAATCCTTATATGCTTCATCTATTAATCTTTTCACTTCTTCGTCAATAACTCTGGCTGTATTTTCAGAGTATTGATTATGTACTCTAAAACCTGATCCATCATTAGTTTGATCATAACAAATTTGACCTAATTTGGGGGACATTCCTAATTTTAAAATCATTTGTTGAGCCATTTGAGTTATTTTTTTGAAATCATCGGATGCTCCGCTAGTGATTGTGTCAAAGTGAAGCTCTTCTGATACCCTACCACCTAATGTCATGATCATTCGATGTTTGAATTGATCACCTGACACTAAGTATTGGTCAGGTGGTAGATATTGTGCATAACCTAAAGCTCCCTGGCCTCTTGGAATTATACTGACTTTCACTAAAGGATCAGCAAATTCTAAGAACCAACCACAGATTGCATGGCCAGCTTCGTGATAAGCCACTGTTTTTTTCTCTTCAGGAGACAATATTCTTGATTTTTTCTCTAAACCTGCAATAACTCTTTCTATAGCTTGTTCAAAATGATGAATGTCAACTGAGTTTGCATTCTCTCTTGCTGCTATTAATGCACCTTCATTACAACAATTTGCAATATCAGCACCTGCGAAACCTGGAGTTAATGCGCCCAATCTACCAGCTAATGATTCAATTGAATTATTTTTTAATTGTTGAAATTTCGCAAAATCAACATCTTTTTGTTTTATATCAATATCTTCAACACATGATAATTTTAATTTTGATAAATGAACTTTGAAAATTTCTTTTCTACCTTCAACATCTGGTACATCTATTGAAATATGTCTATCGAATCTACCCGGTCTTAATAATGCTTTATCTAATATATCTGGTCTATTTGTACCTGCTAATACAACAACATGATCAGTTGTATCAAATCCATCCATTTCTACTAATAATTGATTTAAAGTATTTTCTCTTTCATCATTACCACCCATTCTACCATTACCTCTTTCTTTACCAATTGCATCAATTTCATCAACAAAAATAATAGCTGGTGCCATATCTCTAGCAGTTTTAAATAAATCACGAACTCTTGAAGCTCCCACACCAACAAACATTTCAACAAATTCAGATCCACTTACTGATAAAAATGGTACACCTGCTTCACCCGCGGTTGCTTTTGCTAATAAAGTTTTACCAGTTCCTGGGGGACCACTTAATATTGCACCTCTTGGAATTTTAGCACCTAATTTTTCATATTTTTGGGGATCTTGTAAAAATTTAACAAATTCCATAATTTCTTCTTTTGATTCTTCACATCCTGCAACATCTTTAAATTTTATTTTAACATCAGTTTCTTGATTGAATAATTTAGCTTTTGATTTTCCAATTTTGAAAATTCCGCCTGGACCTCCTGCTCCACCTCCGGCACCACCTTGATTTCCTGGTATTCTTCTCATTGTTAGGTAGTACAATCCACCAATTAATAAAACAGTTGGTAAAATAGGCAAAATATAACTCATCCATGATCCTTTATCTTCATATACTATGGGGATTCTTTCATTCATTGGAATTTGTAAACGATCTTGAACTTTGTTCATTTCATCCTCAAAATATTCTATTGATCCAATTGTAAACATTACTGCTGGAGTACCATCTGACTTATTAAATGTATTGGAACTAATAGCTCCAGGAATCAATTGAGCTTCAACAACATATTTATTTATAACTGTTAATTTTTTGACTAGACCTTTTTCTAAATAATTTGTAATAAAACTTTGCATTGATAATTCTTGTTGATTTTTTTCATCATTAATATTCGAGAAAGCATAGAGCCAAATTAATAATGAAGTGGTACTTAAAAATAATACATTTACTAACTGTCTCCATTCAATTTTATAAATCTTAAAATCTTTTGGTTGCATACCTGGATGCTTTGCCATAAATTTCTTTTTTAGTTCTTCCCGTATACGATCTTCTTCTTCATCTTTTGGTTTTTTAGGCTCTTCGGTTTTTTTGGAGTAATTTTTTTCATTTAATTTTGCTTCATACTCTTCCCTTGCCTTTTTATCTATTTCGTTATTATCTTCTTCTTCCTTTTGAGGTTTTTGCTTATTATATTTGATGGTTGATTGTTGAAATGAGTGGCGGGGCCAACTTGAAAATAATCTTATTGGCGGTGATAGTAATACATTTTTCGATGAATTTATTCTTAATGTTTGTGATCTGATAGACCGACTTAGAAGTCTCACTGAAATAGCACTATTAAACATGCCATGTAGTATCAAATAGTAGAATTTTGGTTTGAAACAGTGATTCTTATTAAATTTTGAATCTTAAAGTGAGATTCTCTATTGCGTTTTTTTCAGAGAACTAAAAAATTGTATAATTAGGAATTTATTCCGCTCAAAAAAATGAGAATGATTTCAAGGTTGTTGCAAAATTACTAGAACGTTTAGAGAGCTCAAATTTGGCTTCATTTCAGAAATTCGTTGAACTCTTTTAATAGTGTTCTTTTTAACTCACTCGATAGGTTTGGGTCAATTCTGCGCAAGCGTACTACTGAAGTTTTTGGTCAATAATTTTTGGTCTTTTTTTTTGTACGCAAAATTTGTAGAAATTTGCTCTTCCTCACTTTTTTGAAACTTATTGGACACAGCAGAAAGTATAATAACTCTTTTACAATCAGTAGCAAATCTGCTATTTTATTTCGATATTAGACTGTTATAATGGTTGCAAAAAATCTATTTTTGAGACCCTAACATCAATACTTAAAAGTAAGATTAGTGCGAGAAAAAATAAACAGGTACATTTTAAAGAGCTTGTTCTAAACAAGAGCACCCCAAGTTTAGCTAAATAAAAAAAAAAGAACAAGTTAGCATGAAGTCTAATGCCTTGACAAAGATAATAAATAATAAATAAAGTTGTATTTACTGTTAGTTTTATTATAACATTTTTATAAGATTCTTTTATTTACACTCTCAAATCATTTTGATTAATTATCGGTTTCTATAGCACTTTTTCTAATTATCACCAAAATTAAAAAACAATTTATTATCTTTTATCAACATTACTTTCAGTTTTTCCAAATTTTTCCTTAAATTTAAACCTACCAACATTATCTAAGCTATGACTATGACTATGAATAGATTGTTTAGTTCTTGATATAAAAATTTTAAGTTTATCACGTTTTTTTTGGGTGGTAATAGAATACAAATTTTTATTTCTTGAACCAGTACCTAAAAATGGAGGATTTCTATTTACATTCATTAATTGATCAGGATTTTCAATTGATGTATTTGAAATTATAAAGTTGGGTTCTATTGTAGTTTCAATTTGAGGTGGTTCACTATTTGGAATTAAAACTGTATTTTGTTTTGAGTTTGGTAACTCATTTACCCCAATAGTATTGGATTTTCTAAAATTTGAATTTGCATTTGCTTGGCCAATATGTTCGATATTCGTTAGATTTTTATTTATTTTTAAACTTGGAGTTTTGGATTCTAAATTATTAAATTGATTTTGCTGTAAAATTTCACGATCTGAAATAGAATCTAAATTATTTTGGTTGACTTGATTTTTGGGTTTAGTTGGACCAATTGATATGAAATTATATGCTTTACGTATGTGAATATAATTCTGATCGTCGTTTCTTTTTTCTAGTTCTGCTAGATATTTGTCTCTTAACGTCATTTCACGTAGTTTGGTGATTTGGTTGATTCGAAGTTTTTTTGATATGCTTTTCTGTATTCAAATTTGGCTGCAAAAAAAATAAAATTAAATCAAATTATCTGTGAAACATTGAGTATGGTTTTAATCAGTGGCCTTGGAATAGATCAAAATAATCTTTAGTACAGCTCAGAGTAGAAATTTTACCTTGAAAAACGAAGCTAAATCAAGAACAGCAAAAAGTATAAAATATACATTCCTAAACAAATTATAAAAGTCCAATAAAAAAACATTGTCTAGCAATAAATGTATATCATTTATTAAGACTATTGTTAATTCTAGTTTTAACAAATTCATCCCAACAAGTTTCACAAATTTTCATAAATTTTTCTTTTTCATAACTCAACCAATTTTTGTCTTCATCTTTTCCAAATTTTGATATTGACTTATCATTATCATCATCATCTTTTGATTCTTCTTTTTCTTTATCTTCTGTCGCTTTTGAATTCTTTCTACTTCTTAATCTTCTCCTATCTTTTTCATCATCTTCTTGTTTCTTTTGTGATTCATCTTCTGATATTTCAATCACTTCTTCTTCATCATTTTCATCGATACTTTTAGATTTTTTCGCTTTATCATCCTCATCTTTCACTTCTGATTGTTCGTCATCTTTTGTTTCTTTTTCATCTTCTTTATTCTTTTTTTCATAGATTCTAAAATTAAATACATTTTCATTCATAAAATTAACACTACCAAAGATTTCTCCACTTTTTAAAGGTGATTGTGAATTTGGAACTTGTTGTAATTGAAAAGGTTGTAATCCATTATTCGTGTTTCCCAGATAAGAATTCGGAGGTGGTGCTGGTGCATAAGTTGAAGTTGTTGATGTTGGGACATATTGTGATTGAGGGTAAGGTTGAGATTGTCTGTAGTATTGTGATTGTAATGGATTTTGTATTAGTGGTGGTTGCTGTTGTTGATGTGAAGGATGTACAGATACATATTGAGGTACAGGATGATTTGAATTGATATCATTTTCAATTGTTGATCTTTGACCACCATTTGTGAAAAATTCTCGTTGTGTTGAAGGTGGTTGAGAATTCAACGGTGCAGCTTTATGATGATTATCATTAAATACATCAGTTACAGCAGTTTTGGGATTCGATAAAGATGCTCTTACTGATTGCTGTTGTTGATATTGTAAATTTGAAAGTGCCTTTTTTTGAGATGTTTGAGATGGCAGGTTTGTTGTAAAAGTTGATGGAACTGAACTTGTTGATTTACTACCTTGAGCCAGTCTAAATCTTGGTGGAATACCTGTTCTTGCAATTGGTTTCAAAGGATTATAATTATGGGATTGTAATGATGGTTGTACTTGTGTTGATGGCTGATTTCCATATGTATAAGATTGATGTTGAGAAAGTGGTGGAGGTGGAGGTGGTGGTCCATTTGATGGGAATCCATTGCGATTAACGTTGTTGTTATTCAAGGATGGAATGATACTACCTATATTGGGCAATGTTGATGATGACGTAGTAGAAGGCAAAGTATTATTTTTATTAGTAAAATCAGGAGCCTGAGGAGGCAATTGAACGGGAGGTGGTGAAGATCTTTTTTTACCTCTAAAATCAGGAGCTATAGTTCTGCTTGGAGCTGAAAGAATCGATGGTGAACTTATTGGGATTGAATTTGTAGCTGGATCAATAGTTAAAGGAGTTGGTATATTTTTTCTTTTTAATTTTTTATTTTGTAATTGTGAAAGTCTGTTTAATTCTGTATCATCAGATGCATAAATTGGTGAACTTTCCTTTTGTTGTTGTTGATTATTTGCTGATTTTAAATTATCAAATTCTTTTGATGCAGAATCTGATATCAAAATGACTCCATCACTATGCTTATTTTTACGTATTGTTTCAAGAATGAATTTTTGATCCGAATTTAAATGAGCAGAACTTGGATCATTATTACTACTGTTGTTATTGGTACTGTTTAACGTAGCTGTTGGTGTGGTAGTTGTTGTCGTTGTTATAACTGATAAAGTTGGTTCAACAGGTTTTGGAACAATTTCTTTCCCATTTCTTGCAGCTATTAAATTTCTTTGTTGTTGTTGAATTCTATGAGATAATTTAACAGTTGATTTCATTTCATCATTTAATGATATTAAACCTGGACTGACAATTCTTAAAGCTAAATCAGCATTATTTGTACCTTTTAAATTTAATGTAGTCGGTTTATGACGTTTTGGTGGTGGAAATGTATGATTCAATTGAGTATTTACATTTCCCGTAGTTTTTAAACTATAATCAACTTCAGGCGCTTGACTTGAACTTTTTCTTTTGTTGTTGGTTGATAAAGTAACATCTTGTAAATGAGGAGGAGGTGGTGGTGGAGGATGATGAGGATGATGTTGAGATAAAGACTGCAAACGAGGAGGACCTGGAGGCAATGAACTTGGTGGTGAATGAGAAGGAGGATGGTTTAATTGATGATGAGAAGGTAAAGTTTGTGGTTGCGGAGGAGAATCTCTAATTTGAATTGAAGGTAATCTTGGATGTGATGAATTTGATTTATTATCTACTATTGGTTTGTGATTTTGTATAGAAGGTAATGGTTGATGTTGACTTGCATTTGAATTTGATGACGAGGAAGTTGAAGATAAATTATTTAATTTTGGTAAATTTGGTGGAGTCCCATTTGATATTTGCAGCATTGTTTTTAGGTGATGATGGTGAAGTTTTAAATGGTGAATGAATAATACTTTATGTTTGTTTGAACTTTGTTGGAGGTGATTCAATCTCTTTGATGCTTGAGTTCCCAAACAAAACCCTTTTTAAGATTATAGTATATGAAAAAACTTATGTGTTGTCGTTGTTATCGAAATTGTTGCTATGTAATGATTTAAGTAATTGATGATGACTTAAGGAACAAAAATGGATATATCACTGAAAGAGATTATATGCGGTGATTTAAATTGAATTTGATACGTCTGGGGACTGTGTGGTGGAATGTTTCAATTCTTTTTCTTTGTAAATAAAAAAATCAAGTTGTTTAAATTAAATATATTCTAAATTCAAATAATATTTTTTTTGTTGGTTGTTAATTAAATAATATCAAGTATTTGATTTAGTTTTTAACGAGATTGATAATGGGAAAGTAATACAAAAATGCCGAAGAATCAAAATGCTTGCTTATTATACTTTGAAGTTGATGAGACCATATAATTGATCACTTTACTTGTTGAATATGAAATCAATTATCAATAATTTTTATTATGAATTGTTTATTACACTTATTAATTTCAAATATATAAAGTAGTGTGAATTCGTTCAATTATTTATTAATTATTAGTTGGAAATTCCCTCATGAAATTTTCATTACATAATCAATTGTATATACTATTACGTAAATTATTACATAAGTTGATGTTAAATTCTGAAACAATCAAGATTAGGTAATTAATTACGTAAATTTTACATTAATAATCATTATTACTATTATAATAGACAATTTTGGGGTTGAAATCTACTCCTTAAATGGTAATCTGTTTTCGAGAAAACAACTTAAACATTTCCAATTGAGTAGATTGTATACAGTCACAATTCATCGAACTATTGCAACTGAAGAAAAGACATGCATTAAACTGTTCTTTTTCTTATTACTTTATACCCCAATGTTCTTTAAACAACAAACCAGATAAAAAAAAGCTAAATCAGGTAATAAACTAAATTTTCAATTTGTGGATGTATTACATAACTATGGTCAAAAATACTGTCATAAGTAATTAATTAATCAGTCAACTGAAGAATCTCAAAAACTCTTTATACAACTAGATCTACTAAACGTAATTGTAAATTTACTAATTTCATTTTAGAATGATCTCCCAATTGTTTTATACGTCGTTGTGAAAACTAATAAGTGACTTGTAACACAAAGTTTTCTATATTTAATACGCGTAAAAAAATGGAATAGTATAAAATTTTATCACTATTGAAGTACGGATGTTGTTTAAAGCAGTATGTTGCAGCACCAAATTTTCAGCTAGCACAGACTATACGGCTGATATGAAATTTTACTCAAAATTTAAAACTTAAGATATATAAATTTTTAATGAACCATATAGTAATCAATATTATGAGTTCAGTCAGACTATACGGCTGATATGAAATTTTACTCAAAATTTAAAACTTAAGATATATAAATTTTTAATGAACCATATAGTATTCAATATTATGAGGTCAGTTTACAATTTTTATTATTTTTTGAAGAACTTCTCTACGATAAATGGAAAATGGAGTACTTTATTTCAATTTTGAAAAAGATTTATTATAATACGTAAAACTTTGTTAGAATCATGTTTTCAAAACTTCTTATTACATTAACCTTAATTCACTACCAATGACAGGCTTACTTATAATATCTTAGCGCTATTTGTTGTCAGTTTCGTAGTTCCAACTATACAATACGGTTCTTAAAGGAACGTTTGATAATAACAAATTACATAGTGCTATTATCAAACCTTATATACTAAAAGGTAAGTTTTTTTCTTTGATTGATTAAAAATTTCATGACTTATTTGACATATTGAACATAAAATTCTTGGATGATCTATTTTATTTTTTACAATAAAATAATATTTTTCAATTATAATATTTTTCCATTCTTGAGTTGATTGGTTTTTGTATGGGAGTTTATCAGTTCAAGCCTTTCACTCGATATGTTGAAGTATTCTCGTAAAAAAAGAAAAATAAGAAGTAATACTTAATAATCATTAAACTTACTTAGACAAACTAATTTATTATGAGAAATTTCATCTTTTAATATATTGCAAAGTAAAAAAATTGAAACTCACAAAATCAAAATCAAAATAAATAAACATTTGGAATTCCAAACACAAAAAAGGTTAGAGCAAAGCTGAATACTATTAAATATTTGATAAAGCAATACACAAATGTCAATTCAAAGATTAAGCTTTTAACCGTGATTAAAAGCTTTTAGTTGAACTATTTCTTGATTTAAAAAGTTTCGATTTAAGATTTTCTGATAACTAATTAATCTGTTTCAACTAAAGTTTTTAAGTTATAATCCCCTGATTAATTTAACTTAAAATATATTGAGTATTTGAACTTAACATAGTTAGAATGAGCAAGTCAAGTTCAGTTGAAATATAAGTCTTCTAAAATGCTCTTGACGTCGCGTAGCTATTAGAAAGTAGGAAGAATAAGTAATGAAATTCTCTACAAAATAATGAATTATTTAATATTATAATTTAAAGCAATCATTTTTATTATTACTACTTCATTATATACAGTATTAATGTTATCATATTTCCTTTTTATATTTTTTATATTTTAAGATTTTTTTTTTTATTTAAGTAAATATTAAAAATAATTTAATTTACAACCAAATCTTTAATATTTTATAATAAAATTGTCATTCAAATTGAACTTCATAATTTTAAGAATAAATAAGTGAGATATCAATTACTTTTATCAAAGAGAATTTATTACTTTCAATTCTTAAAGAATTTTATCATCAACATCGTCGCGTCGAGTTAATTATTATTCTCATAATTTAATCAATAGAATAAGGAACAAAATACACCGAGAAAAACATAGTCTTTAGTAATCACAATTTCAATTTGAAGTTTACGTTTCTTATTCAATTCTTCCAGTTAATCATAATTTGAATTAGTTTTTTACTCAGTTCACTCGTACTGCTCAAAGATACTTTTATCATCGTAACAATTCAACTTTATCAAATATTATGAACAAAAATGATGATAAGATTAATTCAAATAATATATTATCATCAAATTTAATTACTTTAAACCAACATAATGATATTCTTAACAATGATGAAACCACTATAAATGAGATTAATAGAAACAAAAGAAATAGACCTTTAAGTTCATACTTGGAAGAAAATTTTGATTCAATAAATAATTTCACAATTAATGATAATTCAAGTAATTCAACAATAAAAATTGACAATTATACAAAGACAATAAATAAAATTAAAAGTTCATCACAACTAAAAAAAAAGTCATCATTTGCATCAATAACATCACCACTATTCCAAAAATCAAAATCTTTTTCATCAAAATTATCAGAATCTCCATTACTGAATAGAGTTCCATTAAAAAATTTATCAAATATACAATCTTCAATAAAAGCAATATCCAAAGCTTCTCATAATTTTTTTAATAATTTTCATATGACTACAACAAAATCTTCCAATATAAAAGAGGAACAACAGCAAGAAGAAGAAGATATTCCCACTGATTGTGATTCAGACGAAGATGATGATACTTTCGATACTATCGAATTAGGTTCACCAACTGAAAATATAAGAAATCGGTCACAAAAAAACTCGATTTCTATAAGTAATTCGAATACACTGCCATCCAAAATATCCTCCACTACCACTACTACAAAATTATTTAATAAACCAAATTTTAGGAGATACCATTCATTATCAACTACTCAAAAGGAAATCGATGATTTTCATTTTCAAGAAAATGATAATAATAACATTAATTTAAAAAATTCAACAATAAATTTTTTCAAATCAAATAGTAATGATATGTTATTAAGAATTAATGAAAACCAACTACACAGGATTATTAATGGAAAACATAATCATGAATTTAATAATTTTACAATAATAGACTGTAGATTTAAATATGAATTTGATGGTGGTCATATTGACTCAGCAATCAACATAAATTCATATGATGATCTAGAACTTAAGATTAAAGAACTAATGAAGCACCAAAAAATTAATGAAAAAAATTTAATAATTTTCCATTGTGAATTTTCGGTATACAGAAGTATATTAATGGCACAAGAATGGAGAAGATACGATAGATTAATCAATAAAAATAATTATCCAATTTTAAGTTGGCCAGATATTGTAATTTTGGAAGGTGGCTATAAAAAATTTTATGAAAATTTTCCAGATTGTTGTTTCCCAAAAGCTTATATACCAATGAATCATAACAATGATAGTAAATCATTATTAAATAATATTAGAAATGAAAACAAATTATTAAATAGAGCAAAATCATTTAATCAATTTAGTATAAATTGTTCATCAAATCTGATGATGGATTTTTGGAATGTTGATAACGAACAAAAACAACAACAACATAATAAATCTTTAAGTTTTTCAAATTTAAATAATTCAACTAATGATCGAAAAATTATTAAACGTCAAAAATCAAATTCAACTTTTAGTGCACCAAATTATAATTCACCTGAACTTTTAAATTCATCATCACCATTAATTTCTCCAACATTGCAACAATTTCAATTTAATGATGAAACACCACCCACAACAACAACTACTACTCAAAGACCTAGTTTTCTACCACCATCAACAATTTTTAGAAATACTCAACAATTATATTTACAACAACATCATAGAAAATCTTATTCTTCAAGTTTTAGTTCAAGTTCATTATCTATAAATTCTTCAATATCATGTAATTCTTCATTAAATTCAGAAAGTTCATTATTGAATTTTGATACTCCAAATTCTCCAATTATTGATTCAAATCTCAAAAATAATATCAATACTCAAAACAGTCCAAATTTAAATCCACCAAATTCATTGTCATCGAGTAATTCTCCAATTTTAGATTATTTCGATAGTAAGAAATCTATATCAACCACCACCACAGATTCAAACTCATCATCATCAATCAATTCTAATAATTTCCAATTCCCTCAAAGATCTTTGTCATTATCATTATCAACATCAAAACCAATAAAACCAACCCCTGTTTCAGCCACAACCATTACATCATCATCTTCACCTATCATATCATCACCATTATCAATGAATTTAGCAACTCCTAAAACCACATCTGAAGATCCAAGTTCATTAGGTTTATCAACAACTTTAAAAACATGTAGTTCATTCATTGATCCAATTAATGATACTCCTGTTGATTTTTCAATACCTTCAACTTCAACAATCATTGAAAAACAATCATTTTCAAAAATAACAAATCATTCATTTTCAAAACATGCTTTTAATATAGATGAATTAAATTCAGTTTGTAATATTAATGAAGTAGATGAAGAAGAAACTTAAACTTGAGATTTATTGGGTTTTGGATGGTGTTAACATTTAAAAGACATAACTTGGGAATTTTATAAGACCCTATTTCAATTAATTAAACTTTAAACTTTAGCATTTTTAATAATACGTTAAACAATCTATTATTTTATGTTTTTCTGTAGAATTAAAAATTTCAAGAAACATTTTACCAGCTCGTCCTGTTTCGCAATGAAATTGTTTTTCATGTTCTTTATCGGTTAGATTGCATCTTATTGAGTCTTTGCGTTGTTTTAATTTATAAAAATACAAGAAATAATGTTACATATACTACAACAACGATAAAAAAAAAAACATATAAAACATCCTTCTGTAAAACCACCAGCAAGTCAGAAAAAAAGAGTTTCGAGAAATTTGAAAATCTGGAGGCTCCAGATTTCGGACTTGAAAAATCGTACTTGTTTCCATATCTGTAATAGACTTAAAAAAAACTAAAATTTTATAATCGTGTGCGTGAAATTAGATTAATGTAACATGGATTTTTTAATTGTAACATCTGAATAATATATGCTTAACGGATTGGGAAAATAGTTTTCATTTTTTGAAATGTATTATAGGCAAAAAGTTAAATTTGCCTCATACTATTCTAATTGTTTGATAATTGCACTTTTGAATTTATTAACAAAGTAGATAAGATAACCATCAATCTAAGGAAGAATTTTTTATGCAAAAAGGAAAATGTTTGATAAAGACTTTTAAATTTGAAAAAAAAAAATGTATCTTGAACGACAAATTATGACTCTAGTGATCTTAAGTGAAAAAATTTAAAACAATTGATCAATTTTAAAAAGGGTATTGAACAAAGTTCAATTTGCAATTTGCAATGTTACAAATTTTTTAAAGATCTATCCCCGCATTTTTTCAAAAATGACAATTGGTGAACACGAACTAAAAAACCCATTTAAACTTCCACTAGTGTTTTTTCTTAAATCTGGGGGTCAGATGTTAAACGACATTTTCTGAACTAAAGGGTTCTTATTAATTAGTGATTGTTGTTTAGTTTGAAGTTTTAAATTTTTTTGGTCTTGATTGTACGGCTGTATTTGTGTTTCATATTTATATAAATGTAATATGCTGCAAAATTTTTATTAAGAATTAGGTCTGATTAAATGTTTATAAATTTAGTTCAAACGTTGTAATAAAGTAATTGAAATATATAAAGTGATACAAGTCACTACTTAGTCCAGAAACATTTGAGTTGGGTAGAATATAATTGATACATTAAAAAGAGTTGAACTAAAAGAAACAGTGCTTAAATCATGTCAAAATAATTTATAACTTAAAATAATGCATGCCCATGTAAGATCGAAAATCATTGTTAATTAAATTTATAATCTGAAACATGATACATTGTGATCCATCTGAATCAAACTATACTCGCTTTTCAGTTTATAAGTTGTGATTCTCGATTATAAAATTTTAAAATTTGATTTATTGAACTACTTAGACAACTAGATTTAGATCCTACATTGGATCAAAAATCTGGGGCAAGCTAAGGTTAACTCGTTACATTAAAAAGTACACTCAATACTAAAAAATTCTTCGAGACGAAGTAATTTACTAAGATTGGAAATTGAAACCGAATTGATTGATACTAATTTTTAGAGCGATTTTGGCTTGTTTCAGAAAGAAGTTGTTCAATTATAATTCTTATACCATAGATCTGCCCTTGATCAAAATAAGTTTGTGTCTATACCTTATAATAATATGTATAGCATAGTTAAAGTTATTAGTACAAAAATGAAATTAATTTTTACCTTTTTTAGTTTTTAGTGTAACATCGTTTCATTTCAAATTCTTTATTTTATATACAGTGCACAAATACTAAATTATTTTGACTTATATTGTTAATAAATTAAATTATATTTACAGGTAATAATTTGAATAATTGAAATAAGATAAGGGTAGAATTAACCGAATTACTTAATTTTCTGAGGTGAACAAAGGATTAATAGTTTTATTCAGACCATTTTTATATTTTTCACACAATTAATTTATCTTATCTCTATTATCAATGCTTAATAATACGCATTTTGAGGGATCAATAATTTAGAATAATTGTGTTATTTTTGTTTTGTAATACAATCCTTTAAAAAGCAAAAAACGTTGATGTTTCATAAATCTTTACTAAATAATTCTATATGTTTCATATTTTTAAATTAGATGTAACTTGAATGAATTGAGTTTTACAATTTGTTAGTGTATTATATTTTTTACACCTTAAAAGTGTTCAATATACAGGATTTGAGAGTATATAAGGCATTTTTATATTGCGCTTTTTTTTAATGAGTGTACGGAACTTTCAACAAAGTTTGGCTCAAAGTTTTATAGAAATTTTATTAATAGCATTTAAGTTTAAAACAATTAACAATAGAGTAGAACAATTAATTATATAGTTATGTATAATTGTCGATTTAGACAGTTTAATTAAAGGATTGTAGTTATTGTCAATTAAAATGGCTTAAAAATTACAAAATTACAATAAATTATATTCTCAATTTCATGTTGTTCATCCTCAATCATGTTCTTTGGAACACATGTTCGAATAAAGAAGTGGATGATGTTTTGATAAAGTAAAAAGTATTTACTTACTTTTTTATTATTGTAAAGATGTTACAATCTTTCTTTCTTTTTGTCTGTATTTGATTTTGTCTCATATTTTACATTAATATTTATTTTTATTAATACGAGAGAAAATAAGTTAATATTTCAATTAAATACAACAATAATACATTTTTATTAATTATAATAATTATTAATATCACTTGACTATTAAAAGTAAATAATATTATATTTCTTTACTAAAATTAATAGAAATCTTGATCTAAATTTAAAAATAAAATCTGGAGAATGATGTAAGAAAATTAAATAATCATAGATTTGTGTGATTCATATTTGTTTGGTGAATGATTAAATGAATTTTAATTCTAAAGTGGAGAGTATTATATTAATTTTTTTTTTTCACCTGTATATTAATTATTGTAGAATTATTAATTATACAAAACAATAAAGAAATTTAATTTATTATACATTTGAATTTATTTATTATCTATCTTATCAATTAATATTATACAATAATGAATAAAAATACTTCAATAATTTTATTTATATAAATAAATGAATATTTCATTATTTTTTTCAACATTTCTTGATTTCGATTTTATTATCATTATCAACCTACAACTCAATTAATTAGTTTAATTACTTAATTGTCAATAAAAATTGAGAAATATTATCATATATTACTTTTTACAGGGCTAGATAGATCAAAATTACAATTAGTATAATTATTCACTGATATATAGTTAAAATATACCTAGTATTCATACTTTTCAATTCAAATAATATTTCAAATTTTTGTGCCAATAAATTACAATTTATATTATAATAATCACATATAAATATAATAAAGAATGAGTGAGGAAAAAATAATTTCAAATCATGGTGTAGAAATAGCATCAAGTTCATCAGATTCAAAAGATTTAGAAAATCATTTAGATGATGAAATTCATTTAGATTTAAAAAAACATACTATAGAAGAAATTAATTCTTCTGGTCATTGGTATGATAAAACTTTTAAAATTTTTGGTAAAAATTATCATTATTCAAATTCAATGGTTCAAGTTGTTGTTTGTGCATTTGTTATATTTATGGTATGTAATTATTCAAGACTAAATAAGAATTTTATATGGGGATGGGGGTATTTAACTTCGGCGTTGTAATTGACATTTTAAAAATTTCATGAAAGAACGAAATTTAACAATTTCAGAGAAAAATTATAAATTTTATTGGAACAATCACAACCTATATAGTCACCAACCCCAATTTAGGTCAAACTTGATGTACTAACTTATTATTTGTTTTTAGACTCCTGGTATGTACAATGCACTTAGTGGTATTGGAGCAAGTATTAGTGATAAACCAACAGCTGATAATGCAGCAGTTGCATTATATTCAACATTTGCAACTATTGGATTTTTTGGAGGTACAATTGTAAATATAATTGGTGTTAAATATTCTTTAATGTTTGGTGGATTAGGTTACGCCTTGTATGCAGGATCATATTTATCTTTCAATCATAATGAAAATAAAGGATTTGTTATATTTGCAGGTGCATTTTTAGGTTTATGTGCTGCTGTATTATGGGCAGCTCAAGGTCAAGTTGTTTTAAGTTATGCAGATGAAAAAAATAAAGGTAAGGCTATTATGATATTTTGGGTTATTTTTAATTTAGGTGCAGTTATTGGTAGTATTATTCCATTAGCTGATAATATTAATAATGTTGGATCAGCAGCTAATGATGGTACTTTTATTGCATTTATTATATTAATGTGTTTTGGATCATGTATTGCTTATTTTATGTTAGAACCATCAAAAGTTTATAAATCAGATGGTACAAAAGTAGCAGTTGATCAACATAAAGCTCCAAATGTTAAAGATGAAATTATTGCATTATTTAAATTATTATTTAAAGAACCAAAAATTTTATTTATGTTTCCAATGTTTTTTGCTTCAAATTGGTTTTATACTTATCAATTTAATAATGTAAATCATGGAATGTTTAATTTAAGAACAAGATCATTAAATTCTTTATTATATTGGTTTGCTCAAATGATTGGTGCAATTATTTTAGGTTATATAATGGATTTAAAATATTTGAAAAGATCAACAAGAGGTAGAATTGGTTGGATTATTTTGTTTGTTACTGGTTTAGCTATATGGGGAGGAGGATTAAAATTTCAATTAGGATTTACAAGAGAAGAAGTTGAAGCAACCCCTCCAATTATTGAACCAATGGATTATACTCAAGGTAAATATATTGGACCAATGTTTTTATATATATTTTATGGAGCTTATGATGCATTATTTCAAACTTTTACATTATGGTGTATTGGAGCATTATCAAATAATCCAAAAAAAGTTGCATTATATGCTGGGTTTTATAAAGGTATACAATCAGCAGGTGCTGCAATTGCTTGGAGATTAGATGCTATAGCTTTACCATATATGAATTTATTTGCTTCTAGTTGGGCATTATGTCAAGCTTCATTAATTATTGCAATCCCATTAATTTGGTTTAGAATTTCTGATCATACTGATGCTATACAAGATGGTATGGATGATATTGTTGGTATGGATGAAATTGAAGCTGTTAAATCTACTACTGAACATAAAGAATAGAAAAAAGTTTTGGTGTGATTTAATGATAAAGTTACAAACAGGAAAAAAATTGGAAAATAAACAATGTATTATGATTATTATTTAGTATTTATTATAATTTTTTAATAAATTAATTAGACTGTGTCTTATGGTATTAATTTGAAATGATGAATGTAAGAATTCTTATGTATATTTTTCTTCACAATTTTGGTTTCAAAATTCTTTGTTTTTACTTTATCTAATTTTATTTACAAAGTATACAAGTTTTTGGACTATTTAATTTTTCAAGACAAATTGAATGATATGAATGACCACATCCAAAAAATATTAAATCTAAATAATGAAATTTTTCATCTACTTCATTAGTTGATTGTAAAATAATTCTTTTATATTCTTTATTCTCTAAAGCTAATTGATGTTGATCAATAATTTCTTCAGATAATTTTGATCCACAAATTAATTGACCACAAGAATAACAAGAAGTACCATTTATTATCCAACCTCTTTGATGATTATCTTTTATTAGTAACATATTCTTGTAAAAATCATCATTAAGCATTTTTAATGAAATTTTTAACATTTCACTTTCATAAGAATAAGATATAAATACTTCTTGTAATATCCCTTTAATGTTTGATAATGTTGCAATTTGTTTTTGATCATTTGAATAAGTTTGTAAAAAAATTGTAAAAATTTTTAAAAATGATTGTTCACCTTTTGGTGAGTTTAATTTATAATCACTTATTTTTTTAAAACAATCATGAATACATCTGTTTATGAAATTGTGAGTATTTTCATCGGTGGTGATATTAGCTAAATTAACTAATGAATTTAATAAATTTAACCATAATTTTTCATTTAATGACATTTCTTCTTCATCAATTGATATATCATAAGTTTCTGGCGTTTCTATAATTGTCATAGCATAATTTATTAAGTGGATGAAATTTTCTTGATTGGATTCAGTAATTTGATCCAAAATTTGTTGAATATTATCAATTATTGTATCAATTGCTTTACTGTATTCTTTAGAATATGCAAATAAACATGCTTGACCATCGATAACTTGATTGTTTCTCAAAAGGTCTATCACTTGATCATAATCCAGCTTGATTAATGTAGACTTCCAATATTCTGTAAACTCAAGCACTTTACTTCTATTAAATTTTATTAATAATCTCAAATATTCAAATAAAAAATTATCTAGCTTAATCAATTTGCTTTCTTGAAATAGCTTTTGTAAATAATTAAATTTCAATAAATCATCTTGTACAAATAAAACCTCAGAATGTAGTTGAGATGCATATTTATCAATAAGTTTATAAAATAAATCAGTATCTGATTTCAAAAAACTTGAAAACTTATTCCTTAATACTTTAACAACTTTAATTTTTTCTTTTGCATCTTGATTTTTAGCAAATGATTGATCAATTAAATTCATTAAATGTGAAACATAATCATCTTCTTCATTTTCATCTTTTTGTAACCACATTTCTAAAGCCATTGAATATTTCCCTTCGGAATTATAAAAATCAACTAAAACATTATAAAATCCAGCTAATTTTAATTTATCAATAAAATTTTCATCATCTGGTAAATATTTTTGTAATAAACTTTGTAAAGCTAATTCACAATCTTGAAAAATCTCGTTATTTGAGTTTGAACATAAATTGTCTATAATTGAATCTAATGTTGATTCTGATAATCTTATAAATTGTGAATATTTGGGATAATTCCTTGCTATGAATATTGATAATTGACATTTATCAAAATTGTTTAACTTCGATTCATTAGCATTATATAAATCCAATAAGGCTTCTATCAAAAATTGTCTATTATACTTTGGTTGATCGTTTAAAAATGATGATTCAAAAAATTCATTTAATGCTGATAATGTTAGGAATGAATCAATTTGCAAAAATGTGTACAAATAGGGAAATATAGTATTATCATCTAATGCATGAACTATTTGACCATTTCTTGTGACTGACCCACTTGAAAATAGAATATCACAAAGACTTTTAATAGCATCAAATTCTCCATTACTTATATACCTTTCTGTTGGATATTGCCTACCTGTAAGTATAAAAGAAATATAATCATAAGCTTTCAAATGTTCTTCAGATTGTAAGAAAGTTGAATTTTGAAAATCATTTAGAAAATCTAGTAAAGGTGTTTCATAATCATTTAATAATGAATTCCATATAAATATTAAACATTCTCTTAAATTGTACTTTTTACATAGTTGAATGGTAACATCAATGTCTAGACTCTTTATATCTAATGTACATAATAATTCAGTAAGTAAATCTCCCATTTCGTTAGTGGCGTAGTATTCAACAAGTCTTTTTAAAACAACAGGTGGTAAAATGGTAATAAATTCTGACAAAATAAATGGTTCTAAAGTCTGAAAGAATCTTTGATTGTCGTTGCTGTACTCTAATAAACTTTCTAGTATATCTGTATATCCAGTATATGATATAATATCAAGGTATTTAGTTAAGTGATCATTTAAATGTGGTAATGCTTCTTTCATTATTTCAATTAAGTAGGGTCTAATTATAGCTGCTCTTTTATTTTTATCTATGGGTAAACCAACAGCAACTAGCTTTCCCTTTGAAGTTGTATTATAAAATTCATCAGCAATATCTAATGCCTCTGAGTAATTTGAATGCGATATATTGGTAAGCAAAATATCTGCCCAACTCAATTGTCTACCAATCGATAATTTCGACTCGTTTAACATAATGAAGCATTGTTTTGATGAATTTATTTGTTTTATTTCACTAGTAAAAAAGTCCTCTGCTATCGGCGTAAGTGATTTATTATCATAAAAAAATGTAATCATTTTAGTCTCTTCATCAGAACCAACGAACACACTCAACATATTTGATTGAATCCATTTAATATCTATTATATTTGATTTTGTATCCCATTTACAGGTTTTGGAAAAGGGTAATTTTGGTATAGCTTTATCTTTGTCTTTTGCATCATTAACGATTTTGATCAAATTGTTGGGGAATAAATGATTATCTAGTTCTAATATACCCAAAACATTATTCCAACTATAAGCTAACTTGGCATTACTTATTCCATCTAGTGTTTTAACACAAGGAAACCAGGACATGGCTGTCGAGGTAACTATTGAACCAGACTCTTTGGATTTCCCAACTTTAAAATACGGTATTACTCGAGTTATTGAAGGATCATTTAATGAGGTTGTTGATAAAATAGTAAGCGTATCCTGAGTCATTAGCGCTAATACACCCATTCCGTCAGTAATTTGATTTGAAGAACCCATAGGTAGCATTCCATAATTTAAAATTTTTAGTTGTAATTCATTCCTCGATGGATCATTAATTTTTAGTAGTTGTTCACTTGTGAAATAAGTATTGATTAATTTCTTGACTCCAGTATGATGAAGAATTAAACTAGATTCATCTATACTTATAAATTGATGAGTTTGTGATTGAATGAAACTGACGTATGTGATTTTCTTATTTATCAAATGACCGTTTTTGGTTGATGATACAGACTCTAGTGGATAAATTGTAAAATATGGTAATATGCCATTTGGTAAAATTACTGGTCCATTGTTTAAATCCCATAGTCGGATTGTTCCATCTTTATAACCTGCTATGAAAAAAGTGCAATCTGATGAAAAAGACATACAGGAAACTTCGTTTTGTTCTTCATCTTCAGGAAGGAATAGTATAGATGCAATTTCCTGTTTGTAATTAAAAATAAGAATTTGTCCATGACTTGTTCCAACGGCAATAAAAATTGAATTTGTATTAACTAATAGCACCAGGCCATACTTTGAAATAAACTCAGATGAAGTTATGATAAATGATATTTTTTTTAAATCAGACCAGCTGTATATACTTATTAATTCCAATTTATTGGATTGAGTAGATGATTTTTTTTCTAAAGTTTGTTGATATGAATTAGATCTATAATTCTTTAAAGCTAAACTTGTTTTAGTAGTTGAACGATCATCAAATCTTTTTTTATGATTATTTATATTGAAAGAAGAATTATTTGATGATAAACTTAAAGATGGCGACCTAATAGATCTAGTTGATAGATCAAATATAGTCAATTTCTCAGAATTGGATGTCATTGATCATATTTAGTTGTAAAATTGAAATTTGGTTGTAAAATGAGTACCTAGATATTTTATCGCGAATTATATACTCGTATGTTTATATATTGTAATATTACTTTAAATAAATTTATCAACTTAAATTGATCTAAAAAATTATATGAATTTAGCTCTACAAGATCCTTTTTCTGTAGCGAAAGAGTTTCCTGAAAATTTATCAACAACATTAAACTATGGTCATTCGGTTGCAATTCAATTTAATCATAATGGTGATTATTTAGCATCAGGTTTATCAGATGGATCAATTGTAATATACGATATGGTATCAAATGGACTAATAGCACATATTGTTGAAGATTGTCATGTTCGACCTATTACTTCAATTACTTGGTCAAAATGTGGAAGATATCTTTTAACTTCATCACAAGATTGGTATTGTAAATTATGGGATTTAAGTAAAATTAATAATAATTCTAAAAATTATAGAGGATCACCAGTAATACGACAAGTTAAATTTGATGGACCAATTTGGCTGGCAAATATTCATCCTGAAAATCATTATGTATTTGTTGCATCATTATTGGATGATTCACCAGTTTATGTGAACTTAGAAGATGAGAAACCAAAAGTAATTAAACTAAGAACTGATCCTTTAGAAAATGGGGAAGAAGAACAAGATGGAGAAGAAAAACTACGAAATTCAAGTAAAAAAGAAAACAATAGCAAACATTCAACATTAGTAACAATTTTTACTGAGCAAGGAAAATATATTTTCACAGGTACAAGTAAAGGATGGTTAAATATTTTCAGAACTAATGATTTAAAATTGATACATTCTGTTAAATTAGCAAATTCAAATATTAAAAATATATCAATATCACCAAACCAACGTAAATTAGCAATAAATTTTTCAGATAGAATAATACGACAAATTGATTTACCAGATTTAATAAATGAAAATGATACAACGGAATGGGATTTTGAAATTGATCATAAATATCAAGATGTTGTAAATAGATTACAATGGAATTCTATAACTTTTAATCATAATGCAGAATTTCTAATAGCATCAACTCATGGTCAATCATCACATGATTTATACCTTTGGGAAACTTCAATGGGTTCATTAATTAAAATTTTAGAAGGTTCAAATGAAGAATTAATTGATGTAAAATGGAATTTTAATAGGTGTAAAATTGGTTCAATTGGGTTAGATAGTGGTTCAATATATATTTGGTCAATACAATTTCCTCAAAAATGGAGTGCTTTAGCTCCTGATTTTGTTGAAGTTGAAGAAAATATAGAATATATTGAAAAAGAAGATGAATTTGATATTTTAGATGAATCAGATATTAATAAGAAAAGAATGGAAGAAGAAGATTTGGAGATCGATGTTACAACTAAAGAAACAACAGATGCAAGAGGTTTTGATATTAGTCAAGAATCATTTATTATCCCAATCGATTATGAAAAAAATGTCATTCAATAGATTTCTCTCCATATAGAATATTAATAATAAAGATACAACTTTATACTTTTGAAAAAAAACGCTGAAACAATATCAAATCTATTTGATATTGCCTGTAAACATTTCCAATTCTAAAGTTGCATCTTAATTAAATGATCCATCAAAGGTAAGCGTTTACTAAGTGTTCCAAACCGCCAACAAGTCAACACAAGAGTCGACCCAAATTAATTACAATCAATTTACGGAATAATTTGGGTATGGTGATATTGACCTATTAGTTACTAATTAGAATTACTATAGCATATTATCATAATTTGATATAATTTCAAAAAGCCTCACTTATTACCCAATTAAAAAATTATTAATAGAACAAAAAAAAATAAAGTTTAAAATTTAAACACAAAATTGTTATAGTACAAATAATTAATATACAGTCTTACATTTTACATCATTTGATTCTATTCTATACTAGTAAAACATTAAAAACTTGTAATAGTATATTATTTTATTGATATTTCAATTTAAGAAATATGAATAGTTGATATTGTATTAGCTAATATCAGCTATGTTTTCCTTAATTGTCTCGTACTCATCATTTTTTATAAATTTTATGGAGATTTTGTAACTAGTTTTAGGACTGCATATAACTTGGGTACTACCAAAATTGTTTGTATAATTCCAACACAATTATCAAATATCAAACACAATATCATTACTCCATATATCAACTAAAATATAAACTGTCCTTTTTTTTTTGTATTGAATGAAATTCCAATAAGTGATTATGGAAATAAATAAAATAAAAAAACGAAAATATTCAAGATTAGGTTGTTCAGAATGTAAAAGAAGGAAAATAAAATGTGATGAAAGTAAACCAGAATGTTTTAATTGTTCGAGATTAAGAAAAATTTGTAATTATCCTGACTCAACTAGTTCAAATTTTAAATACGAAAACCCTAATACAAAATTCGAACCTCAGCACCATGTAAATGAAAATGAAATAAATAATCTGTCACAAGTTAATCATGATTTGAATAATAATAATAATAACAATTCCAAGATTATATTTGATCATAATTTGAATAAGTCATCACTACCTCAACAGCTTCCTAATTCACCTTTATTGAATCATCAATTCCATCAATCTCCACCGCCGCCCCCGCAACAACAACAACAACAACAACAACCTCAACAACAATTATCTTACAGATTTTATCAAGAAAACAACAGTAATATTAGAACTCCTCCGTCAATAAATTCAATACATGATCATTCAACTTCGGCAACAAAAGTAAATCTACTAGACTTGGAGGCGAGGTCTAATGAAGGAAACATAAACAATATTAATTTACCTATTATTCAGTCACCGAACCAACATCAACATATACAAGCTCCGATTCAACCACAGCCACAGAGTCTTTCCCAACATCAATCGAATATACAAACGCCATCTACATCAAGTAATACCTTAAACCAACATAATCATCAACGATCAATATCTACTACAAATTCAATTCTACCTCATAATCAACAGCCACCTTCTCAACAACATTTGATAAATTCAAATCATCAATGTAAAAAATATAAGATATCAGACATTCTATCTCCAGACATTGATTTTTTAAATGATCAAAATTGGGGTAGTATTGCACCTGATGATGTACGAAATTTATTTGATGATGCAAGTTTATTAGTTCATGATTCTTTAGAAATGTTTGGGATTGATCAATATAATAATATCAACCAACCAATAAATCATAATATCAATACAATCACCACTACAAATACTCCAACTACAAACACAAACATAAATAATAACAGTAGTACATCAAATGTAGAAATTCAAAGAATTAGAGCTGACTCTTCTTACTCGGTAAGTATTCCGAGTTCAGATGAAGCTTCAATGTTCCCCGATTTTCCTATTGAGGAGTTCAGTAGTAGGTTATTTGTAAAATCAAATCCAATATTAATGGAACCATTAAAAAGTAATAAAGAGCTTATAGAATCAACATTAAAACATTTTGAATTAAGTGGACCTCATGAAAATTATTTAAATAAACTAACAAATTCGGAATTATCATTTCATATGTTTCCATTTGCTGAAAGTATAGAAAATAATATAGTTAACAAAATTTTGCTTAAATATCTGCAAAGTTGTTCATATTTATTAACTTCATTATTATCAAGCTCAGCAACTTTTCAATTTATTCAAACAAGAAAACAATGTCATGAACAAAACAGAGTTAAATATAATTCAATATGTTTGAAATTATTAAGTGAAGCATTTCCTCAAGTAAATAATGAAGAAGAAGATCAAAAAATTATGGCTAACGATATTGAAAAATTATTATTAACTATATTAGTATTAACTTCAAATTTCACTGCAACCGCTTATTTTCAAAAAGATCACGGTACTCATAAAAATCAAACCAATAATAAAGATAAAGCCCAAAATGATTCAAAACCAAATAAATTACTTTCTTGGAAAACTCATTTACGTGGAGTTAAAGATTTATTAATTAAATATACAGATTTAACATGTAATAAAACTAATCGTAAATATATATCAGATGGTTTAGCATTAGCTAAAACTTGGTATTTTGCAATTGAATCATTAGCTGAATTAAATGATCCCTTAGGAGGTACATTAAAATATATTAAGAAAAACATATCAAATGAAGTTGATATAATTAAAACCGATATGGAGTTAGATTTTTCTGATATGAGTAAATTATGGTTACAAACTGGTTATTTTAGTGAAGAAAAAAATAAAGATTATCATGATGCATTAATTAGAATTAATTTACTTACTTTACCATATTCTAATTCTGTACAATTTAATTTATACAATGGCTATAGTATTGCTTTTGTTAAATTAATTGATGAATTTTGTAAATGTTTAGATTTATTAAGAGATAATAATAATGCTCAAATGAGTGGTCAACGTATTTCAAGAATAATGAGTTTAATTGATAAAGGTAGAGAAAATGATATTGTACCATTAATAAATAAGGATTCATTTATTATACCAATAACATCACCTGGTCATCCAAATTACAAAAATTTTGATAAAATCGAATTACCTAAATCATGTTTTGGAAAAGAAAATATAATAAATGAATCAACCAATGAAGAAACTACTATTTTTTATTCATGGTTTGATTGGTGTGAACAAATGCATATTGATTCATTATATTTAAAGTTGTTAACTACTAAGGGGTTATTAAAATTACCACAAGATCATGCATTAATCAAAGAACTTAAAATAAAAATACTCGATTCATTATTCTTTATTAAACCACTTAAATCCAAAAATCAATTAAATCATCATCATCATACCGATAAAAATTGGGCAAAACATGACGATATTTTTGTCAAATCAGAAAATTTTTATATTTCTAAAAATTTATTTGATTTAAGAGTTATAATGGTACAAAGTGTATTTCGTCAATGTTCCAAAATTCAATTAAGTGATGAAGAATTTGAAAAATTAGAACTTTTATTTAGAGGTATGATTAAATTAGGTAATGGATCCTCATTAATTGCTTTAGATCAAATTAGAAAATTAAGAAATAAAAATATAACAAAAATTAAAAAGGAAAATGATGATGAATTTACCAAACTGGATGGTTTTGAAAGAAAAAGTAGTAATGGATCAAATAGAAATGGTGAATTTGAAAAAATTCAAGGTTCTAAAAATTCAAATACTGATATTGATGATGATAATGTACAAAAGGATCAACGTGAAAATGAAGAACAAGAAGAAAATAATGATGAAACTGATGTAAGTGAAGATACAAATACATTTTTGGATATCATACCATTTTCTTAAATAAGTTTCAGTTCAAGTAATTTTTAATAAAATTTTAGAATGTTGCGGTACGGTTTTTTCTTACTTCATGTTTTGGATAGTGTAAGTTTCAATAGTAGAATGAATTAACCGATCTTTCAAAGCTCGGGTATTCAGTCGAACGGTTTACCCATTTAAAAAGGATTCTATTTTTAGAACTTTCGTTTGTCTCAAGCTCTTGAATTGAGTATTACATCGTATAACTCGTATTCATTTCTTTAAATCTTCTCTATTGAAACTCGTGTAATAATAAACTGTTAAATTTTTTTGATACACAAAATCAAAAACCAAAACATTGGAATTACTAGAAAAATATCAATATTGAAATTAGCAACTGAATTTAATTACTTCTTCTTTGACAGACATTTATCAATTGTATCAGATTAAGGACTAATTTTTTCAGCGAAACCTGTAAAAGACTACTCAATAAATCATGTCTGAGCAAGATCCTTTAATTAGAGCATCTACCACCACCAAACCAAAAAAAGGTTATTTACCAAAAGATGAAATAGAATGGGAATTTGGAGGACCTATTGGAGTTTCAGCAATGATGATTGGGTTCCCTCTTTTAATGTGGTATATGTGGATTGGGGCTGAATTTTACAAGGGACAATTTCCATGGCCAACTAAAGATCAATCATGGTTAGAATTTTTAATCTTACTATGGGAATTAATTAAATTAAATGGTTTACCAACATGGGGAACTTTTATTTTTTTCACAAGTTTTATTATAATTCAAGGAATTTTTTATTTGATATTACCTGGAGTTTGGACAAAAGGTCAACCATTAACTCATTTAGGTGGGAAACAATTACCTTATTTTTGTAATGCTATTTGGTCATTTTATACTTCAGTTATATTATGTTTAATTTTACATTTTACTGGATTATTACCAGCTTATTATATTTTAGATAATTTTGGTAGAATTATGACTATTGCTATAATATATGGACAAGTTTTCGCAATTGGATTATATTTGATTACTATTAATATTACTGGTGATTATCATAGAATGACTGGTAATCATATATATGATATGTTTATGGGAGCTCCATTAAATCCAAGAATTGGTAAATATTTAGACTTAAAAATGTTTTTCGAAATTAGATTACCTTGGTTTATTTTATTTTTCCTTAGTTTTGGTTTATGTTTTAAACAATATGATACTTATGGATATGTTACACCTCAAGCTTTGTTTTTATTATATGCTCATTGGCTTTATGCTAATGCTTGTTCAAAGGGAGAAGAGTTAGTTGTACCAACTTGGGATATGGCTTATGAAAAATTTGGATTTATGCTTATATTTTGGAATATAGCTGGTGTACCTTTTACATATTGTCAATGTTCATTATTCATTGCGTACAATGAACCACAAGTTTATCAATGGTCAACTTGGTATAATGTATTATTATTTGTAATTTTAACAATTAGTTACTATTTCTTCGATACTGGAAATCGTCAAAAGAATAGTTTTAGAAGAACATTATCAGGAAATACTCATTTAAGAAAAACTTTCCCATATTTACCATATTCTGATTTGGTTAATCCAAAATTTATAAGATGTTCAAACGGTTCAGTATTATTAACTGATGGTTGGTATGTATATGCAAGAAAAATGCATTATACAGCTGATTATATACAAACTTTAACATGGGCTCTTATTTGTGGGTTTAAATCCCCATTTCCTTGGTTTTTTCCCTTATTCTTTTTAATTGTTTTAATTCAAAGAGCTTATAGAGATCAAAGAAAATGTGCTAAAAAATATGGTGAAGATTGGGATAGATATTTAGAAGCTTGTCCATACTTATTCATTCCTTATGTTTGGTAATGGAATAGACATTAAAATATTTTAGTAGAAACATGTACATATCATTAGATAGTTATTAAAAGTTGCTTTGTTAGTTTTCGAGTAATCATTTTATGTAGTGAGGGCTTTGTGGACTATTATAAATAATATTCACTCTCTACCGTTGAAACCTGATGAGAGAGAACAATAGTAATGTCTAAACTAAGTATTTAAAAAATAACTTATTCTATATTTTACATAATTACTTAATTTCAGTTTCCGCTAAATTTTAATCTTGTTCAGCAATAGATACAAGTCTTTCATCAATTTCATCAGGGGTTAAAATTTGGAATTTACCTTCAGTAGCAACACCAATTTCAATATCATTTTTTCTAAAATCAGTTCCCAACACTGAACTTAAAGCAGTGATTGCAAATTCAACAGTTTCTTTCCAATCACCTTGTATATGATTAATTTTTTTAAATTTTTTTTCCAAATAAGTTGTAGCTTCTTGTTGTTTTGGTCCAGTTGCAACTGCTTTAAACCCTGTATAATAACCAGCAGGATCACATTTAAAAACTTGAGGACCTTTATTTTCATCTTCAAAATCAACTTGAATAAAAGTTAATGCAACACCTAAAGGTCTCATATAAGCTCTTTGAGTATATAATTGACTTATATTTGCCATTCTTTTACTTAAACTTTCTACTGGGATTTCATAACCATATTTATATCTAAATTCTGATGATTCACTACGAGCTCTCATTGCTTGAGATCTTGCATCAGCAATTGAACCAGTTGCAACCATTCCTATACTTGGAGTAATTTTGAAAATATATGATATTGTTTTGGAATCTAATAATTTATCAGGTATCTTTTTTTGTGATATAATTACTGCTGAATCTTTACCTGTTACTCCAATTGATGTTATATTTGAAGAATTTATTGCTTTAAATGCATATTCAACTTGATATAATCTACCTTCGGGTGAAAAAATTGTGATATGTCTATCAAATCCAGCTGACCCTGACATTTTATTTTATGACTTATATGTTTAGAATATGAACTGAATGGAAAGGAATTGATACGTTTTGAATTAGAGGTTGGTTTGATTTATTAGTGGCGAAATTGAAATTTGTTTCAATATTTTTTTTTACAACTACTTTTCTTTACACAAGAGTAATAATAACTAAACAATAATTACAATAACCATTTTAAATTGATGATATAGCACAACAACCACCAAGATGATAAACATACTCATAAGTGAAACTGATACTTTCACAGTTGATGAAACAACGAAAGATCATATACCACTCCATCATCCAAATGATACCAAAAACTTAAATGTATCTTACCATTATAATCCAGAAGCCAGCAGATATCATTACGGAGCTCTACATCCAATGAAACCATTTAGATTAATGTTGACTGATCATTTAATAATATCTTATAAATTATATGAAAAAATGGATCTATATACACCAAGAAAAGCATCAAAAGATGAACTACTACAATTTCATTCAGAAGATTATATAGATTTTTTACAATCAATAACTCCAGAAAGTTGTAAGACTTTAGATTCTTCAACTTTAGCAAGATTTAATATTGGTGATGATTGTCCAATTTTCGATGGTATTTTCAGTTATTCACAAATTTATGCTGGTGCATCATTAGATGCAACAAGAAAATTAATTAATGGAATGTCTGATATTGCAATAAATTGGTCTGGTGGATTACATCATGCAAAAAAATTTGAACCAAGTGGATTTTGTTATGTGAATGATATCGTTTTAAGTATAATAAATTTATTAAGAGTTCATCCAAGAGTCATGTATATAGATATTGATTTACATCATGGTGATGGAGTTCAAGAAGCATTTTATACAACTGATAGAGTTATGACTGTAAGTTTTCATAAATATAATGGAGAATTTTTTCCAGGAACTGGTTCAGTTGATGAAATAGGTTTAGGTGATGGTAAGAATTTTGCAATAAATGTTCCTTTAAGAGATGGAATTGATGATGATAATTATATAAGATTATTCAAACTGATAATGGAACCATTAATAACGAAATTTCAACCAACTTGTATTGTTCAACAATGTGGAGCTGATTCTTTGGGGTATGATAGATTAGGATGTTTTAATTTGAATATAAGAGCTCATGGTGAATGTGTTAATTTTATAAAAAGTTTTGGTATACCAATGTTAGTATTAGGAGGTGGTGGATACACTCCAAGAAATGTAAGCAGACTATGGTGTTATGAAACCTCAATATTAAACGATGTTAGTCTAGATCATAAAATACCCAATTATTTACCCACATATGATTGGTTTGGACCAGATTTTTCATTACATCCACAATTAGAAGGTAGAATTGATAATAAAAATAGTAGGAAATATTTAGAAAGTGTTAAACAAGAAATTATGGAACAAATTAGGTATCTAAATTCTGCACCTTCTGTTCAAATGTATGAAATTCCACCTGATATAACTGGATTAACTGAGGAAGAAGATCAAATTTTGAAAGAATTAAATGAAGAAGCAAAAGAAAATGAAAGAGATGATATAATGAAAAATGAAGATATAAAAGTAATGAGTTAATGATTGTAAAATGTATATTAAATTAAATTAAAATTTTGTAAATGTATTTGGTAGCACTTTTTTATTATAAATTGTGATTCTCTGTTTTATTTATTTCTATAATGTATAATATATGTAAGTCGGTAATAAAGGTTCTTAAAATATTGTTTATAATTAAGAGAAGGCTATAAATTATTATTAAAAGATCAAATAATCATAACTACAACATCATCAGTATCAACATATTCTCCAAATGAACTCACAAACATATATATAACAAAGTGTTGAGAAATATGGATTGTACCACATTAAATATAGAATTAGATCCAGAAAGCAAAAAAAAAATCATCAATAAACAATATTTAATTGTTAAAAAAATAGGTCAAGGTCAATTTGGTAAAGTATTTTTGGGAAAATGTATTAATCAAAAAAATCAGAGCAAATCATCTTTATCCACAAATCCAAGTTTTGTTGCAATTAAAACCATAAATCGTATAGATAAATCAAAATTAATTACAAAATCATACATAAACAATCATTCAAAAATTGCCAAAGAGATTGAAATTCTAAAACAATGTAATCATCCAAATGTTGTTAAATTATTAAGTGTTATAGATGATTTACATTTCGATAAGATTTTTTTAATTTTAGAACATTGTAAATATCAAGAAATAGAATATAAAACATACAATCATTATTATGAAAAATATAATGTCTCAAAGCAGAGAAATTCCTTGCCGTTGAATAAAATACTACGAGATGTTATAAATGGATTGGAGTATTTACATGATTATAAAAATATAATACATAGAGATATTAAACCTTCAAATTTATTAATTGATGAAAATAATAATGTGAAAATCTCTGATTTTGGAGTTAGTTTAATACTAGAAAATAATTTAGATAATGATTCAAAAGAACTACTAAAAACTACCGGAACCCCAGCATTTTATGCACCTGAGTTATGTCAGTTTATTTCAAAACAAAGCGAGTCCGCTAAAGTATACGAAATTAGTAAAAAAATTGATATTTGGTCATTAGGTATTACATTATACAGTCTAATTTTTAATACAGTTCCATTCAGTGGAATTAATGAGTATCAAACAATAAACAAGATATTAAGTGAGGAAGTGAAATTTCCAACAACATTAAAAACAAAAAGAGCTACAAGTGATGATATTTTAGAATTCAATCATTTAAAAGACCTCATTAAAAAATTATTAATTAAGGATCCTGGCCATAGAGTTTCGATAAAAGAAATAAAAAATCATAAGTTTACATTATTTGACTTGAGCAAAAATGAATCTGAGAAGTTTTTAAATTTTAACAAAAATCAGTTTCAATCTGGTATTTCCTCAAAATTGAGAAAATTATTCACTAAAACTACCGCTACAAATGTATCTCCCAAAAAAACTCAAGTTTCACATAACCCTAATCCTTCTGATTTGAAAAATGTGGATGACTTACTTGATTCATATTTAGATGATTCGTCATCATTAAGTAGTATGGAAGATGCTGAACCAATCAATACAAATAATATACTAGAGGAAATTCATCTATCGTCTACTTCTTCTCCAGCATCATCACCGAACAAATACATACCACCACATTTAAACCTCAAATCAAATAATTGTACTAATAAGAAACCAGAACTTTATACGTATCAAAATAAATCGTTGAAAGATTTAGATTTATCATTTTTACCACCACAACCAAATGATACCAATAAGTCAGTAATAACTCCAAGTAATTCAGTTCATTCATCACTTTCAACTCCAGTCAATGATTCATTTGCAACCATAGGTCAACCATCACCAAATAATTATCAACAATTTTTCAGTCCAAGTAAAAGATTTTTTGATCAATCAGTACATCATCGGCATCAAAATATTGAGCAATATACAAAAACACCTTCAATAAGGTCATTAACGAATGAGGAATCTTCATTGAAGGGACCCCCAATATCTCAATATCATCAATTTGAAAGACCTTCAAGTATTGGATCAAATAATGGGTTGAGTAGAATCCCAAGCTCTTCAAGCTCATTAAATCTACATGCTTATTTTAATGATAATGAATCAATCATTTCAAACCATTCAATTACAAAATACAATATCAAACCAAAATTTAATTTCATTGATGACAATCAATCAAACTCAAAATCTGACTCGAGGAAAGACAATGAAGAATTTGATGAAGATGAAAGTGAAGTCAATAATACAACGATTAATTTGCTGGACAATTTTAATCTTGGTATTAAATATAAAGATTTAAGTACTTATTTAGATGGTTTATAAAATATTGTATATAAGTTCATAAAGCTATGATATAGACATCCGTACCGCAACCATTTTAAAAACTATGGAAAGCTTTTTTAAACCCTGATAAATTGTAATATATTAATCTACAAATAGTAAGTATTAACCAAAAATTAAGAGATAAATAGAATTAAAGAACCTGTGTAATAAAGTTTTTAAAATAAATTTAAACTATGTAAATTAATTGAAAACATTCTAAATTCCGAAAATATAAACTCTAACAAAGTTTTTTTGAATTAAATAAAAATAATTAATAATAATAATATACAAAATGTTTTTAAATTTTTAAATTAAGTCAAAATTTAAATGAAAAATAAAAACAAAAACGAAAAAATTAAACTGTAAATTGGATTTAATTTATTTGATGAACCTTCATAAATTGTATCTGTTGGGATTGCTTCATTTGTTTGTTCTGAATTGTTTGATGATGTTTCATTTGTATCTGATATTAAACCTTGTTCATTGGATTGGTCTGTTTCATTTTCATTACCTCCATTTTGACCAACATTTTCTTCATTTGTTTCATTATTTGAGTCATTGTTTGCATTACCTGCAGTATCTGTGTTTGATTGTTGTGTTGAGGTGTCACCTTCACCATTATTAGAATTGTCAGATCCGTTAGCTGGACTATTTTGGTCCTTATTATTATTGGTTGTGTTGGATTTACCATCAACTACGTTACCTTTTGATTTATTTTCAGCATCATCTGTCTTAATTTCACCAGAGTTTTGTGATCCACTTTCTGCTCCATTTTCTGAACCGTTTTCTGAACCATTATCCTCACCACTGTTTGAACCATTACCATTTTCAATTTCAGCTTCTGATCCGGTATTGGCACCTGAAGTAATTTCAGTTTCTTTTTGATTAACAGTTATTGTTCTGTATATAGTAGTAGTTACAGTTGTTCCATCTTGTGTGTATGTTGTCACTATATTTGTTATAGTTGTTGAATTAGTAATGTCACCACCATCAGTTTCAGAATCTGCATCAACTGCTTCTGTCATAGTTTCAACATCAGCATCTGAACTAAGGGACTCAAAAATTGGAATATCAACTGAAGTAAGAACTTCAGCAGCTGAAGTAGTAACGACACCGGCAATTGAAGTAAGAATATCAGCATTTGAAGTAGTAACGACACCGGCAATTGAAGTTAAAATACCAGCATTTGAAGTTGTAACAACCCCGGCGATTGATCTAAATGAAGTATTATTAGTGTCTTGGGTGGAAGTTTCAATATCGGCTCCGTCAGTTCGTTCATTACCACCATTAATGGTATCAGAATCTTCAGCTGTAGTGGCTTTATTACCACCATCATTTGCACTTTCAGTTGGTTCCTTGTTATTTTCAGTTATAATTGCACTCGGAGCTTCATTGTTCGTAGTTCTAGTTGTTTCTATTTCAGCAATATCAGTAGATGAAACCTCAGTTTCAACAACATCTGATGATTCAGTAACATTTGGAGCTTCAGCATTTTGAGTAGTTTCTGTAACACTAGATTCAACTGTAATTGGAATTTCAGTGACGTAAGAAGTTTCAGTAATCCAATCACCTTCTTCATCAGTAATTGCACTGACAACAGCAGTTGAAGTATAACCTGCTTCAATAATTGTAGTAACGTAACTATAAGATGATACTGGAATACCAACAAATACATTAGTTGTAACAGTTGCAGCTAAAATAGTATCTTCTTCATCATCACGAGCTTGTAAGTGAGCTTCACCAGTTTCCAAAGCAGGTTTAACTTGACCAGTTTCAGCAGCTGAATGTAAAGTACAAAGGAAACTTCCAGTAAACATTTCAAGAGCAGTAGTTGCTTCATCATTATCTTCTCTTTTAGCTTTTGCTTTTTTTGCTCTTTTAGCTGCTGCGCTTTCAAATGGAATTAAACCAGTCCAATAAATAGTAGTTAAAACTTCATCTTGTTCACCTTTGTCAGTAACAGTTTCACCAAATCCACCAGTCCATAATTGAGTTAAAGTTTCAATATTTTCTTCATCAGGAACTAAAACTTCAATAACTGAGGCAGCAGTAAGTGAGTTAGAATCTGGAATTCTTTCAACGAAACCATACCAAGTTAATGTTTCAGTTACAACTGGAACCATTATATTAATGACATCAGTATTTTGAGGACCAAAAGTTATAGTCTCGGTAGCAGTTGTACCTTCTTCCCAGTAGGTAGTTGTAGTTCTAGTTGGGTTTGCTGGCCAAATTTCATGAACAACATCAGTACCACTAAATGTATCAGTAACAGTGCTTCTTTCTAATATTGTATTAGTTCCAAAATATGAAGTTGTTGAAACTGAGTTACTTGGATAAACAACTTGAACTATATCAGTACCTCCAAATGAATCAGTTTGAGTTTGAGTTTCTAAAATTGATTTAGAACTATAGTATGTTGTTGTTATTTGTTGATTTGGTGGGTAGATAACTTGAATTGTATTAGTGTTTGGACCTTCAATTGTTGTAGTTCCAATTGTTGAATCAGTACCATATATAGTAGTAGATTGGACAGGTTTAATCACTGATGGTAACCATATTTTCATTGTATCAGTTGCTCCAATTTTTCCAGTTTGAGTAGTACTTGATGGAATATTTGTTGGATTTACCCAAATTGTACTATAGGTCGTTGGGTTTGGTGGATATAAAACTCTAACAGTATCTCTTCCTCCAAATGATCCAGTTTCAGTTTCTGTTTCAATACTATCTGCAGTGCCATAAACAGTTGTAGTTTTAGTTGTATTTGGTGGATAAATAACATGAAGTGTATTTGTACCACTGAATGTATCACTTTCGGTACTTAACAGACGTCCTGTAACATCTCCAAAACGTGTGGTAGTAGTGGTTGGATTCTTTGGATAAACAACATGAACAATATCAGTACCTCCAAATGATGCTGTTTTGGTTATAGTCTCTAAAAAGCTTTTGTAACTGTAGTAAGTAGTGAATGATTGTTCATTTGGTGGATATATGACTTGAACTGTGTTTGTTTTCGAACCTTCCACAGTTGAAGTTTGTATTGTTGAATCAGTACCAAAAATTGTGGTATATTTGGTTGATTTAATAGCTGTTGAAGGTAACCATATTTTCATTGTATCAGTTGCTCCAATTTTCCCAGTTTGAGTAGTACTTGATGGTATATTTGTTGGATTTACCCAAATTGTACTATAAGTAGTTGGGTTTGGTGGATATAAAACTCTAACAGTATCTCTTCCTCCAAATGATCCAGTTTCAGTGACAGTTTCAATAGTTTCTGCAGTTCCAAAAACAGTTGTGGTTTTAGTTGTATTTGGTGGATAAATAACGTGAAGTGTATTTGTACCACTGAATGTATCACTTTCGGTACTTAACAGACGTCCTGTAACATCTCCAAAACGTGTGGTAGTAGTGGTTGGATTCTTTGGATAAACAACATGAACAATATCAGTACCTCCAAATGATGCTGTTTTGGTTATAGTCTCTAAAAAGGTTTTATAACTGTAGTAGGTAGTGAATGATTGTTCATTTGGGGGATATATCACTTGAACTGTGTTTGTTTTTGAACCTTCTATTGTTGATGTTTGTATAGTTGAATCAGTTCCAAAAATTGTTGTATATTTGGTTGATTTAATAGCTGTTGAAGGTAAATAAATTCTTACTGTATCAGTTGCTCCAATTTTCCCAGTTTGAGTAGTACTTGAAGGTACAGCTGTTGTTGCAATATGAGCAGTAATATAGGTTGTTGGGTTTGGTGGATATAAAATTTTGATTGTATCTATTCCTCCAAACGATCCAGTTTCAGTTTCTGTCTCAATAGTTTCTGCAGTTCCATAAACAGTTGTAGTTTTAGTTGTATTTGGTGGATAAATAACATGAAGTGTATTTGTACCACTGAATGTATCACTTTCAGTACTCAACAGACGTCCTGTAACATCTCCAAAACGTGTAGTAGTAGTGGTTGGATTCTTTGGATAAACAACATGAACAATATCAGTACCTCCAAATGTAGCTGTCTTAGTTATTGTTTCTAAAAAAGTTTTGTAACTGTAGTAAGTAGTGAATGATTGTTCATTTGGTGGATATATGACTTGAACTGTGTTTGTTTTTGAACCTTCTACTGTTGAAGTTTGTATAGTTGAATCAGTACCAAAAATCGTTGTGTATTTGGTTGATTTAATTACTTCTGATGGTAACCAAATTTTGACTGTATCAGTTGCACCAATTTTCCCGGTTTGTGTAGTACTCGATGGAATATTTGTTGGATTGATCCAAATGGTACTGTATGTTGTTGTATTTGGTGGATACAAAACTTTAACTGTATCTTTTCCTCCAAATGATCCAGTTTCAGTGACAGTTTCAATAGTTTCTGCAGTTCCATAAGCAGTTGTGGTTTTAGTTGCATTTGGTGGATAAATAACATGAACTGTGTTGGTACCACTGTATGTATCACTATCAGTACTCAACAGACGTCCTGTAACATCTCCAAAATGTGTAGTAGTAGTGGTTGGATTCTTTGGATAAACAACATGAATAATATCAGTACCTCCAAATGAAGCTGTTTTAGTTATAGTTTCTAAGTAAGTTTTGTAACTGTAGTAAGTAGTGAATGATTGTTCATTAGATGGATATATCACTTTAACTGTGTCCGTTTTTGAACCTTCTACTGTTGAAGTTTGTATAGTTGAATCAGTACCAAAAATTGTGGTGTACTTGGTTGACTTAGTAGCTGATGATGGTGAATAAATATTGACTGTATCAGTTGCACCGAATTCCCCGGTTTGAGTAGTACTTGAAGGAATAGCTGTTGCTGCAATATGTGCAGTAATATAAATCGTAGGATTTGGTGGATAATAAATTATGACTGTATCAGTTAAACCATAACCAGTTAATTGAGTAGTTGTTGTGGTGGTCATTCTATCTCCAGTCCAATATGCAGATGAGGTTACAGTTGGATTTGGGGGATAAATTATTAAAATTCTTTTGTTTAAATTAACTGATGTTGAATATGATTTACCAATCAATTCAGGATGATTTTCCCTTATTATTCTTTCATATTTGTCATTGGATAAATCATTTAAATCTTGATCATTTAATTGTATATGAATTGGATCTGAATTATTTTCCTCATGATATATCGTTCTTGGGATATTAGTACTTGATACTTGTTGTGAATAAAATAATAATGTGGTTGTTAACGATAAAATCGAAAAAAGTGATTCATAAAAATGCATTTTGTTAAGAAAAAGCTACCAAATTGATTCTTTAGTTAACAAATTTTTATACGTGTGATATGATAATACTAGTGATCTTAATATTTGATTAGATGAATCTGTTGTATAATTTAATAAAATTAAATCAGTAAATATTTCTAACAATAATGAATTTTATAAATAGTTTCTAAAAGTTTTATGAAGAAGTTGAAAAAATGTATCTAAAGAAAAAATTATACAAAACCGGTTTTATGGTTCTGGTTAATAGTTTATATATAAGAATGAGATAATTTTATTATGAAAAATTTATTGGAGTTCAAATTTAATTGAACTATTTTACCTGTAAAGTGTGTATATTATTATTAAAACCCATCAAAACTATGTAAAAATAAATAATTACTCAAAATATTATAATAAAATAATTTTTTAATGATCTTCGATATACCTAATTGGTGATATTAAAATACTTTAGAGGGAAAAATAATAAATCTTGCTAATACTATAACTAACAAGAAAAAAAAATTAAATACAAGGATTGTAACAGGACTCTTTATAATAAAGGGTTTATCAAAAGAATTAACCCGTTTTTGAGTAAAATAAAATTGACTATTTGAGTAATTCGTGGAGTCACTAGACTATTTGACTCAAAACCAACCTACACAAATCGATTATTTTGGAATCAATCAGAAAACAAACAATTTTGAAAATAAATTTGAACTTGCATTACAGTTGAATAGGGAAAAAAAAAAAATTTTATAAAATTTTTTCTATATAATAATATTTTAAATATAATATTTTTGTAAATATAATAGTTTTTACTTTTTTTTTATTTAATTTTAAATTAAAAGATCTAAAATCATGCGTCAAATTGCATTGTGCAAGCTTAAAAATGCAGTGAATATTAGAAAAAATTTTTAACCAAGGGAATAAAAAAAATAATAGATCTTTTCTAAAAGATATTGTGAGTTAAAGATCAGAGCAGTGAAGTGTTACACTTGGTTTGTTGAAAAGTATTACATGGATGTAATATAGTTTTTTAGTCTGAAACAAATTTAAGTTGCATTGCAGAGAGATCTCTTAAATTTTTTACGAACAAATTTACGACAACGGTCCCTATTTTAGTACTTTTAGTTTGTTTTAACTATGAGATTTAAACGCTACGTCACACAAAAATCGAACCTACATTGAAGATTCCCTATGGCGAAATATTGAAAGGGATATGAGCTAATGACTAAGAATTTAGTAAAAAGTTATATACCCTTGAATTATCGTAAGTTATTCAAACGATGATACAAAAGTTCGAAAAAAAAAGAAACTCCAGAATAATTAATAAAAAATTAATAATAAATAAACTAATAGAATAAATTGGATAAATCTGTAAAAATCATGCCATCTTCCATATTTCGATTTCTAAAAAAGATTCTATTTTTTAACAAAAAAGTATTATTATTTTGATTTATAATATTAAATAAAAATTTTTTTTTTTTTTTTTATTATTTTTTTAAGTAGCTATTTATTTTTTAGTTGGTAAGTCAGTTTTAGTTTTTTACTCGTGTGATTAATGAGCTTTTATTAGAATCATGCATCATACACTATATTTTGTTCATGGAAAAATAATATGTGCATGTATTATTTGCTTTGATAATTACGTCACCGAGTCATTAATACTTCAAGTAAATCTTTAAAAGGACTATTAGACACATGACTTGATATAATTTTCAAATACGTCAAATTCAAGAAAATTCGAATCATTACTAATTTTTAGAAATGTTAAAATCATACTTCCATAACTGTCACACAAAGATGTTTATAAATTTGTTATAATAAAGCCACTATTGGTTAATAAGTAGAAACCACATTTATTATAATTTTCTTGTGAATAATTATGTCACAGATCCGCTTCAGGAAGAAGAGTAAAATAGTTTATGATCTAACAAGGAAAAGTGCATAATTGTTCCCATGTTGTACTTCTTTATGTGTCTTTCCAGTATTCTTTTGTCATTTGACGATTGTAAACAAATAGCGCTTGACATCTCACTTTTCTTGTAAGTGGCCATTATTGTGTCGTTGTAAAGAATTCAATTCGTAGAAAGTATTGACGATAAAAAGATTGTTCAAGATGTGAAACCTCATCTTTTCCACTCAAAAAAACCTGCTTCGGTCCATTGGACAATTTTTTCTATCTGCAAAAGAAGGTCGTCTAAAAAGTTATGAATACTAATACTTTTTTGATCAAGAGATAACTCATTTAACCAGTAAACAAGATAGATTTTGATTGAAGGTATTTTCTTTTTTGCTTATTAAAATCTAGTAGATCTAGAAAAAGAATCTTGAAAAATAGATCTTGTGCTCGATCTCTTGGCCCTAATTAAAATCAAACCCCCGAGATTACGTCTAATTTTATAGAAACTCGCGCCAAGGTTGACAAACTTTTCAAATTTTTAGTTAAAATCAATGCTTGGCCAAATTAAGTGAAAAAATTTTCACCGTACTTTAGCGAAAAAGGAAAAAAAAGGGCCAAGTAATGTGCCAAGTGTCAAATAATAGAGATCTTTGGAATTTTTTTTGAAATTTTTGTATTCATTTACGATTTCAACGTGTCTTGTACATTTTTGAGTTTTCATTAAATTATTTTAATAATTTTGTTTAAAGTTAAGGAGTGAGGCTCTAAAGATGGAGAAAGATAGCTGAAAGTTTAGTATCAATTCCTAGATTACGGAAATGTAATTAAATACATGAAGCTTTAGTGATGTTACATTTTTATTCTTAAATATAATATGTCAACAGAACAATTTTAGTGTAATTAAAACAAAACAGCATCCAAACTTCAATAATTAATACATGATGCACTACAAAAACGGTGTATTTTTTCCTGATTAGTTAGTAGTAGCATTAATTGAGTTTTGAAATTTACGTAAATATAGACTACTCTAATTTAGCAAAATGATAATAAGAAGTTACCCACGGATAGTCGACAGAATGAGTAATTTTTTAATGAAACCCAAATTTTGAGAAACATTAATGCAAAATTATAATTGAGAATGAATACTCCATAAATGTAATAAAGATCAGGAATCTGAGAGGATTGAATCTTGAAAGACTGAAAACCTAATTTGGTTACATCAACAAAATTTTAGATCTTGTCAAATTTAATTTCTTGATTTGAAAACAAGAAGAAAGAACATTATTTGAAACAAATATAAAACATTTAAAATCAAATTGAAGTAAGTAAAAGATATGTTGTGTACTGTATATAATAAAATACGAGACCAAATTGAAAAAATATAAAATAAAAAATAAAAAATTAAATTAAATTAAATTCCAATAGATATAAATACGCGTCTTAATAGATTGATAAAAAAAAATATAATCAAATTACAATCAAATTCTTCAAAAAACCCCTAAAGTATCTTATGAACTGAATTACATTGAGAGATGATTTGATGAACTAATTCTAATTCTATATAGATATAGCTTTTTTTAATTTCGAATTATGAAGAATTTATTAAATGCTTAGTTAACCAAATTTGAAAATTTATAAGAACATAAATTCATTTAAAGATAAATAAAACTCAAAAAAATACAAGTTTCAGAACATATACTAAATATATGTATTACATTTACGTATTACCAAACGTTGATGTTATTACTAACATAATGAATTAACTTGATTAGTATTATATCAATTTGTAGATTTTGTAAATCTTATCGTCTAATAAATTTTTTTTATTAATTGTCCGTTTATTAAATAATAGAATGTAATTAATTAAATTGAATTTACACGAGAAAGATTAAAATTAATTTACAACCAGATATTTATATTAACACTTATACTTTAAAATTAATATTCAAACGTACGACTAATACTACTTACTACCTTAACACAATTATAATACTATATTCCTATACTCATACCTCACGTCATCAAATTAATATATATTCAAGATGGGAGCATTAATGGTATGTAATTTAAGTTTTCGTGGTTCTACATTTATCACTTTTTGATTGTATATATTGGAATTCAAAATATGGATGAATACTAACTTCTAAAAATCCTAGTCAAAACTATTTAAAAATAGAGAAATGAGAATATTAATGCTTGGATTAGATAATGCAGGTAAAACAACAATATTATATAAATTAAAATTAGGTAAAACTTCAAAAACAGTACCAACAGTAGGATTTAATGTTGAAACAGTAAAACATAGAAATGTATCATTTGCAGTATGGGATTGTGGTGGACAAGAAAGAATTAGACCATTATGGAGACATTATTTTACTGGTACGAATGCTTTAATTTATGTTGTTGATACAAATGATTTATCAAGATTAGAAGAAAGTAAACAAGAATTATATAGAATTATACAAGATAAAGAATTGAATAATTGTTTATTGGTTGTATTAGCAAATAAACAAGATATGGAAGGTTCTATAAAACCTAAAGAACTTATTGAAAAATTTGAATTAAATAAATTGAGTGGGAATCATACTTGGTCTGTCATACCTACTATTGCAATTGATGGTACTGGATTAGTTGAAACTTTAAATTGGATATCATCACATTCAAAATGATAAAAAAAATTGACTTTGTCAACCAACATTTAATCAGAATTACTAAAGAAAACAAAAGAAAACCCCATTCAATTAAAGTCAACTCGTAAATGTATTACTATTATCAATATTTTTGTTCATATTATAATCTATCATTTAATCAATTTAATTTTCCAATCAATTTGATTCTTCAATAACAGTTTCAATTTTAGCTTTACCACCCCATATACTTATATCACCATTATCTTCACCAAAATAAACTTTTTCAGTTATATTAGTAAATAATCCAGTTTCAACAACACCAACTAAATTTTTTATTTGTAAATGTAATTCTTCTGGATTTTTAATCTCCCCGAAGTCAGCATCTAATATAAAATTATTATTATCAGATATTACAGGTCCAGCTTTAGCTTTACCACCTTGTCTTAAATCTACTCTTTTTGCTCCCAATTTTTTCAAAGCTTCAATAACTATTGTAAATGCTATAGGTACAACTTCTATAGGTATACCTTGTGACCAATTTTCACCTAAAAATTTAGATTGTTTTCTATAATCAGCTACAATAATTAATTTTTTGGCTGCAGAAGCAACTAATTTTTCTTGGAATAAACAAGCACCTCCACCTTTTATAAGATTTAAATTTGAATCAACTTCATCTGCTCCATCAAATGCAATATCTAAATTTGGATGTTGGTCAATATGTCCTAAAGTTAAACCATTATCTATAATTAATTGTTTTGATTGAAACCCTGTAGAGATACATATAAATTGATCTTTATTTTCTAATTGTCCTATTCTTTCAGCTACATAAACTACTGTTGATCCAGATCCTATTCCTATAATTTTAGCATTTGGTGGTAAATTTTCATCAACTGCTTTATATGCTGCTAATTTTTTAGCTGATTCTATTTTTGACATTATTGTTGTGACAGAATTTAAATATCTTATATTTTGAGAATTAGGACCTATATGTTTAATTGATTTGGTGAATAGATATTTTATCATAAACTTATGAATTTAAGCTTTATTAATTAGTAAATTCTTTTTAATATTTAATATTACATACTTGCTTTCAATTCGTAAAAATGGAAGTGTCACAAAATTGGTTAATGTCGGAATTTAATTACATTGATTGCACAAAAATTATTTACCCGTAGTTTTGAAGCTACAGATACGCTTAATTAATACATTAGTTGCAAATAGTCTAACTGAATAAATAAAGAGACACTTTGATTCAGTTAGTCTTTAACGTAATATATGCAAATTCAACTGGTTCATAAAGACTATTATAAAGCTGGTGATCTTAAAAAATAATTGAATTATTATTCATTTTGTAAATTATTTTTAATTCTGAAGCAAATTTTGTTTAAAAAAATTTTTTAAGCTCACGTTTTTTAACAACTTTAGCATTTTGTAATGACCTAAATTTTACCATTTTTATTTGGTTGATCCGAAAAAATAGAGTATCTTGTAAAATAAGATCATCAGAATTACTCCGAAAAATCGAAATGTCTTGGTAGCAAATATGAATACCACTTTAACTTTTTTGGAGGTAGAAATACAGACTCTTCACTCATATTGAGAACTTCATGTACCATCAAAAACCAAGAGGCAATATGTAAACAGCACTTCCACATATTTAAGATACGAAACATGCAAGTGGAGGTTTACTAGTATATGTTTTTCAATTTTTGTAACAAAGAGTATTATTGATAGCTACCAAACTCTCCCAATTGTGGATTTTCATGTTTATTCCTTGAAAGTTTAAGCCGGGAATCAATCTGCCCTTCATTTAGGATTCGGTAATTGGTTCCAATTTGTGGCAGTTCTTCTAGTTCATTTGGTTTAAAAAATTGAAAATTGACTGGTAGCAACTTCTGAAACATATTTTTATCACGTTCCATATGCTGGAGTACTAGTAATCAGTAAAAACAGGGGTAACCGTACTTTTATTTCTTGTAATTTTAGTTTATTATGTAGATTATAAAAAATCTATACTATCGATTGACTACAAAAACACGTGAAAGTTCTTTTAATACCATTTATCTATGTATCTATTTGATAATTATGGATGTCTTTAGATCTGGAAATCTACTCTTGAAGCTTAGTAGACCATTTTGAAACACTTATACTATTGCTACTCTATATGGTAGTAAATTTAACCTTTAGGTTTACCCTCGAAATATAGAGATATTGCTTTGCTAGCATCAGCTAAAAATGTAGATTCAACTACAAGGCCCAGACAACTTTTAGAAGAGCTATTTTTGAGCAAAACATATTGAAGAAAGAACAGTAAATCTCTCTAATTATTCATTGAAGTCAACTTTAATATTTAAGGACTACAGATATTAACCAAGATATAATGTAATTTTTATATTCATAGTAAAATCTAAAAAATTAAAGCCACCAACCTGTATCACGTGCAACTAAAAAATCTAGGTGCTTTAAACCCTAAGGTATACTGTGTAATATTTCTTAACTATGAGTAGTAGTAAAGAAAGAGAGAGAGAGAGATAGAGTGAAAAAAAAAAAAAATCTTAATACCAAATTAATATTATACACAATATTGAAATTTTATATTAGTAAAAAATTAATTTTTCAAAAAATTTTGGTCGTTTTAAAGTAATACATTGAATTATTTATTTAACATCATATAATATTAATATATCATCAAATCATGTCAAATAAAGTTGTATCAGAAAACCCTACTGAATTAGATTTAAAAATTGGTCAAGCTTTACTTGATTTAGAATCAGGAGATTTAAAACAAGATTTAAGACCTTTACAAATTAAATCAGTTAAAGAAATTGATGTTAATGGAGGTAAAAAAGCTTTAGCAGTATTTGTTCCACATCCATCATTATTAGGATTTAGAAAAATTCAAAATAGATTAGTTAGAGAATTAGAAAAAAAATTCCCAGATAGACATGTTGTATTTTTAGCTGAAAGAAGAATTTTACCAAAACCATCCCGTAAAGCAAGAAAACAACAAAAAAGACCAAGATCAAGAACTTTAACTGCTGTACATGATAAAATTTTAGAAGATTTAGTTTTCCCAACTGAAATTATTGGTAAAAGAGTTAGATATTTAGTTGGTGGTAATAAAATTCAAAAAGTTTTATTAGATTCAAAAGATTCAACTGCTATTGATTATAAATTAGATTCATTCCAACAATTATTTTCAAAATTAACTGGTAAAACTGTTGTTTTTGAAATTCCAGGTGAAAATAATTAAATTTAAAGGAGTATGAAGAAGAAAACATAAATTTTTAATTTTTTTAGTAAGTCATTTTTATCAAATACTAAAGAAAGTGTAAAACAATTACAATTCAAAAGACAAAATCAAAGCTAATGAGGTCAAAAAGAAATGCTTTATTTATTCAATTATTATAAAGTAATTCAAATTTTATATCGGTAATTTCTGTTAATATAAAAAAAAAACATATCAAATTGAGAATTCTGTTGAAAACGTAGTTTACCATTGATCTCTATCTGTTTCAAAGATTTATTAATATAATCGTAATCCAACATTGGCTACTAGGTAATGAAATTCGAGTCTGATCAGATGTACTTTAATTCAATCTTCTGACAAAACAAACTTCAAGCCGCACGCTTACCTAATTTGGAATAAATAATATTTTGATTTAAAAATTGTAAACAAACACTTTTTTACATTACCAATACAACTATAATTCAAATAGATAAAAAACTAGCAAATTAACCAACTAAATATTTAAATGAGATTTCTTATATTCATATAACATATCATAAATGAAATGCCGAGATCAAACATACTCACACAAAGACAAGAAACAGAATTAAATAAATCAATTATTCAATATCTTGAACCAATATGTTCTGAAAATGAATCAAATAAATCGTTATTAAATCAATTATCAAATTTATTATTAAATGAAACCACCACATCCAACACATCCACAACTAATGAAATTATAGATCATTATTTGGAAAAAAAATGGTCAAGTGTAATACGGCTTCAAAAAAAAATATTAGATCTTGAAAATGAATTATCAAATATAAGAAGTATAATGGATATGGATAATAACAATCATCAAAATGATCCTAAAAAGTCAATACTTAGTAAAGATAGAATCAATTGGATCCCTATAAGTTCACAACAACAATTTGAAACTTCATCTATAATAAATTCAGTAAAATTACATCCAAATTTACCTTTAATTTATGCAGGTTGTTCAGATGGTTCAATTTATATATATAATTTTGCAAGTGATGAATTTGCAATACCTGAAAAAATCTTAAAAGCTCATACTAGAAGTTGTAATAAATTGGCCTTATCATATAATCAAATTGATATAAATAAAGATCAAGATTTTAAATTTATATTAGCATCTTGTTCTTCAGATTTAGTTATAAAATTATATGATGCTAAAACTTTTCAACATTTGCGAACTTTAAAAGGTCATGAACATACAATATCATCTTTAAAATTTTCACAAAATTCAAATTATTTATATTCTGCTTCTAGAGATAAAACAGTAAAGATATGGAACGTAATTGATGGAACTTGTATTAAAAGTTTTATTGGTCATAGTGAATGGGTAAGAGATTTAGATTTAAGTTTCAGTACTGAATTTGATGAATTTGTATTGAGTTGTTCAAATGATCAAAGTGGTAGATTAACTCATTCACAATCAGGAACTGGAGTAGCTATGATGATTGGTCATTCTCATGTAATTGAATGTATTAAATTTTTACCAACTATAACTAATTCAATAATTGATAAATATTTAAAAGAAAATTCGGATATGTTTCCTACGGTGCCGTTAGAGTTAGTGACTAACAAGCATTATGAAAAATTTGGTTTTAAATATTGTATTACTGGTAGTAGAGATAATACTATCAAAATTTGGTTAATTCCACCACCATCTATTTTACCAGGTAGAAATCCAATGCCTTCCAAATATAATCAAGCTCAAGCATGGTTAATCTCTACTTTAGTTGGTCATCAATCTTGGGTTAAAACATTAGAAGTGCATCCAAATGGACGATATATTATAAGTGGTTCAGACGATAAAACAATAAAAATTTGGGATTTAAACGGGTTGAATAATAGTGGGAAAATTGGAGTTATTCGATCATTAAGTAATAATGAAGGATTTTTAAATGATTTAGATTTTGCAAGATTAAGTAAAAGTAAAAAAAATGAACAAAGATTAAAAACCAATGAAGAAATTATAAAAGATATAGAATTAAGAATGAGATGTATATTAGTTAGTGGGGGTACAGATAATGTAATTAGATTATGGAAGTAATGATAGATGTAATATTAATGTTATACATTTTGTAATTTCTAGTTTCTCTTTTAAATTACACGATCATATTGAGTCAGTGATATATAACTACCTCTCATTGAATTATAAACATTTCTTTCAAATTGTTTTTTATCTTTTACTAACATATTAGCAGCTTCTTTATTTAAAGGATCATTAGGATTAGGTTCTAAAAATAAAAAATTTAAACCAATTAATATTGAATTAAGACTTAGAACAGGTGACCAATCTTCTCTCAAAATATTTAAACATATGTTTCCATCTAAATCAATATTTGGATGATATATTTTATTTAAACATTTGATTTTTGGTGGTTCAATGGGGAAATTTTGGGAAATTTCGATTTTAAATTTAAAAGTTCCTTGTTTATAATATCCATCTTGTGGTATAATTTTTAAATCAAAATTGAAAAAATCTTGTGTTTGAGGAAATGTTAATTTTATTGATTTTGGTAAATCTAATTCTGATATATCTTTTTGAACTCTTAATTGTGCTGCACTTACTTTTGATGATGTTGTGGTTGATGAATTTGATGAATTGGTGGTTTGTGCTGAATTATTAAGTTTAGCTTTTGCTGCTTCTTCTTCTTGTCTCTTTCTTTGTAGTTCACGTATTTTCAACATTATTAAGTAAGGGAATAGATATTATATATATGTGGAGTGTGTAAGCAGAATGAATAAATAATAATGTAATTGTAAAAGAAGTTGTCAAAATTAATTAATAATTATTAATGTTACTTATCGCGTATAATTTTAATTCTTATAAAGAGTTTCAAATTTGCAACCAACAAAATTTAACAAAATAGAATAATTTACAAATAAGATGTCATTAACATAGATACTTCAATTTAAACCCAACTTATCTATGTAGTCAGCTTTGTTTGTAGAATTGATATTTGAAAATCAATTAACTTAATAATCTCAATTCGTAGTTTTTCATCAAATTTAATATCTTGTGACTTTAATTTTATCAATTGTAAAATTTCAATAGATTCACAAGATTGAATTAATAATTTAAATGGACTTAAATAATGACATTGTACATTAATTAACCATTTAAACTCATCTATAATTATATTCTGATAATCTACCTTATTTGTGTTATCGAATTGAAAATTTGAATTTGTTACTTGACTTAATTCGAAAATTACAAACTCAAAATGTTTTTCATTAGAACCACCAATTAAAAAACAAAAAGTACTCCATAATGAACTATCAGATAAAATCAAATGACATAATTTACGCAATTCTTTCATTAGAAAGTCATTTGAAATTCCTAAAAGTTGATTCATTGTTATAATCCAACGTAAATAATTATTAGCATAATAATTTGCAAAATGAATTTGACAACTTTTCAAAGCTCTTAATGATAACTTTTTTAATAATATATGGTCTTTTTTCTCATAAACTTGAGATAAAGTTAATTTTTTAAGTAAATACCATAATGAACTACTTTTATTAATTCTTTTCACTTTACAATTTAAAAATGATGAAATAATTTCAAGATCTTGTTGATAACAACCTAATTTTTTTATTAATTGTTCATGAAGACTTATGATTGTCGAATGTTCATTTGTTGTAATTAAAAAGCCCAAGGTCATTAGATATAGCTGATGTAGTTCATTTTGAGATAGTGAAGTTATAGACTGATTGGGTATCTGATTAAAAAATGTATGTGAATCTTTGAATATTTGAAGGTAAATTTTTTTAGTTATTCCAATATCTAGTGTATCTGCTTCTTCATGTATATGCAATTGACATTGTTCTTCTTCATCAAAGGGTATTAGCTGTATAATTTTATATAATTTATCTGAATTAATTAAAACATTGTATATGTTTTGTATCAACTCCATTTAAAGAAGAAATGTTTCTATTATTTATTTTTATCGGAAATTTGCAACAACTTTTTAATCTCAAATGATATGACAACAATAAACCATCAAATATTATTCAATGATGATGTAGATGATATTTTATCAGATGCTGTATATAAGAATTCAAAATTAGATTATTTATTTCCTATTAGTAAAACAACAAAAGAATCATCATCATCACTAACCAACTTAGTTTCACAACCAGAACAAGAACAAGAACAAGAAATCACATATCAACCTCAATGGAAACTACTACGAACATTAGCTGGAGCACATCAAGGATGGGTACGAGCCATAGCCATGGATGAAGTAACTAACAAATGGTTTGCCACTGGTTCAGCTGATTCAACAATAAAATTATGGGATTTAGCTACTCTGCAATTAAAAACTACATTAACTGGTCATATAATGGGGGTTAGATCTTTAAGTTTATCTAAAAAATTCCCATATTTATTTTCAGGAGCTGAAGATAAAACTTTAAGATGTTGGGATTTAGAAAGACTGAATCAAATTGAAGGATGTCAAATTAAAAATTTTTATGGTCATGTTGGTGGAATTTATTCATTAGCTTTGAATGAAAACTTGGATATTTTATTGAGTGGTGGTAGAGATGCAGTTGTTAGAATTTGGGATATAAATACAAGTACTGAAATTGCTCAACTACAAGGTCATACAGATGATATAAGTTCTATAATTGTTAATGATTTTGATCCTCAAGTTATAACTTCATCAATGGATGGAACCATTAGATTATGGGATTTAAGAAATTTAAAAACTGAATTATGTATAACTCAACATTCAAAAAGTATACGATCAATGTGTAAACATCCACAAGAGACAACATTTATATCTGGTGATTCAAATGGTGATATAAAACAGTGGGTTTTACCACAGGGGGATTTATTAAATAATTTTGAAAATTCATTAACAGATCAAAAAGAAAATAAAATCATTAATTCATTATGTATTAATCCTATAACTAATACTTTATTTAGTGGGTATGATAATGGTGAGATGAAGTTTTATGATTATATACTGGGTACAATTGTTCAACAAGGGTTTACCCCATCTTTGTTAGGCTATGAAGGTTCTGGAATATATGCTTCAACATTTGATATGTCTGGACTTAGATTGATTACTTGTGAAGGTGATAAAAGTATTAAAATATGGGGTAGCGATTAAATCAGTTTTTACCATCCAAAACGTAATTGATTTGCAGTAAACAGTGGTGGAGACCAATTTAGTAGTTTAGGGTTTAATTCATGTTTTTTATTTTCTTTTATTTTTTTAATTAATTTATCATATAATATCATCATTTGTTCAGTTAATACAATTATATGTTGTCCTTTATAATATCTTAGCATTTGTAAAGTTGTTAAAGTATGTAAAATATCTGTAGTTGTCATACATGTTATGGCTGAAATATCTTCAATTGTAATTTCATTTGAATTTGCATTGGTGGTTGTCGTTTTTGAAGGTGGTGGAGTAAGTCCATCCATTTCATCATCTTCAATTAATTGTGGATTATTTTTTTTAAATAAATTAGGATTATTTCTTTCAACTAATAATTTAACTAAAGTATCTGTCCAATAAGCTCTATAAGATAAAAGTCCTAAATCAGATAAAGGTTTTTCAGGTGATCCAATTTTTTTTTCAACTGCACTTAACATATAAGAAAATTGAATTAATAATTTTCCAAATCCTCTTTTTTGATAACATGGTAATGTTAATATACATGCAACATTATAACCATCAGCACTTTCTTTTTCTTTTGAAAAATATCCAACTATATGATGACCCTTTTCAGATTTAATAGTCATAATATAAAATAAAAATGGATCAACATCATAATATAAAGTTTTATGATCTAAAAATAATTTTGATAAAAGACATAAATTTCTACACCAAGTTCTTTGTTTTCTACCATCAATTTCCCAAAAACTAACTTTTGAATCTCTATAAATTTCATTCCCCGGTGGATGTTTCATTGAACATTTTGATCTAAATCTTTCAAATTGCTTTTTTGATCCAAAAAATGATAATGTAAAATCACATATATATATTTGATCTTCATCTGTTATTTCTATAGGATAAGGTGAAAAATACCAAGGTTCAATAATATGTTCCCCCAAAACTATAGTAGTTAAATTTCTAACTCTTGCAACTTCTGAATGATTTTGAGTCATTGATCCTCCTGCTCTTAATTTTTTAATTTCTTCTTCTCTACTAACTTCTTCTCCTGGTCTTTTTAATCCTTGAACATTTAAATTTTCTAAATCCATTTCATCATCATTTGTTTTTATATCTTCTTGTGGAGTAGATGCTCCTGTTCCAGTTTGTGATTTATTATTATTATTGGTTTGTGAATTTGTAGTTGAAGTTGTAGTTGATTTAGCTGTTTTCTTCTTTTTGGGTTTATTTTCTTCAACTTTAACTTCTGGTTGTATTAGTGGTTTTTCAAAATTTATTCGATCACCTTCAATCCATTCATCTAACCTTTTATTAAAATCTTTATAATGTACATAATATACTAATCTTTGCTTTTTTTGATGGATTTGTAATACTTCAGCTATTCGATCTTCCCCTTCTTTCTGTACAGATAGTTTTGACCCTATCTTTATGTCATCTTTAGTAAACATTTATACTTATGATATGATCTTCCTTAGTTTAAACTTTTGGTGTATGGATTGGTTAAACAATTGTTGATACTTTAACTCATTTGATGATAATTTTAATCGCTAAAATTTGGTAGCTCACCACATACTAAATTTTGCCACACAAAAGAATTAATTTAGTACAGAGATCAAAGAGTATAAGAAATGAACAATAATATCTACCGGATTAATCTCTTTTTAGACTTGTGATTAGTTAGTGATAATTAAATAGCTTTTCATCACGAAGGGTTTAATAGAAAAACAGAATAACTTTTCGTTGAAAATCTTTTAATTTGTGTGGGGGTTAAATAAAGTAAATAATTATTATTATGTAATTTAATACATTGTAAAAAAAAAGGGGACTTTTTCCTGTAAGTATTATTATAATATATTAGTATTATAAATTTCATATTATTCATAAATTATTCATATTATATATAACAATCAAGACATTTCTTTTCAATTCCATATTATTCAATTAATAGTTTTATATTATTTAAATATCAATTAATTAAAAATGCTGGGATTACGTCGTTCATCAAGAGTAGCAGCAAAACCACAACCACCAAAAGAAGAACAACCACCAACTAAAAAATCAAAAACTTCTTCCACAACTTCAAAGACAAAAAAATCACAACCACCAAAAGAAGAAAATAAAAAAGATCAAGAAGAAGAAATAATTGATGAATCAATTGTAGAAATAGATAATGATTCGTTAACTTTAGAAATTGGTGATAAATTACCAAGTTTAAAATTATTAAATCAAAATGGTGAAGAAATTGATTTACAATATGAATCCAAGAATCATAAATTCTTGGTTTTATTTGCTTACCCCAAGGCATCAACTCCAGGGTGTACTAGACAAGTATGTGGATTCCAATCAAATTTGAAATTTTTCCAAGATAATGATGCAGTTATATATGGTATATCATCAGATTCTCCAAAAAATCAATTAAATTTTATTGAAAAACAACATTTAGAATATGATTTAATAAGTGATCCAAAAAAGCAAATTATAAGTATATTAGGAGCTAAAAAACCAGGTAATGGAATCAAGAGATCTCATTGGATTTTTGTTGATGGGATTTTAAAAATTAAATCTTTACAAATTTCTCCTGAACAAAGTATTGATGGTGCTAAATCTGAAATTGAAAAAATCTTGAGTAGTGATAAAAATGGTAAAAATGGTAAAGAGAAAAATGGGAAAGAAGATGATAAAGAAATCAGTGGATTAGAACCTAAAAATGAAGTTCATGAAGAAGGTGGTTATAAAGAAGATATAGAAGATGAAAAACATGATCCAATTACAACAAAATAAGAAGTTAAAAACCTAAAAAGTTTTTAGTATTTTTAATTTAATTTTCAATTCTAATTCTTGAATATTTTTTAATAAATAACCGTATGTTTTGATTTTTGACATCTTTATAAATAATTTTGTATGTACATGAATTCTGTTTAGTATCCAAATAATGAAGGTAATTTAATTAAAGATTGTAAAAATAAAGTTATAAATAAACTAATTTTACTTGCCCACCACCAATGTTGAACAGTAAATGAACAATAACTAAAATTAAACTTCCATTTATTTTGGTGAAATTTTCCAGTTAATATACCAGTTTGTCCATTAAAATCTCCCATCATTGATCTAACAACTACTTCTCTTACTGATTCACGTTCGGAGGAATTTTTTTGTTTTGATGCAATCCATTCATCATCTATAAAATTATACCAATCATCACAACCTTCATGATCATGACCAGTTAATATTATTCCACTTTGATTTTGGTTAGGAAATACAATATTCATTACTTTTTGAGTAGTTTCATAAGATAAATGATTTTGAGATCTTAATAAACCATTTTTATAAGGTTCTCTTGTATAATTCTCATAATATTTATGTTCAGGTCCATCTTTACATAATCCAATTTTTTTAAACATTGGAATATGAGTTAACAAAATCGTTGAACCTTTGAAATTTGGATTTTCCTTTTGTTCTAGTTGTTCTAAAAATGACCAAGTAAAATTTAAAAATTCAGGTTGTAATGCGGGTCCTTCTAATGTTAAAGAATCTAAAACAACTATTCTCCATTCACTAGAGGAGTTTTTGTTATAATTTATAACAAAATTATTTTGACCAAATAAATAATGAAATCTTGCCATATGTTGCCATGTTGCATCTCCACTATATCCAATATCATGATTACCAGTTAAATTAATAAATAAAGGATTCTTGTAGTTTGGAATTGATCTATTTTGATAAACCCAATCATAAACATCATTGTAAACTCTTGATTCAAATCTTGCAATTGGATCCATAGCCATTTCATTCTCCAACCATTGTTTCCAATCATAATCTTTATGATTTGAATGAGTTTCTAAAACATGTTTTTTATATTCTAAATCTTGAGTAAATAATCTTTCAACATATCTATAAGTTCTATTATAAAATTCACTATCCAAAATCCATTGACTTGAAAATAAATCACCCATTACTGTAACATGAGATGGTTTTAATCTTTTGGACATAACGTTATATATATGACCTAAATAATAATCATTACCATAATTATCTAATTTTTTAATATATTTTGTATTTTGCCAATTACCATTTATTTGAGGATCTCCAAATAGTAACATATGAATATCTTCATTTTGTTCTTCTTGGTCTCGTAGATCTGGTATATTTAAAAGTAATGGTTGTAGATATTGATCTGGTATATGATTTAGTATTGGATATTTTGGTTTTAATTGATTTGGTTCATGCCAATTACATTGACCTTTTTGATTTAATATATCTGGATAAAAATAAATAAAAAAATTAAGTGATATAGTTAGGAAAGTGACTAAGTCCACTAGGAACTTAAGTCTTGGTGATATAGCCATATACTGTTGGGGTGGTTGTAAAGTTAATTTAATATTAATTTTTTTGCAACAGAATTAAATTATATACAATAAATTTACTAACAAATATTTGTATATACAAATAGTCAAAAATTGTTGAAAAGAAAATATCAACAACAAATTTTTTAAAATCAATGCACCATTAAGTTTAAAAAGTCATGATAAACAGTATCAATTGATTCTTATTGAGGATCACTCATTTATAAAAATATTTTCTAACTGTTCTTTCAAAGTAATAGTAATAGTAACAAATATCTTAGAAATAAAAATTTATTACTTATTTATTTATATATATTTTTAAAAATTCAATTCAAAACTTACTCTTGAACTTATAAATTTTCTCTTAAAGTTTGATTTAATTTTGCTAATTTATTTGAAATTGAAACATCAACAGTTCTATCACCAACTTCAACAACTAAACCACCTTGAATATCAGGATTTACATCATTTGTTAATTTTAAAGTTTTACCTTCACCAACAAATGTACTTTTACCTATAGAATTTTGTAATCTTTTTAAAACTTTAGATTCTAATGGTTTAGCACTTGTAACTTTTGCTTCTATTATACCATTATGAGCATCATTAAGCATACCAAATTTTTTAAAAATTGATGGGAAATTTCCTAATCTATTATTTTCAGCTAATACTAATAAGAAATTAGCTGTAGTATTATCTAATTCTAAATTTTTATTAACTTGTTTAATAATTGATACTCTATCATCTCTTGTTAAACTTGGATCAGTTAAAGCTTCTTCTAATTTTGGATCACCTTTAATTATATCTTCAACTTTTTTTAATGAATTATAAGTTTGATTCATATCTGATTGTTGAATTGTTGCTGAATATAATGAATTTGCATATGTACCATCAATTCCAAATAATTGTAATGGTGGTTTTGTATTTTTAACATTATTTGATAAATAACGAGTTGATGATAATGAACGTTTGAAAACACTAGAAATCATTTTTGATATTGTTGTAGTGGATAATGTGGAATAGATAAAAAACTGTTAGACCAATTGATTTAAAATGATAAACAAATTGAAAAATAACTTATTAGAATTGGTATATATATTTTAAATCCCTTTATATCAATTATTCTATTAACTTCTATTAATGTTGGTTTTTTTTTTTCACTTTAAATTATGTTTAGTTACAACCAAAATAAAATTATATTAAAGAAATGCGAGAAAAAAAAATTAATATGAGTAAATTTGGTAGCATTGAGAATTGTAAATTAAATATTATTGGTTTAAACATCTTAATTATGTAGTTAGAGATGTTAATGATTAGTTGGTAGCATTTAGGGGTTAATTTAAATTTTGCACCTTCACTATTTTTGTAATCACAATTTATTTTTATTAATAGAGAGAGACAATTGAAAAATTTAATTTTTGAATCTCAAATATATTAAAAGTTAAAGGATAAACCCAAATAAATGATACCCAGGTTCACTAATGGGTTAGTGAATAGCCGAATAAAGCTATGTCATAATCAGCTAAATACTATATCACTTATAAAATCAATTTATAGATTTAATTCCTCATCACAACCACAGAAATCATCATCAACAGATCAATTAACAGAATTAGAAGCACAAGATATAAAATATAGAAAACAAAGAGAATTATCATTAAAATTAGTTAAAATAAAAAATTATGGAGAATTTTTCCCACCTCATACAAATCCTGGTTCAACTCATTATAAAAAACCAATACATGATCATTTACATAAAGGTAAACCAATAAAAGAATTAACATTACCTAAAAAAAAAACTGCAGGTAGAAATAATAAAGGACAAATTACAATAAGAGGTAGAGGAGGAGGTCATAAACAAAGAATTAGATTAGTTGATTTTCATAGATGGGATCTGGGTAAAAATAAAGTTTTAAGAATTGAATATGATCCAAATAGATCAGGTCATATTGCATTATTAGAAAATGTTTTAAATGGAACATTATCATATATTTTAGCACCTCAGGGTTTAAGAAGTGGAGATATTGTTGAAAGTTTTAGACAAGGTATACCTGAAGATTTTATTGAAGAAATGAAAAAAACAAATAATGGAGAAATTGATGATGCACTTTTATCTGCAAGAGTTTTACAAAGAGGTAATTGTTTACCACTTAGAATGTTACCAGTTGGTTCTATAATTCATAATATTGGATTAAGACCAGGTAATAGAGCTCAATTAGTTAGAAGTGCAGGAACATTTGGTAAAATTTTATCAAAACATAATGAAAAACAAAAAGCAATAATAAAATTATCAAGTGGAGAACATAGATTTGTTCATTTAGATTGTCATGCAACCTTGGGGGTGGTATCAAATAAAGAACATCAATTAATATCATGGGGTAAAGCTGGTAGAGCACGTCATAGAGGTAGAAAACCAATAACACGAGGTGTTGCAATGAATGCTTGTGATCATCCTCATGGTGGTGGTAGAGGTAAATCTAAATCAAATAAATTAACTCAATCTATGTGGGGTTTGAAGAAATTCCAAAAGACAAGATTAAAACCGAATCCAAATGTTATTAGAAATAGAAAAGGTAGAATGGTAAGACATAAAAAATAATTATAATAAGGTACATGTAAATAGGTTTATTTAAATTTATAGTTTTAAATATTATATCATTTTTTACTTTTTCGTAAATTATTTGTGATTAATTTGGGTCTTATTAACTATAAACTATATAAACTAATCAATAATTTTTAACTCAACATCACCATAACCAAATTTTTCTTTATTTTCTTCATAAACTCTTTTTAACTCATCAACATATAATTTGTGGTATTTATCTAATAACTCTTGAGGAATTTTAGTACGTACCGAACTTCTTTTATGTTGACTTGAATTAGCAGCAGTACCATTACCTTTCACCTCTGATGGTTTTTCTTTTGATTTTGATAATTTTATAAAATCAGTAAATGAATTTGTCTTTTTCATTGGTGGTTTTTCTTCAATTTTAGAAGCATCTTCAAATTCTTCAGGATGTTTTAATTTATATTCTTGTAAACAACCTTCTGGTACATGAATTGGTTTCCCCACAACAATATTTATAGGATTTCTAAAAGGTAAAAAACCAAAATCATAAATAAATACTCCTCTAGCACTGAAAAATGGTATAGTAAATTTAAAATTTTTTTTCATCCATTGTTGAAAATTTGCACCAAATGATCCTGGTTTTGGGAAATTTAATTTATATACATCTGCTTCTCCAAATGCAAATAATGGTACTAAATTAACATTACCTAATTCTATAGCTAATTTTATAAAACCTTTTCTATTATTTAAAACTAATCTAACTTCCTTTTTTGGGGACTCTTTTGCTGGTATACCTTCGAATCTATCACTATCTGATTCCAGATCAGATGATGATATTGGTTGTTCTTCTTCAGGATTTGAATCATCTTTTTTATATCCATAACCAACTCTTGAATTCTTACCAACTGATGAATTCAATAATGCTTCATGAGCACCTCCAATAACTAAACAAACAGAATTATCACCATTACTAATTAAACTTTTAATATTTTTAGCAGAAGCACTTGATATTCCTAAAGACATTAAATAATCTCTATAAAATGGTATAGTAAATTGAGTAGTTAAAGTTAATGTAAATATTTTACCTATTCCTGGAAATAATCTTTTGTATTTTGATGGATCATGGAAAAATGGTTTTAACCATTTATTTACTGGTTCATAAGGTTCATTTCTTAATGCATTTGTACCAAATAATCCAACTACTCCCATTGATATAACACCATGAGGATGATAACCAAAAAGATATCTTGGACCTGTTGATACTGTTTTGTAAGTTTCAATTTTGGTTATTGAAGAATTTTCATCATTATCTTGGTCTATTATTGTTTTCTTTTGAGTAATATTACCAGATGGAGAATTTTCTTCTTCTTCTGCTTCTTCTTCTTCTTCTTCTTCTCTTAATTCAGCTATACTTTGCTTATTATCATTAACCGAAATAATTTCATCACTTTTATTTAATCTTTTCTTCAACCCCAATACTTTAAATATATTATCCAATAAAGTCTTACTATTTTCAGATACTAAATCTTCTTCATCTTTTGAATTCAAATTAACATATTCATCATCAATTAAAACTTGTTCAAAAGTTGGTGGTAATTCAACTGTTTTATAAACTTTTATTGGAAAATAATTAACAAACCATTCCCATATAATTAAATTTTTTATTGAATTGCGAACTCTATATGAAGCTTTACCATTAGTTGGAGTATGTAAATCAAACCCATACCACCATATGAAATATGGTATAATTACTGATACCCAAACTACCCAACCTAATGATATACATATCAAAAAAACACATATAAAAAAAGGAATACTTATACAATGCCATACTACTCCCAAAGTTTCTAATCTATGATTTAATGGAGTATTTAATGGTGCAACATTTAATAATGACTTTTTTGTATTGTTTTTTCTAATTTTTTTTTTACTTCTTCTTTTTTTAGGTTGTCCATCCGCAGTCGTTGATGATAATGAATTAGTTGATATTATGGATGATGAATAACTTGAATCTGATATTATGGATGAATTTGTTGAATCAATTGTTGATGATCTTTCTTTTGTGGGGTTTGGATTTGTACGATTTCTTAATATTGTTGAGACATCTTCTATTTCTATATTATTCATATTATTGTCATCTGATGATATCTCATTTGTTTTTATTGAACCTTCTTTATCTATTGAATTGTTATAACTAGACATTTTCCAATCAATTATTACAGTAGTTATCTAGATTCATTTATTTCTATTATTTGTCTTTCAATCAATATATAAATATATTAATTAATTAATTAACTACGTATAAAGAATAATCTTTTTTTCCTTTGATTTGCTCCCCTTTAAATTTTATTATCCGTTACTTTTATTATTTGGATTAATTTTATCAATATTACAAATATTGATTTAAAACTAAATTAAATTTTACAAATTAACTTTAAATTGTTAATATATATCAAAGTCATCATTATTTGGATCGTAGTCGTGGTGAATCAAGTTATTACCTGCCCATAATACACTTCTTTTGAACCCGTGACTTTTAATGATTTTTATGACATCATCTCCATGTGTAAACGTATAAAGACAACTAATATAGACTACTTAATTAAGTAACTAAATATGTTATGAATCTAGACTGAGGAAATGTTGATTTATTAGTATTTGACAAAAACCAAATTCATCATTTGTAAAAGTAAAAAAAACTATTCTGCACTTTATTCACAACTCACCTGATTCAACCTATCAACCATATATACGCTCAAGTAGTACAACAACATCTATGACCCCAGCAATTTTTTCTTTATTTCTGGTCAATATTTTACCACCTATTAATTTTTCGAACCTAATTAATCTAATGGGATACTTCAAAAACTATCCCTTGAATTTGCATGAAGTCTAACGAAAAATTAGAATTCAAAGTCTGAGAACTCATGAAAAAAAGACGTACAATTATATGGTACTTTTGTTCACACAATTATCATTCAGAAAAATATATTTGGCTGCAAAACGAGGTTTGAAGAAATTTAAATATTGTGATTTAATGAGCACTTTTATGATCACCACGTACTAAGACTTTACCACCATTGACCAACAATGTGGCTATGGATCACTAAAACAGTGCTAAGAAATTCTAAATTCCCAGAAAAAATTTCTTTTGGTTTGGTAAAAGCTTACCAAGTATATTTATTCACCTCTCTCTTCAAGAGGATTACCTATAAAATTTAACTGCGTAGACATAGAACGAAAAAGATATTCCACTAAATAAGAATGGAACAAATATCATCATTGTCATATTTAATTTCAAAACATTGATGAACTTTACCTCTTAAATAGTTTACAATTTTCTTTCCATTTAATTTCATATTCTCCACCTAATCCTTCATAAACTTCTTTTAAAGTTAATTTAATATCAGAAGATTTAATATTTTGATAATTACCACCATAAATTAATAATAAAATGTTATGAGAAATTTCATCAATATCTTCAATATTTTTATTTAATAAATAATCAGTAGCATTTTTAATAACTTCAATATCTGTTTCATTTAATCCTAACCGATTTGAAGAAAAATCAATTTTTGGATTATATGGTAAACCCAAAAATTCAGATATACTTGCATTAACAACAATTATATTTAATAATGATGGTGATAAATTATTAACATCTTCATATTCTTCAAATTTTAAAATATTTTGTTGATCTTGGTAAGCATTTATATAAACTTAATGCATTTGTAACTAAACAAATTAATGTAATATATAATGTTAAATTTCTAAACATTGTTTCTTGATGAAAGTTTTTTTTTTCTTTACTTGTTGTATAATTTGTAAGTGTTTCAAATAAAGTGAAATAAAGTGGATTTTTATATCAATATTTATATCAAAATTAATAAAAAAAAATTGCCTAACCATTTTTTTTGATCATATCACATATATATTAATTCAAGAAAATTTGAGTTGTAAGTAGAGAAAGCCCCAAGTCAATTTAAATTATGGACCAATATGATAAAACCACAAGTTACATGAAATCATATTAAATTAATAACACCTAAAAAAGTTTACTAAAAAAAGTTTAGTTCATTTAATTTTCGAAAAGTAATTATTTAATAGCCGAACGGAATACAATTGAAACAATATGGTATTGGAGGAAATAAAAAGAAGATCTGTTGCAAAATTATGTGACAAGTAGCTGAACAAATTAGATGAAGGTTTATCTTATAGATAGATGTTGGATCATTTAAAATTTTTTATTGAAGAAATAGAAAATTTAATAAATAAGAAATAAGGCAATCCTGTTTCAAGTGTCAAATATATGAAACAAATCCTAAAGTCTTGGCCATGTGGTTGTTGACACGTATAACTTAATAAAGTAATGTAATTTAGACCAAAACTTTGAGCCGTATTAGTTGAAATAAAATTTTAGTAATTAGTTTTTTAGTCTAAATATACTCAAAATAAAATGTTAAATTTTAGAGCTTTTGGGGATAATTGGGAAAAAGTTTTTCAATAATTCAAAGCCATGTCAAACTAAGTTCAAAACTTTAACTTGTTTTAAAAAATTTAGAATTTGACGCAATCAAATTATATTTTTTTCATTTGAAGATTAAATATTTAACTTGAAACAAAGCAATACAAGAAAAGCAATCGGTGTTACAGATAATTATACGTCGAAATGTTTAAAGAGTTTATAATATAAAATCTAATGTTCACTACCGAGAATGAAGTAAGTAAAATCAATTGAAAAATTTATTTGAGTTGAATATTTTTCTCATCAATCCTGATTATGATTTTTCACTTTTTTAGTCATTGTTTTTTAAAATCTGAAATTAGTTGTGTAATACTTAATTAATTATAAACAAGTCCTTTATTGCCCTTTGTTTTATGTCTTTCTAACTCCTTAATATCTGAAACATTAATTAAAATAATTTTGTGTAATAAAGACATTACACTAATTGAAATTGCCAGGAGTTTTAGGAATTATTGTCGTGACAATTTGTTAAATTATGAGACTACAAAGTTTTTTACATATTAATAATAATCTCTTCTATTACTAGTATTAATGTTATCATTGCCGTAGGTATATACTTCAAATATTTACAAAAGTTTTTCTATATTTACAATTACAAAAATCTATAAATCATTTATACAATCATCATTATCATCATCATTAGCTAATTTTCTCTTCTTTGAATTAATTTCAAATATTTTTAAAAATTGATTCCAATAATTTTCTTGATTTTTCAAATTCCTGAATCTAATATTCATTAAATCATAAGCGTATAATATATTTAAATCAAATTTGGTATTTGATGAATCTTCTAAATCTATATTTTTAATTATATTATATATTTTTTTATTATTTAATTGGTTTTGTAAAAATTTAGATTCTTTCACTAACTCATCTTTTGAAATATAATTATTTGACATTCCATATCTTGTACTAAAATGAGTAAGTATTAGATTTGAACAATTCATTAATTTTGATATCCATATAGATTCAATACTTGTTGAATGTTTTTTAGCAATTGCTTCATCTAACCAATATAAATCTAATGAAGATTCATGAATTAATAAATCACTATTTGAACCAATTTTAACAAATTTATAATTTGGTCTTGTATCTCCTGAAAATGATATTTTAAAAAATTGAGAATTGTTGAAATTTAAACTGAAATCAAAAGTTGTTGAATATGACCAAGGACAATGTAATGCTCGTACACTATTGATACTTCTTATACCTAATGATTCATACATTTCGTTAACTCTTTTAATGTCAACATTATTAATTTCCCTCTTTGATATAATTTCATTTTTGAGTTTACTTGAATCATATAATTTTTCAAATTCATCAATTGATATCTTGGAATATTCAGCCTGTCTAGCTTCAATAGTTAAAAATTCTTCTAAACTAAACATTTTTAATCTGCTTAAATTGAAATTATGATTATAATTTGATTCAAAAATATACCAATCTTTTAGAAAAGTTATAAATTGCCAAGGTAAGATTAAATATAAATTTTCATTTTCATTAGTATTAATTTCAAACCATTTATTTATTATGGAACATATTCCTAAATGATGATCAGCGTGTAAATGGGATATATAAATTAATTTTAATTCTTTGAAAATTTTAATAAAATCTTGGTGATGGTTATGTCCGAAATTTCTCAATAAACTTCCAATGGTGTTTTCTCCACAATCTAATAAAACCGATCGATATATAATTTCACCTGTCTCTGTTTGGTATGGAATTCTGACTAAATTGGATAATACATTTCTATTTATACTTGGTAATGCTGAACCTGTACCTAATGTACATAAATGAACTGAATTTGTCAATTTTTCAATATCAATATTATCATCATCTAATTTAAATTTTGAATTTTGTAAATCTTCAAAACTTAAATTTGATAAAATTTCTAAAACATTTGAATCATTAGAATTAACAATCTCAGTGTTGAATATATCTTCACTTGAAGCTTTAATAACTTGTGAATTATTTGTCATTATTCCCTTTTCATTTAATCCAAATGCTTGTAAACTATGTAACCTTTCTATATTTTCTTCAATTTTTAGATCTTTATAGTTTTCAGAATTTAATAAATTGATATTTTCATTCATTATTAATTTCAATTTAAGTTGATTTGAATCGAATTTATCATTCATTATAATATTGTTAGTTATTGACTTATGACTTATAACGTGTTTAACATTTGGGGAAAACTTATTTAAAAAAGTCTCAATATATGATTGTAAATTAAAATTTATATCATCACCAATGAAATGATAAATTAATCCTAAATTCTCAATATTAAACCAATTATTATTAGTGATTGTATTTTCATAATATTCATAACTTGGAATATCAATAATTAAAATTTTAGGTAATATTTTATCTGGACCTAATACTTGATGTGGTTCAATAATTTCTCCCTTTTCATTAATAACTGATTGTCCATTAGTTAAATCTCTGAATTGTAAACCTGGTTTTAAACCTAAATTTTTAGCTCTTTGTGGATCAAATTTACCTCTTATTTTGGCAAATTCTATAAGATAAGATATTGAATTTTGTTTATTTGTTTGAAAATACTGAGAAATTTTTGAACGTGGTAATTTTACATGAGTATGAATATCCTTTTGTGATGGATCTGATTTGTATGATTCTGGATTTCTACTATTGACTTCTGATGTATCTAGTGGGAACATTAATGAAGCTAATTTTTTTAGTTGTCTAAATAGTATATTATTGTTATTATCTGAAATTGGAGAATCTTCTAATGAATTATTGAAGTTTGTTGGTTCAATTTGAATAGACTTTACACTTATTTCGTCATTTGATAAAATAATTTCTTGATTCTCATCAACAACATCAATAATATCTAAATTAATACCTAATCTAAAAACAAATTGTCTCCAAGTAGTCACAATGTATGATAAAATTTTAGAATTCCCGAATATTTTAACCCCTTGTTTTGTAGCATCACTAATAGTAAGAAATAATCCAGGTAATCCTCCAATATCTGACCATGACAAAATAGCTCCACTTATAAATATACCTTGTAATTTATTATATTTAATTTCTGAATTTATTGAATTTAATATTCTTTGTGTTCCTTCAGGGATTTTACCAAATAAATATTTGTTTCCTAATCTTGTAGTTAATGAAATTAATGGTTTTGAAGTATCATCATTTATATGAGTTAAAGTTGTTATTTTGAACATTCCCAGGAATAATGAATTATTATTTATATTATGAATGTTTTTTTGTTTGAGGAGTTTATTCTCAATTTTTCTAAATTGCTTTCGTTGTCTCTTTTTAATCAAATTTTTGGATAAATTTGATGTGGTAGTTGTGAATTGTTTACTATGGTTTGTGAAGTTTATAGATGAGTCAGTGATTGATTTTGGTATTAAAGAACTGATTGTTCTTAACCTTGATGTAAACAAAATGACTGATTAACTTTCTTTGATGATTTTTCAAATTCGCTTATTCAGTAGTACTTTGAGGTTGGTTTAATGGTATTGTCATATAATGTTGATCATTAAGATTTAGGTAGTGGTAGGTATTAATTGTGTTGCAAATAAAATTGGTTTAGTTTCTCATCTTTATATTTTTCATATTTCAATTACGTAATGAGAATCACTTAAGCTTACGTAATTTCTCATGTAAGTACAAAAGTGTTTCAAAATTTACAATTATCATTATTATGTGAGTTTAGATTAAATAGATATTACATGGTTATAATAATAAATTACCCCAGACTTGTGGTTTAAAATGGATTGAATTGTAGTCTAGAACAATTTTATACTGTTCAAATTAAAAAAAAAATTCAAAAAATGGTGTTGAAAATGTAGAGTCTGGGTTACTACATATAGATCATTGACCACAATTCTACAAAAGAAATATGTGAGGCTCGTCTTCTAGTAATAGTATTTAATTATACTGAAAGAAAGAATCTCTTTTAGTGAATGACTTGATGCAATCACTATCATAGCTTCATGACCTTAATGTAAGAATTTAGATGTTTTTTAGTGAAATTAATATTTTGTGTCGAATCACTTTTATATATTTTGAGACAATCAAGATTATTTTTATTTTTTTTGCAACCAAAAAAATTATCATATCAAAATAATTTGCAATTAATTTTTTACTGAATTTAGATCGATTTCCTGATATTCAAAAAAAAATGTTTTTAATCACATTCTTTACTACTTCAATTTCATATACAAACTACAACACTACATAATCAATTCAAAATAATATATCAACGGTTTCATTTAACTTATCAAATGAAATGCTAATATAGATAATTATATTAACTATTTCAAATTTACAGATTAAGAAATAAATTTACTAACTGACACTTTTTAGTCCTGGTGATTAATGATTTCAATAAAATATGAACATAAATGATGCTAGCAAGTAGGATTGGGTCAAAGATAAAATAAAATAGTTTTGACTGCTGCAAGTTTCAGACCAATGAGATTTACCACACTGTAAAACCCAACTGTCCTAACTTATGTTAGATTTTATTTTGGTGAATTGCAGGTATCCGCTATTTATTAAAGTGGTTAATTTGGTGTTCTACGTGTAGAGGCACCTTAATTTAATTTTCAAATTCATCATGTATACTACTAACATCAATATTCCAGTGATCATCAAATTAAGCAGATAAAGTATGGATAAAAGTAGATGAATATTTGATGTACAACATTGAACATAACAAAGTGGGATACAAGATGGATTTTAATTATATTTATTACTAACTGTAAAAATTATAGGCATCAAATTAATCATGCGTTCGCTCGTAGATTAATATTTGGAATTTATTTAAAATTGGTCAAAACACAATTTAAGCATTGGACTTTGTGGTTTGATGAGTTTGATTGATTTTGGAGCTTCATGTGGTCTTGATGAAATAAAAAGATCTTATTTATTCAATCCTATTTGCTAGCATTTAATAGTGTTCATTATTGATAATCAATAAAAAGGAATTAAGTCAGAATTTGGTTTTATTTGGTTAATTAAATAGTTAAATAGCTTGTAAAATTGGTATAATTTAGAGTTGTTTGGGGTATGTATATTTCACTAACTTTACATCTAGTTTCAATTATAATTAAATAATTACTCAAAAAAATTTGAGAACAAGGGTAGAAAACTACAACATTTTATGAGGAAAAGTATATAACAAGAACTTTCTTACTCAGATTAATTGTATTTCAAATGTATATTAACAATTTTCAAAGACACATACTTAACTTTGAGACCTTAAATTCTACCAAATTATCCTTTATCCCAAATTATTTAAATTAAAAAAACTAGAATCTCCAATTAAAGATTTGTTGTTATTACTACCATTATTATCCCCAGATAAATTATTATTTGAATTATTACCTCCAGTAGAATTCATTAAATTGAAATTAGCTTCATCCTCAATATAATTTGCAGCATTTAATAAACTTAAAAACGATTTTGTACTTGAATTACTTAAGTTATTTAAATTTATAATCGATTGAGTTTGTGGGAATTGTTGACTTATTGATGTTGATATGTTCATTGGTAATTGGAAATTTTGTTGTTGTCGTTGTTGTTGTTGTTTTTGATCTGAAGTAATAAATTTATGACCATGTTCATTTTTTGGTTTTATACTGAAAAAATCATTTGCTTCATCTTCTTCATCTTCATTATCATCATCATCAACTTCTAATTTTTCTTGATTTTTATTTCCAATTTTTTCATCATCTTCTTCATCATCTGCTTTATATTGTGTTGCTGAAATTGGATTAACTAATATTTGATGTAAATTTTGATTTGAGGAACTATTGAAATTTCTTAATAACTCATTTATATCAATTTGTGATGCAATTCTTTGTTGCAGTTGTATATGACTTAAATTCGTAAATGATAATTGATTTAGTGATTGTAATTGAGTTTGAGATTGTGGTGTTATACCTGTATGTAAAGGTATACCGTCTGTTATAGGAGTTTGTGGTATTTGTTGAGATTGAAGAGGATTATACTGATGTGTTTCTTGCTGTTGCTGTTGCGAAGCCTGATTTGGTTGTTCTTGTAACAAGCGTACCTGTGTTTGTTGATCTTTTAGTTGTTCTTGTTCTTGGAATTGTTGTTGATCAATCTCAGATTCATCTTTTTTTATCTCACTCAACATTAAAAACCAATTGTTTAAAATTTTATGAGCTCTAATTAATTTATTAATATTATTGAAAAAAGGTAAATGAATAATTAACAATTCACTATATCTAACTAAAAGATTTTGATCTTGTAAATTAATTGGAGAATTTAATTTAACTTCAACTTGTTTCAATTCTAAAAAGATTTTTAAAATATGTAATAATGGTTGTAAAATTTGATAATTTGATATTTTAACTTTAAAAATATCATTATCGGCTTTTTCTAAATTGAAACTTATTTGATTCATTATTTCAAATATTTCCTTTTTACAGTTTTCAAAATTTAAAGGTTTTATAATTAAAATCTTAAATAGAATAACTTGAATTAAAATTTTTTCAATATATTCATCTTCTTTAGGTCTTGATAAATTCAATAACTTTGATTTGATGTCATAATAAATTGATTTTATTTTATTAAAATTTAATAACGCATTAAAACTTGAATGTTTACAAATATCATCCATTAAACCCATGTCATCACAAAAATTCATTAATTGGAATAGTGTTGTTTTATTTTCTGATTCAAACTTTTTATCTCTCAACTTTAATAATATGTTGTTGTTCTTGAAAATGTTGAACCCGTAAGTAAAGCTACTAAAAACTAAAAAATATCTTTCAAACGTAAATATTAATTCATATAATTCTTTAACAGGTTTAATGTCATCTCTTTCTTTAATGCTGATTAATTGGAAAAAAGTTATAGCTTTATTCATATATATGATTTTTTGATTTTCTTGAGCTTCATTACCATAGGAATTATTTGATTCATTAGTGGAATTTAAAGTATTTGTAAGGTTAAGTATATTATAATAACTTGCTAAATAAAAATTAACTTGAGATAAATTGAAAAAAACAGTCAGTTGATTCAGCTCATTTTTCTGAGTGGTTTTATCAGCTCTAATTTTAGGTATGATTGGTGGTACTATTAAATTTTTTTCAATTAATGTTAATATTTCCAATACTTTAAAATGACAAAGATTTTTAAAATTTTTAAATGGATTAAACATTAATTTTTTTTTGGAATAATGAGTAAGATGTTTAAATTTAGTCTTTTTAAACTTTATTAAAAATTCTGCAATAATTTGATTCAAAGTTAAAATTATTAGCAAATTAGATAAATATAGTGAATCTTCGTGATGATTTATTAAATTAATTTCACTTAAGTGTGGATTGTGTGTTGAATTTGAATTATTTGGGTAGTTGGATTCCAAAAATTGTATTAATTTTGAATAATTTGTTAAGACCGTATTTATAATTAGCGGTTTAATTAATTCATAAATTGCTGGTTCATCTCCTATTAGTCGTAAATTTTCAATTAAATGATATGGTGTGACTAGATAATCTTCTGTAGTTATTGCTGATGTTGATGAATTTATGGTTTCTTGATATGAGTTTATCGGTACGTCAGTTGAGATTGTTGACTGTTGCTGATTTTGTTGTTGCTGTTGCTGTTGATTTAGTGCTTGCTCATTTGGAGTTAATGATTGAGCTATGGATGATCTATTGCTAATTGGAGGAGTCAATGAATGAGCACTAGTTAGCATTTCATCTTCAATAAAACTAGGACTTTTTGAAAATTGATTAGTTGCAGATGATGATGAAGCTTTCGAATGTATTTCAGGTCTTGATTTATTATCATGTTGTGGTACTTGTAATTGTTGATTTTGATTTTTATTCGAATTTATTTCAATAACTTCACTCAAATTATTAATTGATTCCAAAGTTTTATTAGTTAAAGTTTTTGGACCTGATTTTTTTCTAATTCTAATTCTAGTACATATTAAATTATTTGATAAACAATGACCACATGGTGTATTTGGATCACATTTAACTTTTCTTATTGCACAAGCATCACAAGCTCTAGAAGTAATATTTCTCTTTTTTTTATTTTGATGAATCTTTGATTTAGTATGTTTATTTGTTAATTTAATTTTAACATTTTTATTTGGAATAGTTGAATTTAAATCATTTGTATTATTAGAATTATTAATTTCATTACTATTATCATTATCATTATTATTATAATTATTTTTAAAAAAATTTGTTAATCTTGAATTTGGTTGTAAAACTTCATGATTATTTGAATTAGATGTTGATGAATTGCTAATAAGATTATTGTTTATCGAATTGTTAATATCATTACTGTTGTTAAAATTATCAATGTTTGAAGATTGATTATATTCATTCATTCTTAAATATACTAAATTATTTTATTCAAATGTATCAAATTAATATTATAGAATTTAATAAAATGACGGCATTAACTTAGGTAATTTTTCTCAGGTAAATTCATTGAACAATTTAATAAGTTAATGTTTGAAACTTCTAATGATTAAGGATTAATCAAATTAAATGAGATTGAAACGAATTTTAATGAAAATGATATAAATATTGGTGATAAAATTGGTTGTAAAAAAAAAGTAATTTATGAAATTCAAATATTAGTTAATATAAATATTAATTTTTTTTTCCTTAGTCTAATTTAATTATCATGTATAAGCCCTTTTTTATATCAAATTAGTTTCTATATATTGAAACGGAGTTTATATGAATTTATCTAAAATAATATTTCATGAAAATGAGTATCAAATTTTCATTTGATGATGAATACTTAAGTCAAGTATTATTGGGAGTAAATGCTTAATTATATATATTTGTTCAATTGAATAATTCTCTATAAGTAAAATATTTTCATCTGAAAAAATATGTATATTGTGTTTCATAAAATAGAAAATTTTGAAAAGAGGGGAATGAAAGAATAAGTCTCACGTAAAAACTATATTAAGTAAACTATAATATTTGATGTAAATTTAAATTACGATCCAATCAATACTTCATATACAACCTTGTCCCAAAGCTCAAATTTATATATTTCTAAGAACGCAAAAAATTAGAAATTGATCGTTGACATTCTTTAAAAGTTTATGATAATATATTTTCATTTATTTTGCAGCCAATTTTTCATTTCTTTGTAGATTTTAAAGTTAAGTTTCAACTTCGACAAAACTTATGTCTATAAGGTTTTTTCAAGTTGAACGTTTTTAGTATATTAAACAAGAGAAATAAATCATTTTCATAAAAAACTGGAAACTAGTAGAGTGACGATCAAATGGAAATTCTTAATTTCATCAATTCATTTCAAGAGAAATAAGTATCGAAGATAGTGATATTATAATTTTCAAATATCTTAAGTAAGAGATATTAAAATTAAGAAGACGAAGAAGAAGAGGAATTCAAAATACTGAAATTACCTAATCTGGCTCGTAATTTGGGCCAAAGTCGAGATTAAAATTAGAAGGATGAATTTTTATAACTGTAATTATTTGGGTATTAGGAAAAGTGTAACAAATTCAAGATAATGAATTAATTTATTAAATTTTTAATTTTTATTTATATAACTTTTTATATATTATCATTAATAGCAACACCTCTAACATGTTTTTCTCTTTCTGTAATAATTTCTTCTTGTCTTTTTTTATTTGAACTATTTCTTTCATTATTTTGTTTTCTTTTCATACTATTAATTTCAATTCTTTTAATATCTTGAGCCTTTTTGATTATAATAGGTACATGTCTATGTCTTGAAATTCTTTTAATTTCAGGCATATTTGAAAATTTTTCTTTTAATTTGTTATCATATTCTAATTTTTGACGTTGTTTTGTTGATTTGATATTTGATCTATCACTTGCTACCGATCTCCAAATTCGCAAATTTGTATCATCTGATCCTGATATTATATATTTTGAATCTGTTGTATATTTTACACTGAATACTTTTTGCATTCTTTTTGTATGATAGATATCTCTACTATGACCTTGATTAGTTTTAAAAATTCTTATAGTTTTATCATATGATCCAGTTACTAATTCTTGTCCAGTTGGAGCAAAATCAATATCCATTATTGCTGCTACATGATCTTTATATATATTTAATGATTTTTTTAAATTTCTCATATCCCATAAGTACGCATTATGATCTTCATTACCAGTTACAAAATTAAATGCTTCTATTGGATTCCAACTTATACAATTATTTCTTAAAGTTGTTGTACATTTTTGTATAGGAATATTTGTTCTTATATCATATAATACTATTGAATTATCTGATCCAGTACTTGCTATTATATTAGTTTCTGTTTTATTAAATTTAACAGTATTTATATTATCAGCTCCCCATGATAAATTACTTATATATTTTGATCTATTTATATCCCATAATTGAATTTGTGCACCACCAGTTACAAACAAGGAATCATTTCTATGATGATCTAAACCTTTAAAAGAATGTTCACCATTGAAAATTTTAATTAATCCTTGTTTTGTATTTGTATATATTTCATCATCATTTATAGTTTGATCAAATTCTTCATTATCAACTGACCATAATTTTATAGATTTATCATCACCACAACTTAACATTTGATTTTGAGGAGTAACAGTTAATCCAGTAACCATACCATTATGACCTTTAAAACTTGCAGTTTCTAATCTTGTTCCTAAATTCCAATATTTTATAATTCCATCACCACTCCCACTTGCTATTTGATTAGTTGAATTATAATTTTTAGCAATAACATATATTCCATCTCTATGACCATCTCCTAATTGTCCTAAAAATGGTTTTGCAAACATTCTTTCTAATTTTGTTGCTTGTAATGCTCTTGTATATTCTCTAGCTCTTTCAAATGGATGTAATGCAGGATTTAGATTTCTTGGTAATGAGCTTTCTTGTGTGTTCCTTACTGGTACATAAGCATCTGATGATCTACTTATTGTTTTTATCTTCATTTTTGAATTGGTTAGTATATGATGGTATTCTGTTTTAATGAGTTTGTTCTTTGTATATAATCAATAAAATGTCATCTCAATATTTACGAGATCATATTAAATTAATATTTGTGTAATATTGTAAATATATTTTGTGCTTTTTTATTATTAAATATTAAATATTTTATATTTTTACAAGTTTTAAAACTTGTTTAGAAATATCTACAAGAGTACTAATCCCATTTTACTTTCTATTTATATCTTATATTATATTATATTATATTATATTATATTAATACTATATTATTTAATTTTTTTAACGAATAATAATACATAGATTAAAAATTTCAATAATTGAAAAATTGTTAAGATTTCTATATTAGTGATAGTTTATAGTATTGATTAATTGATGGTGTGATTTATTTATTATATATTTGATGAATTTCCACTAATAACAATAAGTGATCCCTGGTTTTCATTCCATTGTGATTAAGTTCTAAATGATGTAGTATAAGTCCTGCTTTATACCGAATTGATGTCTATAAATATTATTTTTTACCCTCATTGTATAATACTAAGATACGGAAATTTGATGAGTTTTTGATTTACTTAATTTTAAAAATCTTAATTGACTCTAATCATAGTGAAATATCTAAAACTAAAGCAACATCATCAACAACAGGTTTTGCTAAATCTTCCAAAAATGGTAATAAATCCAATAATTCATTATCATGAGTATCACTAAACCAAGAACTTATTGGTATTGAATGTTGAGGATGGAAAATATAACTTGCAGGAGAATTATCAATAATTATAGTATCTTTTAAAGGTCTACCAATTTGTGATAAATTTTTTATAAAATTTCCTTGATAATTATAACAAGAATCTCTAAATAATCTATGATGAACCAGTTTATTAAAATCTAATTTATCTAATAATGGATCACCATATTTTGATACTGATGCAGTAAAAACAACAACTTCAAACCATTTCCCAACTTTTTGTAAAAATTCATCAACTCCTGGTCTTTTTATTACATAAACATGATGAATTTGATTATCTATTTCAACTGGTATTACAAAATCTGCTGTTCTTAAATATTTAAATGATGAATGAACTAAAGTTTCATCTAAATCTAAAATAAGACATTTTTTTTGTTGAAATTTTAATGGTTTATGACCTAATAATGATCCTGTTTCTTCATTATGTGCTTGACCTGTTTGTAATCTTGTTAAATCTAATGTTGAATTATTGGAATTCATATCATCATCTTCATAATATTCATCTACATCTGTATCTACTTCATCTGATTGTTGTTGTGGTGGTGGTTGATGTTGTTGTTGTGATTGATTGGGGATTGGAGCTGGTTGTTCATTTGGACTTACTTGTGCTATTATATCACCTGCATTTAATATTTTGTTGTGGTTGTTATCTGTTAATTCTTGCGGCACATTTTGTGATGATTTTGGTGTATGATTATTTGAATCTTCATTTGTATTTGTTATTGTATCTGTTTCATTAATTGAATGATCATCATCTAATAAATCCTTTTTGGTGTTCTTTCGATTTTGTAATTTTTCATTATGATTTAATTCTTTTGATGGTAGTATTTCATCTTGATTTTGTTGTTGTAAATGTTGTTGATTGTTTTTATTATTCAGTTTTGAGTTGTTGTTATTAGTGGTTTTATTATTATTGTTGTTGTTTTCATTTGTTGCTATTGGTAATGAATTTGAAGATGATGATGAATGATTTTTAGATTTTAATCCATTTGACATTTGATTATTTTTTTGTGATTGTTGTTGTTGCCTTGATATTGGTCTATTTTGTTGAGAATGAGACAGTTGAGGTTGTTGTTGCATTTTATCTTCATTATCTTCAGTTGAATCAGAACAACAAAATAATGATAAAACTCCCATAATTTTTTATAATAAATAATGAGTTTGAACTAAATTTTTACGCGTTATAATTTGAATGAAGTCAATGTGATTTTTAAAAGGAATGAATGAGATTAATTAATATATATTGGTAATTTATGATGATAATATATTTATTTCAATTAAACTAAAGTAAATAAATTGAATTAATTTCCTCAATATTTGTAGTGTACAACAAATTTATTTGAATAAATGATGTATATATATATTTAATATATAGATGTAAGTAAACGGTGATATTATTAAATTGTATCAAGTATATAAGGATGTTATATTAATTTCATTAATGTTTTAATTCTAAAGTTGTATATAAATATATTAAAATTATAATAAAACGTTGTTTTTCATATGATTATTTTATTGTTGAGAGTCTTTTATTAATATTTGATAAATTTTTTTTTTATTTCTTTCTCTCTCTTCTTTTTTGAATTCTTGTTAAGTCTAATACAATAGTCTACAATAAAAATAATAGTAATAAGTGTAAGACACAAACAAAGAATATGAGAGTAATATATATTATTCATCTGGCTTCATTTGCACGAGGTCATATGTATTAAACCTATTAAATGATTGATTGTTTATAGTATATAATGATTCACTTGTTATATAAAAATACATCAATAAATGTTTAGCGGAAAAAAACAGAACAATAGATTAATTTCATGTACAAATCTTTGGTACGAAAACCGTATGGACCCGTTGATTTTTTACTACGCGCCTTAGTACTGAAGTTTGTGCTGAAATAATTACGATAATATTTTTATATTTACGAATTGTTTGTTTTGTTGCTAAACAACGCTACCACTTGCGTACTTATAATTTCTTTTTTGTATCGATTTATATTTAGAATTGTTTAAATATTAATCTTCATATTCACAAGAATTACTATATGTCTTTTATAATTCTCAAATTAAATTGTAATTTAAAGAGAATATAAAATTGTAGACGTTTAAATAAAGTGGTTGAGCTATTTAAAATAAAAAATTCACACTATGTATGCCACATATCTTGAAGAACTAGCATTTTTCTATTCACATTAAAGTATTAAGTGAATTCACAGAACCCTTTATTTTAACGTAAGAGTTAACAATTGCTTCATATCATATGATAAAGTAGTTTAGTTCTTTAAAAATAAGTGTAATTATGAAGTAACAATACAAAATTTTTAATTCAAACCAGCCATTTTTATTAATAATTTTTTGCAGCAAAATTAAATTGAAATTTTAAAGAGAGAAAAGATTAAAAAGAAGGAAAAAAAATTAATTGATATTAGATAGAGAGGAACCAGAAAAAAAATTAGAGGATTTACAAGACGTGTTTTATCAAATCAATCTTTATCATTCTAATCAATTAATTAATCAATTAACTAATTAATCAATCAATCTTTGCTATATCGTCACATAAGTCTAGCCATTAACTTAAGCATTATTTACAATTATTCATTATTAGCTGAAATTTCAGGTTCATTTACATTCATCAAACAATCTTATCGTGTTTTGCATTCATATATTAATTTAACAGCCTCTATATTCAACTTTATTAAAATTCATATTTAGTCATGTCAAATCCTTTTTTTGTTCCACAAACTCCACCAAGAACCAGATTAAATAACAATAAAGTATCATTGGATACAAATCAACAAAATCAAAATCAACTCCACAAACAATTTAATAATTATGAAACTCCAAATAGAATGAATAATAACAAATCATTTTTATTAACTCCATCAACAGTTACCAAGAATAAAAAACCAACTTTTGAATCAACATCATCATCATTACAATCAAGAAGAAAATCAAATACTGATACTAATAAGCAATATCCTTTCACTCCAAAAACTCCACAAAAATCACCAACTAAATCATCAAATCTACATCATCCTCAACAGCATCAACAACATCATCATATATATAGTAGGAAAAGAAATTTGAATGATATATTTTTAGCTCCTCCAACATCGCAATCATCATCAACAACAACAACAACTCCAAATAATAAATATTCCAATTTATCAACTTTTAATAATAATGAAAAAATATCATTTGGTTTATTTTTACCATCACCATCAACTATAGGTAAAGGAAGGAATTACAAGAATCTATCATTAATATCAAATAATTCATCTATAATATTTGATAAGAAAAAAATTGAAGAATTAAAAAATCAAAAAGATAATAATAATGACATTAATGGAATAAATGAAGAAATGGATATAGAGATAAATGAAGATATCTCTCATGAACCAACAACTCCAAAAAAACAATTAATTGATGATATAAAAATAAAACAATGGCATGGTAAACTGTTTAATAATAAATTCAATGATGAAAGTGATGAAGAAGAAGAAGAAGAAGAAGAAGAAGAAGTAAAAATAATGAAATTTGAAGATATTAAAAATATTCCAAAAGTAAAAATGACAAATCCATTTTTAGATAATGATAAACCCACAATTGAATATAAAAATAAGACTAATAAAAATATATTTGATTCAAATGACAAAATTAATAATATAAATTATAATACTCATATGGAATTAATTAATAATAAAACTGGTGAAAAAAAAATTATTAAATTAAATAAAAATCAAATGAAATATAAACCTAAGAAATTATCATTTGAAGAATTTAAATAAATTAGTTAGGAGTAATAGACAATTTAATATTTTATTTATTAATCTACTGAATGGATTTAAAATTTATCGTAGAAGGTGAATATTATTTAAAAATTGTAAGTACTCAAAATAGAAGAAGAAAGATACAATTGATCTATACTTTCGATTTAGATCCTAATTGATGTCTATATCTAAGCCTCACAAATATTTCCTAATTAAGTATTTTTGTTTTACTACTTTATTTTTAATAAGCCTATCCAATTAAATGATTTAATATTTTTATTATTTATGTTAGTAATATTTATTAGTACTTAAGTAATAATAAGTATTTATAATAATATATTATATATATCACGTCAATCAATTAATTTAATCAAATTAAATAAACAGTTATAACCGCAACATCTTAATTTCAATCATTCACTTAAAACGATAGTATAAGTCTATTAATATCAATCATTCTCACTAAATCATTCTTTTAATTTGATTCAATTTAAATTTTAACTATTAATATATTTATTAAGTTATAAGTATTTTATTTTTTTGTACACACTTTTAAAAATTCTATAGAAAAAAAAAAAGGCAACCAACCAATATAAAGGTATTAGATTATATTTATCAATAAATCATTATATACATTTTTTATTCAATTATTAATCCAACATTAGATAATATAAAGTAAAGGAGAATTTAAGAAATTTAGAAAATACTTAATAAGACCTCAAAGAAATTCTCAATACCATAATAAAATTCATTAATCACCTTTTACAACTCAATTTATAATCATTAATCATTAATCATCAAATTTAATTTTCATTTCACTACATTTAATTATTAATTATTAAAACTATCTCACTAATAAAATAATCAACCAATACATGTCAGAACTTTAATTATTGTATACTTTAGTCAATTACCAAAAGATTTTTGTTTTTTTTTATTACTACAATAAATCAATTACTTCAAATATCCGAAAAGAAGGATTTATACCAATTTTTTCAAACCAACTAAAACAATTCATACTAGTTTAATTCTATTCCATAATTAATTTTTAATTTTCAATTATCGAACCTTATCATTGGATTATTTAATTTTTATCAACTTTTGTCATTTACTACAATATCTCAAAAAAATGCCTGATAAACATAAATTAAAATTATTTACAAAACATCATAAACATCATAATGCTGAAGGTAGTGAATTATCACCATCAACTTCAAACCATTCAACAGGTAGAAAATTCCTAGGTTTTAATATTGGTAAACATGATTCAATGGAAAGTTTAAATAGTCCAAGTGGAACAAATTCTCCTGATACAGTTAATCAATTAAATCATAATAATTTAAATAATCATTTATCAAATTTGCATCAACATAATAAAACTTCAAATACTTCACCAAGTCCTTCAACTACTCCAATAATTCATAGTCCAATAGCTGGCCAACCTCATCAATCTTCAAATTTACTACATTCTGATGAAACAACAAAAAAGCCTTCTGGATCAATGGTTGAATTAAAAAGATTTTTTAAACCAACTAAAAAATTATCAAATCAAAAAAATAATGGACAATATTCAAATAATTTACATTCTCCACCTCCAATAGCTAATTCAAATAATTTATCAGTTCAACCTCCTCATCATCCCCATCAACCACAACCAACAGGAACAATTTCACCTTCAAGTAATGCACCATCACGAGAACATTCGAGTACATCATTAGCTAATATGATTAATCAAACATCAACACAATTATTACAAAATGCATCACATTCAACAAATTCAAATAGAGATCCTTTCACTGATGATAATTCACCATTAGTTAAAAAATATGGTAAAATAGGTAAAGAATTAGGTAGTGGAGCTGGTGGATCAGTTAAATTAATAACAAGACCATCTGATCAAAAAACTTTTGCAGTAAAAGAATTTAGAGCTCGAAGGTCAACAGAAACTTTAAGGGATTATACAAGAAAATGTACTGCAGAATATTGTATAGGATCAACTTTAAAACATCCAAACATTATAAAAACAATAGATATAATTCATGAAAATAATCGATATTTTGAAATTATGGAATATGCACCAATTGATTTTTTTGCAGTTGTAATGAGTGGAGAAATGTCAAGAGCTGAAATAAATTGTTGTTTAAAACAAATTTTGGAAGGTGTTAATTATTTACATAGCTTGGGGTTAGCTCATAGAGATTTGAAATTAGATAATTGTGTTATCACAATGGATGGGATACTAAAAATTATAGATTTTGGTTCAGCAGTTATCTTTAAATATCCTTATGATCAATTTGGTAATTCAAAAGACAGTATACATCCATGTCATGGAATTGTTGGAAGTGATCCATATTTAGCACCAGAAGTTTTAAAATCTCCTAATTCTTATAATCCACAACCAGTTGATTTATGGTCGATAGCAATAATATATTGTTGTATGACATTAAAAAGATTTCCTTGGAAAATCCCAAATCCTGAAAAAGATAATAGTTTTAAATTGTATTGTATGCCAGATGATAATTTTCATGATTATTATTTAAGTAATGAATGTCATAAATTATTATTACAACAAAGAAAATTGAAAAATATGATTGTTAGATCAAATAAGAAAAAGAAATTAATAGAAGATAATGAAGTTGAAGAAATTAAAGATATTAATAATGAAGAAAATCAAAAAGATGAAGATGAAATCATGAATGATATTCAAAAAATTGAATCTAAAACTGATAAATTAATGGAATTTGAAATTTTAAATGAAGAACAAGAAACTGAAGTACTCGTTCAATTAAAAGAAATTGATCAAAAATTAGAATATTACGAAAATAAAAAAAATGATTTAAAAACTCATTTTTTAGAAATAAGAAAATCAGATTCAAATTATTTAAAACTTGTGGCACAACAAGAAGAAGAAGAAAAACAAAAACAAAAACAAGCCGAAATTGAAAAAGATTCTAATTCACAATCAACTAAAAAGAAATCTTCATCTCATAAACAAATTCATGGACCTTATAGATTAATGAGATTATTACCTCATGCATCAAGACCAATTATAAATAAAATGTTACAAATAGATCCTCGAAAAAGAGCTTCATTAGAAGAAATAATGAATGATGAATGGATAAAAGAAATTCAATGTTGTACTCTAAAAAGAATTACAAGAAGTGCTGATAATATTGGTGCAAATTTTGATGAAGATGATGAAGAAATCTTGGTAAAAGGTATACCACCACATGATCATACTGTTGTATTAGAATAAGTTTCAAATGTTTTTTAACTTTTATAGACAATTGTATAGTACAATGGAAAATTGTTCAATGAAATTGAATGAATTATAAATAGAGTCACTAACTTTGTAAAACCCGGTTCTTTATTATTAAGCTCATATAAATGGTTGATACCCCATAAAATAAAATAACATAGAATGAAATAGATTAGAGTAAATTAAAACACAAAAACAAAAGTATTCAACATCACCAACTTAAATACAACCAAAAATCACTTGAATCAACCCAATTAATCCAATTCAACTTATAAACCCCCTCATACCACCTCAAACAATAAACTAAAAATGCCCAAACCAATTCCACCCCATTTACAACAATCAAGATTGAAAATCAATTTAAAAATGGCACTTTCAAAAATAAATTTCACAAAAGATAAAAAAATAGCATTAACAAAACAACAAAGAAGACAATTAGCTGAATTATTAAATCAAAGAAAAGAATCATCTGCCAAAATAAAAGTAGAAAATATAATAAGAGATGATATATATATTGAATTATTAGAAATTTTAGAATTATATTGTGAATTATTATTAACTAGAATTAATCTTATTTTGGAAAGATCAACATTAGATAAAAATCTTATTGAATCAATAAGTTCAATAATATATTCTGCAAATTTTACAGAATTAAAAGAATTACAAACTATAAAAGACATATTTATATTAAAATATGGTTCTGAATTTGGTAAAGAATGTTTAGAAAATTCAGAACAAACAGTCCCCGACAAGATTGTAAGAAAATGTATAATTGATGCCCCCAGTGAAGAATTAGTAAATATGTATTTAGTTGAAATCGCATTAGCTTATTCTGTTCCATATAGTGGGTTGAAAAATTTAAAACTTGATGATGATGATGAAAAAGATGATAATGATAACGATAATAATGAAAATGGTGGTACTAAAGAAGCAATAAAAGAGGATCCATTAACTGAATTAAATGATAAACCAAGTGTTGCTGCTAGTAAGAAACCCGTTGATCCTGTGAAGCCAAAAGATGATTTTGAAGATATAGCTAAAAGATTTGCTGCTTTAAAGAATACACCAAAATGATTTTAATTCTAGTGGTTTAATTCATTTAGTTGTTAAACCGTTATGCTTCACTTTTTGATTAGATTCTGTACCATTATATAATATACAAAACTTAAGACTTTTAAATTATCTGAAACTATTGATTTTATATTTGTAATCAAGAGTAGTCGTTTTTGTAGAGTTTCAAGTTTTGTTCATTTATTGGAGATTTTGCAATTTATCGAGTTCAGTACAATTTTTGTCATACAATTCAATAACTATTTACTTGTTTATATGATCAAGGGTTATCCATTTAGTTCTATTAGTTAAAAAAAAACCTTGATATGATCAAAGAATTAATAGATGGAGGATTTGGTGATAAATTTTAGCAGTTTGTTATTAGTGCATTCTGTATAATTCATATGTATGAATTTTATCAAAATCAAAAAAAAAAATCAATCCAAATGATTTTTATATAGATGATTTTAACGGAGTCGAATATATGAAAATCTCCCAAGTATGATCAAAATATAAGTCATAAAAATAAAGAAAACAAAAGTGAAAATAATAAAAGACAAAAAAGTAGAGGAAAAAGATTGAAATCAGGTGAATTTCTCTCATCATTATATTCGGATGTAATAAAATGAATTGTTAGATAATGCACTTAACTCTATCATACTTTGGTGGCTAATGTTTATCTACCCCTCCTTTTTACATAATTTTGGTAGCACACTTTCTTATCTTCCCCGCTTTTCAGAAATTGTAATACTATGATGAATCTCCATTCTCAACTTTCTGAAATAGACTTGTGGCAAAGTCAATTTAAAAGCTTCAAGCTTTATTAGTCAAATGTTTAACTTAAATCTTATCAATGAACGTTAAATGTACTTTTGGCTATGTATTAATTCATGATAGTGACATTAACATACAGTGAAGTAAAAACCTCTTTTCAATTAAATTTAATATTGAAAAATTCAACTACTAATAGAGAATTGATTCTAATCAAATACTAAGAAAATCTTCATATTTCATCTTGTTAATCATAGAAAATATCTAATATATTTTTAAAAACCCTATACTTAATTTTGTACTTTTAAATCCTTTTAACATAACTAGTTGGAAACATACCTTTTTCACCATTTAATTCACCTTCAGTCCACCCATTACCTTCAGTATCATCTTGCACCAAGATAATTCTATCACCAGCATGTATACTTAGTTCATCTTCTCCATCAGCTTGATAATCATAAAGTGCTTCCAAATATTGAACTCTTCGAGCTCCTCTTTTTGGTGCAACTGTTGGTGGAGCTTGTTTTTTGGGGGTTGTTGTAGTTGAAGTTGTTGGAGCATGAGAGATTTCAATATATGATGTTGGTACTAGACCTTGACCTTGTACACTTTTGACTAATGTCCAACCTGATCCATCATCTAGTTCTATTACTCTTACTTCTTCACCAGATGTCATACCAGTTTCATCAGCACTAGTGGGCTGATAAGCATATAATGCTTTAGCTGTCGAACTCCCGTTGCTGGTATTAACAGTTTCAGCACTAAATGTTGAAGCTGTAGTTTTATTTCTTCTTAGGTTAAACAATCCACTGTGTCCAGAAGTATTTGTTTTAACCGTATGTAGTGAGTAATTATCGTCATGAGTATTATTTGTTACTTCTCCATTATGAGTTGATTTTTTTTTCAAAAACCCGAATCTTGATTTTTTCTCTTTTATTGGTGCAGTATAACTTAAATCTTTATCACCTGCAAAATTTTGTATAATTTCAATTTCAACTTCATTTTTAACTCTACTTGTATCTTCTTTCATGAATTTATTTAACAAACTTAATGAACTTTGTAATTCAGCATCAAATTTTAAAGTTATTGATTCATCTGTTTGTTTTCTTTTAGTTGTACTTTCTTCCAACAGTTGTTTTATATCAAGACATGATCTTTCAAAATTATTATATTCCCTGGATGCAACATTTAGTCTTCTCTTTAATTCAGTGAGTTCTGGTTCTTTTATTATTAGACTTTCATCATCATGCCAAAATGAACAAGGTATAAAATAAAAATCTTGAGGTTCTGCCCAATTTATTGAATTGTGCTTTATAAACATTGCAACATCTAATTTTGGATTATTTTGATCAATTGTTTTATCAATTGTATGAAGTTTTTCTTTTATACGATCTAGCAGATTCCTTTCTATTATATTTGCATTTCTTAATAATTTATTCAATAATGATACTCTATCTTCATTTAATTCTTGTAAATAATCTAAAATTTCAGGAATATCTTGATAATAATACTTATCTTTTAATCGATTCGCAATGTTTATTTTAATTAAATATGCATTTTTTCCATTATTCATTTCAATTTCTTTTTCCTCGAGTCTTCTTTGATGTTTATCACTTGGTGATTTTTGATTTTTATCTCTTGCAGATTCTGTTGTTTGACATAATGCGTCATAATTTTTTTTGGCTTTATTTACTTCTTCTTCAGTTCCCTTTTTTTCACTAACCAAATAATCATTTATGGATGAAATTTGTTTTTCAATCCTTTCACATTTGGATCTTAAACTTACTAAGTTATCTCCTATTTTCATGGTTAATTCATGACTAAAATTAGATTTCTCTTCCGCAATTGCTTCAGTTTGAGTCAATACATCTGTCCATAGAACCAACGAAGCACTTTCTAAGGATCCAGGGGTAATTTGTGGTTCATCTCCTACGGATAAATTTGATGAAACTTTGGCCTTCTTTTCATAATAATTTTTCACAAGTGCTTTTAATTTAGTTGAATATTCTTTTTCAATCAAAGCTCTTTCTCTATAAAATTGATCTATGTCGGATAGAAAATTTATTCCATTATTAATCCATGTAGAAGTAGCCTTATAAGAATCTTTTAATTCATTACCAATAGATAGTTGTTCAATTGACATTATTTCAATTTTTTAGTATCTTTTAATTGAAATAGTTTATTGATAAATCCAAACTACGTAATATCTGGAAAAATAAAAAATTATTATTACCACTATCTGATTTACAATTAATACTAACCCAGTATTATGCAATCATAATTATACATTAACCATCGTTTCACAAGATATGTCTAGGAGACAAAGACTACTTGAACTAGCCAAAAATACAAGAGAGAATTATGTTTCAAAAATATCAACATCAGTAGGTTCTATAGCCTCAAATGCATCAAGAGTATTCATAGCTAATCCAGAAAAATATGATGAAGATGGAAACATTATACTACCTAAAGATACTACGATTCAATTATATCCAACATATACAAGACGACAAAGAGATAAATATTTAGTTGACGTTTCTGGTTTAGTATTTGCACCAGGGATAGCTAATAGGAGAAATCGATTTATTATTGCAGCTTTTAAAAGAGCTATCGATAAAGAAGTAGCTGATCAAGATTTAGTCGAATTGGAAACTGATAAACATTTCAATCAAGAAACTTTTGATGCAAGTAATCCACAAGGTTCTGATACTGAATCCATATCGTCAAGTGAATCAAATGTGTCTACAACTTATTCGAATAATAACAACAACAATTCACCAATAATTCAAGATAGAATAAGAGAAAGATTAGCAGGGTTTTTAGCAAAATCAGTAGCCAATGCCCATCTTATAATAACTATTGGAGCAGCTAATAATTTTGAAAGAAATTTAACAGAACAAGAAATATTCACTGATAAAAATGGAAATTTTGATACTACAATTGAAGTCAATTATGAACCGTCAATTATTGTTGCTAAATCAGTTATAGACGATACTATTTTTAAAATTAGCGAAGTCATGTTCATCCCAAATAAAGGTGTTGGTATAATTAGTGATATTGATGATACCATTAAACATACTGGTGTTGTAGGTAGCAGAAAAATTCTAATGAGAAATCTATTAACTGGTACATTTGATAGCTGGACTATCAAGAATATCATAAATTGGTATAAAGATATATATTCAAAAAGTGGGGTTAATTTTTTCTATGTAAGTAATTCACCTTGGCAATTGTATGATTGTATATATGAGTATATGAATAAAGTCCAATTACCTATTGGATCAATTCATTTAAAAAAATATTTGGGTAATATAATGTCCATCATTTTAGAACCATCATTATCAAGAAAAAGAAAAATCTTAGATAAGATATTGACTGACTTTCCTGAAAAAAAATTTGTATGCATTGGTGATTCTGGAGAAGTTGATTTGGAAGCGTACACTTATATAGCAGCTAAATATACTAATCAAGTTTCAGCTATTTATATTAGAATAGTGGGTCCTTTATCAGAATTTGATGATTCCCAAATACTAGATCAACTCGTGTATTTGGTAAACACAAGAAATAATCGAAAGCCCATACCAGAGAAAGAGGAGGATCAACAAGATCAAAAAATAGATGAAGAAGAAGTTAATGATTTAATCGATTTGTCAGATTCACCACCACCCATAAAATATGCTCCCGTTAAACCAATAAAGCCATCAAAATTAAAAAGTTTTAAGGTAAACAATTCCCCACTAACCCTACATAACTCAACGCCAATTGACAAAGAAAAAATATCTACAACACCAACATCATCGAATATAGCATCTGACGGAAGTCCAATTACAGAAGAATCAATATCGACTCCTCCATTACCTCCAAGAAGAAGAAAAACAATGGATGAAGAAGATTTAAATCTTTTGAGTATACTTGATACTCAAAATTTTAAAGATTTAGAAATCTATGATAACAAGGGATCAAAATGGATTAGAAGGATAATAGAAGCATTAATTTTATTAAAAGATACTAATACAGTTATAGAATTTTTCATGGATGATGATTTTGAATTTTTTGAAAAAAGTAGTAAATTTATAGATGATATACAGAATTAGAACGGGTTTGTCTATTTTGATAAAGAATGAACTTTGTATCGTATATTATTTTACTAGGACTCTAGTTTGACCCCATTACTATTCGAAATACCATTAGCGTCTCCATTGCTCAATATGCCATTATCAGTTGCTCCATTTTGATGTATTTCGTTATTACCTCCATTTTCTTTTGTTTGTTTTTCTTCCTCTTGATAGTATTCTTGAGCATTTGAACCATCACCATAATCTTTAATTGTACCATCTTCTTCATCAGGTAGACTTGCTTTAAATTGTGATAAATCCCAAGAATCATTCCCATCATCTTCTTCAGTATAATATTTATCTGAAAATTTCTCCAATATTACTTGTCTACCAGTTAATGGTTTTTTACCTGATTTTTTCTCATCTTCTTTTAGTTGTGATTGTTTTTTGGCTAATTGATCAATTTTCCATTTCTTGAATGATTCAACTGTTATTGGTGTGAAATTTGTCTTATCTAATTTACTTCTTTCTAATTCTAAGAATTCTTCTAATGTGATTTTTGGTTCATTTTCTGCCGCTAGTTTTTCTAATTTCTTTTGTTCTTTTGTCTTTAGTATAAATCCAGGTGGTAAAGAATGTTTATATTTACATTCATTCCCACCATTGGGACAAACCCAAAACCAACCATATTTACCATTTTCAACTGCATCAATGAAAAATTTACAAACTTTATCCGTGGTTGTTTTTGGGTTACCATGTTTTGACATAATAACACTTCTTAATTTATCTTCATCCCAATTATCCATTGTATCTTGTTCTTTTTCTTCTCTTGCATCAGTATATAAATCCTTTTTGACATCTTTTCTTCCTACATTTGGATCATGACTAAATTTACATTTTGTTCCTTTTGTACAAACACCTTGTTTGAAAAATTCACAAAATATTGATTTTGGATCAACCCCAAACGGAACTTTTTGTTGCTGAATTCCAAATAATTTTGCAGCTTCTCTTTTAGCTTCTTCTGCTGCTTTCTTCTCTTCTGCTTTCCTTTTAGCTTCTGCTTCTTTTCTTTTAGCTAATCCTCCATCTACACCTGCTTGTAATTGATTTATCTGTTGTTGAACTTTTTTAGACTTATTTTTATTTTTCATACCAAAGACTTTGTCTTCAGCGGACTTAGCTTTCGCCTTTGCCTTGTTTTTGTCTGAAGGTTGTGGTCCTTTCTTCTTTGGAGGCATTTTTTGGTGGTTGATGTCTTGTGATGATTAAAGTTCTTTTGAATCATATTGAAATTTTTTTTATTTTATTTTTTCTCGTTTCTTTTGCGGTTTCACTACATATGACGTAAAACAAGAGAGTTAGTTAATTGATATATTAGAGGACAACTACAAGTCTATTCAAATTTATTCTTGCATAGCTATCATTAAATTCATTAATTATTTAAAAATTTAGTCATATATCAATCTATCTGATTACTTTTTCTTTGATCTTTTTTTAGATACAATACGTATTCCATTTTCTGGAGTTAGATTGGAATTATTTAAAGTGGTCGTAGTTGTTAAATCACTATTACCATTTGTAAAAGATGATTTATTTGTAACCAAAGGAGTTTTGAAAGACGATGGCATTGAAATTGATGATGGAGTTTGATGAGGGGTCTTTTGAATATCAAAATTTGCTGAATTTAAAGTTGTTGGAGTTGATATATCTTTGCCTTTTATAGTTTTATTTCTGAATGGAATATAAGAACGTCTTGTTGGTGGAATTGGCGATCGCTCATTTTCTCCAATATATTCTAGTAAATTATTTCTAAATGATGGTGTAGATGTCAATGTTTTATTTAATATTGCTGAGACCTTTTTGTCATATGTATTTGGAGCACTTTCAATTGGTGTTTGTTGATAAGGTGGTATTTTATTTTGCCTTAACTCATTTGAGTGGTTAATGGAGTTGTTTATCTTTTTAGCTTTTTCAGTTGTATTGAAAAAACTATCAAAATCATCAAGTGCCGCCCACATATTACTTAATGAAACTTCTGGTTCTTCGACACTCATAGATATAGTATCTTGAGTATCTTGTGGGGCATTTGGACTATAATAATCTTCCATGTGAAATTGAATTTCTTCATTTTGATCTTCTTGTAATTCTTTATCTTGTTCTTCATCAACTACTGGTATGCATGTTGAAAATACAGCATGAACATTGTTCCTTGTACTTGCTGAAGTTACTGCTGGCATTGGAATTGACCACCCACTTTCTTCTGGTATACCAAATAATGTTGCAGTATTTTCATATTCCTTTTTAATGGAGGTGTTACCAAGACTCATTCTTAAAATATCTCTATCTAATTGTGAACCAGATATTATATCAGCTTCATCTAACACTTCTAAAGCTGGTTCTGCAAAATTTGTTAACAATAATCTAAGCAATGGTGATATCAAATCAGCACCTAATCCAATAAATTCATCTTTTCTGAAGTCAATGTAGGGGATCATGGCTTTTAAAAATACCAAAACTTGTTTTCTGAAAAACTCAGTGGTGTTGGATAACATTTTTAATAATGAAATTAATACCATGACTTCATAATCTGGGAAAAATAATTGTTGAATAGTAGTTACAGTTTGAATTAAAAAATCCTTTTTTGATCTAAACTTATTTTTTGATAAAGATAATAAAATCTTAGCTAATGAAGGTTTATCAGAAGCTTCAGCTAATTTACTTATATCAACAGCAGTATTTGCAATTTCTGAAGTTACAGTATTATTCTCTAAAGCATCCAAAAATCTAGGCATGTTTGCAATTAAAGCTATAATAATTCTGGAATCTCCCATACCAACAATTTGAGAATCTTTTAATCTCAATAAAGTATCAATAAAATCTAAAGTTGGTTCCCAAGAAGTTGAAGATCTTAGCCCCACAGTCACAATTTGTTGTAAACCTTCAAATTTACCTTCCCATTTCGGTGGGAACGTTGAAATCAAGCAATTTATGGTATCTTGAGCATTTAAATCAATTTTCAGAATAAATTTATTCATTGTTGATAAAACTTCTATAAATTCTTGTTCATGTATAGTACTTAAACAAGCTATACTTGACCAGAATAATTGTGGGAAATCAATTAATTTTTGAGAATCTAATTCCGCAGCTATTGCATTTAATGTCATTAATATTTGCATTGCAAAACCTTGAATATCAGTAGTTTCATCAGATATTGTATTTGATAATCTATGAAACATTGCTTTTAAAATATTTAAATCCAAAAATGAAATTAGTACTCTAAATATTTGGAAAGATCTGCATGCACTATGCCTGACTGCACAAGTTGTTCCCCAAGTTAATGCAATTCTACTCCAATCATCTTGTAAACTTGGTGCAATATTTGAGAAAATTTGAAGTATATTTCTAACCAAAGAAATCATATTATTTGGTGTTCTTGCTCCCTTTTTGTCGTTATTTAAATCATCATAAACCCAAAAATTTTTACAATTTCTATCTCTTAATAAAGTTATGGTGTCCCTAGCCTTGGGTTCATTAATTGCTAATGAATGAATTAAATGAATTAATAGCCTAGCAGCTTGTTCTCTTACAATCAATAAATAATGGTCTAATAAGGTCAAAGCAATATGTAGTAATAAAGGTAACTTTTGAACGATGAAATCACTTTTAGAATTAATTAAATCAACTAAAAAAATCATTGATATTTGACCCATTGAAAAAGCTGCATCTTTTTCACGATGTAATCTTGATAAATCAACAATGTACGGGAAAAGTTTAGGTGGTGCTGGTTTTAAAGGTTGAGGTTGAGGTGGTATCATCATTTTGGGTTGTAGATTTTTTGTTAATTTTTGAATCACATGTAGTTTTTCAGGATGTGCAAAAGCTAAATAATCAACAACTTGTCTTGATCTTGAAACAAACATTCCATTTCTACTTTCTAAACAAGTCTTTAGAATATGATCAATTATAATATCAAAATTTTCTGTTGAACCAAGTGCAATCCACATAGTTTCTAATTCAGTTGAGTTTTTCATTTCAAATTTAATTGATAATTCAAATAAATTATTTAAAACCATATTTGAGGTAGCATCTAAATGTTCTTTTTCATCAAGTTTAAGTACAACAGTTTTCAAAATAGTAACCATGATAATTGACAAATTTTTTCTTGCATCTTCAGCAACAAAATTGAAAAAATGAAATAAATACGAAAGTCTCACATACGAAGTTGCAGTATCAGTGTTGATCAATCTTGATAAGTCAGCGATTGCTTTTCTTCTCATTGTCAAACTCTCACCACATATATCTTCTGCAAAATTTTCAAGATCTACTTTCACAAATAATAATTTTAACAATGAAATTGCTGATTGTCTTACTTCAAAGTTTTCATTCCCACACAATAATAATCCCAACACCACCAATTCATCAGATTTTATTTCATCACTTATGGATATTTTACCAAAAACATCAACAAATGTACAAAAATAGACTGGCATTGATTTTTCAGAAGTACAACATTGTTTTATGGTTGATGATTGAATTTCTTGATTATCAAAATTATTAAGTAATAAATTTTCCAAAGCATTTTTTCCAATCTCTTGAACTTTTTCAGAACCTGATTCTAATAATGAGTGGATCCAATTTAACAACACTGGTATATCAAAACTCACCACCGCTAGATTTTCAATATTTTGTTTGATTTCTCCCGAGCATAATATTGCCATACAACTTAATGAGGACATTTGTAATCTTTTTTTCTCAAATTCTAATAGTGCAATTGCTGGAGCAGTATCTTTTTGTTGTTTGTTAATATTTTGAGTTATGATGCTATATCTTTCTTCTGTAATTCCGGCAGAGTCTCCATATCCACACCATTCTTTGAGGTAATTGAAACATGATATTCTTGCTTCAAATGGTAACCATTTATCTAAATTAATTTTATCCTGCAATCCCAAGAATACATTCTCTAAAAATTCACAAAAATATCTTCTTAATCTTTGAAAATCTATATCGATTTGAATATTAGGTAGTGTTAAGAAGGTCTTGACATTTTTCACAATTGCTATTAAATTTGCTATTATTGTATCATCTGTATATATCAATTCATTAGATTTAAATTTCCCAGTTAAATTCATTAATATGTGAACAATTTCAATTCTAAATCTATCATCTGCAAAATCTCTTTTTTTAACATCTAAATTCCATTCATTTATTGCTAATGGAATATTTTCCAAAAATGTTTTGAATATGTTGATGTTAATTTGACTCAATCCAACAATAACAGCCTCTCTAACCATCATTTGTTGTGATTTGAGAAGTGGCAAGACCATTCTAAATATAGATTTAGCACTTGTGATTTTTTGATGTTGAATAAACATTTGTAAAGACTTTTTCCTACCATGAGTTGGTTGTTGTGGGAATGAAATTTTTTGTTCATTTGTAGCAGTTAAAGAAGTACATGCAAATATAAGATATAATTTCCATTGATTTACCAAAATTTCAGGTGGAACAGTTGTTGATGGTTTCGACGTAAAAATTGAAGATGTATTGAATCTATGATTATCTGAATGATCTAATATTAACTCATGCATTTGAACTAAACTCACACATACAATATTTCTACACATCGCAACTGGCATAGGACATTTTTCAAATAATATTTCCAAAATCTTTGGGTATAATCTAAACCATATAGTTGAATCTATCCCATAATCTGATTCTATTAGTTTTGTGAGTAATCTTTTATCATTTTTCAATTTCGTTAATCTTGTACGTTCAGGTAAACTTAATTCTTTTTTGTATGGTTTAATTAATTCATTGAATTCTAATCCTTCTAATACATGTATTATTCTTGTACCCACATCAGCTGCAAATTTGGATGAACTTCTAGAATGTTTTTTAGGAGATGCATTTTCTCTTGGGGTATCATTTGTTAAATTATAAATTGCTTGATCAAATTTATCAACAGTACGTAAAATATTAATACCACATGCTCTAATTTGTGAATCTTGAGAACATATGAAAAATAAACCATTTCCTTCGATTTCTTCAACCAGATTAATTATAGTTTTCCATTCTAATTCATCACTTGGTTTTGTTTTAGTGACCAAATTCGATAAATCTTGATTTTTGTGATTAATTTGATATAACTCATTTAATACGTCCTGGTTCATTAATTCATCATCTTGAGCTAATGGATTTGATTTATCTGGTTTTTCAAGTTGAAACAGTTCATACCAAGTTTCAAGTAGTTGAGTATATAATTTTAGTAATAGAATAAAACTTTGTGAATTTAGGTAGGTGGAATCATATGCAGAACTAGTCTTCTCAGATAATTGGAAAGCAAATTTTGCAAATATATTTAATAATGTTGTTGGATTTTTTTTCTTAGATAATTTTTTGAGTGCATTTATTGTGGCCAATTGAATTTGTTGATTATCATGAACTGCATTTTTAGCAAGTAACTCAACAATTTGTTTAAAACCACCTTGAGACTCATTCAAGGCCATAGTAAATGGAATAGAATTTATTAGACCTGCAAACAATTCTAAATGTAATTCTTTTGATGATGTAGTATCAGAACCGAAATGGAAACCAAAAGAAGATTGTGATTTTGCAGACCCCGATGAACTTGAGTTGGTCTCAATCATTGTTGAACCATACTGACTATCAAGAAGTCTCAATAACAAACCAAAATTTCTACTAAATTCTTCATGTAATGTCACATTTGTACTATTTTTAGCAAGAAATTGAAATTCTTCAACATCATCTTCATTTATATTTTGATCAAAAATATCGATATTTGGGAAAGTCGGTTTATGCTCTTTTTCAAATTCTTTGATTAATGCAATATATGATCTAACAACCAAAATAATTTTTTCAGTTTGTAATGTATCTAAAGTTCCATTAAAACTTTGTCTCATTAATTTGGCAAGTACATTTTCAAGTGTATAATTTAGGTGGTTGTATCCGACAATTTGAATCATCTTGGTAAGTGCATTTATTAGTTGTGGATCAGCAGTTAACCATTGACCCTTTTTTGGTAAATTAAAAAAGACTAAATTAAAAAAATCATCTAATTTTTTAAAAGTTGAATTCAATGAATCTGGACATCTATTAAAATAAACCCATAATAATCTGCTAATACATAATATGTAAACTGTTTTATCTTGAACTTCAACTTTAGGCTTCAATTTAAAACTGTTTGCCTCAATTATGTCATACCATACCGAAGAAAATAGCTCTTTTCGAGAAACTGACAAAGTGGCGGTAATAACGTTTAGTAAATGAGCCCAACCAGGGTACTGAATCGATATAGCTTTATTATAGATTTTTTCTATACCCTCATTCCAACCTGGATCATTAGCTTCAGCTGTTAAATTATTTGCTAATGGTAAAATTAAGTTTGATATTGAATCACAATATGCATAAATAATTGATTCATTGGTGGTTCTTTCAAAAAATTTGGCCAATATCTGGATAAATTCTTTACTATCTTCAAATAATTCAGGAGGATAATGGTTTAATTTAAGATACTGCATTCCAGATATAAGCAAGTAAATAGTTGGTTCATCTTCATGTTTTATCAATTGTGGTAATTTCTCTAGGTCATAAATAAATCTATCACTTACACTCAAAAATCTCTTTTCTGACATTATTCCTAGTAACTGAGCAAATAAGTTCCAGTTAGCTGCTCGTATTATGGATTGACTTGTACTTGCAGGATCTGTAGTTTTCAATTGTGTATAAACTATTTCTTCTAATTTATTTCCTAAATCTTCTCCCATGGTTTTTGGGGGTGTTTGTTTAACAACTTCTATTAATACTCGACATAATATGTAAATTGAAACTAATGATTTTTTCTCTGCATTTATTGCAGTTTGTTTAGCATTTGATATTTGAAGTTCAAGTAGTTGTTTCTTTTTGAGTTCGTTGGTTGTTTCCATTGATGATGTTGCAGATGCTGAAGATTGATTTCTCTTATGTGCTATTTTCGATAAACTTTTACTTCTAATTATACTCATACTTCTTTTAGCTGAAGTTGAAGAAGAAGATGGTGATCTTTTTACGTTCTCGGTGGTGGTATGTAAATTAACAGTTTTAGCAAATTGTAAAGCTTTTTCAACTTCCATAGCTGCCATTGCTGCAACTTCGCTTTTCGATTTTCTCCAAAACATTACACTATCAATAACTGGTTTTGGTTTTCTTCTTGCAACATACCCCAAAGAAACAATTATTTTATCAAATTGAGGATCTGCACCTTCTGCAAATATTTTAAATAATGAAGTTTCGTCGGTAGTAGAATAATTTAAAAAAATGTTCAATTTTCTTTCTGCATGACGTACAAATTGTGTGAAAATTATATGTAAAGTATATTCGGCTGGACTTTTAAAATCAGTTGCTAAATTTTTTCTTGATAGCCCATTTTGATCGATTGATAAAACATTTTGTAATGATAATGACGATAAAGGAGGAGGTAATTGTGGTGAAGGTTCAGTATGATCATATTGTGGAATTAGTGACATTGGTGATGCTAGCAGTTGATTTAACGATATTTTAGTTTTTAGTTGTTGATGTAGCAGTCCACCATTTTGTAGCTGTTGTTGTTGTTGTTGTTGATATATTTGTTGCATTCGTTGATTATGATGTGGTGGTGGTGGTTGTGGAGGTTCTTGTAATTTAAAAGTTGTTTTATGTTCTTTTAAATCATTAGGTAGAAATGATAATCCAACTGTATAGTCTATGTGCTGAGGAGTTATATCATTATTTTCTTCTGTATCAAATGATAATCCTGAAAGATTTACATCTTGCATTTCTGGTTCATGATTTATAGATAAATTTTGATCTGATATTTTGTTTATTATTATTGAATCTACTATTGAATCTGATGATGAATTATTACTATTAATTATTTGATTATTATTATCATCATTATTCAGAAACTCTTCATTACTTATAGCATTTTGATGGATATTAATATTATTGAATTTATTTTGATCTAATTGTGAATTCTTGTATATATCATTTAAATCCGGTATTTCAATCATTATTTAGTAGTAGATTTGTATGAAACCATATAAATTTAAATTACCAGTTTTCTCTTTGATCTATTATATTCAATGGTTAATTGTAAACATATATCTTTTAATCCTTAATGATGTTGACGTGATTTCTTGTGTTTGATCTTATTATGGGTTGTAAATTAAAAATAAAAACAAATAAATAAAAAAAATATTAATCTTACATTTTTAGATCTACCATTAACTTATTTTTATGTACAATTGAATAAGATATAATAATTTATTTTTCACATCTTATTCTTAATTTTAAGAAGAATTCTTAAGTCAAAGAATCAATAAAAAGGTGATTATGTCAATGGAAAATAACGATAACGTCACTAATGTTCCAATTTTAATAAATCAATATTTAGCATCAGTTGGTAATGATGAAGAAGCATCAAAAAATTATATTCAAAATCTATCAGAATTATTTACTATAAAGAAATTAACGTTATTACAATTAATTCAAAATCTAGGATCATCATTAACTTCAGATAATGATTTAATTAGATCGAAATCTATACAATTATTAAGTGAGTTCATTTCTCAAGTTAAATTATCAAGACAGGATATTAATGTAATGATTGATTTTTTATTAAATAAATTAAATGATAAATTAAGTTTAATATATTCATTAAAAGGTTTAAATCTGTTAATTTTACAATCAAATTATTTAAATTCAAATAATGAAAAAATTTTATCATCCTTAGTAAATAATTATGATCCAAAAAAAAATTTAGCCAAGGTTAGGTATGAAACTTTTCAAATTTTAATCAATATAAATGATATAAATGAACTATTCATCAAGGCTTTTATTCATATTGCATCTGGTGAAAAAGACCCTAGAAATTTATTGTTGTCCTTCAAATTAAATAATTTAATAAATGATAATTTTAAATTTAATCCAACTGATAAAGAACATGAACACTTCATAGAAGAATTATTTGATATCTGTTTTTGTTATTTCCCCATAAGTTTCTCACCACCGGCAAATGATCCTTACAAGATAACTTCAGAAGAATTAAAACTTAGTTTAAGAAAAGTTATAGGATCTCAATCATTATTTGCAAATGAATCATTTCCAAATTTAATTGAAAAATTAGCTTCAACAAACCCTGTAATTAGAAATGATACACTAAAGACTATATTGATTTGTGTGGAAAATTATAATAATAAAGTATTAGAGGAGCATTGGTTATCATTATGGAATGCATTGAAATTTGAAATTTTACATAATGATGTTGCAATTTTTAATCCAATTAGCTCAATAATTCCAATAGATTATGAATATATTGATGATAATGACGAAAATAAAATTTTATTTTTAACTTTAATAATATTACAAAAGATATTAGAAAAATTACCAAACCAAGAAAAGATGTTAAATTTGGTGGTTGAAGAATTAAACATAAAAGAGAAACCAAAACAATCAATAATTATCTTATCCGTTTTGGGTGGTACATCAGTTGAAAATTACAATTTTCTCATTGAATATGCATTTAAACAAAAATGGGGCAAATATTTGAATATTGAAAATGTGTTGGTTGAAGAAAATGAAGACAAAAATGAGGATTTTGCACTTAATGTTCAAAAACAAAGAGAATTAGTAGACAATATTGGTTTTTTATTAATTTCACATCCAACCACAGAAACTACACTAATAAATTACAAAGATCATTTATTAATATTTTTCAGTCAAATTTTAACAAATTCTTCAAGTATTGAAAAAACCTTGAGGTGCAAAGTTATTCAACAACTCATAAACTTAATCAAGATTCCCCATTTTTTAACTAAAACTAATATTGAATTAATTTTGGATATTTTTAAAAATATAATTATGGAAACATCATCACCTTCGGATATTGTATTAAAAGAAATCATAAAAAAATTGACTCCATTAATGGAAAACTCTCTGGTTTCTTTGTTGGTAATTGAATTCATCATAAACCCAGTTGTAAATTCATTACAGTATGATGATTTGAATCAATTTAAAATGAACTTAAAGATCATAAGTGAATTATGTGTAAATTATCAAGTATTGGAAGTTTTATTCATTAGACTACTTATTGATTCATTAACTGATGACTATTTACAATTTGTATTGAGTACACTTTTAGAATTATTTGATAAAGTTCAAAATATAAATCAATTTTTAACTAATCTGTGGTATAAAAATCTAATTCCAAAATTGTTGAATAAAACCAACGAAAATGAAAATTATGTTATTATTGAATTAATTGGAGATTTAGTAAGACAAATTATTAGATTTATTGATAAATCCAAACATCAATCTATATTAGATGAAATCCACAACAAATACCAAAACTACCAACTTCAACCAACTGCAAATATAAGTATTTATTCAAAGTTACTATCTGCTATAGATAAATCGTGTACACTAAAAGTTGATGAAGATATCAAACAAACAATAACTACTATTACAACACTAAAAGACAACTACTCAAGAGTTTTATATTTACAACATCTTTGTTTATTAGTTAATAAATTCGAAAACACATATGAACCAGAACTAATTACAGAAGATTTAAATTTATTTGAAATTTACTTATGGTCAAACAAGGGATTGATTATGAAGTTGGATAAAGTTGGAATTGACAATTTGGTTCATCAATTAGAGCTTTACCAAAGTACAAAAAATGAGTTATTTATTAACTCTGTATTAATTTATTTTCATGATCAATCAATCTTTAAAAATCCACAACAACCAAAGAAATTAATATCACATGTCAATAATTTAAACGTGAAGCTTTTGTATAAGCAACAGATTTTTGAAATTGTGTTTCCATATTTGTTAAAGGACTCACAATTTGAAATTTTATCAAAAATACTTATACAATTGTCCACTAAAATAATAAGTTCAAATCTCACAAAGTTTTCACAATTCATCCTACACTCATTCAACTCCAACAGTATTATTCAAATAACAACTTCATTGACAATTCTTAAGATATTTATAGATGAAAAAAATAAATTTATTCCAGAGAATTTACCAATTTTGATTGACAACTTAAACAAGTTAATTTTAAACAAAAACCAAGAAGTCAAGATTTTAGCATTATCAGCTTTGTTTTCAATATTTAAAACTTATGAGATAGAGATTGTTGAAAAATTTAAAGATCAAGTTTTGAAAAATTTACAAAATTGTCTTGATGATAATAGTAGGATTGTTAGAAAATCCGCTATTGATTTAAGACAATTTTTATATAATTTATAGAGTGTATAAAGTTTTAGTCAATAACTGAAAAAGATTGGATTAAGTTAATTGCGGTAACTGTATGGTATATGTAATGAATTAGTAGTTGACTTTCGTGTATTATTCATCATTGACTTACCAAATCCGTTGAATCTATTCGGACTCTTCATCGTCATCATCAAAATCAACTGGAGCTAAACCTGGTGTCAAACCAGGCATAGATATCAAACCCTTTTTAACTTTTTCATCAAATTTTATAAATTTATCATCCTTAGAATTAGCACTAATGTTCTTCTTCCTTAATCTTTTACCACTTTTTGATTGTAAATTATCAATTAAATCTTGTTTAACGTTCTCCATTTCATTTTCAATTTCAAAATCATCTATCTTATAACTATTCAAATTTGATATATTTTTCTTTGTTAGTTTTTTTAAGTATATTTTATCTTCTTTTGTTAAATCTTGTGGGTTTTTTTGAATAATTATATTATACTTTATGAATTTTTGAAACTTTTTATCTTTTGCTTCCTTTTTCTTTTGTTTTTGCTTTTCTGAATTTGATTTTTTGAATATTTTGGAGTTTTTGGAGTTTATTTGATTGTTTAATATTTGAGTTGTTGATAATGGTTGATTTTTATGGGAGTTTTTTTGTGGTTTGGGATGGGTATGTAGTATATCTGAGAATAATTTATTCACCGTGAGTTCTGCTTGATGTTTCGAGGAGTTTGAATTATATGACATATTGATGTGGAGAACTTTAATTTGATCTTAGTTGATCATTCATAAGATGATCATCCTTAATAATAATAATAATCTCTGATATTTGGATGCTACCAAACTTTGAGTGTCTGAAAAAGTTACTGTCACAACTCTACTTTCTTGGTCAAGTTCTATAACCAACCAGAAAACTTGAAAATTTAATCAATAAACAAAAAAAATAGAACCAAGAGATATTGAAGTACACCAAAATCATTACCACCAACCTAATCAATTCACTAAGAAATTTAATTATAAACCCATATATTTACAATGTTGAGGTCACTGATTAAACCAGCTACCAAAAACTCAATTAGAACAATATATACATCAGTATTAGAACAAGATATTAATATAACCAAGAATGGAAAAGTAAATTTATCAGTTGGTCCAGGTGGTCGTTCATCAAGGACTGGATACACTGCAACAGTTTTTGGAGCCACGGGTTTTTTAGGACGTTATTTAGTTTCAAAATTAGCAAGACATGGTACCACTACTATAGTACCATATAGAGATGAATTAAAGAAAAGATTTTTAAAAGTTGCAGGAGATTTAGGAGTTGTTAATTTTGTTGAAATTGATGCAAGAAATTTACAAAGTATTGAAGATTCAGTTGCAAATAGTGATATTGTTATAAATTGTATCGGGACTGATTACAACACCAAGAATTTTTCAATGGCTGATGTCAACATAGCATTAGCTGAAAGAATTGCAAATGCCACCAAAAAGGCAAACGTACCAAGATATATTCATGTAAGTTCATATAATGCTGATCCCAAATCTGATTCTGTATTTTATGCCACAAAGGGAGTTGGAGAACAAGTTGTAAAAGACATTTTACCAGAATCAACAATAGTAAGACCTTCACAAATGTTTGGTAGAGAAGACAATTTATTAAATTATTTAGGTCCAAATATCAAAATGTGGACCCCCAATAAAAATCAAAAAGAAATTTATCCAGTTCATGTTTTAGATGTAGCAAGAGGATTGGAGAAAATTGCATATGATGATTCAACTATAGGTCAAACTTTTGAATTATACGGACCAGAAAAGATAAGTTATCAAGAAATAAGACAAATGATTCATGGTATAACTGAAAATTATGCACAAGCAGGTCCAATAAGTTATAATTTTGGAGATTATGAATTACCATTACCATTAGCTAAACTTATAGCAGAATTATATCAATTTGTATGGTGGAAATTACCAAACCCTGATCAAATGCAAAGACATATTATAAATCAAGTAATTGATCCAAACGCCAAAACTTTTGCTGATTTAGGTATAAATGATACAACAAAATTAGCTGATGTTTTATTTACATATACAAAACAATGGAGACATCCATTGATTGCTCAAAAGGGAGGTCCAAACAAAAAGAAATTAGAAGATTTAAGACATGTTCAACATTTTACTGATTAATTAGGTTGAAGATATTTTAATTCATATATTTAATATATATTCATTTAATTTTTTGAAACATCAAGTAATTATCGTTGATGAATCACCGTTTATATCTCTACCTGTTAAATTTTCGATCATACACAAAAACTAAAAAAAAAACAAAGCTGCACAAATGATAATTTTTGACTTAAAATATGATGTTATGACACTCATTTCAAATTCATGACAATCGTGGTTGGTTTTAATAATCTAAATAAGATCAACGTAGATAACCGAAATCTTTAATCAAATGATATCTATACACATCTAAACTATATAAAACACTTGAATATTCATCAAATTCCCTTATTTTCATTTTCAACTTCATAAGCACTAGTTAGTCTCACCCAGAATGTATCAACTACCATCAATCGATGAATTTAAAACTCAATCACCAAAGGAACAAAAACAAGTATATGATCATTTATTTGAACCTTGTGATTCGGTAACTTGGCTTATAGATACTTTTGTAATACATCAAAATTTTAAAACATATCCAGAATTTATAGAATTAGTGAGATCAAGACTAATACAAACATTAAATCAAGCTAGTTTTTTCGAATCGAGAAATGGTAAAGATTGTAATACATTAATTGAAAATATCATATCAGCACATCCAAGATTGGGTGCTCCAAAAGGTACAGCTTTAAGTGAACATTCATCAGAAGAACAGAAAAAACTAGAAGGTATACAAGTTAAATTACAAGAACTAAATACAAAATACGAACAAACATTTCCTGGATTAAGATATGTTGTATTTGTAAATGGTAGATCTCGTGATGAAATAATAACTAATATGGAAGAAAGAATCAAAAGAAATAATATAGAAATGGAGAAACTAGATGCTTTGGAAGCTATGTGTGATATTGCTTTAGATAGAGCTACTAAATTGGGAGTGAAATTATAAATACTTGTTTAAAGAATTCACAACGGAAAATAATTTTCTTCTAAGTGAACTAGAAGTTACACTACTGCTGTGATGTCCCATTCGCAATACTCTTTAGTTGTCTCTGTTATCTTTGACCTATGTATTACTCTTTAATCAAATACTACAACCTTAATTTAGAATGGCTGCTAAATTTTGGTAAACGGACGACTTTTGTTTCGTGCGTTGAATATTTGCTGAAATAATGTCAAATAGAATATCAAGTCTGATAAGATATTTAAATACAACTAAAGAACTTTACAAATTTAAAGCATTTAATAAAGTACAATGGTATGTTCAATCAATTATCCTAAATGAATTGACATAGTTTTCTGAATACTAACAATTACTTCATTAAGGCCGGTGTTTTAGAAAATGCAAGAAAAGAGATTAAACGTCTTTCAATAGATGACACTAAAGAAGGACAGTATGGATCAATATATTCAGTTTCTGGTCCAGTTGTTGTTGCAGAAAACATGATTGGATGTGCGATGTATGAATTAGTTAAAGTTGGTCATGATAATTTAGTTGGAGAAGTCATTAGAATTAATGGTGATAAAGCAACTATTCAAGTCTATGAAGAAACTGCTGGTGTAACAGTTGGAGATCCAGTTTTAAGAACTGGTGCACCATTATGTGCTGAATTGGGTCCTGGTTTATTAAATACTATTTATGATGGGATTCAAAGACCTTTAAAATCAATTAGAGAAGAAACAAATTCAATTTATATTCCAAGAGGTATTGATGTACCTTCATTATCAAGAACAACTGAATATGATTTTAAACCTGGTCAATTAAAAGTTGGAGATCATATTACTGGAGGTGATATTTATGGTTCAATTTTTGAAAATTCATTATTAGATGATCATAAGATATTATTGCCACCAAGAGCAAGAGGTACTATAACATCAATAGCAGAAGCTGGTTCTTATAATGTTGAAGATACTGTTTTAGAATTAGAATTCGATGGTAAAAAACATAAATATTCAATGATGCATACTTGGCCAGTAAGAGTTCCAAGACCAGTTGCTGAAAAATTAACCGCTGATTATCCTTTATTAACTGGTCAAAGAGTGTTAGATTCTTTGTTTCCTTGTGTTCAAGGTGGTACTACTTGTATTCCTGGTGCTTTTGGATGTGGTAAAACAGTTATTTCACAATCATTATCTAAATTCTCAAATTCAGATGTTATTATTTATGTTGGATGGTATGTATTTTTTTTATTTTTACTAATCTATATTTGTTTTAGAATCAAGTGGTTGAAGTTTCAGATTTTCAGTGACATGAAAGTGGTAGCCTAATCTAAAATTCCAAATTTAGCGCGCTAAATTTTGACAATTATATTTAGGACGAAAGTATTATGGACCAAAAAATTGCAAAAATCTACAAAACAACAACCAATTTGATCAACAAACATCACAAAGCCTTCAAGGATACTAACCATCACAAAAGTGGGGAAAGAGGTAACGAAATGGCCGAAGTTCTAATGGAATTTCCAGAGTTATTTACCGAAATTGATGGTAGAAAGGAACCAATTATGAAAAGAACAACATTAGTTGCAAATACATCAAATATGCCAGTAGCAGCAAGAGAAGCTTCTATTTATACGGGTATTACCTTGGCTGAATATTTCAGAGATCAAGGTAAGAATGTTTCTATGATTGCTGATTCATCATCACGTTGGGCAGAAGCTTTAAGAGAAATTTCAGGTAGATTAGGTGAAATGCCTGCTGATCAAGGTTTCCCAGCATATTTAGGTGCTAAATTAGCTTCCTTTTATGAAAGAGCTGGTAAAGCAACAGCTTTGGGTTCGCCAGATAGAGTTGGGTCAGTTTCTATAGTTGCAGCAGTTTCACCAGCTGGTGGTGATTTTTCAGATCCTGTTACAACTTCAACATTAGGTATTACACAAGTTTTCTGGGGTTTAGACAAAAAATTAGCACAAAGAAAACATTTCCCTTCAATAAATACTGCAGTATCATATTCAAAATATACTAATGTTTTGAATAAATATTATGACTCAAATTATCCAGATTTCCCACAATTAAGAAACAAAATAAAAGAAATCTTGTCTAATGCTGAAGAATTAGAACAAGTTGTTCAATTAGTTGGTAAATCGGCATTAAGTGATTCCGATAAAATTACCTTGGATGTTGCTTCATTAATCAAAGAAGATTTCTTACAACAAAATGGTTATTCAACATATGATCAATTTTGTCCGATTTGGAAAACTTATGATATGATGAGAGCTTTCGTAAGTTATTATGATGAAGCACAAAAAGCCGTTGCTAATGGTGCTCAATGGTCAAAATTGTCTGAACAAACTGGTGATGTTAAACATGCTGTTTCTTCTGCTAAATTTTTTGAACCTTCAAAAGGTGAAAAAGAAGGTGAAAAAGAATATGGTGAATTATTAACTAAAATTTCAGAAAGATTTGCTGAAGCTTCTGAATAGATTTATTTCTATATAGTTATTCTCTACAAATAAAAAATTTTAGAAAAGGTATTGTACATCCAGAATTATGTAATCATATTTTTCAATCTACCTATACTACTATTCGGTACAACTTTGCCAAATTTCAGAAAAAAAAAACCAAATCCCATCAAAACAAGAAGTTAAAAAATTATCAACACCATCAATTAAATCTCTTATATCATCATCAAATGAATTTACAATAGCTGCTCTTCTTTCAATTTCTTCACCTAAATTAGAATTATCAGGTAATTTATCATAATTAAGCGCATACTCGTTAATTGGAATACCTTTTGGTGTATAAATTGGTTGTGGAGTTGGTTCTGGTTCTTGATTTATTATAATTGTTCGAAAACTATCACTTTTATTTGAATTACTAATCCCACCTGTTTGTATTGGATCTTGTCTTTCTAAATCAATTGGTTTAGCAATGACTGGTTTTGATTTAAACCATGAATTTAAATTTTGTAAAAAATTTTTTTGTTCTAATCCATAATTATCTTTTTGAAAAGGGTGTAAATTGTTCATTATAACATCATTATTATGTTGGGATACATTTGGTCTAAATCTAGAATATCTATCTTCAACATAGTCTGTAAAAATATCTGATGATCCCCCTAAAATACTAATACTTCTTCTAATTTTAGGTGGCGGGAAATATAAATCAGCTTGAAATGGTGGATCATGAGGTGATATAAAATCTCTTGGAGAGATAGGAGTTAAAGGATCAGAAGTTGGTGAATCTATATCAAATGAACTTGATGAAGCTATAAGTGGAAGAACTTGTATAGTTGAAGCTTGTTTGAGTTGTGTTAAAGGTGGTGTTTGAATATATTTGTAATGCTTTGAAATATGATTCAATTGTTGTTGCTTTTTTAAATGGTGATGAATTGGTGATGATAATGCTAAAGGTCTTACATTTTGGGATCTTGCTGAGTTATTGTTTGAATGAACTTCTAATTTTTTATCTACTCTTGATTGATTCATTAATTGTTATGGAACTTAAAATCTAATTTTTGATTTTTTGCAGCCAATAAATTATAAAACGAAAGCGCAATTTCCTAATTTTGTTTATTCCGAACATTTAATTCAAGATTTACTGTATTAATTCAAGATTTATTGTATTAATACCAGCAACGTAAATAAGAAATCAAATCACTACAGTTTTTCATGAATTATGTAAAAATAAGGTCGTATAATAAATTTTATAACGAACTAGACCAAGTTAAAAAATAATTATTTACTCCATCGAAATGTTGAAAAAACATCAAAACCTCAAAATATCATCAAAAAAATCTTAAAGCAACTAGCAAAATATTGAACAATTGAACCAGCAACTTCAAATAAAAACCATCATTGAATTCCATTAAATATATTATCCTTCACATCATACCAATTCATATACATCGTATCTTCATAAGCACATTAAATAAATACATTATTTCTTAAAAACTTCATTATTTGATGATTTTCTCAAGTTGTTTGAAACACATTACTTCATATCTTTCTCTCCACTTTCTTCATCTTTGACTATCTTCTAAAATTCTAATAAATTTTTCTCAATCATTTAAGATTTTTGTAAATAACTAAGTCGACTCGTTTACTTTGATCTAGCTCTAACCTTCCGTCTCTTTCTTTTAAGTCTTCTAACTCTTTTTTTTCTCCACTTATCTCTCATATTGAAATAATTGAAATTGTATGTGGAAAGAAGAAAGAAAAAAAGGGTAAGAGAATTAGAAAATATTTCAATATTATTATTCTTATTTAATTTGTTAGTAGAGATTTTTCGCATAGTTTAGATATTGTTAGTTGATTTTGCCACTACTGACATAGAAAAGAAAACAGTCCATACTAAAAGCCCTAAGTTTTTGTTTAATTTATGTGACATTCACGTGATTTTGAATATTTATGTATTAGGAGTGATTTACGAGAGTTTTCGATAAGAATGAAGATAGTATATAAATAATATGTACATTTTATAAGTAGCTATTAACTAATTAACTTGATCATCAACTTTAACATCCCTATTTAATCTTTTCCTTTCTTGCATTAAAGCTTTGGATAATTCATCTTTTATATCTAAATCAAATGTATCAACTAAATCATTAATAATTTCAGGAGTTATCAATAACAATTCATCATCACCATTATTAATATTGATTTGATTAGATTGTAAATCAGTATTATATGAAGCGTAAATTTGATCTATTTCTTTCACGGCATTAAATTTTAAATGAGTTGTTTTTTCAACTGTTTTTTCATCGGTTGGATAATAATCATCTTGTGGTATATCAGTTTCTAATAAATAATCTAAATGTTTTATACCTAAAAGTGCCTTGTAATTACAGTATAATCTATAAGTAAAATAAAAACCTGGAACATTAGGTACAATGGGGATTAATGCAAATGGTAAACATAATGGAATAGCAATACCGCATAACCAAGCATTTTTCTTGTGTTCTTCTTTATTATCTACTCTAAAATCATATAATTCATTTAAGATAGTGGTAGGTAATTGATGTTTTGCATGATATAATGGGATAGGTTTTAATTGATTATTTGGAATTTTTAAATTTGTAATTTCAGATTGTAATATTATTGTATCTTTTTCACCCTTTTGATGATCATTTTCAGGTTCTTTTTTTTCTATAGGTTTAATTAAATGTAAACTTTCTTCATTAATTTCTCTAATCATTGCTTCTTTATTTGGAAATGATCGAAGACAATTTTCTTGATATGGAATAGTTGATAATAATTTTTGAATAAATTCAACAATCTTTATATTAATTTTCAGTTTGGAATTAATTAATTTATTCCATCCTTTAGTTGCAAGATTTATCACCTTAGTTTCTAACTTTATATATAATGGTATTTTAGAAGCTTGTGATTTACTTAATAAATCTGGTCTATGATTACAATATATAAATGATCTTTTTGTTGTAATGGGGATTGATATTACATATATTGAATTCTTATCTATTATTGGTGATTTTATTAATTGAGTGTTTGATAAATTTGGTGAATTTGATGAACTTGATGAGTTTGATGAGTTTGATGAATTTGGTGATATCGTAGAATTCGATAGATTCCTATGAAATGAAAAAGTAAATATTAAATTACTCGGCACTCTTGAGTTGGTGAAGATATTCTTCGATTCTTTAACTATACCAAATCTTAACATCTCCTTCTCATAAACCAATTTTGTAGTCTTATATCAGTAAACTCTTGTATTTATTAATTAAACATTGCTATTTATGAAATTGAAAATCTGATAATTCCAATCACTTAACACAAAAACTACTTAAGTGGAATTGTGTAATATTATTTTACGTCAAAATTATCTTAAATTATAATAATAATAATCTTTAATTATTTCTTTGTTTAAATTGAAACATGTCCTTTAGACTTTTCTCAACAGTTGTGAAAATGATTACTTTCACCTTTCATGAGAGTAGAGCAACTTTTCTAAACCACAACAATAGCGTAAGAATTGTTCTGCAAAATGTTTTGTTGAAATTTGTATAATTTTGCAACAAAATTGAATAAAAACCCAAAGTTATGCATACATTTTGCATGAACTATAATAAAGAACTGAAAGTTTATACTTTAAGCTGGAAGAAACACAACTGAATATTGTACTAAGTAAGGTCAAAACAAGTCAATAAATGCTTTAATCGATGAAGCCTTATCTAAGCTTATACGAAATACCTTAGTCCCAAGTGGTAGCTTAAACGGACTTGCTAAATATCAAAATATTATTTTTGTTTACAAAAACGTTTGTACTTGCAATATATGAAAACTATTATATTAGAAAGATATTAAAATTCAAGACTTATTTGAAACATACCAAGGATTGAATAATCAATTTTACCAGCTATACAACATTACATTTGTAATTTTGCCTTTAAATCATATCCATTTAAATTGAATTGTATATAGTAATTTTATCAAAACATAACTTTTATAAAGAGAATAATACAACTACATCCTTGAGCATTCCTTATGCCGTATCTGAATCAAAATGATATAGAATCCAATATACCAACTTCATCATCATCACAACCAACTCAAACCTCTTCAAATATACCCAGATCATCAACTACAAACCAACCTCATCATAACAACAATTACAATAACAACCACAATAATTATAACACAAATGATCAAACCATGCAACAATTACCTCCAGTACCTGAAGATCCATTCAGAAACATTCATATCAGTACATATAGTCATTCAGCCAATACTTATCCTCCTTATGTATTAGATGCAATATATAAAAAATTAATATTTGATGAAAAACACCATATAGAAAATCCACAACAACAACAATTTATTGAATTAAATGAAAAAGACTTAGAGAAAAACAATAACGGACGAAGTTTAGAATTTAAAGCAATAGATGATCCATATTATGTTGCTACAGATGGAGATGTTAGAAAATTTTTTGAAAATATTAAAACACCAATTGCTGAACCACCTGGTAAAATCAATATAGATCCAAGTATACTAAATGAATACGATTTTAGTAAACCATGGGGAGGCGATGAAAGATTGAAAAAAGAATTTAATGATTCAAATTTACTGAATAAACAAATATTAGAAGATAGTCAATCTAAACTGTGGTGGAGTTATTTCAGTAGAACAAAAGATGATGGAGAACATGATACAAAATTTAGAAGAACAACTGCTGGTTATTGGATGGGTGGTCCTAGATCACAAGCTCGACCAGCTATTAAACATTTCTTATTAAATGGACCATTAATACCATTAATGTTAAGAATTATAACTTTAATGTTTTGTGCAATTGCTCTTGGATTAGCATGTACTATATTTGTATTTTCAAATGATAAATATTTTGGTAGATCAGTTAAACAACAACCAAGTACAATAATGGCAATTACTGTACAAAGTTGTGCATTACTTTATGTAATTTATATTGCATATGATGAATATGCTGGAAAACCATTAGGTTTAAGAAAACCAATGAGTAAATTAAGATTAATTTTATTAGATTTATTATTTATAATATTTTCTGCTGCTAATTTATCATTAGCTTTTAATACATTATATGATGATGAATGGGTTTGTGAAATATATAGAAATCCTGCTTATCAAGATGTTAATAATTATTTCCCAGTTGTTTCATCAATATGTAGAAGACAAAGAGCTTTAGCTAGTTTTTTATTTGTTATTTTGGTTACTTGGGTTTTAACATTTACAATTAGTTTATTGAGAGTTATAGATAAAGTGAATACTAAAAGAGGACCTTAAATATATAATAATTTGAAAGGTAACTGATAACAAACGGTTAAAGAATTTTCGGAGTATTTTTTGTAGTATATTACATAGTTGTAAATTATTGCAACATTTTAGCGGCTTAATTTATCATATTACAATATTTGAAGTGCCGTAGCCACCAACCGAGTCGGATATTTTTCCATAGTCAAAATTCATACGTTTTCAGATGTTTCAATTGAAACAATAATGTTATCTAATTTGTTCTCTAAAGTAATCTAACCATTCTTATACCCCAACTCTAATGAACTTTAATCATCGATAAGCACTGACTAGGTTAACGGAATCGTTTTAGTCATACTGTACAACAATCAGTTGCGTTTTTAGAAATTTTTGCGCTACAATTCATTAAAACCGTTTATTTCAAATCTAACGTATTACAAAATTAATATATTTACATTTAAAAATTGGTAATGTGTAGATCAGATCGAAACAAATCTATAAGTTTAAAAGATTCCAAACACCAGAATTGTCAAGAATCCAAGATATGAAGAAGGAAAGAATTGATTAATCAAACCCTAAAATTGTTGACTTGTTACACGTTATAATTTTTGAACTGGTATTTTATAAAAATATCGTAGTTTTCAAATTAATTAGTTGTTACAATCATCATCATCATCATCATATATACTTTGTAACCGAGTGTTAATACAAAAATTTATACCGATGAAAATAATAAATTTTCTCTCTATCTTCTTCCCCCACATTTCAAGATTATAATTTTAAATTTTTCTTTTTTCTATAATAAATTTGTTTCCTCGGTTGGAAATATTATAAAAATAATAAATTTTAGAAATAAAATAAAAATTCTTTAATTGATGGCAAAATTTATGATAGTACGTATATTTCACTTTGATCTCGAACTACCTTCGACCCATTGCCCGCTGCGGTCTAAAATCTTTTGTAGTAAATTTTTTCGAATAAATTATAATAGAAAATTAAGTTACATTGATAATAAATAATTTTCCCCATATTTTAATTATTTAATAATTGTTCAATTTATACACTACTTTTTTTAATATATAGTACTACAATATTAGTGATAATAGAATTTCATAAGATAAATTTAAATTTCTATTTCAAATAAATAAATTAAAATTTCCACTCTCCTTTATTTAAATAATATTTCAAAAATTTATTTATTCACAACCAAATTTATTTGTATTTTATTGAAATTTAATCAAGTTCTAGATTATCAAAAGAAATAGATTAAAGATATTTTATTGTATATATTCATAGATAAATCATATTACTTGTTAAAAGAAACTATTCAATTTCAAATAAATCTGACTACATAATTTACATACTAATAATTATTCAAAATGTCAAAAGAACAATATAGACAAAAAAATCCAGATGATGTTGTTGTTGTAGCAGCTTATAGAACTGCTTTAACAAAAGGTGGTAGAGGTGGTTTTAAAGATGTTGGATCAGATTATATTTTAAGACAATTAGCTCATGAATTTATTAAAAAAGTTGGTGTTGATCCAAAATTAATTCAAGATGTTGCTATTGGTAATGTTTTACATAAAAGAGGTGGAGATTTTGAACATAGAGGTGCTTTAATGAGTGCTGGTATTCCATATAGTGCCCCATTTGTTGCTATAAATAGACAATGTTCATCAGGTTTAATGGCAATTTCTCAAGTTGCTAATAAAATTAAATTAGGAGAAATTGAATGTGGTTTAGCAGGTGGGGTTGAATCAATGACAAAAGATTATGGTCCACAAGCATTAGTTAAAATTGATCCAGCTTATGAAAATAATGAAGAATTTTTAAAAAATCAAATTCCAATGGGTATTACAAATGAAAATGTTTGTGAAAAATTTAATATTAAAAGAGATGTTCAAGATAAATTTGCTGCTGGATCATATAATAAAGCTGAAAAGGCTCAAAAAGAAGGTAAATTTAAAGATGAAATTTTACCAATAAAAGTTTGGCAAGAAGATGAAGAAGCTGAAGATGATGAAAATGATGATGATGATGATGATGTTAAAGAAAAAGAAGTTATAATTGAATTAGATGAAGGTATTAGACCTGGTGTAACTGCTGAAAAATTGGCTAAAATTAAACCAGCTTTCAAAGATGATGGTGTTTCTTCTGCTGGTAATTCATCACAAGTTTCAGATGGTGCAGCATTAGTATTATTAATGAAAAGATCATTTGCAGAAGAACATGGTTTTAAACCAGTTGCTAAATATTTAAGTTGTTCAATTGTTGGAGTTCCTCCAGAAATTATGGGAGTTGGACCAGCTGTAGCTATACCAAAAATTTTAAAACAATTAAATTTAAAAATTGATGATATTGATGTTTATGAAATTAATGAAGCATTTGCTGGTCAATGTTTATATTCTATTGAAAGTTGTGGTATAAATGAAGATAAAGTTAATTTAAATGGTGGTGCTATTGCTTTAGGTCATCCAATGGGTTGTACTGGTGCAAGACAATATGCTACAATTTTAAGATTGTTAGAACCTGGTCAATTTGGTTTAACTTCTATGTGTATTGGTACTGGTATGGGTGCTGCTTCAGTTATTGTTAAAGAATAGAGAATTTATTTTAAATAGTAAGAAATAAAATAAATAAAAAAGAAATTATTTACATTTGTATCTTGTATCTATATATTAAGTGCTTATTTCTTTTTTTTACTCTCTAATTTTTTCATACTTTCAACTCTATCAATAACTCTTTCTAAACTTAATTTTACATCTCCTTTTGCAAAATGATCTAAATTATAATATTTTGGAGCAATTTCAATTAACCATTCAGGTTTTATTATTGTTATAGTTCTAATATAATTTTTACTTGTTAAAACAAATTCATTATATATTACCCATTCACCTTGTGTACTAACAACAGTACTTGGATGTATTAATACATCTTGATTATCTTTTATAGTTAAATAACCTTTTGATCCTCCACTTTTCTTTTTAGCTACTTGCATAAAAAATCCACCAACTAATGCCTTTTTAATATTTTCCCAATATTTCAGTTCTGAAATTTCATTATATTTTGATAAAAGTGGTAAATCATATCTTTCCATAATTCTTGATAATTGATTTCTAACATTTCTTGCAGATATTAAAGATCTATAACTTAAAAAATTATCTCTACACCATTTATGAACTCCTATTTCTTCAGCTTCTGGTGATTGAAATGCTTCATATACATTAATTAAAGTTAAATGATCACCATCAGGATGTGCAAATGATAATTTAGCTTCATCTGCTCTTTGTCTTGCTGATTGTGGACGTACAAATACATTTGGAACACTTAACATTGCTACAATAGTTAAAATTTCTTCTGAACATTGGAAAGCTGGAGATCCAATTAACATAACCGCTAACATTGGATCTAAGGGAAAATTTGAAGCTAATCTACCTAAAGCAGTTAAATCACCATCATCAGAAAGACATTGTAAATAATTTAATTCTTCTAAAGCTCTCATCATAGTTTCGGGTGCAGGTGGATCCATAAAATCAAAATGAACTAAATCATCAATACCTAATTTTTTTAATTCTAAAACAGTTGATGATAAATTTGATCTTAATATTTCAGGATATGATTGTTGGATTAATTCCTTTTTAAAAGCTTCTTCAGTATATAATCTAAAACATTTCCCCGGTCTTGTACGACCTGCTCTACCTGCTCTTTGTTGTGCACTTGCTTTTGATATAGGTGAAACTAAAAGTGATTCAACTCTTACTCTTGGATTATATACTTTTTGTTTTGAAAAACCAGGATCAACAACATAAACTATCCCATCAATAGTTAATGAAGTTTCTGCAATATTTGTTGAAATAATAACTTTCCTACCTGGTCTACCCTTTGGGTTTGGATTTTCAGGAGCTTTTTCAAATATTTTTTGTTGTTGATTAGGTGGTAATGAACCATAAAGTGGATAAACTTTTATTGGACCACAATTTTGTTCTCTTATTAATTCATCACCCTCGAGTTGAATTTTTTTACATGCATCTTCAATTTCTTCTTCACCTGTTAAAAATAATAATATATCACCTTCTTCTTCAGTTGCATGAATTTGTAAAACTGTACGTATAGCAGCATCAATATAATCTCTTTGAAACTCTGGAGTATAATAAATTTCAACTGGATGAGTTCTACCTGGAACTGCTAATAATGGAGCATTATGAAAATAAGTTTGAAATTTTTCAGCATCTAAAGTAGCTGACATAATTATTATTTTAAGGTCAGATCTTCTTAAAGTAATTTGTTTAATTAACCCCATTAAAATATCAGTTGCCATTGTTCTTTCATGAGCTTCATCTAATATTATACAAGAATATCTTGATAAATTATGATCATCCATTGCTTCTCTTAATAACATCCCATCAGTCATATATTTCAAAATTGTCTTGTTACTTGTCTTATTTTCAAAACGTATACTATACCCAACTTCTTCACCTAATTTAACATCCATTTCATCAGCAACTCTTTGAGCTACAGACATTGCAGCAACTCTTCTTGGTTGTGTACATGCAACTTGTTTATTTATTAATTGTGGCATTTCATCATAAAGTACAAATTGAGGGATTTGAGTAGTTTTACCTGAACCAGTTTCACCAACAAATACCATAATTTGAGTATTATGGAAAATTTTCAAAAATTCTTCTCTTTGAGCATGAACTGGTAAATCACGTCTTGTTTTTAAAATTCTAAAATATTCTTGACTAAGGTTATTACCGGTAAATGGGTTAATTGGTCCATCTTCTAATCTTTCTGCATCTTGAGCGGTGGTTTGATGACGTATAAGACCTTTAAATTCTCCAGCATCATGATGTATTAATTGTTGTTCTTGTGATGGATGTGGATGATCATGTAGTGATTTTTCAGATGCTTCTGCTACTAATTCTGCTTGTGAATCATCTATTACTTCTGATTCATCTATCTTTTGTCTCTTATGTGATCTTTCTCCCATTTTGATCTTGCTATGGAATAAATAATTGAATTTGTATTAATTGTTAGTGAATTAGGATAATTTGATTTATTTGCATCTCATTATACAAATTAATTTTGTGTACAAAATATTTAGATGAGTATAATACTAATTTAAAGAATATTTCAAACAATTAGTGAACTACATTAATTACAGTCTCTACTCAAAAATTTATTCAATTATGAATTCATTTATATAGCAAAGTAAACTTCTATCTCTGTAAATGTAAAAACCAGTCATTTAAACCAGCACTTAATATTTCTCTCATAAATTCTTTATTTGTTTCCATAATAACACCACGCTTTTTAAACCAATCACTAATTAATAGTTGAAACTTATTTTTATTCTTTAAATATTCACCACTCAAAGTAATGAAATTATAATTAAAGAACAAATCATTAAATAAGTTTAATACTATCTCATATTCTTCTTTATTTAATTCAATTTCTCCTAAAAATGGTAAATTTTTAAATTGTTCATTTATATAAAATTGTATAAATAAGTCCAATTTCTCAGTGTTTGAATATTTGGTATTATTTAAATTAATCATAAAACAATATATAGATGTAATGAATAATGTACCTGATTTATTTAAAGTTTCATGTATTGCTGTAATTTTTGGATCATTATATATTTGATTTATTTTATTAGTATTATTTATTAATTGTAATGATGGTTGGATTTTTCTTGATTGGGTTGAAATAGGATTGAAAATGGGGATTGGTTGTGTTTGATTTTCTTCATCTATAACTCGTTGATCTTGTTGATCTTGCTGCTGTTGTAAGTTTTGCTGATTTTGTGGGGATTTGATTAATGATTTATCATTGTGTTGATTTGAATCTTTATTACTCTTATCTTTACTTGAAATTGATTTAATACTAGTGTCATTAGACATTCAATTAATTAGCAAAAAATTGACTTTTTATAGAATCTTTGATAGATCATTGAATAATTCTTAATCTTGAAGATCATGATGATTTTTTATTTGATACGCAATGATCCAGATCTGAACAAATTGAAATGTATTTTATTTAATTGACATAACTAATAGACTTGTGTAAAAAACTTGACCTTGATCGTTACTTGAATTTTATATTCTATTATCAATTCAAGATTTATTACTCAATTTGGACCTCAATCGTAAAAATTTGAATCAAAATGTAAAATTAAATAAAATTTAGCGCCAGTTCCCGTCAAACAAAGAAATTTAGTAACATATTTCCACAACGAATTGGTAGCACAATTATTGGTGTAAAGTTATATAATAAATTTCACTAAATATTGTAATAATTTGACTTTATTTTACAACATTATCAATTGATCAACAAGTATCTCGTTACTTAGTCTTTCTGGTTTTATTGTTATCATTCATCAATTTGTATTTATAAATTATTTGTCAGAGATTCGAATATCAACTATCATTAATGAACTAAGTTCTTAATCAATTCAGAAATTTAAAGAAAATATAAGAAATAGAATAGAAAATACTATAAAAATGGGGTTTGGTTTATTATTCATTGCATCAGGTACTTTAATAACAGGAGCAGCCAATTCATTATTAACGAAATTTCAAGATAATCAATGTGTTAAAAATTGTTCACCAACAACCAATAAAGAACCAATATATTTCAATCAACCAGGTATTCAAACATTACAAATGTTTTTAGGTGAATTATTAATGTATTTTGTTTATATAATATATAAATACAAGACATTAAAAAAATTAAATAATCAAGATTCAATACAATTTCAAGAAAAACTGATTTGGTCAAATTGGAAATTTTCAATACCTGCAATATGTGATTTAAGTTGTACAACTTTATTAAATATTGGATTAATTTATATACCTGTATCTATATATCAAATGACAAGAGGTTCAGTTGTATTATTTGTTGCTATATTTTCTATATTATTCCTAAAGAGAAAAATTTCAAATTTTAAATGGATGTCATTATTATTTGTTAGTGCTGGTGTTTGTATTGTTGGATTAAGTGGATCTAAAACAGAAGATAGTGGGAATAAAGAGAATTTAGGATTAATTATATTTGGAATTTTGTTGGTTGTTGGAGCTACTTCACTTCAAGGAATTCAATTTGTTGTTGAAGAATATATTTTAGAAAAAAATCCAATAATACCATTACAATTAGTATATATTGAAGGATTTTTTGGAACTTTAATTTTGTTGGTGTTAATGATTTTAACAAATTTTATTGCAAAATATATATTACCGAGTGAAGAATTTTTAATATCACCATTTAATTTATATGAATCATTTTATCAATTAATTTCAAATAAAATTATTTTGATTACATCATTTTGTATAATGTTATCAATATCAAGTTTTAATTATTTTGGATTATCAATAACTCATCAAGTTTCAGCAACTGCAAGATCAACAATAGATACTTGTAGAACATTATTAGTTTGGATAGTTGCTTTAATGATTGGTTGGGAAAAATTTAAATTATTACAATTAATTGGATTTATTATTTTGGTGTTTGGAACTCTTTGTTTTAATGATGTTATAAAATCTACTCATTTTGAATGGTTACCTTCTTGGTTAAAAGATGATGATGAAGAAGTTGTTATTATTGGTGATGATGAAGCTAATAGAAATCTTATGGATGAAGATTTGGAAGAGAGATTAATTGGTAGATGAAAAAAATTAGCAAAAGTTGGGATTTAAAAAGTTAGAATTAGAATTAAAAGTAGGATAACGATCAAAAGCTTATCATTTTACGGGTTGCTTAAAATAGAGAAATAGAAGATTAATACATGTCAGATGTTTGCCTTTCACTAATGTTATTCTTACAAAAAATAATGAGAATTTCTATAATTTCAAAACTGTTCGTTGACTAGATAAAATCGAACCGATAATCGAGGTTTCTTTGACTTACGAACTTCATTTTCCATTTCAAATACCGAATCTTTGATGTTATATTACTTGTATTAAATCATCTCTTATTCATATGTAGACCGAATACTCAATATAACTTAGCATAAGATGCAAAAACTAAAAAAAAAATAAAGTTACAATAAGTTGCATATGCCCTACATAGATGGTTTATTTGAAGTTCTTGAGTAGTTTTGGGGAAAAAAAAAAAAGGTCCAGACTCTTTGGTTCGTTTATTCTTGAACAATAAGACCGTTATAAATCAAGAAAAACTTAATTAAAAAAAATGTTTATAAATTTTTTTTTTTTTAGATGAAACAATAATTTAAAAAGTTTTACGATGCCATGAAGTTTGTCTTTTTCTCCTTACGTGATAACCTGAAAGTAGTCGATTTATCATATATTTGTATCAAAGTAGTATAAATTGGTTGGAATGGTGAAATGGAGGTCATGTCATTGATTTCGATTAGGTTTCATGCAAAATTATTGTAAATTTTACTTTAAAAATTTTTTATTGTTTATGAAACATACATAAAGCGTAAATGCAAGAAATGATGTAAAAAAATTAAAATAATTTTTTAAAAATTTTGAATTAGTTTAATTTTTACCAGCTTAAAATTAACTTATAATACACTAATAAATTATCCAAATATCACATTGAATTAAAATGAAGAAAATTTATTAATCCGATTTTTTTTTCAATACTCGATTAATTAATTGAAATGTGAAAATAGAGAGAAGAATTTAATTAGGTCGAGAGAATTTAAATTAATTCGGTTGTTATGTACTACCTTTTTTGTTTTGGTGCCTACATTTTAATTTTTTTTTACGTGAATGATTGTCGAAATTAAATAAATAATACGATAAAAAAACCCTTTCGTAATGTCAATAGTACATACTTAATATTTTATCAAAATTGATATCACTTATTCGCTTCATATACAAGTCTTTCTTCTATTAATTTTAAATTCAAATAGATTGCTTAATGAATTTGAGTAATCCCATCAATTAAAATAATGAACTTAAATTTCATGTCAAGAATTTAATTTTTCAAATTAGAAAAAAATGTAAACAAATAGCGAGACTGCATATAAATTAGAGGACTAAAAAAAAAGCCGGTTGGTTACAATTTTTTGTTTATCGTCAAGATCAAAACAATCAACAGATTAACAAGCGGGAAGTTGAAACGGACTAACAACTCCTTAATTTCAACAATAAATCAATAAGTAGCAACTTAGTTTCAAGATTATAAAATATACTTGAAACATCAAAGAAAATTAAAAAAATTGAATATCAAACTTGTAACAAATTGTAAGCTATAAAAATAAAAAATTATTATAAGATCAAATTATAAAACAAAATCAAAACTTTGGATCGAGAACTCTAAAATAATTTTGATAAAAAAATTCAATCAAAATAACTGGTTTATTAGTCTAAATAAGAGATTTTTGCTGTGCTAATTTGTACTTAGTCTAGCCTAGAATCATTCAATTTAAAAAGAGGATAAACACATAACCAAATTAATTACATAATTTGAATAATTGAACTAAAATTCAAATAAATAAAAAACATGGCTGGAAATTTGACGAATTTTTTTTTTTTTTTTTTTTCTTGTTAACAAATTTTTTATTATTTTTAAAGTTTTTATGAATTTGTGTAACAGGCTTGTTTAAATTACACAAACTTACTTTGCTAAACAATTTAAATTACCCTCGTTATTAAATAATTTAGTATGTAATTAGTCACATGACTTATCTGTAAAAGGAATTAAATAAGAAAATGAAAAATTATTTCAATAAAAAAATATCGCGTAACCAGCAGATCTTAAAACTTACACAAAGAGAATTCTGAAATTTTATTATTATTATTTTCAAGTTTGTTTTTGTTTATAAAAGAATTGTTTTATAAATCTAAAAATTTATCGTCAGTTTTAATAAAATTTTTTATTATTTTCTATTTCTATCTTGTTCAATTTTTTTAATTTTTTACTTTCACTTTCATTTTGTTCTTTTTGACATCTTCTATTCATTCATTCATTCAATCATTTATCCCACTTAAGATAAAGATTTATTATTATTATACCAACTATTAATTCATTCCTTTTAATTATAATCATATAGTTTTGTTTAATAATAACAATTAACAACAACAAACAATAACAAACTTTTAAGTCATTCCTTTAATACCACATATACTTTCATTTTTTTTAAAATCATTAACAATTTATACCAACTTAGTTAAACTAATTATTCTATAAAAAAAATGAAATTTACAACAACTACTTTAATTTCAATATTATCATCAATAGTTGCTACCAAGGCTTCATGTACTTTTGATGGTGGTAATTATTATTGTTCAGAAACAAATAAAATCATTTATAAAGATATTGGATTTCAAGGTACTTATCAAGATGTAACAAATATGGATGAAACATCAGGTACTTGTTCTCAACAATCTTATTCTTTCTCAGGAAATTTATCACCATTAGATGAAGAATTATCAGTACATTTTAGAGGTCCATTAGCTTTAAAACAATTTGGTGTTTATTATCCATCATCAGGTTCAAATCAGAAAAAGAGAGAAATTAATAATGAAGATTGTAATACTCAACATTTTCATCATAAACATAAAAGAGCTACTGAAATTGTTGAAGTTACTCAAACTGTATTTGTTGATGGTAATGGTAATTTAGTTACTTCTCAACAAACTTCAACTTCTACTGAACAACCACAAGTACAACAACCACAAGTACAAAGTCAAAGTGAACAAGAAACTATTGCTCAACCAGTTACTTCTGCTGATATTCAAAATAAAGCTTATAGATCATTATCAACTCAATCAGCTCCAACAACAACTTCATCAACTAGTTCACAATCAACTGAAACTGCTAATGTTGGTGGTGCATGGGAAAGAAGTTCTTATTATACCCCAGGTTCAGCTGATAATTGTGTATTTTTAAATTATCATGGAGGTTCAGGTTCTGGTGTTTGGTCAGCAGCTTTTGGTAATTCATTATCTTATGCTAATTCAGATAATTCTGGTGGTTCTTCATCTCCAGTTGCTTTAGAAGATATTACAATAAAATCAAATAATGAATTTGTTATTATGTCTGGTCAGAAATGTTCAGGTTCATCATGTGGTTATTATAGATCAGGATCAGTTGCTCATCATGGTTTTGGTGGTAATTCCAAAATTTTTGTTTTTGAATTTGAAATGCCAAGTGATAATTCAGGTTCTGGGTTTAATGTAGATATGCCAGCTATATGGTTATTAAATGCAAAAATCCCAAGAACTTTACAATATGGTGATGCTTCATGTTCATGTTGGAAAACTGGTTGTGGAGAATTAGATTTATTTGAAATTTTATCAACTGGTTCAAATAAATTAATAAGTCATTTACATGATGGTCAAGGTGCTGCTTCAAATTCAAATAATGGTGGTGGTGGTTCACAAGATTATTTTGTAAGACCTACTTCTGGTACTTTAAAAGCTGCTGTTATATTTAGTGGTAATGAAATTCATATTGTTCAAGTTGATGATTCTACTTCATTTGATGGTTCTTTGGATGAAGATACCGTTAATGGATGGTTAAATCAATCTGGTTCATTAGCTACTATTGGTTATTAGATAGTTTTATATACAAGTTAGTTCAGTTAAGAACCCATTGTCTTAACTATACTGGGGCTCTGTCATTGGGAGTGCTTTAAGTGCCTTTTTTGTTCTTTCATTTGTATTTTTAGTTTATAATATTTTATATAATAAAAAAAGTTATTAAAAAAAATATCAGTAATCTTATTCCTTCATAGTCAGTAGGTATTATAGCAAAGTATTGCAACAGATACTTGAGAATAGCTAAGTACAAGAAGTTTATAAGGAAATGAAGTAAACAAGAAAATATGAAAATCTATTACAAAATTTTTTAAATATTGTTTTAAAAATTTAAACTATTTATTTATCAAATTATTTAATCATTAAAATCTATATAACATCACTTATAACTTTACTAGCTTCTTTATAAGTTTTTAAAATTTCAAGACATTTTTCACGTTCAGCTTGAATATTTTCATCTTCTTGTAATAAATCATCAAATAAATTATCATTATATAATTTTACAACTAATCTATTCTGAATTTGTTGCTTTATATGATTTACTAAAAGACACATTATTGATTTAGGAACTTGATCTTGAATCATTTCTCTAACTATTGAAAAATATGATATAATTAATCTTCGAATTAATTCACATTCCATTTGTTCTCTTTCACTAAGTTCTAAAATGGCTTGATCTCCTTCAAATGATGAATCTGTTGATTCTGATAAGGATAATTTTTGAAATTCATGTTGCTGGAAATTTTGATGGTGGCCATTCATTGTGTTTGGAGTTGGTGATGCTATTGGATTTGAAATAAATCCATTATTTACAAATTGAGTATTAAATTGTAATGTTGTTTCATGAGGTTGAGGGAATTTGAAAGGGGTTGGATTTAATTGAGCTTGAGTTTGTAATTGTTGTTGATGAACTATTGGATCTTTACCTAAAAAGTAATTAAGATATGATGATTCATTATTCGAACTTTGATGATGATGATGATTATGATGATTATTTGATTCAGTTCTTGGTTTTCTTCTATTTTTATGATTATTTGGTTGTTCTTCATCTATTGATTTAATGTCTTCTTTCATTCTTTCAACTCCTTCATCAGTATCTTCTTCTTCATCTTCTTCTTCTTCTGGTTCTTCACTATTATCTCTTAGTTTTTTCCCTAATATACGATGAGTTGCTAATCTTAATTTACTATCCAGTTGTAATTGTTTTTCCTTTTGTCTTTCTGCAACAACTATAGTCATTGCTTGAGCAGCACCAACAAAATTTGGATGATTTGTGTTTATATAAGCTCTATGAATTTCAATTAATGATTCAACATATTTTTTAGTTGGTCCTAATCTTTCTCTTAATAAATCCAGTACTACTTCAATTAATCTTGCTTGTAATTTTGGATATCTATCTAATTCTGGACCAATAGTTGTAGAACTAACACTATGTACAATTTTCATTAATTCTTCATAAACTAATTCAACACATTTTTGTGAAGGATTTTCTAATAAATTAATTTGTGGTTTAACTAATAAATCAAAAGCTAATTCTGGTACGAATAAAGAAGGTCTTGGACCAGTTGAATTTCTTATTGCTGTTCTAATATCTAATATTGATAAATTATGAACTGGATTTATTGATGATAAACTTGAACCATAAATTGTATTAAAAATATTATATATCTTTGCACCACCACATAATTCTTTTGATGAAATATCTTGAAATGAATCCCCATCAATTGAATGAACAAAAGTTGTAGACCATTTTGAAATGATGGATAGAAGTATTATACCTCTTTTTTCTTTTGAATCTTCAATATTTGGTATATCTCCATATGATGCTAATTCATGTTCAGTTTGACCAATTAAAGTATTCAATTTTGCTTTAATATCGGGTAATCTTTCTCTTATATGATTCATTAATATTTTATTTAAAGTTTGTGCTAAATATTTTGTACCACATTTTGAAGCCATTGATCTATAAGCTGGATGATTTATAAAAAATTTTTGTTCTGAATATAATGAATCATCTAATGATTTATTTTCTGATATATCTTGTTGTGATCTATTAACAATTCCGATAAATCCTAATTTTAATGGATATACGTTTCCCTTTAAAATATCTAAAGCATTTGTACCTTGATCCATTAAATCTAATTTTGTTAAAATACCAACAGTTCTTTTTCCCGTAGGATCAACTTGTCTTGCTAATTTCAAAGATTCCGAATTAACTAAATCAACATTTGCTGGAGATACTGCCAAAATTATACAATTTGGTTTTGAAATATATTCAGATATTAAATTTCTTGTTTGTCTTTCAATATCAGTTGGTTGATCACCAATTGGGATTTTGGTCAATCCTGGTAAATCAACTAAAGTTAAATTTAATACATTGGGTGAGTAAATCTTTAAATTTATTGGTAATCTACTTATTCCTTTATTTTCACCCGCAATTCTTAAAGTTTCACGTTCAATTTCTTTTCTAATATCATGAAAATTATAAAATCTTTTATTTGGTATATGCAAAAATTCCCCCCATTCTGCTTTTGCATTTTTAGATGATTTTGTTGATGATGATTTATTACCATTCATTTTTCTAACATGATCTTCTAAATCAATTTCATCAACATCTAAATTTTTTGTAGTTTGAGATTCATGAAAATTATATTTATTAATTAATGGATCATCTTCTTTTATATTAATCAATTGTAAAACTAAAGGTCTTCTTGTTACAATCCCAACACCTCTTGGTAAAAAATCTTTTCCAACTATATTTTCCAATACAGAAGATTTACCACAAGATTGTGATCCAACAACAGCTAATATAGGTAAATCAATATCTGCTAATTGAGTTGTTGTCACGATATCTTGTAGTTTATTAACCACTGGTATAAGATCTTGAAATGACATGATAGAGAAGTGATTAAGTTGGTTAAATAACTTGTTATATTAAATTACCTTTGTCTCAAGTTTTTAGTTGCTGTTATTATATAAAAAATGTAAATAAAAAAAATATTTTTAGATTTCCAAGGGCCAATTGAAGAAAAAAAAAATATTTTAATTAGAGAGAGGTATTTCTTTAAAACGCGCACTTGTAATTTCCTTCATGACATGCTTTTCACGCAATTGGTTTTTAAGTATAAAATTCTAACCCTTAACCCCATGTTGATGGAGTGGCAAAATAAAGATCGAAATTGTATATGATTACCTAAAATATGTTGATTATTTGGGTTTGAATTTGATTCGTTAAAGTAGTTACTAAAAAATGGTCACGTACTACTTTATTACTGACGTAAGGGTTTAGCATAAAATATTTTTGCAACCAAAACTGAATAATATATTATCATGAACTTCGATATGGAAAAAATTATGATACTTTTCAAAATGAGCATAGGTTAAAATGCCAAGAGTTGTAAGTACTGTATTACGAGCCTTTGAGAGAAAAGAATAAAAAATTGGAAGTCCCAAGCTTTATAGTAATTTTGCATCTAAAGTGAGCATAAAAATTTGAATACAATCGGTTTGGGTGATGATAAAAAATAATGTAGTTTGTATTGAAGATTTAAATAAGTTTTGAATAGCAAAGCTAATAAATTTACTTTATAAAAGCACTAAAGATATAACTTCATTGAATACATTTTTATGGTTTTCTGAAATTTGCAAAATCCCCTCTCTAAATAGAATCGAAATTTTGAAAAAACTCTCAATTTTGTAACGAGATTCAATAGAATTCTTTTTAACCCTCAATTATTGAGATTTTGAATTATGGTCAGATCTCCCAATTATTATGATTCAGAAAATTTTATGTCTTTATTTTGAATGACTCGGATAACTTATATAGGTTTTTAAAACAGTATTCAACCATTTCTATGCAAATGTTAGTTTGAATGGCTTAAACTTTGTCAAGTTTTAGTATTAATGATCCTCAATTTGTGATCATATATATTGATGTTTAATGACAAAATTTTTTTGTACAGAATACTAGAGGTGTTTGATTTAAGTAGGAAATTATCATATTTCTTTTATACAGTACCATATAAATTCATATATCCGGTTATTTATATTTATTTTACTACCAAATGATTTTTGATAATTTGGGACTTCTTTTGAATAAAGTCGATAGCTAAAATTTGAATATCATAAATAAACGTGATTTATCAAATGCGAAAATGTATGTACCTGGTTCATTCAGGATTCTAATTCTGATTTGCGATAGCAGCCAAATTTCATGTAAATCTACTCTAATTCACTGTTCCTTGGCTCATTTGACTAGAACATAAATTCTATGTCTTATTCATCGTTACAAGCATTTCACATCAAACAAATTGATCAGTATTTTGGTCAGATAAAGAAATACTCAAATTCAGTTGTTTGTCTACTACTCTATAAACAAGTCCATTGCAATATATGTTATCAAAGTCATGTTGAAACAGAGATTTAAAATATAACTAATAAATTATTGAACTTAATTACACTACACACTATTTTTTTTCCAGTTCAACTTATTATAATTAAATATTGACGTGTAGAATATTATATTATACAAGAGAGTTTTTCAATATTCAATTTTCAATTTTCAAGGTACCTTCAACTTAACTCATTAATCAACAATACCATAAAATGTTGAGGCACCTAATTTTATCAATTGGGTTAATACTATCTATAACTTTTGCAAAGCAAAGTTTATATACATTTGCCCCAGATTGGGAAAATTCTCATTATACAAGAACAATTGATTTAAGTAAATCATATATAAAAGAAACAGATTTAATTGATATAAAAAATATTGCTAAAACTCCATTAACAGAATATATTTATACAATAAATGATGGGTTTGATAGCGTTGAAAATTTATCAATGATTACTTTTCAATTAACAAATCAAATTATTGAAATACCTTTTGAAGTGATTGTACCAAATAAAATATATAAATTAAAATTACCAATGCCAATTTCTCCCAATTCAAATTTAGAAATTAAAATAAATTATGTTTATATAAATAAATTACAAGCAATTCCAGCAAAAATTAAATTAGAAGATATTCAACAATTATTATTTAAAACTAATAAATTTCCATATTCTCCTTATTTAACAAAAGATTATTCATTGTCATTAACTGGTATGTCAAAAGGTCAAGAAATGGATTTACATATAGATGAACAAATAGAAGCAACTCCAAACACTCCAAATTTAGAACCAAGAGTTGATAATCAGTCTTTAAAATATGGCCCAACCACAGAGGATTTACAACCTTTTACTTTAAAACCAATGGGATTAATGTATGATCACAATAGACCGTTAACTGAAGTAATCAGTTTAAATAGATCCATATGGTTACCTGGATCAGATATAAATAAAGTATCAATTGAAGAATATTATGAATTAACTAATTCAGGTGCTCAATTAAATTCAGGTTTTTCAAGAGTTGATTGGATGAAAGGTAGATATGAAGGTACAAGAAATCATTGGGCTTTATCACATTTAGAATTCCCATTGGCACAAAGAGATATAGATGATTATTATTATACTGATAAAGTTGGTGTAGTATCAAGTCATAAAAAAATTTCAAATCACTTGTTATTATCACCAAGATTTCCAATATTGGGAGGTTGGCATTATAATTTTACTTTGGGCTGGTCAGAAAATATAAATAATTTTATTCATAAATCTGGCAATGATGAATATATTATAAAATTCCCAATTTTAAATACTTTAAGAGATTCAGTTTATGATGATGTATACTTGGAATTTTATTTACCAGAAGGTTCCAAATTTGAAAATGTTGTTTCACCTATTCCATATGAAGATTTAAATATTACAAATGAACTATCATATTTTGATGTTTCAAAAGGTCATGTTAAAGTTACAGTACATTATAAGAATTTATTTGATGATATTTATAAATTAGATGTTTTATTGAAATATAAATATGAAAAATTAAATATTTTCATTAAAATTGGTAAAATTTCTGGATTTATATTCGTGGGATTGATTAGTTATTATTTATTAAATTTATTATAAATAGATAAATAGATAAGTAATAATTCAATAAAAAGTAAAAATTTATAGAGTTGAAAATTAAACTATGTAGAAATTAATTTTAATAAGCACAAAAAATTTATATTTTACTATAAAAAATAACCTACAAACAATGTCATCAGAATTCCCCATAATTCAAATCAAAAATTTATCATATACAACAACAAACAAACAAATCTTTGAATTCTTCAGTCAATTCGGTACGATATATCAAATAAGATCAAATTCAAAGCAACAAGGTACAATTTTTATAATTTATTCAAATTTACAACAAGCTAAATTAGCAATAAAACAATCAAATGGAGTTAATTTAAATGGTAGATATTTAATTAGTTCTTTATTTGTTGTTGATCAATCTAAAATTTATGAGGAAGGGATGAAGTTGAGAAATGAGCAATTGGTTGAATTAAAGAGGATTTATAATATTGATTGAGATTTGGAATTAGGTGTTGAGGTTCTATCACGAATGAGGTTAATATAATTAGTATACAATTATTTTTTCCAGTTGATAAGTTTTAAGCTTATGAAAATGGAATGACGCCCAGAAATGTACAGGTGATTGAATTGAGGAAAACTTTGCAATATTGAGAGGAATGCGTCTAGATGAGTTAATGTCAAACTTAAACAAATTCAAGCTTAGCCACTATAATATTCATGAATAGAAGGTAATTTAAAAGATGAAGGAGGTCAGGAACCTCCTTTTTTAGTTGAAAGGTTCTTGCTGTTACCAAGTGACTTTACCAAATAATGACTTTCAGCGGTTAGTTCATTGATCCACCTGTATAATTAGTGCTGTACTATAGAATTTATCAGCTACTAAACTCTACGAAAGAAAAAATAATTTATATTGAACTCAATTGTATTCAAGACTTATAATAATCTAGAAGCTAATCATTAGTAACATTTTTAACATTCTTTGCGTTTGCAGCTCTTGAAGCAGAAATCACTGCCAAAACTATGGTTATACCTACCAAGAAAGCACCAATTCGTGGAGTTGAAAGTAATATAGTAAAAATAATTAACGATAAAGTACCAATGAATAATACTAAGTAAGCATATACAAAACTTGGAGGTACAATATAATCCCAAATTGTCTTATCATTATTATAATTTGTAAAATAAATATCAAAAAGTTCTCCTTGATATTCTTTTAATTTATTTGAAATATTATTACCAGTTTTAGATTTGTATATAATTATAAATAAAATTATTATTTGTATTAATAAAATCATCAAAATCCAGGTCGACATTTTTTTGAAATCTTTGACATTAAACTTGAATGAGTAGAGCACTGTTAGATGACGGCACTTTGATTAAGCATTGATTTATATATATAGGAAGTGATGATAACTAAACAAGTGCCAAACCATTCAAATAATTTAAATAATTCGAAAGAAACCCTTGAAAATTACACAAAACTTTAGAATGCTACCGAGTAAATAAATCCGATGGACACAAAAAGCAAGGAGAAACAAGATCGATTAATAAAATTTAAATAGAATTCCGAATGCAAACAGAAAAAAATCTTTGACCACCACATGATAACAAAGACATGAGTATGTATTAGTATCTCATCGCTTAACCCTGAAAATACAAGATAATCAGAAGTGTTTCAATCCTCTTTAATATGATGTCATCATTAAAGCGACTTATGCATCGGCAACAATTCAAATAAAATCATACAATAAGGTTATTTTCGAAATTTTAGTGGATTTTTGAGAGCCATCTTTTTTTCTAGTTTCAATTAAAATTAAATAATTGTTTTATTAATTCGAACAATTGTTTGAAAATGTATATTCAACAACGTTCAACAGGATTTTTGAGTACATCCAAAACTACAACAAGATAAATTTATGTTATCATTAAATCATTGAATTCTATATACACATATTTATGTAAGTCTAATTATTAAGTTAAGCTTTTAATAGATTTAGTTAATGAAGTAACAGGAACTAATCCGGAATCTGTATTTTCTTGATTAAATTCCATACCATTCCATTCTTCCTCCTTAGCATTATAACCTCTGTAAATGAACCAGAACATAACACCAGCAATGAAACAAGCTACACCTAAACCTGAATATGTCCAGACCATTTTAGGATCAGTACTAACTGGTGATAACGCAATTCCTAAAGCTGAACCAATTGCGTTTGTGAATAAGAATAATGACATAATAAATGACTTCATACGGATTGGAGCTTTTGAATACGAGTATTCTAAACCAGTAACACTACCAAAAATTTCTGAAATAGCAATTAAACAGTAGGCAGGGGTTTGCCAAGCTATATGAATATTATTACCATCTGGACAATTACCTGGTTGATCATAACATGGAGCAGAAGTGTAAATAAAATGTTGTAAAACTGCAGCATAAACCATTGCACCTGCACCAAACATAAAACCATAAGTAATTCTAGTAATTGGTTTGAATGGAGTCCATCTTCTAACAAATGGGTAAAGGAATTTTTCAAATAATGGGATAAAAATTATAATAGCAATTGAATTAATAGCTTGTAAAATATCATTTGGTAAATGATGAGCTCTCATACTAGCAGCTGATGAAACAAAATTATTAACCATTTGACCATAAGTAACCCAATAAAATGGATAAAATAAGAAAATTTTACAAGCATAAAGTGCTCTTTTAATTTCATCTGGTGATACAATATCCGATTTAACATTTTTAAAACTAAAACCATCTTTCATAGCTTTAAATGACATTTTAAAAGTTTCATTAATAATCTTATCACCAACTGGAATATTAATTGATCTATTTTTACCAATAATTAATGAAGCAATTGCAAAAAAGAAAAAACAAAAAGTTAATAAATAAGCTGACCAAAATCCAATATGTTTTTCCATATTTGTTGTTGCAATAACACTTAAACTTCCAATATTAATACACATATAAAAAGTTGCAAAAACTCTTTGCATAGTTAATGCATTATCAACAATAACTCTTTCACCATTTTTTTTAACTCTTATAAAAGCTTTTCTTTTTGGAATTTGATCAGCTAAATATGGTGAAACGTTAGTTTTAATTAAACCAGTACCAATACCAATAATAATAATAGCAGCTATAAATCCACCAGTTGCTGTATTTTTACTTGTTATTGAAGGAATTGAAGTAATAAATAAAATCAATATACCAACAACATAAATAATACAAGCAACAAAAATTGTTTTATATTTACCCCAATAAGTATCAGCTAACCAACCACCAAAAATCGGAGTTACATAACACCAAAATTGGAAAAAATATGATAAAGCAGTAGCACCTTGTTGTTTTAATTGTAATAAACCATGAGGATTATCATCTGGACCATTTTGCATATAATTTTGAAAAGGAGCTGATAAACCATAATAAGAAAATCTTTCAGCTAATTCAACAATAGCAATTAACCAAGCACTTAATGGTATTGAATCTGATACATGTTTTAAAGTTTTTAATTCATATTCTGTTGGTTCTCTACCTTCATCATCTTCACCCATTGAACTTGTTAATTCATTATTTGAATTTGAATTCTTTTCACTATCATCATCTAATGATTTTGTGAATATGACATCATTTTGTTTAGTAGTTGTTGGAGATTTAGTTGTTTCTAATGAATCGTCCAAATTAGAAATTTGTTTCTCTTGATTTGACATCTTTTTTGTAATTTGAATCTAAATTAAAGAATAAAGAAAACAAAAAAAAATGTGAAAAATCTGAAACTCTATAAATTAATAGGCTTTTATTTTGTTTAAATATAAATTGCAAAAAAAAAAGAAAATTAAACCCACAAAATAATCTTCTTTTAATCTAGTGACTCTTATCTTAGACAAATTAGTAATAAGAATCCAAGAAAAGAAATGTAATACGATGAAGGGAAATCTGAAAAGTTGTAAACTAAATATATTTCTCATCATAAAATTTTTTTATAAATGGCATTTCAAATGTAACTTACACAACACCGAATAAACTTTTTTTTTTAGGTGCAAACAAAAAAAAAAAGAAACAATAAAATAAAATTTGACACAAAAATAATTACAATTGAAACAAACATCTTTTTTTTTTTGCAATTTTAATTCTAATGCTAAGAAAATTTGAAGAAATTTAAAAATGAATAAAATAGAATAATTTCAAGCAAAACAAAAAGTTTTGATCTTGTACGATCATTTATATAAAAGAAAGGGTAAGGCTCATATTTCCAAGAAATTTAAGAGAACAAAATATAGTACGGCATCATATTTACTTACTGAGCTAACGATAATCGATTAAAATCAAATGACTGATAAGTTGTGAATTTTCTTAGCTGGTAGTCCTTATCTTATATAACAATATATATGTATTTGTATTGCGATTGATCTTCTATTTGATTATTCGGGGTGGTGGAAATCCCCCTTGTAGTTTTATTTCTCATCTCATGAATGAAACCTGAACATGAAAGTCATTTTATTCTTCATATTAATGATGTAATTATCTAAATCTCTATTTAGCAAAGTGTACAAAATCGTTCAAACCAAATGTCTTTAATTGTACAAACTACATTTCCATTTTTTTCTACTTAATTTTAACCCAAAAAGTGAAAAAAAATATGTCAAAATTTATTTTAATTTTAATTATTTTTTTTTTTTTTTTTTTTTTCTTAGTCTTATTATTGATTTATGTATAACCGCTTAAATATTTTTTACACTTACCTCAAAGTCTAAAATTTTACTAAAGAAAGGTAATGTTTTAAATTGCCGTTTACAATTATTGTAAACAAATCAATAGAAGGAAGGTAAATACAGTAACATGATTCAAAAGCATTACTTTAATATTATCAATTAGATCTTTAAGGAATTAAACTTTTGTGGAGAAACCGAGTGACTAAAATTATATCAATTTTAGGTATAAGATACGTTTCTTGGTTCAGTGAAATCAATACAGGTTGTCTCTGTTTTAAGATTTTCAAAAACCTAAACGTTCTCTTCTGTATAATTCCGCGGAATATTCCCTAGGCTCGACCAAAACCGATTTACGACCCTTTAATAACCTCAAATACCCATCTCTCTTGTCAAGAATTCTTCAACAATTAATAATCATGAAACGGTGTTACTTTTCAAGAATTTAAGCCCCGTTTTTGATTTAAAAAACCCTCCATCCCCGCTAAAAAACTAGTGCCTGATTTTAGATTCAAGTCTCTAATACTTTTAATTTTACCTCTTGATAAAGAGTAAGTTGGTCAACGAAAAAGTAATTGTTGAGTGATAGGCAAAAACAATGTAAAGTCATTAAAAATATAATATTTGGTTTACATGTTTATCAAATTTACAGATTTTGTTCAGAGTCTTCCTTAGTTTCAACTAATTCTATGGCGCTACCGATTTTATATGGTACTTAACATCAAAATACTTGTTAATTCTGAAACAATTTTTTTTCAAATTATTGATCTCAATACCCCCCTGGAAATACTGATTAAATCAAAGTGTTTAGAGACCATTCTTTTCATTTTTTCCAAATTACAAACAAAACAATATTTACATTAAGTTCAAGATTTTAATAAATAACAAATAAAATACAAATTTTTATTAACTATGTATGAAAAGAACTAAATTAATTCGTTTTTTTTTTAAATATTTTTTTAATTTTTTAAACGATAAAAAATCAAAGAGTCTGTTTGTTTAACACCAAGTGTAGTAAATTCTTTTATAAAATGGTTGTGATTTTTGATAAGCTTTTTCTTCAGCAACTTCTTGTTTAACTAAATCTAAATCTAAATCAGCTCTACCAGTATCAATATCAATTTCACTTGCTTTATAATAAAATTTCAAGTTTCTTGAATAGATTTTGTGACCAACGTAGAACACAAGAACAACTGGAACAGTCAAAAAGTTCATGAAGAAATCATTAGCATTTGGTGCAGTACCTAATGGCCAAACAGCAATCCAGAATTGTAAACATAAAACAGCAAGATTTAATAATAAACCCCAATAAGCACCAATTATACCAGGTTGTGAAACATATGCCAATTCTCCAGTATCTCTACCTTGAGCTTTTAATGCTGCTCTAAATCTTATATGACATAAACAAATTGAACCCCAAGTGAAAATTGATGATAAACCAGATAAAGCTAATAACCAATTGAATACAAGACCTTCTTTTGGTGAAGCAGCTAAGAAACATAAAGCACCAACTAATAATTGTACAATAATACCAACTAATGGTCTACCAGTTTTATCAATATAACCAAAAATTTTTGGAGCTTGATTTGAAGCAGCTAAAGCAGCTAAAGTTCTTGAAGAACCAAAAACTGATGAATTACCAACTGATAAAACAGCAACCATAATAACAACATTCATAACTGATGGTAAACCAGAAATACCACCATTTTTAATAGCAATAACGAAAGGTGAAGCTGATGCATAATTAGTGGCAGTAAATAATCTTTCATCATCATAAGGAACTAATAAACCAACTAATGTTAAACAAATAACATAGAATAAAGTAATTCTCCAAAAGACTTGTTTACAAGCTTTTGGTAAAGCTTTTCTTGGATTAGCAGTTTCAGCAGCTGCTAAACCAGCTAATTCAGTACCAGCAAATGCAAAAGCAGCTCCCACAAAAACCGTTATAACCCCCTTAACACCATTTGCAAAAGCTCCAGGATGTTGCCAATATTTACCACCAATATATCCTTGACCATTTGGTGCACCACCAGCACATAAAACTATACCCAATATAATAAATCCACATACTGCTAATACTTTAATAGCACTGAAAATAAATTCGGCTTCTCCATAACCTCTAACTCCGAAAAAGTTAATAGCAATTATTAAAACATAAAATATAACGACATAAGCAGCTGGATTTGTTTTTTCATCCCAGTATTTAATAGTTAATGAAGCAGCAACCAATTCCAAAGGTAAAACGACCAACCATTGCATAGCATAATTCCAAGCCATAGCAAAACCCCATGATGGATTAATGAATCTAGACTAAAAAAAAAGCGAGTTAGTATTGAAGTGCTTAAAAATTATGACAAAATTGGGTTTCTGGTTTTTGGACATTAAAAAATTTAGCATTAAGTACCACCTGGTAGCACAACCTGGGGTTAATTTTGAAACAATCATTTAAGACCATTAAATTTTTTTAAAATCAACACTAACCAATCCATTTCATCACCAAAGAACTGTAGATACGTACATTATAAGTAACAAAAGCACCACTGACTGGGAAAGTAACTGCAAGCTCACCAAGGGAGTGAACAGTACAGTAGATCATAGTTCCGATCAAAATATAAGCTTGACAAAAAAAAGTTAGTAAATAAAATTTGCATCCAAAATTTCAAAATTGTTAAGTTTTAACATACCAATTAATAAACCAGCTGGACCACCAGTGTGTAAAGAAGAACCAGAACCAACGAATAAACCAGTACCAATTGAACCACCAATAGCAATCATTTGTAAATGTCTATTTTTTAAAGATCTTGATAATGGTGAATTTGCAGTTAATATAGCAATTTTTTCAGCTTCTGATAAATTTGGATCAATACCCATTTCATTAGCATCAGCTTTTTTAAACCCATCTTTAAATTTAGCCCAACCTTTTAAAGGTGGTTTTGAATCTTGTTCATCAAAAGCATCAATATAAACTCCTCCATTTTTTTCATCAGATCCTGCATCTTCTCTTGATCTAAGATAATCTAATTCTTTTTCAGGCATTACTTAAGTATTGTAGTTGGAGTGAACAAGGAATATAGCTTTTAAAAAAAATTTTAGGTGTAGAAGAATTGGAGAAATCAATGATATATTTATACGTTGGGAAATCAAACGTTAAACGAACCAAATTATTCAATAATTTATTTAATCGTTATCAATAAAATTATAACAATAACAATTAATGAATAATAGATAATAGAATAATTATAATCTATTATACATTTACTATTATTGTAATTTTAAAAATATCTCACCTTGAAACATAAAAAATCTCTTATCAATAAATAAAATTAAGGTTGATTAAATTTTGACACAAAACAACAATCATAATTTAAAAAAGATTACATAAAAGATATAATAAACCAAAAGAGATAACCCTTGAAGCATTTTCTTTATACTAAGTTAGCTGGTGTAAGTAAGGATGTGAAAATTAAGATGATTTACATAAATTATTATTGAATATTTTTAATTGTTGTTGGTGGATCTTAATGATGTTTTAAAAAGAAAAGTTTTAAAATGCCGTATTGCTTTTTGTAATACATTTTAATTACTTTTCATTAAAAGAAATTATTGAAAAAAAAAAGCAGGGCTTTACAATATTTTATCCATAGGGTGATAATTAGGACTCAGATGAAAGTTTTCAGTAAAAATTCATTTGGTACATGTCAAATAATATTCTAAAAATGATATTTGAATTTCTTTCAATTAATCCGACTTTAAAAGCTTGATTCATTCTTTTTTCTTAAATTTGTTCCTGAAGTCAAGAAATTTTTGACTCTTGATTAATTTGAAGTATTATTAATCTACAAAAGCTTAAACCCTATCAATATAGACGTATTAACTTATATGTCACCTTACAGAAAGTTGACAATATTGACAAAGTAAAGGATCTTCGTTTAAAATGAATAATCATTCATTTACTTGAAATAATGTATTTATGATTTCTTATTATTTTGTTTTCGATTGACGCCTTTTAAGTTTCTTTTTTTCGTTAAATCGTACAAGATAAAACTCGTTCTAGTTACAACTTTTCAAACGAGAACCTGAGCAAGGAATTGCTACCGTGTATACACCAAATCTCGACCACGATACAATTTCAAATGCAGTACTTATTGTTCCGCCTGAAGAAAAATCGAAAATTATTCATGATAGAATTTGAATTAATATACTTAACAGTTTATGCATTTCTTATCAAAATTTTTTTTAGATTTGTTACATAAACCTGAATGCCTCTCAAGTGAAATTTGGTTCACTAATAAAGGAAATAAAAGATAGCGGTTGATGTATATTTCTTAAAATTGTTAATTGATTATTGTCTTTTGGTTTATTTGAAGATTTAGAATCTTAATTTACGAAACATATTATATCAAAATTGACAAAGTTATATGTCAATTGTTCTTAGTCTTCAATAAGCAAACAATTAAAGCTAAATGAATTAAAATAAACAATTTCGATTATGTTCTTTTGCAGAGTTCTTTTTTTCAAGAAATCTGTTTCATGTATTTACGAGCTTTATTGATATATAAACATGTTAATTTTTTGCTTTCACCAACTGATCTCATATTTCTTATCGGTGCAAAGAAATCTTGTTTTTCTTGACCTCTTTCAGGTTTGCCTTCTTTCGTAAAGCCTACTCAATTTTGTCTTGGAGAAAATAGAAATGTCTTTTTGTATTCTGTAATTATCATTCGTAATTTTTTGGTGCCTTTCATAAATATCCAAATTGCCGTGTTGTAAAAAAAACTTTTAAATTTAAGATCTTTCTTTAGTCCCTTGCCCCACAAAATTATTTAAAGGTATTGTGATCATGAGACACAGATATTGTATTGCAGGAGATGATATTGTACTCAAAATCTTGAGTAACAAATCAAGATAGAGTAATTAAAGTAGAGTAATAAATCACTTTTAATAAATTGCAAAACTAGTAAATCTGAATAATTATATTCAATCTATAAACATCACTAATCTTCAAATCTATTTGGCTACTCTTGACCAATCTTTAAATTCTTCTTCACCATATTGAATTTTTCTGATCCATTCTGCAACTTGAGCGGTTAATTCACCAGTATTACCTAAAACAACCGGTACAGGTATATCCTCACCTTTAAAACCAATATTTTTAATTGGTGACACAACTGCTGCAGTACCAGCACCAAAAGCTTCAACTAAATTACCTTCATCAGCAGCTTTTTTAACATCATGAATTGTATATTTACGTTCACTTACAATCCATTCATCTTTTGGTAATCTTTCTTTAGCTAATTCTAAAATTGATTCTCTTGTAACACCTTCCAAAATTGTACCATCTAATGGAGCAGTTACTAATTCTTTTTTACCAGTCTTGGAATCTTTCAAAACAAAAAATACATTCATTGTACCAACTTCTGTTATATATCCTTCTTCACCAAATAACCATAAATTTTGATCAAAGCCTCTTGAAGCAGCATCTTTTTGTGGTAAAATACATGGAGCATAATTTGCACCTAATTTTTTATCACCAACACCACCTGGCCAAGCTCTTACTGCATAATCAGTAGCTTCTAAAGAGACTGGTTTAAACCCATTTCTGTAGTATGGACCAACAGGACTTGCTATAACGAAAATTAAAGCTTTATCAGGGGTACCAACACCTAAAGAGGAAGAAGTACCAATCATAGTTGGACGTAAATATAATGAATAACCTGCACCTTCTGGTATAAAATCCTGATCTATTAATAATAATTGATCGATTAATTTTTGTAATTCATCACCATCAAACGAAGGTAATGCAATTCTTTGTGCAGATTTATTCATTCTAATCATATTTCTTTCACCTCTAAAAGTTCTTACTTGACCTTTTGAATCTTTATAAGCTTTCATACCTTCAAATAACTCAAAAGCATAATGAAATACACAAGTAGCTGGATCTAATGATAAATTATGATAAGGTGAGATTTTTGGTGTACCCCAACCTGATTTAGAATCCCATTCAATTTCTAACATATGATCAGTAAAATATTTACCAAAAATTAAATCTTCTTTTGCATGTTTTGGTTTTGGGGTTTTGGTTTTTTCTATAACTAACTTATCAGCTCTTAATGGTGATGCCATGTTTGGTTGAGGTTGTTGGTTGTACTTTAGTAATGAATTTGATTTGAGAAATATTAGGACTCTTTATATTTATAAATTTTTTTTTTCAAATTGAGTCAAAAGTAAAATTCTCGGTTAATAAAGGGAAATGTGTCAGAATTTGAAATATCTACGCTTGAGCCTTAAAACCGTTATCGCATCACATTAAAGAGTGAAGAAGGTCTTGATCAGTTTATGTATTAACATATTATTCTATTTTTTGAGTCAATTTTCCATATTCATCAGGATAAAATATTAATCTTTCAACTCCATTTTTGGTTAATATAACCATTCTTATAACACCACCAGATGAACCATCCCATTTAATAGCTTCAGCTAAAGCAGTTTTTATAAAATCTATAGTTTCATCTTTTTGCATATTAGATTTATAATTTTCATTACACCAACCATAAATAAAAGTTGATCCACTACCGGCAATTGCATAATCTTGTTTATGTATTGATCCTCCAATTGGTATTGAATATACTGAACCTCCATATTTATCGTCATAACCAGCACATATAATTCCAGCAGTTAAATTATCTTTGTTATTATAACACATTTCTTGAAAAACATTTGCTGCTATATCAGTTGTTGGTTTTTGACCGTTTGGTAATTGTGATGAATAAGTTTGTAAATAATACTTTACAATGTCTGCCACTGCTTGAGTATCCGCTGCTGAACCTGAACGACAACAATATATAAAATCATGAATTTGAGTTAGTTTATCTGTTACTCTATTTGCAATATATGAACCTGTTGTTGTACGAGAATCTGCTCCTAATATTACACCATCTTGAAATTTGACAGCCATAATTGATGTACCTAAATTGACTTCACCTTTTTTCAAGTGATTGATGTCTACTGATACCCCATTCATTCTTGATTTGCTGCTTTTTGATTGATGATCGAATCTTTTGGTTATTGCCACTATAATAAAATTTCAATGTGTTTTGAAAGTTCTCTGAGAAAAAGAAAACCGGTTGTGCTCATGTGACTTATTTAATACATTGAAAGTCTTACCACGTGATACAAAAATTCTTTAAACCGGAATTCAACATTATCGTAAATTTATTTAAATTTTCCAAATATAATAATTCATTATCAAACACAATATTAGATAATTATTATATTTTCAACAATCACTGACCAAAAAGTTGGAGTTTTACTCATCAATAACTATACATAACAATATAATGATAATTTCAGTAATACTATTATTTTTTGGGTTAGTTATCTCCCTGACCATACCAGAAACTTCATTTACACTTTCAAAACAAGAACAAAAATATGTAGAAGGTGATCCCAAAATAACTCATAAAATAATTTTTTCAATATCACAAGGAAATGATCAATCAACAACCAAATATTTGGGTAAATTAACTTTGGGATTATTTGGAGAAACTGTTCCTTCAACAGTTGAAAATTTTTATCAATTATCTGCTATGACTCAAGGTTATGGTTATAAAGATTGTAAATTTCATAGAATAATTAATAATTTTATGATACAGGGTGGTGATTATGCTGAAGGTCCAAGTAAACTGATATATGGTGATAACTTCAATGATGAAAATTTTATATTAAAACATGATAAAATAGGTAGATTATCAATGGCTAACGCTGGTCCAAACACAAACGGAGCTCAATTCTTTATAACAAATGTAGAATCATTACCACATTTAGATGGTAAACATGTTGTATTTGGACAATTGATAGATGGATTTGATACATTAATTAAAATTAGTACAGTTGAAGTAGAATCATCAAATGCTAAACCATTGGAAGCAGTATTTATAAGTGATATACAAACATCAGTTTTTGATAAAGATTTACAAGAAGCTGAAGAAAAAGCAGATAAATTAAAACCTGAACAAAAACTATCAGTAGTTGATGAAGAAATTAAACAATCAAGTTCAATTTATCCTTTATTTTTTATTATTTTGTTGGTGGGTGCTTTTGTTGGGATTTATTTTAAAAAATTTCATAGAAGAGAAACAATAACTGATATTAGAAGTAATAGGAAGTTTTAAGGTTTTTAAACATGATAAGAAGTAATTAATAAGTTTTATGTAGATAGTGAGTAGATATTGACAATTGAACTATTTTCTGTATGTGCTTTTGTTAGCTCTTTGAGGTTTCATTGTTTACAAGAAATCTGAAAGAATCAATAACTACTTAGTCTTTTTGCGCACAAACAAGATTGACTTCCTCTAACATTTCACATGTTATTAGTACTATAAAATTTTCCGCTTATTGTATTCCTCATAGAGGCAATGTTTCAAATTGATCATAATCTATAATTTATTGAATTCTATTCATCTATAAAAATTCACTCACTTCTAAATTTCCCAATAACCAGGGAATAAATAATGCATCTTTTCTAACAATTCCTTTTTAACACCATTTGGACTAGTACTAACAGCAAATTTCATTGACCCTTTCAAATCATCACCAATATCTTTACCATTTTCAGCAAATTCATCAATTAAATGAGCAGCTAATTTACAAGCATTTGAAGAATTTGCTTTTAAATTACCAACAACAGTTTCAACAGTAACTGGATCTTCACTTTCATTCCAAGAATCATAATCTGTTGACATACAAATCATTTGATAAGATATTTCAGCTTCTCTTGCTAATTTTGCTTCTGGTAATACTGACATATTAATAACTGATCCACCCCATGATCTATACATTTTGGATTCTGCACGAGTTGAAAATTGTGGACCTTCCATACATATAACTGTTAAATCTTCTCCATTATTTGTATGTTCTTTTGTATGTAATTTTGGTTCAATTTCTTGTTTATCAAAACCTTCTAAAAATCCTGAACTTGGAACTGAATTAGCAATTAATTTATTTAATTTTAAATCAAATGGTTCTCCAAACATTGCATGTGCAACAAATCCCTTTTCAAAAAAAGTTGAAGGTCTTATACCCTTTGTTCTATCAATAATTTGTGTAGGTAATACAAAATCTCTTGGTTTAATTTCTTGTTGTAATGATCCAACTGCAGAAAATGCAATTATAGCTTTAACTCCTAATTTCTTTAATGCTGCAATATTAGCTCTTGATGGTACATCACTAGGTAATAAATCATGATGTTGACCATGTCTTGCTAAAAATGCAACTGGAAAACCCAGATCAGTTTTTGAAATTGTAATTGGACCTGAAGGAAAACCCCATGGAGTTGAAATTGTTAATCTTGCAACTGGATGTAAATTTGGTAAATCATATAATCCTGTACCTCCAATAACTGCTAATGTAACTTCACCATCATAAGTATGCGGTAATTTTGAAACATCTATTTTATCTCTATGAACTGACATTTTAAATAAAGGTTTAGGAAATTTTTTTACCATAAACTAAAATATAAAAGGAATGTCAATTGACTTTATAAAGTGAATTTTATTTGATTTAAAAAAATCGTTAGACCACGAGTTCCTGAAATTTAAACGGACTAAGTAAGTACCTTTAAACGGAAATAACTTAATTTTCATCAGATTTTTCTTCGGTGTGGCATTATTGTTCGTAGTTGTCTCAAGATAAAAAGATAAGACATTGTCTTGAGACTTACAAAAAGTAGTGTAAATTACAACAACAAAATTTCTTCGTATCACACTTTAAAATACTAATAATATTAATCTCGCCATTCAATGTATATAAGTCATACAATACTAATACTATAGCATAATGTTAATTATACCGACAACTAAAGAAATACTACCTTCATATTTAGTAAAAACTGTTACAATAAGATGTTTATCGCATTCAACAAAAACAATAGTAAATAAAAAATTATTTGATAATTCAAAACTAAAAGCTAAAGATGATCGTAAAATCTTTGGTAGAAAGAAGTCAAATGAAGTGGCTTCAACAGCACCAACTACAAAACCATTAAATACAATCACCAATTTTAATACTATTCCATATATTACAGAATTACCGAAAATACCACTGCATCAACAAACAAAATCATTTGAAGAAATATTCAAAGAATTAGGTCAATCTAATATATTTCAAGAACAAATAAAACCAGCTACAAAAGGTATAAATCTAATAATCCCTAAAGAATTTATAAAACCAGAAATACAAACACCTCCACGTCATAAATTAGAAAAATCAAAAGATTTAGATAAGAAAATAAAAAATTTTATAATATCAAATCAAACCACTACAGAACAAAAAGAAAAAGATAAAAATTTAATAATGTTAGGTAAAGAAATAAGTTCACAAATGGAACCAGATCAAAATGAAATATATAGTTATTTACAACATCCAATAAAAAAATCATTATCAGGTTTAAAAATTTTAAATCCAGGTTTACAAAATATAAATGATAATTACCTTTGGGATATTATACCAGAAGATAAATTAGTTTGTACACCTCCATATCAAACTGATGATCCATTAGGTTTCAAAAAATTTAATGAGAATTTTATTCAAAATCAAACTAAAGAAGCAAGTGAAAAAGATTCAATATTAAAAGAAGTTCAAGAATTTGAAAAATTAATGGGAAATTCAACTACTTTTATACAAAATAATGGGTCAAGAAGAAAATTAAATAGAAAATTGTTAAAGAATTTCAAAAAATTAAAGGATTAAATAGATAAATAAATATGATATATCAAGATTATTGTGATGTTTTTCAAAGGATTTTGAACTCTTTTTTGTAGCATTTATCAGAGACTTCTATGATGGGTGTTGAAAATAAAATGAGATGTAATGTCTTCAACAATTTTTGACAATACATACCTTTTTAGGGCATGTCCAAGTGGAGAGTGTTGCAAATCACTCTTATACGAAAATCTAAAAATAAAATAATAATAATCAAGCTATGTTTAGAAATGTATGATGTAAATCAATATGCAGTCCTAATAAGTTCAATATTTGATCCATTTACGAGATTTCAATACGAAATTATATCCATTTGAAAATATGATGATTATTATATATTTTTAGACAGAGAGTAATAAAACAGATCAAAAAGACAAAAATCAATAACATTCAAAATTCTAAATCATTCGATAAAAAATCCACTCAAGAGTTCAACGGATACTCAATTGATGAACAATTCAAATTAATGAAAACCATATCCTCAAAATAGTGGAAAAAAAATAACATCAAATTAAACAAACAACTAATTTAACCTAAAAACTACAGATCATTCTATTAAAATTCAATCGCAGAAATGCTAACAATATCAAAACTTAATCATTTGTTAACTATAAATAATTTTACAATGGGTAGATTTATAGCAAGGATTATATTATATAAATGTATATTCACAACAGTAGTAACTTTAAGTCATAAATATAAAAAAATGAATCCAGAAGAAGAGAAAAATAGAGATAGTTCAAAACAAACTTTTGATTGTATAAAATGGATATTAATCACTAGCATAGCTATTTATTTGAAATTTTTTAATTTCGCTTTTATCAAGTTAGTTAATGATTTGACCAAGCTTTTGTTACATTATTTAGATGAGCTGAATAGAGTATAGACAATTTTGCGGTTTTTAGTTGGAGGTACAAGTAATTACATATACAATTAGTTATTTGAAATTTAAAGAGTTCTGAGTGCAAAATAAATAAAGCGTTTTTAAAATAATACAGATCAAGAAGTTAACAAAATAAAATAAATTATTCCCTTACTGAATCGTACTTCCTTTATTCACATGAAATGAATTATTTGATTGACCGTTGATTAAAAAAAATAAGGAAAAAAGTATGTAAATTTAAGTAAGGGGTAAAAAGAATAAATTTGAAAATCTCGATCTAAAATTTAATTTTGTGCTTTTATTAGCAATAGTTGAGTACTTTTTAAATTAGATAGAGATCTCAATTTTTTGAGTGTAATTAAAGAAAACCTCATACTTTGTATTTAGACTTGAGAACAAGGGGTCTGAGTGCATAGATTTCATTAAGTTTGAAAGTTATTTTGAAAATTAATTTATAATTAGAATTGAAAAAATAAATTATTATAATTTGGAATTTTTCAGGGACTTTAAATTTTAATTTTAATTTTAATCTTCTTAAACTTGTACATTTTTAAAAGCTTTTTTAAATCTCTAGATCTTCAAAAGCATAAAAGATTTTTTAAACCTAATTCTAGTAGCTAGTTTAATTATTATATAAATTGATATAATATACAAATAGAATTCATTTAGTTTATGATTAAATTATTCAAAATATGTAAATTAAATTTTTTTTTTTCAACAATTAAATGTAAATCTAAAAATTTTTAAATTATTTAATGATTAAAGCCTTTAGTTAGTTAATTAATTAATTAATTAATTGTATAAATTTTTAGTTTATTTCAATTTTCAGAAATTTATTTGAATTCATCAATTCAAATATATTCATTCAAAATTCCTGTTGAATTTGAAATTATACAACAGATACTCAATTAAAATTATTGAAGTAGTATTTTTCTAATTGAATAAGATTTTCAATAATTAAAATTTAACTTTACTTGCATCATTATAATAAAAAACGATCCTGTCAAAATTTCATTTTAGTTTTAAAGCTTAATAGAATTATTAAATATTCTAATACAAAAAATTCATAGTTGTAAAACATTTTTAATACCAACTTTAATAGCATCATCGACTAGAGTATAATGAAGGCATTATCACTATTTAGTTCAAGGCATTCATATTTAAAATATATTGCATTAATATTGACATTATTAGTAATTTATACATTAACTCATGGTAGTCAATTAAATTTACAAAATGAACAAATTCAACAACAACAACAGCAACAACAACAGCAACAACCAAAAGATATAAATAAAGAGATACCACCACCTCCCCAACAACAACTAAATGATCAACATATTCAAACACCAGAAAAAATTGAAACACCACCAAATGTACAAGAAATTATAAATAAAGAAGAAATTAAAGATTATATTAAACAATCTGAAAATTTACCAAATCCAATAAAAGATACTCATCAATCATCATCATCAGAAATAACTGATATAACAAACAAAATTAACATCAACAACAATAATCAAATATTTGAACAATCTTCACCACAAAAATCAGAAAAAGTTAAAGCAACATTTGTAACATTAGCTCGTAATTCAGAATTATATGACTTAATTAAATCAATAAGAACAGTAGAAGATAGATTTAATAGAAATTATAATTATGATTGGGTTTTTTTAAATGATGAAGAATTTACTCAAGAATTTAAAGATTTAACAAGTTCAATAGTTAGTGGTAAAACAAAATATGGTAAAATACCACAAGAACATTGGTCATATCCTGATTTTATAGATTTAAAAAAAGCAGAAGATTCAAGAAAAAATATGAAACAACAAGGTATAATTTATGGAGATTCTGAAAGTTATAGACATATGTGTAGATATGAATCTGGATTTTTTTGGAGATCTGAATTATTAAAAGATTATGAATACTATTGGAGAGTTGAACCTGGTATTGATATAATGTGTGATTTAAATTATGATTTATTTAAATTTATGAAAGATAATAATAAATTATATGGTTTTACTATATCTATTCATGAATTTGAAAAAACTATACCAAGTTTATGGGAACATACTAAAAAATTTATAAATGATAATCCTCAATATTTAGCTCAGGATAATTTTATGGATTTTATATCTGATGATAAAGGTAAAACTTATAATTTATGTCATTTTTGGACAAATTTTGAAATTGCTTCATTAAATTTTTGGAAATCAGAAGCTTATACAAAATATTTTGATTATTTAGATTCAACTGGAGGATTTTTTTATGAAAGATGGGGTGATGCACCAATTCATTCTATTGCAATAAGTTTATTTACTTCTAAACAATCCATACATTATTTTGATGATGTTGGTTATAGACATGGAGTATATGGACAATGTCCTTTAAATGCTCAATTTAGATATGATAAAAAATGTCATTGTAAAGCTGATGATGATTTTACTTTTAGAGGTTATTCTTGTGGTAAAAAATATTTTGATAAAATGGGATTAAAAAAACCAGATGAATGGGAATCTTATCAATAAATTTTATTCTAGAATATAGATGATAGATAATAGAAACAATTTAAGACATTTATTTAATAAAAAACAATTATACATTTATTTAACAAATATAGAACTCTCTTTGAAATATATCTGATTAAACAAAATGATGAATAATTTTCGTGAAAGCATTTGCAACATTGTATACTCGTAAAGTTAATTGTAATAATAATATGAGAATAAATGCCTAATACATTTTCGTGTGTCTCACTTTCAAAAATCAAGACACGACAATTTTTTGATTCAGAATTATCCTTCTATACTTTAAAAATTTCGCTTATAGTTAAAATCTAAATTAATTCTATTAACACAAAGCTAATAAAATATAATATGTTAAAACCTACAAATAATAATAATAACTGCCTACTGCCTTTGACTCTTTTATATTTTATTCTATTATAAGATGTTGAAATATTAATATTATGGTTGAATATATTAATTACAAAAATAATTATTATAATATCATTATTTCAAGTAAGAGCTGGATATAATTATAGAATATTTTCTTGAAGTTAAATCTTAAAAAAGATTGTAACATTTATTTAAATTAACCAAATTACACTACTACTTCCTAACATCAATAATTAAATAAAATTTCCAATAATTAAGAAAGAAGAGAAAAACACGTAGTATTTTAAAATATTATACGTGTTGTGTTAGTGGAATAAATAATAAATATTATTAGATGAATTAAATATACAAGAATAATTTTGATTCATCAAGAGATATATATATTATATAATAATATACTAGCAAAGTCAATAATTTCAATAAAGTCAATATTTTAACCCGATTTTTACTGGGTGGAATAGAGATTTCGAAATTAAAATTTCAAGATCCTTCTAAATTTAAAAATTCTTTTCTTTCTCTTAGATTATTATTTGTATTATTATTATTGTGTTTTAAATTTTTTAACTAAGAAAAACCCTTTTAAAAAATTACTGAGTATTTTAAAATTATCTAACAACAATTTTTTGAAAATATAAGTTTTCTCGATTCTACATACTTTTTCTATTTTTATAATCATTTCTTTCAATCAATCCCAAAATAGAGAAAAATAAGTTCAATTGAGCATCATCTTTTACCTAATTTATTATTATTATTAATTTATTTGTATCATAGGTACACACATTAATAATAATTTAATATATTGGATAATTTTTTTTTTTTTTTTATTTTTTTCTTAGACTAAATTTAAAAATAAATTTATGATTTTTTTTTTTTTATTTTTTCTAATTTCAACAACTTTTAGAATTAAGTTTTACTTTTTTATTCAATTCAATTCAATTTCATAATTTATTGAGATATATATATATATATATCTATATATATTAATAATATCTAATTGGAATTATGGCTTCGACGAGATCAAATGCTCGATTGATTAGATTTGGGATTTTTGCATTAGTATTAATTGGTTGTGGTTATATTTTGACAAGAGGTTCTTCATTTCAACCACCAAATTATTCTCAAACTCAATCATCTACTCAACAACAACAGCAGAAACAACAGCAAGTACCACAACAACAACAACAACAACAAAAACCAGTTAATAATGTAGGATCAAATTCAGGTACTACTCCAATTTCAGCTGGGAAATATTTATCAAAAGATATGGGACCATTACCAAAAGCATTTATGGTTGAAAATTCAGAACCAAAAGTTATACCACAAAAAAATATTGATCCAACAACTTATAATCCTGAAACAGATAAAATTAAAGCTACTTTTATATCATTAGCTCGTAATTCAGATTTATGGTCATTAGCTGAATCTATAAGACAAGTTGAAGATAGATTTAATAAAAAATTCCATTATGATTGGGTATTTTTAAATGAAGAAGAATTTAATGATGAATTTAAAGAAACTGTTACAAGTATGGTTAGTGGTAAAGCAAAATTTGGTTTAATTCCAAAAGAACATTGGTCATATCCAGCATGGATTGATCAAGAAAAAGCAGCATTAGTTAGAGAAGATATGACACAAAGAAAGATTATTTATGGACATTCAGAAAGTTATAGACATATGTGTAGATTTGAATCTGGATTTTTTTGGAGACAAGAAATTTTAAAAGATTATGAATATTATTGGAGAGTTGAACCTGATATTAAAATTTTTTGTGATATTGATTATGATGTATTTAAATGGATGAAAGATAATGGTAAAGAATATAGTTTTACTATTTCATTACCTGAATATAAAGAAACTATTCCTACTTTATGGGATACAACAAAAGAATTTATTGATAAAAATCCTCAATATTTAGCAGAAAATAATTTATTAGATTGGTTAAGTGATGATAAAGGAAAAACTTATAATGGCTGTCATTTTTGGTCAAATTTTGAAATTGCTTCATTAAATTTTTGGAGATCAGATGCTTATAGATCATATTTTGAACATTTAGATAAAGCTGGTGGATTTTTTTATGAAAGATGGGGTGATGCACCAGTTCATTCAATTGGTGCTGCATTATTTTTACCAAGAGAAAAAATTCATTTTTTTGAAGATGTTGGATATTTTCATGTTCCTTTTAATAATTGTCCTGTTGATAAAGAAATAAGAAAAGAAAGAAATTGTAATTGTGATCCAAATAAAGATTTTAGTTGGAGAGGTTATTCTTGTACTACTAAATATTATACTGTTAATAATTTTAAAAGACCAAAAGGTTGGGAAAAATATACTGCTTAGATAATTTAGTAAATTTAGGGGTATTTTGGATTATAAAGCTTTTCAATTATATAGTTTTTTAAATTTATTTAAAGTATTTGATATTTAGTTAATTTAATATTTGAACATTTTTGAATTTGAAAATTTAATTCCTTGACGTTTTAATCGAGCTTTGAATAATTCTATAACAGCTAGCGAGTCACTAAATGAAACTTTCGAGACTGATAAAATAATCTACGATCGATCACTAAATTAACAAAATGCCAATAAAAGCTAGAGAATTCAATAGCACAAAATGGAATTAAAACAATTGGTGTTTACGCACTTGTTTCAGAATTGAAAAATTAAATCTTAATTAATAATTATTTAATGTTGCCTATGAGGTACTTATTTTCAAAAGTTATTACCTCCATGAAAACGAAAGCTGTCAAAAATTTATGAATTTAGTTAAAAGCAGTTCACGAGGATAACTTTCTTATATTTTTTTTCGTTGTATCAATTAGATTGGTTGTGAAAATTTGCTTGTAGGAAAATGATTTTATCATTAAATTAGATTTAATCGCGTTTTTAGTTCTTCACAATTAAATCTAAGCCTCACTTGAATTGAAATAGAACTAAAGAAAGCAGTAAAACCTACATAGAACTGAAATACACATGAGTACAGGTTATTTAAATAGCAGTTCTAAATATTACAAAAATTCTCTTCACTAGCCATCTTTATCACCACCACCATTATCATCATCATTATTATTACTAGAACAAAAACCAATGTTTGTAGTTGGATCAAATTGACGTACCAAAATACAAATTAAAAATCTGGAATATTTAATTAAACCTTCTAAATTACCAGTAAATACTAAAATCAAAAAAATAGTAGTTAATAATATAATTAAAAGCCCTACAGCAAAAATAAAATAAGGACTTTGATAATATCTTCTAATAAAACTAATAATCCAACGTTCAAATAATTCTAAAATAAATTTATTTAAAATAGGACCTAAATTTTGTGTTGGTTGTTGTTGTTGTGATTCTGAACCAGGATTAGTATAACTTGATCTTGGTAAACCTTCGATTTCTTCTTCTTGTTGAGGTTGTTGATTTGAATCTGAACCATAATTCCAACACGGTAAACATCTTCGAGTATTTATAGCTTCAATTATGGAATCTTGTGATCTTATAGGTTGTATAATTGTTGATTGATCTATTGATTGTAATGATGTTGATTGAATTGTACCTGATGATTCTGTAATTGGTTGGATTTGATCATTTTCATTGGTACTTGAATTTATTTTAGCACTATTCTCATCATCTACGTCTATCAATCTACCTTGTGAGCTTGTTTCAGGTAAACAATCCGTTTCTGACATCTTTTTGGTTGTTATTAAATTTTGGTTGTAAAAAAAAATTGCTGCAAAAAATAAATAAAGAAAAAAATAATATCTTACAAAATGTTTGGCAACCAAAATCAATACTGCAAATTTTTTTTAAATGTGAATAATTTTCTGAACTAAACATAATGCTTCATCATTAGAGACTGATTCCTCATAAGATATTACATCTTTACAAGTGCAAAACTACTTTTCAATTTCATGTATTTTCCATTTCGATAGTTCTATTATTTTCCTAAACTGATTTCAATAAGTACTGTTTGCACAATTGATGATTCTTATTCGTTATTCATAATTGACTAGAAAAGCATGTTTGTTTTCATAAAAAAAGACGTGATTATAGACATACAAATATACTTCAATTTATTAGTAATAAAATATTTTTGAGCATTTTCCAATCGTGTATTTTTGTCATAGAAAATAATCGATATGGTGGTTCATAAAGCCAATGAAATATTATAGGTTCAAACTATATTTTTACGAGAGCTATGCTTATGTTATTTAGCTGAATTTATTTAAAGAATAATCACGATACTAAAAACTTCTCCCTAACGTACCTATAAAATTATTTCATAAATGTGTAAATTTGTAAATCTATTTTTTGTACTTAAGTGAGACAAACTTTCTATCCACAAAATTATAATAATAGAATTATTTTTTTTTTTTTTTCCTTTCTATTTTCTAATTTACTCTCTTTAATAAATTAAATATTTACAACAATATTCAACTATCAATTTTAACTTGATTGATTAAGTTATATATTCAACCATTCAGAGCTAAACTAACATAATTTAAGTAATACTTTTATCACCAGATTCAATTTTCTGATTAATACATCACTAATATAAATAGATAATACTAAACCCACTACATCCGAACTTAAAAATGAGAGCAAATTCAACTCAAATTTCAAATAGAATATTTAAATCTCAAAGATTTGTAATTTTAATAATAATAAGTTGTTTTACAATATTATTAATAATAACAGGTATATCAGGTCATCATCAAAAAATTGTTGATTCAGTATCAAATTATACAACAAAAGCAAGTCAACATTTACAACAATATTATGATACTAATAATAAAATATCAACTGATGATATTCAAATGGAAAAAGCTGCTGAAGAACAAGAAGAAGAAGATAGATTAAAAGAAGTAGAAGAAGCTAAAATTCAAAAGGGAAAGGGGAAATTAAATGAAATTGATCCAAAAATTAAATTAAAAGAAGCTAGTTAAACATTATTAGTGAATTATATAATTATTTGATTGTATTTATTTTTTTTAAACACCTTTCCAAATAGCTTTTTCTAAATGTTCATTAACTCTTTTAAATTGTACAATACCTAAATGCATTAATTCATAACAATTTTCAATAAACCAAGAATAATTTATTTTTGACCATTCTTCTTCACTTTTGATGGTGGTAGGTTTATTTAATTGTGATGCAAAAGCTTGATAAAAATCATTTAAATTAATTGATGCTGGTGCTTCTTTATATAATTTAAATAATAAACAAAGTAATGGAGTTTTAATATTTGATGTTATTGAATCAGTATTTGGTAATGTAGTTTTATTAATTAATGGATTATTTAAATAAATTTCAAAATTATCTAAACTTTGTTCAATTGTTTGACGTAAATTTGGTCTTAATAAATTTAAAGCTAAATTATTATAATTTTCTTGTAAAAGATATTTATTTTTAATTATACCACCATTCATTGAAAAAATTTCATTAAAAATCATATAATTTAATGGTGTTATTAATATGGGATTTTTGAAATATTCTTCTATACATGTATTTAATACAGTTTTATCTATTGTAGTGGTGGTGGTGATTGTTAATTTATTTATTTCATTTTTTAATTCAATTAAATATTTATCTTTTATATCACCAATTTTTTCAGTTGTATTTGTAAAAATCTCATTGACTAATTTTATTAATTGAGTTGGTGAATAATTTGAAATATTAATAACTTCATGAAAATATTTGGAGTTTAATAATTTATTATTTATTAATAATTGATATAATTGGAATTTTTCTTTTGATTTAAAAGGATCAATATTGTATACAATATTTATAGAATTCATAATTGATAATTTATGTTTTTGATATTGATTTTTAGATTGATTAAATAAATGAATTAATTTTGTATCTGAAGTAATTAAATCTTTCACAATGGGATCTTTTTGTTTTGCTTTTAATTCAATATGATTTTTAAAACTTGGTAATTTTCTTAATCCATCTAAATAAATTGGTGACTTATCAAATTTTGAAATTAATATACTTAAAGGAGAACTATAAAAATAAATCATATAACATAATTTTATAATGGAAATCAATGAATCGATAGAATTATTACTATTTTCATAACGATTTAGTAAAATGATTGATAATTTTTTTTCAATTAATAATGGATTTGAATTATCCAATTCTGGTGTTAAAAATAAATTATTTAATATAATATATCCTAAACTTTTATTGTTGTTACTTTTGAATTTATACCCATTTAAATTTAATCTTATTTCATTTCTCAAATTATTATTGATCCAACTACTTACAGTTTCACAATTTAATGCTAATAATAATTTTATAGAAATTTCATCAATTGAAGATTGTAATATTTTGATTAGTTGATTTAATACTTGATGATTAAATAAATTAGTATCTTCAACTACTATGACTAATTTACAATCTTTATTTGATTTTTTATTAAACCAATTTTTTAAAATTTCAATATCATAATTTAAATAATTATCAGAATTACAATCAGAAACTTGATCAATAAATTGTTTAATTATTTCTTTTATTAAATTTCTAATATTTGAACCATTTTTTGAATTTATTGAAATTATTTTATATTCTTTGGATTTTTGGAAATTCATAAATGTTAAAAATTCATTTAAAATTCTAAAATTATTAGCATTATTTGAAGTTAATTGTATATATCCAATATCTAATTTTTCATCATTAACTTCTTGTTCAATAAATTTTAATAATTGATTAAATAATTCATTATTTGCATTATCTAAAATTTGTTGAATTTTATCTTGTTGATTTTGCCAAATTGTAGTATATAATTCATATCTATATTTTACATTTTCTTGTGATTCTAATCCGTTGAAAAGTGGTAAAAAAGGTGTTTTTAATTTGGAAAAATCTGTAGTTTGGTTTGTTATTTTTTTAAAAATGGAATTGAATGTTGATTGATTTGTTGTAGTGGGTGGTTTTGGATCTATTATATAAAATGGTTTCAAATTCGTATTTACTGAAAATATCTCTTGTTCCAATTGTGGTTGTTCTTCCTCTTGATCTAAGTCTGGAGATATTGATTCCTCTATATCGACACTTGCATCTGATAGTTTACGTTTCTTTAGTGGTGGCATAAATTTTTGGTTGTTATTTTTGGTTGTAAAAAATATATAAGTAAAACATTTTTTATATACTGTTTTGGATTTTTCAATATTTAAAACAGCTACCAAATTTATAGTACGAATTTCACATACATTAAATATAATTTTAGATTAATTAATATCTTGATGATAAAAACTATTCATATCAATAGGGAAATACTTTATGGTGAAATAAATAAATATATAAATAGAGGAGAACAAAACCTTGTAATCAAATTATTTTTATTTTTAAGACTATACAAAACCTAAAATTTTTATCTTCTTATACGTAATCCAGACGCAGGTACACCAATAGAAGTAATATCAGTAATATTACAAATTGAGCCTTTAAATTCAGGTTTATATTTAGCACCAACTAAAGCTTCTTCAACAAATGAATCACCTTTATATATAGGAGTAAAAGATCCACAACAAATTTGAAATTCTGCATATGGATCAAAATCAATTGAAATTGAATCTGATGCTATAGAATCTGATTTTTGTTTTAATTTAGAAGCTTGTTCTGCTCTTGGTCCCAGTGATGATATTTTTAAAAATTCTTCTGCAAAATATGATGAACTTGCAAAATTTTTATTTTTAAATGATTGTGTCATTGCTACATTTAATGCATTTAATTTGTGGGATGGTTGTAAATTACATCTTGTGAAATATGAAGCTAATTCCAAATTTCTTTTAATATCTGTTGGTGGTAATGATCTTCTTTTTAATTCTATTGATAATCCCAAGATATATTCACCACATAACGAAAGAATTTCATGACATTTTGTTTCTTGTTCTTCTGTTTCTACATTTAATATAGTTATTGTATAAATCACTTGTTTAAAAGTTTTGATAGCATCTTCTAAATTATTAGCTTTAAATTTTTTAAATGCAATTTGTAATTGATCTTCTAATGTATCAAATCCAGGAATTAAAGGTAAAAACAGTTTGGAATCTTCTTCTTCAGGGTCATCTCTTATAAAAGTTTTAAATGATGGTAAATCATAAACTCCTGGGAAATATAATTTTGATGATCCATAAACTTGTAAAAATCTTTTTCTTAAAGGTTCAAAATTATTTATTCCCAATTGTTTTTGTAATAATTGAGCTGCTTGTTCAAATGATCCTGATGCAACATATGTAGCTGGAGTTTTAGCATTACGTAACCAATCACCAATTTCTCCATCATTTGTAACAACATTAGAAACATCCACGGATTCTTCTCCATTAATTGGTGATATTATATCATGATCATCTATATCTAAATCTTCATCATCCCATGCACCACCATCTTCATCAATTTCTTGTTCTTCATCATCAAAATCCAAAGTTGTATTTGTAGCATCGGTTTTTGTTGTAGTATTAGTAGATTCATCTTCAATTGATAAATTTTCAACTTTTCCAGTTAATAAAGCATTTTCAAAATATGATAATGAACTCTCTTTTAATGGCCAATTACTTAATGGTTCATTAATTGGTTTTGGTAATGGGGTGGTTTCACCTAATTCTGGTAATTCAACATCTTTTTCTGTGATACCAGCTTCTTCCAAAATTTTTGAAGCAAATTCATCCAAACCATTTGTTTTAGCTAATGTATAAGCTAATGGTAACATTCCATTTGCGATAAATACTTGACATCTTTTTTCAACATCATTATTATATAAAGTATTTTGAACTAATGCAGATAAATCATTTCTATGTTCAGCTATAGTTGACATTTTTTTCAATCTTTCTTGATCTCCTTTATACAAATATAAAAATGATAATTTTTCAAAATAATGTAATTGTTGATAAACAAATTCAACTATATCTATATTGCCTTGTAAAAGAGCTTCTTCACCTAATTTTTCCCAAATTTTATTATCATTTAATATTTTAGCTTGTTCTAAAGCAACTTGTAAATTACTACATTCTAAAGCTAATTCAAATCTTGTTTCTGGATCTTGTACAAAATGTAATGCAACTTCAGGAAATCCCTTTTTCTGTAAATATCCAATAATATTTTGTCCAACTAATGTTGAATTTTTAATAATTCTTAAAACTTCTCCAAAATTTTTATTAACTAATGCTCTTTTAAATCTATATTCTGTTGGATCAATTTTTAATACATCAACTTGTCCTGATCTATTTAAACAATAAATGATATTACCACTTACTTTTGTGATATATACTGTATTTTCTAAAGTTTTTATAATACCATTATCACCATTTAATAAAGTATATTTTATGTGATTCAAAGTTGAATATAATAAAACACCAGAATCATCCCAACTTGCACTTTTGATTCTAATAGTTTCATGCATTGAAGTAATTAATTCCAAATCTTTATTGGCTATAGTTATAGTATGTTTTGATAATAATGCTAAATATTGACCATCTTGTGACCAACTTACATATTTAACATTGTTGACATTAATTTCAGCCAATTCTTTTCTTTGTAATACATCATAATTTATAACTGAATGAGCTTTCACCAATAAAACACGTCCTGGACCACCATATAATACATCAATAATTGAAGAATCTAATTGTATGGTTTTAGTAATATTATTACTTAAATCTTTAACATGTAAAGTTTTTGAAGATTTTATAAAAGTAACAAATCTATTACGGGAAATAAAAGTTGCAAAATTACCTTCACCTTGTCTTATATCAGTTGGTTCAATTGCACCAGTAGCATGTTTTGGTAATGTAATTAAAGCATAATTTGAATTATCACCTTCTCCATGTACAACCAAAATAGAATTATCACTTTGATTATAACTTAAAGTTCTCATAAATGACCAAGTTTTACCAATTTTTTTTAAACTTAACATAGGTAATGAACTTTCTTGTTTTGTAAAATCAAATGATTGAACTTGTTTTTCTGAATTTATATAAAATAATTTATTTTGAAAAATAGAATGTGCAGGTCTTTCTCTTTCTAATTTAAAAACCATTACTCCTGAATCATGACATGCAGCAAATAAATTAATAGTTGGATGACTTGCAATTAACCAAAATCTATCATGTTCTCTTCTAAATTGTTTTATTGGAACTCTTTTATTTAAATCCCATACTCTTATTGTTTTATCATCTGATACTGATAAAATCATATCTTGATGTGGATGGAATATGGCACTTAATACATTACCAGTATGACCTCTACAAGTATCAACTTCCCAAGCTTTTGTATCACTCATTCTCCATAATTTAACTAATCTATCATCACCAGCAGATACAATTAATGGTAAAGTTGGATGAAAACTAGCATAATTAACACCTTTATCATGACCTTCTAAAACATATTTAACAATAGCATTTACATTACCAAAAATATCTTGTTGAGGTAATTGTTGTCTTTGAATTTGATCTTCAAATGATCTTATTGATGAAGTAGGAGCTGAATGTTTTTTTCTTAAACCTGAAATATCCCAAACTCTAACAGTTTGATCTAAACTTGCACTAACAATTAAATCTTCAGTTGGATGAAATTGTGCACTCATAACATAATGATTATGACCAGTTAAACAAGCAATTTCTTGTCTATTTTGCCAATTCCATATTCTAATAGTTTGATCGTCTGAACAACTTAAAATCCATGGTAAATCATGATGAAAACTAACTCCTCTAACATAATCTAAATGACCATTTAATGTAAATATACATTTTCTTGTATTTAATGACCAAACTTTTATAGTATAATCATCACCACCAGAAACAAATAATGGTTGAGTAGGATGAAAATTGACACATCTAACTGGTCCAACATGATCTTCAAATCTATCAATTAATGTTCCCATTCTATAATCCCATAATTGAATAGTTGATGAATGTAATGATACTAAACACCAAGGTCTTTTGGGATGAAATGCAACCCCTTTAGCCCTTGATGACTTGGACTCAAACTTGGTTAACATCTTCATGGTTAAGATGAATTGTCAATTGTTTTTGGTTGTTGTTGTTGTTGTTGTTATTAGTTTATTTTTTCAAAAGGTGGTTGTAAATTGAAAAATTGTTTTTGTTGATTTGTTCAAAAAAATTAAAATTAAAATCGTAGTACAAAATTTAAATAAGAGAAAAAAAATTAATTATGAGGACACGCTTTTTTTATTTAACTATTATTGAAGACATGTAACTTTTATCAATGAAGTGATGTATTAACTTAATTACTTTTGTCATATATTAAAATGAAGCTAAGAATATAAAAGAAATTGTCTAAAATAAATATGATACCAATCCTAAAAACATTGCAACTAATACACTTCCACTATTAGAAATTATCTCATTTGATCCGCCAACACTTGATGAACCAGTTGGATTAGAAAATTGTACAAATCCTCCTATACCAGCAGTTGATTGATATCCATTGTTATTATTATTGTTTGTATTTTGTTGAGCAGCAGTAACTTGATTTGCTTGTGCAGTATTTTGAGCAACTGCTTGAGCTGTTGCTTTTTCTTGAGTTGTATGAACTGATGTAAAAGTACTTGAACCACTTGTATGTATAACTGTTGTTGTTACATTTTTATTAGAATTATCATTTTCATTTTGAGGATCAAATCCAGTAGCTTTATCTGAACCTAACCAAGTTTTTTTATTTGTTAAATAAATATTTTCTTCATTACCTGCAGTTGAATCATATAAAAATGCATGATAATCATCATAATTTGTTGAATTACCATCTTTCATACTTACATTTGCAGGTAAATCACGAGTTTCAACATGAATTTCTTTAACATGAGCATAAAAATAACCATATTTTTGAATATCTTCAGCATTCCAATCAATTTCCCCACCAGCCCATTCAATAGTACCTTGACCATTTGAAGGATCACCTCCAGGCCATAAAGAAAATTGAATTCTTGAAGGAGTTTGTGGGAAATCATATCTTTTTGTTGTATCATTCCAAGTATCATTTTTATTTAAAGTTCTAACATCTACTGAATCAACTGACCAAGTAATATAATCTTCATGCCAATCCATTTCATATAAATGATAATATTCAAAAGTATTATTAACACTTGAATTTCTTGAATTACTATAATTTAACATACCTTGAGAATAATAATTTGATTGAGGATGAATTAAATCATAACCAACATATTCAAAATCAATTTCATCTTGAACATCTGAAAATAAAATAAAAGCAGAAACAACACCACCACCATGAGATGTCTTTATAGTTGCACCAACTTTACCATACCATAAATATTTTGTTGATGATACAACAGTACCAGTTGTATGATTTGGCATTTGTAATAATAAAGCATTATCATAATAATCAACCCAACCAGTATATACCCAATCAGCTTCAGAAGAATTACCTAAATATTGAGTTTGTAATTCAATAGCTTGAACATCATCTTTTGAATCAAATGTTTTTGAATAATCTGAGATTCTTGGCATGGGCATACAACTTGTTAAATTATAAGAATATCTTATATCACAACCACCTAAACAATAAGCACCAGATCCACATATACCAAATTGAGAACAACATGGAGAAGATTCAGGACATTGTTGAGTTGCATTACATGTAATTGTATCAGCTAATGTGAAACTTAGTAGTGATAAAATTATTAAATAAATTGATTTCATTTTATATATATATATGTATAATATGTGATATGATGTTATTTAATGATAAAAAGTTGTATAATATGTTATTAAATGTATGATTAAAAGTTCTTTAATATGTTTTTATTCTAATGTTTGGGATCTGATCTTGAAAGAAAAAATAAAATTGATCTGAAAGGAGTTTAATATATCTTGATTTTTGTAAACAATAGTTTAATAGTAAAGATTTGATATCTAATGATTTGTGAAGCGAAAGACTTTTTCTATTTTAAGTGAATGGAGAATTTAATTAATGTATGAGTAAGTAAAAGAAGGTTATATTTGATGATGAAGTTTTGTATTGAAATTAAAAAAAGAAGGTGAAGAAATTATTAAATCGTTAAATTTTTAAAATTTATTTCTCTCTCAAGGCTTACAAAAAAATTATTAGAAGAAGAAGAAAATAAAATAAAAGAAGAAAAGTTTCTAAATTTAACAACAATTCGATGAAACAATAATTATAATAATAATATCATATAAATATCGATTGAATAGAATCAACTTATCTTACGAGTTTTACCAAATAGTATATTATCATATTCTCTCGTAATAATGATAATAGTAAGTACATATTAGTACTTAATAAATTTACTTAAGTAATAGTATAATAATATTTGTATTTCCATTTTGGGATTAATTAACATAAAACATAGCCTATGTAACTTAATTTTAAATTTTTACGATGCTACCAAATGTAAATGAATTTTTCTTAATTAATAGAATCAAGTTATTTTGCATATGCAGTACTTTGACTGATTTGATTCTTGTTCTTTTATAACATTCATTGACTTTTATTTAACTAATTCTTTCATCTTGTTTATTTATGTTTGAGTATGTTAAGATGATTTTTAAGGATATAGCAAAAAATACATTATCAGTGATTTACAATAATTTATCAAATTTTCATGCCAATTTTATAGAATTACTACTTTTACTATGCGTTATAATATGTACCCAAATTTAATCAACTCGTGATGTAAAATTTTAGTTTATATTAATCCAAATTAATATGAAAATATATTTCGGTACTCATCTCTTAAAAATAATGTATAATAATAAGAAAGGTTAAATTTCTAAACCTAAAACTAAATGCCCTTATTTCAAAGTTTATCAATTAATTTGATTGAACATTTTGAGCAAACTTTAGTAGATAAGTACTCATGGCTTATTAATGTTGAGCTGAAATAACAAGAACAAATATTTGTAACCTACTAATTAAGTTATACTTATTTTGAATTCCTCTCCGAGGACAGGTGCATTAATTGAACCATTTATCAATATTGATACTTCTCTAGTTTTTTAACTTGCACAACACTTTTAAAAATTCGTTATTTTCACTATAGTAGTAACATCAATAAATACAGTTAAAGGGGCCATAGGTGATTTCAAATCTTTATTTAGAAGATCTATATTGATCTTTTCCCCAAAAAGATTGCCGTTTTGAGACAATCATTAATGACTCGAATTTGCTAATATAAATAATTAATTAACTCTATATAGCATCCAAATCTAATTCAGATCCATTATTTAAATCTACAATTTTTGAAATAAACTCCCATTGAATAATTCCATTAGAGTCACCAGATGATAATATAACATTATTTAAACTTTTATAAAATTCGAAACCTTGATCTAAACATTTTTCAATATTTAAATAAATCAATACATTTGCTGTTTTTCTAATACCTGATATTGATTGATATTCATCACATGTGAAATGTATATGATTTCTATTCATTTTTTTCAACCCTCCTGAACTTTTAATTAATGATATTTTTTTTTTATATGTTCCATGATATATATTTAATTTTAATAGTTCTTCTTTCGATAATTTTATTAGATTTTCGTTATTAACGACAGCTAATGAATGACCTTGATTTGCACATATCAATTGATTTCTCAAATCTATTGTAAATCTTTTTTTATCATTTTCTTCAACTATTCTGAATAAATCTTCTTTAGTAGTTTTAAAAGATTTTAATTTTTGATGATTTAATATATCTGGAATTGGTATATAACCTTGGTTGTTTATATTTAATTTCTCTTTCTCTGCTCCATGTCTTAGCAAATATGACAATGACTTTGATATAAGTACATCTCTTTTCTTAGGATCTAATGTCATTTAATTGAGTTTTGTGAGTAAAAAGATATCTGAATTATTTTTTTCACTAAAAAAAACCAAATATCAAGTATCATCAAAACTACACACCAAATCTATTCAATGTCAGCAACTACGAAACAAGCTTATAAACAAGCTTTAAAATCAATAAACACGGTATTCAAAAATGATTTCCCCATATTAAAAGCAGCAAAAACTCAAATCAAACAAGAAATTTTCAAAAATTCTAAATTAACAAATACGGAAGAAATAACAGAATCAATAAAGAAGCTAGATGAAATTTCTAATTTTTTACTAAGTAATTTAGTCCAAGGAGAACTCAAGACTAATGGGAAATACTTTTTAAATTTTCATGATAAAACTGAATTGGGAGATAATGAAAGTATTAAAACTAATCATACTTCAAAAATGGGTAGTTTAAGTGGTTCAAAAGGTACTAGTATAAGGTCATCGAAAAAATAGAAGTCAAAAAGTGATTATCATGTATATATTGTTAAATGAATGCTATTTAAGATTTAGAAATGTAACGTTTCTTTCGAATAAACTGGGATTTTTTCATCATCTATTTTATTTAATTCTGAATTTGTTAATTTTTTATGATTTAATTTAGTTTGATCAGTAATTGTTAATAATCCAGTTGATGATTTTTGTTGTGATTTTTTAGCTGTATTTCTTTTCAAATTAATTTGATCAATTAATGTTAAATTATAAGCGTTTGAATCAATGACTTTTATTTTAGAATCTAATATTTCATTTAATTTTGTGATATTAGTTTCAGTCCAATTGAATAAACCATTTATATCTATTAATATTTCTATCAATTTCCATTTATTGTAATTATTTATTGATAATATTTTGTTTACAAATTCAATTATATTTAATTTTGTGTTTTGATTTGCGATAATGGATTTGAAATTGGTTGAAATTTCAAAAGTTGAAAAATCTTCAATTAATCTAGTTATTAAATCTGATATTATATCTTTTTCTTCTGTTGGTGTGATAATTAATTGATTTATCAAATCACTTAATGGAATATTTGAACATGTGATAATAGCTTGTTTTAGTAAGGTAAAATTATTTGTGTTGTACAATAATGATAATAAATTTTTTGAGTATTTTTTGGGAAATATTGGACTAGTTAATAAATACATTAAAGTATATTCTGGTATGAATTCAATTGATATAAAGTTGAGGATTGGGGTAGTAGTGAATATTAATTCAAATATTAAATTTATAAAATTTATATTTATTATCCTATCATTTTCAACATCAAATTCTTTAAATTGATAAACTTTTTCCTTGGTGGTTTTAGGCTTGGTAGTTTGAATTTCTTTCCATGATTTGTTATTTTTCAAATATGGAATTAATATTGATTCCCATTTGTTTAGATCATGTTCTTCTTTTGCCTTTTTCAAACTTTGGTAAACTTCATTTAGTTCAGTATCTTCTGGAGTTTCATTATCATCATATATATTTATGATGTTATTCAATTTATGTTCATCTTCGTGTGATATGGACTTCCCAAGACATTCATTTAATTTATTTAATCCAACATTAATGTCAATTGTGTTTAAATATAAATTATTATCTTTATTCTTCAAATTAATGTAGAAACCAGTGGTTGTAGTTGTATTGATAGATGAACCTTTTACTGGGATAACTTGATTGATAAATACTTTATCCTCAACCGGATTGGATGAACTTGAAACAGATTTGAATTCGAATAATTTTGCACCAAATTTTAAATTTAATAAATATATCTTGTTTGCATTTCCTAATAATAATCTATCTGGAGCTGGTGATTTTATTGAAACTTTTTCTTCTTTATTTATAATTGATGAGACTGACAATGTATTTGTTTTAGTGAAACTTGGAACTGCTAAAGTATCTATTAAACCATCATGGTATTGATATAAGTTCCCCGATATGTATGCAAAGATTGGATTTTCAATTAATGGGCTGTGATGATTTTGAATTTCAAATATTGGTTTTGTTTGATTTACTGATAAAATCTGATATATTAATTCCTTTTTCAGTTGTGATACAGTTAATAATAAATTATCTTCCAAGTCGTTTATAAAGTTATTGTATATAATCTCTCCCTCTGTTTGAAGGTTAAAACCTTTGGTGAACTTTTCATCTTTGAAATTTATAAATTCAACTATCCCATTTTTGTAAACTACTACAAAATTATTTTCATTGGAAAATTTTACTCCACTAATTTCAGTATCAACTTTATACTCATAAGAATTAATGGTATCATAAGAAGTTATACCATTATCTTGTTTAATCAAAGTTTCAACTAGTATCAATTTAAAAGTTTTTCTTTCACTTATTCCCACCAAATATATTTTTTTATTATCCACTCTAAAAACATCAATACATTCAACAATAACTGAAGGCTTTAGGGCAAATGACCATATTAATTTTGGAGTTGGTTTTATTAGGTATGAACAAATCATTGATTTTGATATTACAAAATCTAATACTGATGATGATGATGATGTGGTTGAATCATTTTGTGAATATTGTGGTATAATTAATTTATTTTCTATTGAAACCCCATTTACTCTTGGTAATGTTGTTATTGGATATTGATTAGATAGTGATGGGGTTGTCATTTTAGAATGTTGTGAACAATCTTTATAAATGTGTTGCAAAAATTTTGTAGTAATAAATTTATGTAGTCTCTCTCTATATTTTATTTTTTTTCTCTGATGCCATCTCAAATATTGTACATACTATAATTACTACGAAGAAATAACACTAGAGTAGTCGAATCCGATTTGAAACTACATTTTCTCAATTCTTATCGAGTTGTTTTATATTAATCTAATGTACAATCTATGAACGATAAATATATTGTTAAAAAAAAAATTAAAAATAAATAACTTGAGCAAAGAAATCAACCACGATTAAGCAGTTGATTCTAAGTATTGTGGATCAGCATAAAAGTAATCATCAACAACAACTTTAAATTCTTGAGTTTCTTTATCGAATGATTCAATATGGAAACTTGTTAAATCTTTAACAACTATATCAGCACCTGCGTTTTTAACTTTTTCTGGATCATAAGTTGAACATATACCAACGATCATTGCACCTGCTTCTTTACCAGCAGTAATACCAGCTGGAGCATCTTCAAATACAACAACTTTAGCATGATTTGCACCAAAACCTAAAGTTTCTCTTGCTGTTTGATAACCTTGAGGATGTGGTTTACCTTTTGTAACTTTTTCAGCAGTTATAAAACAATCTGGTTTTTCAATTGTTAATAATCTTAACCATTTAGTAGCTAATGGTAAAGTACCACTTGTAACTATAGCCCATTTTTGTTCACCATCATGAGTTTCATTTTTAGAATATTTATCAAATGATTTAACTAATTCAACAGCACCTGGAATAGCTTTTGCATGATGACCAAATGAATCGGGTATATCACCTTCCCATTGTGTAACTTGTTCTGGAATAGCATCTTCTGGTGACCATTTTTTGATAACATCAAATGTACGACAACCATGAGAAGTTTTTATAATTTCTTCTGGATCAACGTGAGGTCTTGTTTTTCCAAATTCTCTCCAAAATTCTGATATAGCACCTGTTGAATTAACTAATGTACCATCACAATCAAAAAGTGCAGCATTAACATAAAATACAGCTGGTTGTTGTTCTTTAGTCATTCTTTATATATGGTTTTATAATTTAATTGAAAATTTAATGAAAGTATGAAAATTATAAATTAATATTCGAGATAAAATTAATATTTAATCATTATTAATTGGGATATTCATCTTTATTTATATATCTTTGAATTTTAAATCAAATTGCTAAAGAATAGAATGTCTTCCGTTAGTTAATTCTATATATTAATAAAAGATAGTACACTTATTATAATTAAGTACTGTATATAAAACATTTAGAATCGTTTCTTTTTTAGTATACAATACTATATTTATTTTTTGTGTTAGTTGATAAATTTGTAACTCTTTTTTTAATTATTCTATGTTATATTTCTAAATGTAAAAAGGGATCATAAAAAGTTAATATTATACATTGTTATTATAGTACATCATATAGATTATAAATTATAAATTCAAAACTTTCTTGTGATAATCTTTTGTTTAAATTTGGTTAATTCTTTTTGTTGTGTACTACGTCACAAAATTGTTTAGTCAATAGTTGACTTACGAACTTGAAAAATTGAGTCTGAAGTCAATTTACTAGAGGTGGAGATGTTTGATTGGTCATTAAAGAGACTTATTGCTCATCATTTACTGGATAATATCACTTTAAATTTAATCATCTCTCTTGTTTCACCTTTTATTTCTGTTTTACGAATCAATTGCTTCTGAACTACTTTTCTTTTTTTTTTTTGTTCTCTTAAGGGGTGTACACATTAAATTTATTTTAGCAAAATAGTTTGTTGTAGAATCAATATATAGATGGCTACATGAAAAACTCAATTCTCAAATAAAAAGCAGAAACTATAAGTCACAGGGAGTGTACATTCATATACAAGTATAAAACTTTAACCAAAAAAAGACTGTTTTGCTGCAGAATATAAAAAGAGAAGCCATTTTGTTTCTTTTTCAAACAACAATTAACTAAATGTCTTGCACTGTTGAAAAAAGGGATGAAAAGGTTTTAACTATATCAATAGACGTATTAAAATTTATCGTTTTCAAGTTTGTAACTTTGTAAACATTTTCTTAACATAATAAATTTCATCAGAACGGAAAAATTTGTAGACTTGTTTCTTTTTTTTTTCTAAAACGTCCTTTATCTAATTAGTTAAACAGTAAATATTTACGATATTTAATTTTTTCATTTTCATTGACTGATAAGCTAATTATACAGTCAACTTCATTTTCAGTCAAAACAGTGTTTTGAAAAGCTTAATGAAACCGATAACTTTCATGGCTTTCTCTTACTTGATCAAACTTGATCTGAGTTTTCTTTATTCAAACTTTGATCTACGTCATATAAACAAAGTTATCAGTTATAGTAGTAACACAAAATCAATAACTCTGCACATGATTTGGATTTTTTTTCATTTTCAATCAAATATGACGTAATGGACATTATTTTATATTAATGAAAAATAAAAACAAATTTAAACTACAAACGGTTCAAGTAAACAATGTCTTAAACTTTAAAAAAATTTTCAATATAACAAACAAAATATAAGCGATTGTGTAATTTTGGACAACTTACGAGAATGAAACTCAGTCTAATGAAATTAAGGTTTTTGGTCCTTTCCGGTTCTTACCAAATTTCAACAATACAGTACAAAAAAGCGGTGGATCATTTACAAAATGGTTTCAAACAAATGAAATTGTTTGAAGTTAGAATTATTAGAAGACTTCTACATTCCAAGTTAATTCAGATTCCAAAAAATTGGTCATTTTCAGATATTTTAATTGAATCTTTTATTTGTATGCAAAAAGAGTATTTGTTGACCCTTCGTAATCTTAGATGTAACAAATCTAAAAGTAAATGAAATCTCAATAACTTTTGATTATAATTGGTTTTAAAATAGAATTTAAATCAATGTCTCATACTAAAATTTGTATCGGTTTTATTGACCTACTTAACACTACTTCGTTGTTTGTGTCACAAGATTGTAGTTTTTGACTAAGGTTTTACGCGTTTTAGATCACATATTTCAGAAGTCTTGATTATGTGCATTGATTATTAATCACGAACTTATTAAATCTCTAAAACTTTAAAACTTTACAACATCAAACAAACTTTATGTCAAATGACACTGTTGAAGTGATACCGTCATATAATGTTGATGATGATGATTCAGATGATGAAATTCAAATATTAGAATTTAGAAAAATAACTCAAGATTTATTAGATAATCCACAACAACAAAATTCAAATGAATCTACAAGTACTTCAAATGAAACTCAAGCTCCAAAAGTTACTAAAAAATTATCAGAAAGTCAATGTCCTATATGTTTTGATGATATAGATAATGCAACTGTTACATCATGTGGTCATATTTTTTGTTTAAATTGTATTGAACAAAGTATTAGTAGTTCTCATGCAAGAGGTAATTCATCAATACCAAGAGGTAAAGGATTATGTCCATTATGTAGAAAAATGGTATCATTTAAAGAAACTATAGTACTAAAATTAAGAAAAGGAGAAACCAAGTTCACAGATTTTAAAAATTAAATTGTTTAATACATTGTATAATTCTTCAAATGATATTGATATAATTTAACATATTTTTCTTTATCAATAAATTCAATACCATCTTGGCTCACAATCAAATTTTGAAGAATAGTATTTAAAACTTTAAAAATCCATTGTCGACAATTTTCATAATCATCTAAATATAAAATTCCAACGATTCTTTCAAAAATGTCACCAAGGTATTCATTTGCTATATTTAAATTTGTGGTGGTTATTCTATTTGTCATTATTCTTTCATGTTTTTCATTATCCAATCCTTGATGCAATTTATATGCTAATGATAATCTATTAAATAAAATATTTGAATTTAAAAAATGGATATCTTCCATTGTCCATCTAAAATTTGGATTGATCTTGGAGTGATGGATCATAAATTCAGCTGTGTATCTTTTTAAAATTACATCTCCCATAGAATCCAAATTTTGAGTTAAAAAATGCAAATCTTTATAAGTAATAGTGGTTTCAGAATATGGAGCAACTAAAGCTAATTGAAAATATTTATAAAAACACTGATTTTTTAATTTTGGAATACTTGGTAATTTGATTTCAAAAGTTGGTAATAATTGAGGTTGGAAAACTTGTGAAAAAATATGAGATTTTATTGGTATGTGTTGTTCTTGTAAATATCTGTCTAGTGTATTAAGATATTTTTCATTTAAAATTTGAGAATTGTAAATTGGTTTTATAGGTGGATTAAAAGTTTCTCTAAATTTCGATGTAATATTTTCAATAACTTTATAATAATCTTGATCTTCTAAATAGCATAATGCAATGAAAATTTTATCAGGATGTAATCCAAATATTTGAAACATTTCTTTGTTTTCAATTTTTATGAATTTTAAACTTCTCTTGACGAATTGATCAAATTTCCATATTGTAACAATGAATTTATAATATTGGGTAAAATTCCATTTCAAAAAAAATTCATCAATTAACAGTTTACCAATTTGTTCTAATGCTAACATGTTTGTTGAATTTTCAAAATTTAAAGTCTCGGGACGAGTTAATTTTATTGGTGGAATCTTGGTTGTGGAAACTGATTTTTGAATTCTGAGTTTTACTTCTATTGCATTTTTGTTATTGGTAAATTCATAATTTCCAGCGCCAACTTTTATTAATTTATCATAATTCAAAAACTTAAAACCCTTGTGGTTTGAATTTGAAATTTGAGACTCAATTTCTTGTTTTTTAACATATGCTGTATTGGGGATTTCATAAAGTCGTCTTTGATATCTTAGGGACTTGTTGAGTTTACCGGATTTAGTACGAACAAATATATTTTGCGGATCTATGCCGGTTTTGGGTTTTAAAGTTTCAGGTTTTGATTGTATGTGGTTTATCTCTTCTTCAGGTTTTGGTAGTTCTTCTTGTACAGTTTTTACCTTTGTCGGTACAGCTTTAGTATCTTCTAATGTTTCGCTATCAAATGATTTAATTTGTAAGATTTTACCCTCAGATGTTACTAATATTGCACGAAACTCACCATTAATATCATATTTCTCATTTTTTAATCGATTAACTAACTTTGAAATTCTTCTTTCGTCTAAAATGGTTGTTTTCTTAGGATGTTCTTCTATTATAATTGTATTGAAATTAGTAGTTGGTTTTTTAACAATGGTTTTGAACCTAGTTTGTACAAGGTTTGATATTCGGTGGCTGAACCATATTTTCGTTAGGCTTCTTGGATTAGGTATCATTAAGTGCTAAGTATGTCGTATATCTTTGTAAACCATGTCTTTTACTTCGTTTCAGTTTTGCAGTTTGAGATTATCTAGTTGAAAAATTCTTATCGCGATATTTTAAATTTTATGTGTCACCATACAAAAAATGCCTGAATCAATTGGTGTTGTTGGTGCAGGATTAGTTGGATGTTTGACAGCATTAGCATTCAGTAAAAAAGGTTATGAAGTTTCTTTATTTGATTTGAGAGCAGATCCAAAAACAATTAATCAACACAAGAGAAATTTAAGGTCAATTAATTTGGCAGTTAGTAATAGAGGTATACGAGCATTAAAATATGTGGATGATGAATTAACCAACGAGATCCTAGATAAAGTTATACCTATGAAAGGTAGAATGATACATGATATAACTGGAACAAAGGAAGAGTCTCAATTATATGGATTAAATGGAGAATGTATAAACTCAATTGATAGATCATTTTTAAACGATTTAATATTAGATAAATTAAGAAAATCAAATGTCAAATTATTCTTTGAGTATAAATTAACAAAGCTAAGTAATTTAGAGCAATCACCCAAGATGGAATTTTCTACTAAACAAGGTACAAGAGATTTTAATTTTGATTATGTGATTGGAGCTGATGGTGCACATTCACAATTTAGAACTCAAATGCAAAGACATATGAGAATGAATTTCACTCAAGAATATATAGATATGCAGTATATTGAATTATATATACCACCATCACCCACTACAAAATTCTCAATAGATCCAAATCATTTACATATATGGCCAAGACATGATTTTATGTTAATTGCATTAGCTAATGAAGATGGTTCTTTTACTTCAACTTTTTTCAGTCCATGGTCAGTAATAGATTCTATTCAAAGTAGTGATGAGTTTTTGAATTTTTTCAAGACAAATTTCCCAGATGCTTACGAGTTGGTGGGTGAAAAGGCTTTAATTGAAGCATACAAAAATAATCCAAGAGGTTCATTAATGCAAGTAAGTGCTTATCCTTATAATATTCCAAGTGGTAAAGCCATAATAATTGGAGATGCTGCTCATTCAATGGTTCCATTTTACGGTCAAGGAATGAATTGTGGATTTGAAGATGTAAGAATATTAATGGAACTAATTGATTCGAATAATGGAGATATATCTAATGCATTTGTAGAATATTCACCAAAGAGACAAATAGACTTGAAAGCTATTTGTAAATTGGCTATGGATAATTATTTTGAAATGTCTTCAAAAGTTACAAATATTTGGTACCTCACTAAAAAGAAATTGGACTATACTTTGGGTAGTTGGTTTCGAAATAGATGGTTACCATTGTACACAATGATTTCATTTAGAGATGATATACCGTATTCAAAAGCTATTGAAATTGAGAGAAAACAATCAAGAATTTTACAAAATCTACAAATTGGAATTTTCTCATCCGTAGTTATATGGGGAATTATTCAAGGTGTAAAAATTTATGATAAATTTAGGAAGTAATTAAGTTGCTACTAGTTTTTGCTTTTTATCACTTACTGATTTCTGCAAATTTGTTAGTTGTTGTTGTAATTCTTCATTTCTTTCTGAAAATTCTTTATTAGCTTTGATTGTATTTAGTAGATTTTCTTTCATTGTTAAATGTTCATATTTTTCCTTAAGTTGGTCTCTTTTGGTGATAAGATCTTGTCTTTTGGTTTCTGCTTTTGTGAGGTTGGTATGGTATTCTTCACTTTGTTCTGATATTTCAGTATGAGTGATTTGAAGATTATTAATTTTCAGATTTAGCTCATTGATTTTGATCTGTAAATCATCATTAATTTCTATCAAGTTTTTTAGTTCGTTACTGTTATTATTCATTGAGTTGGATTTGATGAGGTATAACTCATTTTCATATTTTATGATAGAAGGATTAAGCTCTAGTATTTCTTTGAAATTTAATTCATTCTCTGTTAAAAATTCAATTGAAGTTATGTAATTTGATAATTCTTCTCCATTTAACTCAGCTAAGTTATCTTCATTTTGAGTGAAAATCCATAATATTAACCGTAGTAAAAAATCAAATCCTTCAAATATGAATAAATCTAATATTAATAAACTTGTTTCAACATCCAATTCGAAAAATTTTGGGAGTATACTTTTATAATAATTTGACCAATTAATACCTTGACTTGCAATATGCTTGAAACAACCCAAATGATCTTCAAAAGATCTGTTTATTTTATAAACAAAATCTTCTTGTTTCTCATTTACGTATACTTTATATATTTTAAATAAGATAAAAATTTTATCTTCATCTGATAGATCAGGAATATCAATTATTAAATCGGTTACCCCACCCAAAAACTTGCTTGCATTTTTCAATCCGTCTTCGGGAAACATTGAATAAAAAATCAGTAAAATATCCTTCGAATTTCCACTTTTGACAAGTTTTGAAACTTCACCATTATAACGACTTGCTTTTCTTTTCAAATCTTCAAACGTATGAGTGTTGGTAAACTTATAATTTGTTTGAAGAGTTTTTATATAAATTGTTGACCTGATAGTAGGTGGTATTCCTTTTAATATTTCATTTTCTAATAAATCTACTTCCCTTTTTCTAATTATTTCATTGGAGTAATCGAATATCAATTTATTCCAGAATTCATTTTCTGTGGTTAATGTTGGTTGAGTATGATTGTTTTCCACTACTAAATAATCATTTGTTTCATTCATAAAAGGTGCTTCATAAAGTTCCATTTGTCTAACTGCTGATATAAATGATACATTATCATTTGGTTCAAATCTAATTTTACTTGACGGAAGATCAGGAAGTGATTTTGTGGAAAGATCACTTTTTTGTGAAGATAAATTGTGTTGTAGCTGTGGTCTAGCAGGAAGTGGAGGTGAAGAAATTGCTTCAGTCATTGCATTTGTTAAGATTATTAAGAAAAGTTGTATAAAGGTATAGAATTTGATATTAATTCGATTTGGTAAACTGAGGAGACATAAATCCGTAAGCACGTGATAAAATACTTCAAGATAGAGATATTCAAGTATTATTCTAAAATAATGCTATATTTATTAATAATGCTAATCAAGTCGAGGTTTTTTGTGAGGAAAATCCGATTCCTCGATAAGTTTTCGGGTATTATACTTTTGTTTTTTATATTCTTCACTTTTAAGATTAGTAGTTAAGCCTAATGCACTTTTAGCTATTCCTGAATAGTCTTCATTGATTTTAGGTCTGACAACTTTAGTAATTTTTTCAGGTTCATACTCTTCACTTTCAACAAAATCTGGTTCTTCTTTTGAGTGAAAATATTTTGCAAATTGACCTTTAGGGTTTGATGATAATCTATTATTTAATTTTTCTAAACATTTCATTTGTGCAACAACATTATTTGGTGTATCTTCATTTTGTGGAAGTCCCAGATGGACCATTTTATATGGAGAATCTTCTTTTTCCAAAAAATTCAGATGAACCACATTATTTGATTGATCCTCTTTATTCATTTGACCATTCGGCTGACCTTTTTCATCCATTTGATTGTCTATTTGATCTTCTTTACCCATTTGAGTACTTGGTCGATCTTCAATATTTAAACCTCCAATTCCATCAACAACATTTTTACTCTGAAAAGTTGTTAAAAAATTTTTAAATTCTTGTATTGCTTCATCAGTCAAATTATCTTTTATTTTAGAAAGTTTATGTTTAACTATATTTAATTTAATTCTACCAGCATTTCGATCAATATGTTGATTTATCAAGTCATAAATTTCATCTGTTAATTCAAAATCTTTTAATAAAACTTCCAATTGTTCATTGAGTAATTTTGAGGACGTCAATTCTTCCAGATGAATTGATTTATAGGAATCTTGACTTTCTTTGGATAGTTGTTGGGTATCTTGGGAATTGACTATTTCAATATGATCTTCAACTTGAGAATTGAGTATATCAACATCTTCCATGTTCTTACCATCAGCAGTTAATCCATTCAATAAATCTAAACATGGTTGTAATCTTTCAGGTACTACAACTTTTTTCTGCAGTCCAGCTGGAGAAATGATTGATTTTGAAGGAATGAGTTCTGACGGCTCTGAAGAGTTGGATTTGTTTAATGGAGTTAATTCTCTTAAGGAAATTTTACTATCATCTTTAATTTCCTCAACACCTTTCACTTGCAAAGGTTCTTTCGTTGGTAAGTTATCCATTACAATCTCAATGACATCCTCTTCTTCTTCTTCATTTAGTTCTTCTTGTCGATGATCTTGTCTCTCATGTAATTTTGTCAAAATATCAATCCAATATTTTCTTTCGTTACTTCTCTCTTCACCTGAAAATATACTTTTAGAAACCCCAACTTGGAATTTTCTCCAATTTTGTTCACATTGTATAATATTATTTAACCATTTTTTAATATTATAAAGAACATGAATACCGCAATCATTGAAATTATTTTGACGTGGAACTTTTGCATTTATCACAGTAATTTTAGTTGGTGCTATCTCAACATTAAACTTGTCTTTACAATAATCAATTATAAAATTTTTTAAAGGTACTTTGACATTTTCTCTTTTGGCTTTTAATGAATCAAAAACAAATATTTCAACAACTCCTCTAACTTTTTTTGTAACTGGATCAATTTCTTCCAAGTCCGTACCTAAAAGATCAGGTAAATTTCTAATTATACAACAATACCAATGGAATTCTTCATTTACTGGTAATATAACATATGGATAGCTTAATAAGTCAATTTTACTAACCCATTTTTTGACATTTTCATAATAATTTATTGGTTTTTTAAGTTCATCTTTACTTACTAATTTGGAATAAAAAAATGAATTAAAAGTATAGATTTCATTTGCCTTGACAATATTTTTGGAAATACCTTCTTCTAAAATATATCTTAACCCGAAATCAATTGCGACATCATTTACCCAATTATTTCGATGTAATGATTTAAAATCTTCTTGTGTAACTGTAATATCATATCCATTATAAAATTTATATCTTAACGCAGGTTTAAAAGGCGGTATTGGTCCATGATCAACATAGTCTGTACCAGAGAAAAATTTCCCATCAATATCATCAAGTACTTCCACTAGTTGTGATTGTTTTTCTATATGTGCTGCAGCTATTCTTGCTGAACTTCTAGTTGGGGCTCGATAGGATATATTCCTAAGAGGATCATTGATTGAATGATTTAATAATTTAGTTTCTGCTCCCTTTGTCAATAATTTATCAACTTGAACCTTGGGGTTGGGATGATTCTTGAAATATGCTCTAATATCTTCATCTCTTCCATAATGACTAGCTATTATGAATTTTCCTTTTTCTTTTAGTTGTAATATAAATTTATCTTCAGCAAATGCAAATTCTTCTAGTTGATCGTTTAAATTAACAATAAAACCATCAAGTGGTTGATACGCTATATCCGGTAATTCTTGACAAACTGCTAAATATTGTCCATTGGTGGAGATGATTAAAGAATATGTCTTTTTACCATTTTTTTTAAGTTGTTCACCAGAATATTGAAATGATTTAAGTAGTTGAAAAATCTTGATTTTGGAAAGGCCAGCTTGTTCTATATCTATTATTTTTCCCTCACAATCTTTCACTTTTGGTAATTGAGGTGTTTGTGGTGGTGGTGGTGATTTTGGTAGTGGTAGTGATTTTGGTAGTGGTGGTGATTTTGGTGGTGATGGTGATTCTACTGGTATTAGGATTCGTTTTCTAGTTTGTAATGATTCCAATCTTTGTCTTGTATCTGATGATTTTTTAACTGTTTCAGATATAGTACTATGAAATAATACTTTTCTTGGTCCAGGTTTAAATGTTGATTCATAAGTTTCAGTTAAATTGTCTTTTGGTTGAACTCCATATTTCCCACTAGATGAACTTTTTCGATTCAACGATGAAAATGACTTATTTTGTAGACTAGATATATTTGACATGACATCGGAATGATATTGTTTTGGTTGATAAGTAATACTAAAATTTAAGATCAAAACTTTTTGTATATTCTAAAATTTTGGTAGCATCTGTTTTTCTACTTACTTAATTTTTTTGGTTCATAGTTTTTTCTAAGAAGTACTTGCCACCACCAAAAAAAATGGGACAAGGATCTTCTGGTATGCCAGGGGGAAATAACCTCAACAAAAAGAAAGATGATAAAAAGAAAGAGAAACCTAAATATGAACCACCCGTTGAATCAAAGTTTGGGAAAAAAAGAAGAAAAGGTCCTGATACAGCAGTTAAATTACCAAATGTATATCCAAATACTCGTTGTAAATTAAAATTATTAAAACTTGAAAGAATAAAAGATCATTTATTATTAGAAGAAGAATTGGTTTTCAATCAAGAAGCATTTCAACCAACAGAAGCAAGACAAGCAGAAGAAAGAGAAAAAATTGATGAATTGAGAGGTTATCCAATGGCAATTGGAACTTTGGAAGAAATTATAGATGATGATCATGCAATTGTTTCAAGTACTGCAAGTTCTGAATATTATGTACCTATAATGTCGTTTGTTGATAAAGGATTATTAGAACCAGGTTGTTCAGTATTATTACATCATAAAACAGTAGCTGTTGTAGGAGTATTACAAGATGATGCAGATCCAATGGTTTCAGTTATGAAACTTGATAAGTCACCAACTGAATCATATGCAGATATTGGAGGATTAGAATCTCAAATTCAAGAAATTAAAGAATCAGTTGAATTACCATTAACACATCCAGAATTATATGAAGAAATGGGAATAAAACCTCCGAAGGGTGTAATATTATATGGTGCACCAGGTACTGGTAAAACTTTACTAGCAAAAGCAGTTGCAAATTCTACTTCAGCTACATTCCTAAGAATTGTTGGTTCTGAGTTAATTCAAAAATATCTTGGTGATGGTCCAAGATTATGTCGTCAAATTTTTCAAATTGCTGCAGAACATGCACCATCAATTGTATTTATAGATGAAATTGATGCTATTGGTACAAAAAGATATGAATCAACTTCTGGTGGTGAAAGAGAAATTCAAAGAACTATGTTGGAACTATTAAATCAATTAGATGGTTTTGATGATAGAGGTGATATAAAAGTTATAATGGCAACAAATAAAATTGAAAGTCTTGATCCTGCATTAATAAGGCCAGGTAGAATTGATCGTAAAATATTATTTGAAAATCCAGATTCAAACACCAAGAAGAAAATTTTAACTATTCATACTTCAAAAATGAGTTTGGCTGATGATGTGAATTTAGATGAAATTGTCACGGGTAAAGATGATTTATCTGGTGCTGATATAAAAGCTATATGTACAGAAGCTGGGTTGTTGGCATTAAGAGAAAGACGTATGCAAGTAAAAGCTGATGATTTTAAACAAGCTAAGGAAAGAGTTTTGAAAAATAAAGTAGAAGAAAACCTTGAAGGTTTGTATTTATAGAAATGAAGAAATAGTTAATATATATTATTTTATATTGTAATGGATATTATTTAACTTTTTGTATCACTTTTGAAAAAAATTTCAATTTTTCAGATTTGGTGTAGGCAAATAAATATACTTGTAAATAGTCATGCTTAGATCTACAATACAGAAACAGACGTTTCGTTATTTTAATGTATCATCTACAAATCTAAACAAACCACCATCATCACCATTGAAAGTATTTCTCGATACTTTTAAACAAGAAGTTCAAAAATCATCAGAATTAAAAGAAAATATAAAAGCTTTACAAGATGAATCTGGTAGAATGGCAGAATCAGATGCTTTCAAAAAAGCAAAAGAAGCTTATGCAAGAGCTCAAAAGGGAAGTAGTGCAGCAGGTGTAGTTGTTAAAAAAACTGCAGATGCAATGGGTGATGTAGCTTACAAAGCTTGGGATTCTCAAGTAGGTAAAGGTGTTAGAACAACCGTTAAATATAGTGCAGAAGCAGCAGATAAAGCTTTTGATCCAGTTAGAAAAACTCAAGTTTATAAAGATGTTTCAGAGGTTATAGATGATGGATCTTCAAATGCATATGGAGGATTTTTAACAAAAGAACAAAGACAAGCTTTAAGAGCGAAAGAAATTGCAAGAAAATTAAAAGAGGGTTACAAGGGACCAGTTAAAGAAAATGAAGATGCAGGTGGAGAATTAGTATCAACAGAACATAAATCGTCAGGACCATCAACTGGTGAGAAATGGGAAACTTTTAAACAAAAATCACCAATTGGGAAAGGATTTGTATACCTAAAGGAAAAATGGGACGAATCAGAAAATGGATTAATAAGTGTTGTACGAACAATTATTGAAAAGATTACTGGATTTTTCTCAGAAACTGAACAAGCAAAAGTTGTTAAACAATTGAAATATATGGATCCATCATTTCGTTTAACAGATTTTCAAAAAACATTAACCAACTATATAGTACCTGAAGTTGTTGATGCATATATTAAAAATGATTCTAAAGTATTGAAAGAGTGGTTTAGTGAAGCTCCATATAATGTTTGGGAAGCAAATAATAAACAATTTATTCAACAAGGTTTATATTCAGATAGTAAAATATTGGATATTCGAGGAGTCGATATTGTTACATGTAAAAGTTTACAACCAAATGATATCCCAGTGGTGGTTGTTAGTTGTAGAGCTCAAGAAATTCATTTATATAGAAAAGCTAAAACTAATGAAATTGCTGCTGGTACAGAAGATCATATTCAATTAAGTACATATGCAATGGTTTTAACAAGAATTCCAGAAGAATTTGATAATAAAACTACTGAAGGTTGGAAAATAGTTGAATTTGCTCGTGGTGGTTCAAGACCATTTCATTGATAATAATTTGTAAATAGATTAATAAAAAATTATAAATCAGAGAGAAAAAAAAAAATTTGTAGTTGTTCTTTTGTTGTTCACCAACAATGTCTGATACAATAGCTTCAAAAGAAGAAGCATCAAAGATATTTGATAAACTAAGAAAAGAACCTGCCAATCAAATATGTTTTGATTGTTCAAATAAAAACCCAACTTGGACCTCAATTCCATTTGGTATATTCTTATGTTTACAATGTTCATCAGTTCATAGAAATTTAGGAGTACATGTTTCGTTTGTCAAATCATCAAATTTGGATTCTTGGCAACGTATTCAATTAAGAAACTTCAAATTTGGAGGAAATCAACAAGCTAAAGATTTTTTTCTCAAGAATGGTGGGTCACAATATATTGGAAGTGAAGATGCTAAAACTAAATATACTTCACCAGTTGCAAATAAATACAAAGAAAAATTAAAACAAAAAGCATTACAAGATGCTATAAAACATCCTGATTTAGTTACTTTGGATGATTTAAATGATGTTGCTTCATTAAGTTCATCAAATGATAGTTCAGATGATTTTTTTTCAAATTGGACAAAACCAGTTGTTGCAACTCCATCTCCTTTAGGATCAGCTAATGGTACTCCAAATGCATCAACTGATGATTTACTAGCAAAGAAAAAACCAATATCGAGAACAAGCACAGCATCTAGAATAAAATCAAGTACTCAAGCTAAAAAATCAATATTATCATCAACAAAAGGAAATGGTCCAAGAAATTCAAGATTATCTACTAAAAAAACTGAAGCAATAGATTTTGATGAGATAGAAAGAAAAGCAAAAGAAGAAGAAGAAGAACGTAAGAAATTGGGCTATACACCAGAAGTAGAAGAACCAGCTCCACCAAAACCTATAAAATCATTACCAATTAAACCTGAAGAATCTACCACCAAAGAAAAACTAACACCTTCACTTCAAGAAACTACTCAAAATTTTCAAAAATTAGGATTTGGTATGATTCAAGGTGATAACAACCCAACAACCACAACCAAAAAATATAAAGATGTCAAATATACGGGAGAAGTTTCAAATAAATTCGGTCAACAAAAAGGGATATCATCAGATGAATTTTTTGGAAGGGGTCCAAGATTTGATGAACAAGCTAAACAAGAAGCACAATCTAAATTACAAGCTTTTAATGGTGCACAATCTATTTCTTCTTCTTCATATTTTGGTGAAGAACAACTTGAGGGTAATTCACAACAAGGTATTAATTTAAACGATATAGAAGCAAGTGCTAGAGAATTTGCTTCAAGATTCTCAGGTAATGCAAATCAAGATATAGAAGTTTTAAAAGATGCTTTAGAAGATGGAGCTAATAAATTAGGTTCTTATTTAAGAGATTTTTTAAGGTAGATAGAATTATTTTAAAAATGTAATATACATTAGCAAAGAGTAAAATTATTTTAATTGTAAAAGGTTATTTGAAAATGAAAAACATCTTAATAAATTTAAAGATTATAAATCCATGGCATAGTTATGTTATCAGTATTTAATTCAGAATAATAAAGTGTTAAGGACTGTTTAGTTGTTCCAAAAAATATTCTTTGATAAGCAACCCACTTTCATTGTAATTGAACTCGACCAAAGTGTAAAATTGATCTTTTATCTTAATCAGTCCACGCTTTTTTTGAAACCACTTTTGAACTACTCTTATTATTGATATAATAATTATTACAATTCTGTGACCAGTAGTTCTTCTTATATCTTCAACTTTGGATTTACTTCAGAATAAGAGCCTTCCATCATTTTCGAAAAGAAAGCTTTCTGGTTTTGAATCTCTGTAATGCTGACGTTTTAGTTAGATTGCATTTTAATCACACTAATGTCCTTAATTTTGTTAGTTTGAGTATATTTTCTATTCTTTTACCTTTTGTTTCACCATCAGCAACCAATTGAGGAGTATAATCAATTACAGTTATATCATCTTCTAGTTCAACAAAATTGTCTAAATTTGACAAATGAAATATGCTCAATACTTAAGTATATCAAATGTAGTCATGAACATTGTTTAAATACTTCTTGTTCTACTTCCACAAAGAAAAAACTGTTGATCTTAAAAAAGTTTTTTGGAAAATCTATAGTTGATGGCATTTTGATCAATATTTATAATTTCTGCATTTTTGGATATTATTTTATATAAATCTCTTGATACAAGTTTGCAAACTACCAACTCATCTAAATGAGGATTCCAGATGTAGGTTCTTGTTTCTTTATCTTTTTTTTATTACATCAAGTCATTCATAATGTGTTCATCCTTAATTTTCAATCTTGAGTATTAAGTAGTAATTTTATCGGCGATTCTATCTTCAAAATCGTTCCATTTGTTTACTTTTTTCCAAAATTTGAAGACGTCACTTAATGAACAATATTATTTATTATCAACATCTGCCCATGTTCTACTAATGGATGGTACAATTGCCATGTTTTTCACTTTTTCAAATTCTTCTTCTTCACTTTAGTCATTACCATCATCATCATTATTATTATTATTTATTTTTAAATGGAATTGATATTTAACTTTATCTTCTTTGTCTTTTCATCTTTAGCCCTAAAATTATATCCTTAGACTGAAAATGAAATTATTTGTTTCAGGTTTTTTAAAAAGGCAAAATGTGCGGCTTTTTTTGTCTCCATATATTATCATGTGACAAATTAGATCTAAGCTATTTCTTGGTCTTAATAAGAGTTTACGTATAAATAATAATATATGTCAATTGTAGGAAAATGAGCAATAAGTAGTTTGCACATTAAAATAAATAAAATTTATGGTCGAATTCAAAAGAAGAGATAATGAAACGATAAAATTTACTGCTTTAAATTCTGGTCATTCACAGATATTTTGAACTATTGTTAACTTGAAAATTAAGCATATTAATTAAAATTGGTGATAAATTATTTCTATAATTTTTCAATGGCTGCTCTAACATCAATCTGATAACAAAAGTATGGTACAAACTTTATAACATTGACACATTATACACATTTATTACCATAAACATTGTTAGACTTGTTAGTTTAGTTACAGCATTAATCATTAGAATTCGCAATATTAAACGAGCATATACTACTATCATTAGGCAGACGGATAGATGATAGTCAAATAGATTGAACTTGTATAAAGAAAATGATATTGAAAATTATTTAAAATATTTGAATAGACGCTCACTTTTTAACTCCGTGTATCTTTTTCTATACTCTACTTTAAAACACTTACCTAAAAAAGCACACCTTGATTTTTGTGTAATTTAATTGCATTTTGTATGAGAGTTTAAGCTATACCATACAAACTAGAACAGCCTATAACTATGTTGTGATGCTGTACGAACCACCGTAGCACGTCCCATCCATTTCAACACTCTCTGAATAAGCTGTAAACATTTGGTTATGGGTAAGACCTCAAAATTGAGTCACTTATGGTCAAATCCAAAATCCTCAAAAAAAGTTGGGACATTTTCAGTACTTGAGCACACCTGACCAAACATATTTAATTTTGAAGCTTCAATCTTAAACCTGGCAGTTAGAGATACTATTTTTTTATCTTTTCATAAAGTTTGGTGGTGAAAGACCAATTATGATGTGCTCAAAATCGCTCCAAAAAAAATCACTTTTTTGAGAGAAAATTATTTATCCCTCTAACCCAACCAAAACAGCTACGATCAAACTCAAAATTTGCTATTGCATCTGAAATCAAGTACTAAAACTGCCAAACTACTCAAAATAAAATTTGATCTGGAAATTTTGATTTGAGTTGAATCATTGATGTTTCAATTTTTTTGCAGCTAATTTAGCGCAATATTTTTAATGTTTGTTAACTTTCGTCTTTAAGTACTCAATTTTGAAGCTACATTGCTCAAAATTTAAATGAGGTTTTCTTGCTTTAAAAACATTCTAATATTGGTTATCTGAGGTCATAGAACTGGTGCTTGTGTCTTTACCTCTAGTTTAAGTTCAATCTCTTTCAAAATGAAGTTGCCAAAAAAAAAAACTCTATACATCCGTAACGCAGTATATAACGTTTTTGTAATTCTTTTTTTGTGCGTAAAATTTTTTCAAAAATCAAGGTGTGCTTTTTTCGGAAGGTGTTTTAAAGTAGAGCACGTCACTCTAATAATAAACAGATTGACGGAATTCAAATCGAGAGAAAATTACGATCAAACAACTAACAAATATCTTTAACATCTCAATTTTGAGATAGTGTATGATTTTTGTTCCTAATTTAAACACCAAGTTTGTCATATACGTATTCTCGTATGAAACGGTAATCCGAAATCTTTTACTAAATTTTAATGGTAACAAAAAAAAGAATTTAGATTTAATTCACGAGCCTCAAGAAGAAGATTGTTTTAATGTTGATATCATTTGTATATGATTCAAAACCAGAGCTTTGTCTATTAACTCAGCATTTTTTATTGAAAATAACCCAACCAATATTTTTTCTAAGCATTTTTGTAAATTCAAACAAATTAGTAATCAACTACAAACGTACGGTCCATCAATATAAAAAATACACCATAAATCTAACAAAACCTTTTTCCAAGTTCTAATAACTCGATCTATCATACAACTAAAATTACAAAATATAAATCTTCTGCTACTTTTAGCTGCAATTTGGTCACTTTTATAATATTTAGATTTGGCCGTGCGAATAGTTTAAGAGTAAAATTATTGAATTAAACTTAAAGTTAAAAATTTAATTAAGTAATATGTGCAACATTACGTCATGAATAATAAGAAAAATTAAGATTTCTTTCCTCTTTTGAACTATTATTATTTTGACATTAAATCTGACACTTTTTTAAACTCCTGAGTATTATAATAATAAGATGATATTAAATATAAGACAATAAGATCAAAATTGATATTTATTGAAACAAAAAAACAAGATATTTAAAGTTTGATATCTTCTAAAATCTTGGGGTAAAGATAAATTCAAGTTGTATTGTTCCGAATAATAATAATCGAATGTTCATACGTTCAATAAAAAAGATTTTCCATACAATATTTAATTTTAAATTCAAAATCTAGAATATGAATAATTTAACACAAAGAATTTGAAGTAGTTCTTCCGAAATCACTAAATTATATACACAATTAATTTGTGCTATCTCGTAAAAACTCTTATTTTCGAGAACATTTGAAAAAGCAAACAATTTTGAGTTAGGAATCAATCATGATTATGTTAGTTATATCATATCAAATCAAATCATATCAGACCTACTCAGAACTTTTAGGTCACTATCTTTTCATTCCTTTAAACTGTCAAAACTATTAGCGTTCAATCAATCTAATTAATAAATTAAAATTAAAAAACTTAAATTCTCGGCTGGTTTAAAAAAAAAAGTGGGGATCAACATTTCACAAATTGAATTTCAATAAAAAATTTTTTTTAATGTATTTAATTTAAAAAAGCAATTATAAAATATAAATAATATTTTGACAGTTGTCACACTCACTAATTGTATGGATTTTTTAGTTTGTGGACTAATCTTGTTATTTCAACTGATAGATTATAATTTGATTTTTTGTCAAACAAGATTTAAACTCAAATTAATCCCAGAACATAAACATTCCACTAAAGTTATAGAATCATATTTCTTCAAAAATTGTTATTTAAATAACATTATAGAATATATAAATCCAGTTTTGTGTCTGCGTTAAAATTTATTTTTTTTTTAGATTGCAAAACATGACACAAAAAAATTTCAAATTTTTAAAATTAGGTATCAAATAACTTCAACTTTTTAATACTAAAAACAATAGAATAATCAATTCATTTTTACATGACTTACATCTAATTAATTTATTTTTATATCTCCAGCTTTGATGAATTTGTTATTGTTTTAAAATTCAAATCTCCATTTTTGATTTTTAATTTAAATATAAAAAAAATTCCTTCATAATTTTCAAAATAAACAATCTATCCAAAATCTATCAACTATAATTCAAAAAAAAATGTCTACAGATATAGAAAAACCCGTCACTAATGATCCAGAAGATGGTTTATTCAAAAACAATACTTCATCACAATCATCTTTTAAAAAAGATTTAATGCCAGATAATTCATCACATTTATCAGAATCAGAAAGGGCTGATGGTGAACATGGAAATATTTTATCTCAATATACTGAAAAACAAGTTATGGTTATGGGTAGAAATTATGCTATTAAATATGGTTTAGATCCTGATTTATTTGCTAAAGGTGCTGCATTAGCAAGAGCTCCAAATGCTTTTAATTCAATGCCCTTTTTAACTGATGAAGAAAAACAAGGTTTATATTTGGAACAAACTAAAAAATGGCATATTCCATCAAGACTTTGGGCTGTAGTTGCTGCTGGTGCTATGTATGTGTTACCTCAAACTATTTCAGTTCAAACAAAATCAAAATTTATTTATTTCGGATTACTAACCAGAACTTTAGGGCTGCAGCTGTTCAAGGTATGGATGAGTCAGTTATCAATGGTGCAACTTTATTTTATCCAAAAGCTTTTAGATTACAAGAGTATGTTTTTTTGAGATCAACTACCGCAACTTAAGTACGCTACCAAATTATCTTTTCAATTTGGCTGCAAATTATTATTCTTTTACTAACCTTAAGTTCTAAAGACACTTTCCAAAGAACTACGATCTTGTCGAGGGATTAATCAATGGTGCTCCATATCTTATGTGCTCAGTTTTTGCTTGTTGGACTACTGATCTTTGGAATCGTTACTTGGGAAGAAAATGGACAATATTTTGGACTTGTGCTATTTCAGCTGTTACTTGTATCTGGCTGGCGGTAACTAACAATTGGTATCATCTTTTCATCGCCAGACTATTTGTATGTATTAAATTAGCAATATCGAAAGCAAAAATTTATTTTTAAGAGCAATACTAACTTAAATTAACAGCTTGGAATTGGAATTGGAGTGAAATCAGCTACTGTACCTATATATTCTGCTGAATGTAGTCCCAAACAGATTCGCGGGCTGCTTTGTATGTTATGGCAGCTATTCACAGCGGTGGGCATAATGTTCGGTTATGTGGCTTCGTTGGCATTCTATTATGTACCAAAGAAAAGTTTTGGTACAGGATTAAATTGGAGATTAATGCTTGGTTCAGCTTGTATTCCTGCATTTATTGTTTTATTCCAAATTCCCTTCATTCCAGAAAGTCCACGGTATGTCATTCCAATTGAAGTAAGAGCTCGCGTTATGGGCATCCAATTACGAGCATCTAGCGATATTAAAAAATTACAAATCTTTTAAACTTTTGTATTTTTTGACTTTACCTGGTCGATAGAAATTTTTTTACTAACAATACCATAGTTGGTTAATGGGTAAAGGTAGACATCAAGAAGCGTTTGATAGTTTGGCTCAATTGAGGTATGAAAAAGTGGCTGTTGCTAGAGATTTGTTTTATCAATTTGTTTTGCTACAAGAAGAAGGATCAGTCAATATTCCTGTATGGAAAAAAGTAATTCAAATGTTCACAATCAGAAGAAATAGGAATGCAGCCATTGGATCTTGGATTGTTATGTTTATGCAACAGTTTTGTGGTATCAATGTTATTGCTTATTATTCATCAACTATTTTTATCAATGCTGGGTTAGGTGAAGTTAAAGCTATGGTGTATGTATTAAAGTTCTCGCTTGCAAATCATAAAATCAAAAAAAATTTTGATAAATTTATTTTGAGGTTTAGAAGTTTAAAATTAAAAATTCAACAATACTAACCAATTGCTTTAAAGTGCTAGTTTTGGATTTGGACTTGTTAATAGTGTTTTCGCATTACCGGCCTTCTATACTATCGATACCTTCGGTCGTAGGAACTTATTATTGTTTGCATTTCCATTGATGTGTATATTTTTATTAATTACAGGTTTTGGATTTTTAATAAAACATAATCAAAAAGGTCAATTAGCTATGGTTGCTACAGGAATTTATATATTCACAGTTGTTTATTCTACATCAGAAGGACCGGTTCCGTTTCCTTATGCAGCTGAAGCTTTTCCTTTATACATTCGTGATATTGGTACAAGTTTTGCAACTGCAACCTGTTGGTTTTTTAATTTCATCCTAGCTTTCACGTATGTATAAAACATGTCTCAGAGCCTTACTTGAGGTGTAAGACTTTGTCAAAAGTCCAAAATTTAATTTTTCAAAAAAGGATTTTACTAACCTCAAAATCTAGATTTCCCAGGTTATTAAGAGCCTTTACTAGCTGTGGAGCCTTTTGTTTCTACGCAGCATGGAATTTGGTAGGCTGGTTTTTAGTGTTGTGGTTTGTTCCTGAGACAAAACAGTTAACTTTGGAAGAATTAGATGATGTATTTGCTGTTCCAATGTATACTCATGCTGTTTATAGAACTAGAACTTTTCTCAGAGGTATTCAACAACACGTCTTTAGACGTAAAAATTTACCAGAAATTCCACCAATTTATACTCATCAAAGAATGGCTGTTACTAATCCAAGTTGGAATGAGAAAACTGAAGTAGACCATATCGAGTAAGTGGTGTCTCAAGTTTATGGCATATAGTTTATAGTAATATAATGCTTAATTCTTATCGTGTGATCAATTTTAATTCGATAGTTTTATGTGTTAAGTCATCTATATCTCCATCTATATCTCCATCTATACTTCTTGTATAATTTATTTCGTAATTAAGTGTCAAATATGACACAAGATTTAAAAGTATAACACAAAACCAATTACGATAAGATCTCGTAAATTAAGCGTAAAATACAATTCGTACACATTAAATTTTTTTTTTTTTTTTCATTTCAAGATGTTACTTAAATCGTCGTTTGGCTTGCTATATAGGAAAGTACAACTGGCAAATAAGGGGATATGGGACTATACCACCGAGGGTTTAACATTCTGATTTCTCTCAAACAATCATGACCTTAAGATAAAAAGAAATAGACAAANAAAAAAAAAAAAAAAAAAAAAAAAAAAAAAAAAAAAAAAAAAGAAAAAAAGAGGTTTCTCAGATGGTGAATGCTAAAATTATAAGAGTAATTATATGATAGATTGTTCTTTTCGTTTTAACTTGAGTTTAATTTTTTACTGTTTAACAAGTTAGACCACTGATTTAAAAACTTAGGCTAAATAAATTTTTCTTTTTCTGTAAAAACGAAATAGAGTGCTTTAAACGGATCCATGTATTCGATAAATCAAAAAGCAGATGAAATGAGATAAGTTTCTATTTTCATTCCTTTGATATAAAGCATTGAGTTTTCTTGTTTTAAATGACTGTCAGAAACCGTTTTCTACGATAAACAGGAAATAAATCTACTTAATTCGCACGGTCGCTGATTGATTTACATATCATTTAATACCACATCAAATCTCAAGAAAAAAATTATATTAGATTGGAAGCAGGGCTCGAATATTTCGAGCATTACAGTTTTAAGTTTGGTGACGCAATGGATGGGTTATGTCTTTTTAAATCTTAAGTGAGAGAAAAAAGATTTAAATTGATCGATAATTGTTCGTACTGATGCCACATGGTTCTGTACTGAGTGCTTATTCAATAGGAAATACAATGAGAAGCTTTTTTTTCATTTTCATGAAGAACTTACTTTTTTTTCTTTATTCGAAGATAAGGAACGACAGAGAGCATTCCGTGCAAAAACTAATGTAGTGTCATGAAACTATTCTGATATTTGATCTAAAAATATCATCGAACACTAATACCTGAAACTTGAGTTTTATTAAGTACTACACAACAAATGAATGAATGTAAAACAGACAATTTTGACACCAGCAAGTACAAAACGAATTGAAGAATTTTTTGGGTAAGAAATAGGCCAGTGATAGATCAGAAAAATAGAAATAGGTCGATTAGGAGTCGAAAGTTAGCGTCAATTCAAACAAATTATCATAGTGCAATTTTCAATCAATCAGTTTAAAATTGATGACGTTAAAAACAACTAAGGAATTGATTCTAAATTTTGGTTGTTTTTGTAAAAGTTAATTGAGAGAATGTTCACCGGATAAAAATAACTAAACACAAAACATGTAAATTGTTTATATGATAAATTCAGGTATACATTTCATAAATCGGGTCTCAAAGATAGGTCAATAAGTAACCAACGATGTCTTGAGCTAATTTTAATAAATTATCACACTCGTCAATTATGCATAATATATTAATTTTTGTATTTGAAAATATCTATTGATCGTCGAAAAGCTTAAAAATTCAAAGTCAAAAGTTTATACAAGTACTTTATTTTTAGGCTAAGTTTTGAATTGGGGATAATCAAAAATACTTTAATAGACATTATAAAATGGAAACTAATAATTTTACAGCTTTTTAAAAACACGTTGTTTTGAGGCTGGTTATAAATTTCACTATCACAAATTTTATAAATTATTCATTTACGAATTTATCTAAAAATGAAAAATTTATTTTGACAGATCTTTCATGCAAGGGTCCATAAATTTGCCAGATGTTAAAATGTTTCACTAAACCTAAATCAAGAATTTACAGTTATACGCTATTTCTCTCTTGGACGTATTTTGTACAATCATATTTTATTCTTTTATTTATCATCAGCCTAAAGTGTTGTTAAATATGTTTTCTAATGTACATGAAATTGCACATATTAAACAGTAATGTTGATAGTATTGAAAGTGGTAATGGATTTGAGATCATCATAATTCAACGCCACCGAATTAAAAAAATATTATAAATTGAATGTAAAAGCTTAAAAGTTGTAAACGTTTAATTTCATAATATTATATGTTTAATTTCTTTAATAGTTAATGTTGTAAAGTAATGTAAAAACAATTTACGTAAATTGAAATTTTTTCTTATGAAATTAATTTTGTGTAATACTATGCAAATTAAAATAAGAATATATATAAACCTGTTTTTTATCTAATTCATAATATTTGAATTTGTTGAAAAGTCCAAGTCATTGATTAAAGTAGAATTTGAGATGTTTTGATAAAAAGTAAAAGATGAAGAGAAATTGATCTTGTACTCAAAATAAACATTAGACTACATAATAATAAATATTATTATAGCTAAGAAAAAAAAATCAAAACATAGCTACCAAAATGTGTTTCATATCTAAAATAATATTATTTGTTGATCTTAGAAAAAAAAAAAATATACATCACATCACAACATTAAATGATCATCTTTCATGATATATCTAAATATCTTAAAAGGAAAAAAATAATGCTGGTACAGATTACGTGTTTTTTTTTAAATAACTATTGCAATATTAGATTGATCTTTTATATGTATTGGTCCTCTCAAGATTAAACACTTTATTGAATTATAAGTTGTTCGAAGAAACTATGTATAACTAGGAAAGTCGATTTAAAGATATACTTCTCACCAGATTTATAAAAATTAAGAGCTTACAACAAGTAATATGCCAACATATTCAACAAATTTATTTTATGAATTTATGCAATACACATATAAATAATTTTAAAAATTTGAAACAATCTATAGACTTAATAATTTTTTAATTTATTAAATGAAATAAAACTGTATATTATTACAGTTATGTGTAATTTATCTTTCAAACTTAACCAATATTACCTATAACTTATCTACATAATTAAAATTCTATCCCATTTTTTCTACTACTAATTTTTAATTTCAAAACTTACAAAACATAAATTTACTTAATTAACAATTTTTACCATGGATCATAATAAAAAAGGTGATCCAAACGACTGGATTGAAATTCCAAAATCCAAGTTTTCAAAAAATCCAAAAAATTTAATTACTGTTGAAAATCATAAAAGTTTAGATCAACAAGATATGGAAGGTTTTAAATCAAACCCTTATGCATTATTAACTATTCCTGACGGTAAAGAAAATTCAGATAATGAAGACAACGAAGAAACTACAACAAATTCAACTTCAAATTCAAAACTTAATAACAATATCAAAGTAAATGTTTCGGATATTACATCTTTAGGTATCAAAAAAGATATCAAGAAAAAGTCAGCTACTAGTGGTTTAGTAATGAATGTTAATTCAAACGGTACAACAAAATTAAACAAAAAAGAATTAAACAGAACTATCAAATCAATTGATGAAGATACATTTTCAACTAATGAATTCACTCCAAAATCATCAACAGATTCAACTTCCTTTCAAGCAAAAATAGATAAGCCTATTGGATATGAAAACTCATCAGCATCATCATCATCAACAATCAACTTAGGTGATAATTTTAAAAGAAAATTTGACAACGAAACTCCTACCATCAACTGTATTAAAAAACAAAAAATTGAACATTCAAGTTTAAATGTGATTCAATCTCCAAATGTTGTTCAAATTCAAAAAAGACCACCAAAAAAAATGCTTTTAAGGGATCCAATAGGGTCATTTTTTGGAGTAAGTAATAATATTGAAGAGACTCCTGCTGAAGAAACACCTGCTGAACATCCACCTGCTGAACATCCACCTGCTGAACATCCATCTGCTGAATCTTATATTCGACCAACTAATGCTGCTGATGTTGAACCATTGATCATTAATTCAAACCCTAGTAAAACAGAAGTTTTTGCACAAGCATCAATTTTAAAAAGTTTGGCTAAGAAGCAAGAAATTTTATATAAAAGTGAAATTTCAAATCAATTAAATGATATTCATCATGTGACCAAAAATTTAGTTAATAAAAAAAATACATTGGAGTTAACAAAAATGGTTAAAGATTATGATTACTGTTTTTTGTCTGAATTAAATCGTGAAAGTAATTTATTATTTAAAGGATTAAAATCATACAAACATGTTGTTGGATTATTAAGTAGTCGCTCTGGTATATTGGTGAAAGAATCAAATAAATTAAAAATAATTGAAACATTAACAATTAATAAACAACTTCCCGAAATTTACAGAATTAGGACAGCTGATTGTTTAATAGAAGTTGAAGGTAAACAAATCCTTTTGATATCTATTTATGGGGTTCTGGGACATCCTTATGAAACTAAAGAAATAATAAAAGCAATTTATGAAAAAGCTATTATCACTTATGCTCAATCTACAACAATCCATTTTTCTGGTGATTTCAATTGTTCCATGCATATTACTAAAGAAAATGACTATGAGGAAGGATGTCGTGAAGAATTTAAAAAATTGATAAATTACTATAACGCTGTTGATTCATTAGGTCATCATGATAGCTGTTATGCAACTTTTATTTCTTCCAGGTCAATCAGAGCAATTGATTATGATTTTAAATCAAAACAATTAAATAATTGGTCAACTAAAATTAGATTATTTCATGATCAATTGAGTGATCATTTGTCTATTGAAGGTTCATATAACACATCATTATCAACACAACCATCATTGAAATTATTAAAGGCAAGTGATTTTGAATTTATTCAAAATGAATATTCAAAACTTAAACCTGCTTTTTCATATGTTTTTGCAGTCGAAAAACTTCAGCAAATAGTTTCCAAAGATGAAGTTGATTTGGAAGAAAATGGTATAGATGGTGAAATAATGAAAACAATTGAAGAGAATGGTTTGCCAATGATGTCAATTGAAGATTATGAGAAACCTCGGAAAACGGGTCCTTGGTCAGATTCAGAAGACCAACTATTGGTTAAATTAATTAAAGTTTTCGGTGGGAATTTTTCAGCACTTGCAATGTTTTTTCCGGCTAGAAAGTATTCGCAAATAAAAGACCACTATTTCAACGTTGCTGATAAGACTATCAAAAAAGGTCTATTAACACCAAGTGAAAAAGAACAAATTAACAATCTTAGAAATCAAAAAAAATCATACTTGGAGATTGGTATTTTGATGAAAAGAGGTCCGGAATTGGTAGAAAGATATTTAAGGAGAGAAAAAGAAAAAGCTGAGGGGTATAAAACCAATGATTATGGTAAAGATGAAACTGAAGATTTATTAAAATTAATTAACGATGGTATGGAACTAGGACAAATATCAAAAATATTAAAAAGAAGCCGAAGAAATTTATATTTGAAACTCAGACGTTTGAATTATTTTAACAAATTGAACATGGAAGAAAAAGTTGAAATTGAAGAGTTGTTAAGATCCAACACTAGTCATGGAATTATTGCCGCTAAACTTAATAGAAATAGATCATTCATAATGGAGTATGTAAACAGCATTGAAAGAGAACAATTTGTTTACTCCATTAATGAAAAGTTTTTTGAAGTGGATCGAGAAGCTTTATACAAAGAGTATGGAAAAGAAGAATTGGAGATTATAATAAATAAACTGGATGATGAAGGATTTCCTGCTATTGCTCAAAAATTACTAGTCGCTGGTTACTATAGAACAGTTGATGGTATTAGAAAGAAATATGATTTACTAATTAAACAAAAAAGGGAACATGAACAAAAACTCGAAAGAGGTGAAGTTGACAATGAATTTGTGCTCAAACTTGAAACAAGAACAACAGGATGGTCTGGTTCAGAAGAACAAAAATTAAATGCTTTAGTTGCAAAATATGGTAGAAGATTTCCATTCTTCGCAGAAAATTATTTTCCTGATAGATCTGCTCAATCCCTTCAACATCACTTTAACTACATCAATCCCAGTTTATATTTGGTTGAATATGAAGGTAAATTTCAAATCATCAATGAACAAGCTTACCAAAAAGCTTTACTAGAATCAAAACAGTTTAGTTTTCAAGCAAGAATTCCAAAAGAAAAATCACCAGAAGTAAAAAACGTTTTCAATGATGATGATTTATATGAAGAACAAGAAGATGATGAAATTGAAGAATTAATTCATGATGAAGATGATGGTGAAAACAATGAGTCACCTTTTGTTGTAAAAACTATCAAGGCCTATACAAAAGAGGAAAATCTCAGACTTTTGGCAATAGGTAATGTATTTAAAAGATGGTTTGTTATCAAATTATGGGGTTTGTTTCCAGGTAGAAGCGCCCATAATTTAAGCGGTCAGTATTTAAAATTAAGAAATTTTGATGAAAAATCATTAACTGCATACTTAAACAGAAATGGTTACGATACTAATGAATACTGTTGGACAACAGAGCTTCAAAATCTTCTAATAGATAAAAGAGATGAAGGATCAAAATGGGATGATATATCAAAAATTCCTGAATTTTCTGGTTCAAATTCTGGATATTTGAAAAATTATTATTATCAACTAAATGTTGTCCAATATTTGGTTGAAGAAAATGAATATGGGAATTTTTCCATCAAATCCAAAAGATATGTTGAAAATACTACCAATCAAATGATGATCCCACCTATAGAATTGCCAAAAAAGTATGAAACCAGAGTAATCAAACCTGAAACCTACAATCCATTAATTGATTCATTTACAGAAGAAGACAATGAAAGATTAAAAAAGTTATATAAAGTGGTCAAAGATTTTGGCATCATTCAACAAGTTTTCAATTATTCAATTAATGAGTTAAAATCACACTGGTCAAGAATCAATGAAAAAATGGATCAGGTAGTTGAATATGAAAATTCAACTTTTGAATTTTGTTCCAAATCAAGCTTGGATGAGATTCGTCAAAATGAGAAAGATGCGATAGCAAACAAGATTCCCATATTAAAACGTGTCTTACAGGCATTCAATTTAAGTGGTGATGATGTTGTAGCTACGGATGTTCAAAAAAGAGCTTTTAGATGGAGCCATCATAATGAAAGAAGATTGTCCAATTTGGCAAAAGCAATGGATGTGGCTTTACCTACAAAAAATTGGTTGGCCATAGCTCACAAAACTACGTTTTTTCCTGGTAAGTCAAATATGGATATCTTCAATCAGCTTAAATACATTAAAAGAAGAAAATAATGGAATAATTCTACTTTAATGTTCATATTCACCATATAAGAATCTAATATTATATGGAGCTCAAAATACAAAATCTATATTATGAATTTTTGATTAACTCTATCTACTTTTGCAGAAAAAAAATCTCTTTCAAATTGATTAAATTCAGCAAATTCGCATAAGCTAACAAGATCCCGGTTATTGAGCAATTTAAATAAAAATCATACAAGACGATGGAATGTTTGCAAAAAATACTCAAATTTAGTCTTGTTCCAGATTTGGAAGTATTCCGATGTTTAACTTGTCAAACACTTTGTTAAGTTATGAATTAAATCTATTTAACCTATATTCACCTTAAAAAACCTCTTAAATAAGAACCTAATTTAGTAGCCCCATCTTCTAAAGCATCTTTTAAAACTTCTATATCTTGATTTGCATTACTTGAAGATCTTGAAGTAAATACTTTTGCACTTGCTTTTACATCGATTAAATTAAGACCTTTCTTTTTCTTTAAAGTTATTTTATTAAATAAATTATAGATTAAACGATAATGTTCTCTTTTGAATGATATTTGTGTGAAGTAACTCTTTACTCAAAAAATAGACTAATGTTTTGAATCTCAAATTAATTTGTCATCAAGAACTTAACTTTGAGGATCAGATTATCAAATCAAATGTTAGTTCATAAACTTCAACAAGAAATATGTAAGGAGATAGGTTTCTTAACATTGAGTTTCATCTCTTCAACTATTCACCAATATAAATTCAAATGATCATTTTACCTTTCAAAAAAATTTAACTTTAAATAAAAACCAGGTTTCTTTTTTGGGTTTCCTCTTTTCAACTTCATTTCTGGTTTGAAAGTTAGTTGCATTGTCCTTGAATTATTTTTTTGATTGTAAAGCTTGATTTGTTTTATTATAATTGTTAAATAATGATTTAGTTATTTGAGCATGATAATTTGCAGATTTACTAGAATATGATAAATTATTTTTATTATTAGTATTTGAAGGATTTGAAGTTGAAGTTGTGGAACTTTTGGAGTGACCTAACTCGTTTGAAGTCATTTTATAAAATCATAAAACTTGGGTATATATATATATAATCGTTATGTAATAAACTATGATGTAATTCTTAGTGAATGATATATCCGAGAATTTTGATTGGTTTCTTATTAAAATATGTTCAATATCTTGTTTTACATTCGGTTTGTGTTGTTAATAATAATTGAAAGTTGAATCTTCAAAACCATTCATTGCCCAATTCTTGAGATATGATCAATTCAAATCTTTCTGAATTTTTTTTGAATTTGATACCATTTTTGATGATTTTTCCCCATTATTAATTTACAAGCTTTGTAAAGAAACTATTGGACCAAGTTACCGATTAGAAGCTTCTAATAATGATGGAGACTTTGTTTAATAAGAACTTTAAGTAAATTTGGGTTATCATATTGTCATTAAAATTAGATGAATTAAAATGTGTATCATAATGATTTGATGACTAACGAAGTTACAATTTATGTAGTAAATTTATAAATATGTGTTTTGTTAATTTTTTCTATGACTTTGTTCAAGTTTTCTTTTATAGAAGAATAGCTATTGAAAGATTTCAATAGTAGGGACATTTCGTGTTTCTTAATCAAAAATAGAATATAAAGCATAGAGATTATTCAAAATTATAAATGCTTTATTTAATGAGCTCAATTAAATATATTCTCTACAATTATTTTTCATCTAATCATATCTTCATTTATTAATTCTATCATCATCTAATTTTCTAGTCTTCTTTTTCTAATGATAATCTTTGTTGTTTTTGTAATCTTTTTAATTTTGTATTTTGATAAGTTCCTAAAATAAAAAATACAATATTAAAAAATACAACCCATAATTCTGGTTGTATATAATTATTTGCAATAATTAATGATAAAAATGATACAATCAATGAAGTTTTTAAAGTTGTTAAGTAACCTTTTTTCAAGCCAGCTTTAATAATGTTAATTAATTTTAAAATTTCATTAATTGGATTAAAATTTTTTAAATTTATTTTGTAGTTATTTATAATTGAAATCCATGAAACAAAACATGCAGTAATTAATGGAGTTACAGTAAATAAACTTGTTAATAATCTTAAAATTTTTTGTTTTGATGATAAAGGTGGTTTAAAAATTTGATTTATTATACCATATAAATTATGACTTATTGGTGTTGAAATTAATGATCCATAAATTATCATATTAATTAATTTTGGACTAAACACATGTTTTATATTAAAACCTAAAATTTTTGTTTCTTTATATTCATTTGTAATTGCTGAAGAAATTGTTTCATTTAATCCACTTAATATACCTGAAGTTATTGATTTTGTTAATAAAGGATATTTTATAAGATAAGCTAAATATTCTGTATTTAATGATTGTAATGTTAAAACAATAGGTGTCATTTGTTTATACATTGTTGATAGTTGTGGGTATTGTATTAGAAAATCAACATGAAATTATTGATCTTTGAAATGTTAATTGTATATATAATCTCATCATTAAATAATAATAACTTTAAACGGTTATCTCCACCTTTTTTGGTAAGCTAGTAAAACGGAAAAAATTTCCTTATTTGGAGCTATCTCAAACGCGTTTTAATTTTTAATTTATTATTTTTTTATTTTTTATTTTAAAGATCAACAAATTTTTTTTTAAGACTTTCAAATTAATATTCAAATGATACTTATAAAAAGTAAAATATTTTATGATTAATAGAATTATAAATAGTTTGTTATATACAATTGTATAATCAAAGAATAGTTTTAGTTTATAATGATATAAAAATGAAAACAAAATATGAATCTATTTATATAAATATTTTTATTTACTTAGCGGTATTTTATTTATTTATTATTTAATTTTTAATTATTGATAAATGTATATATCAAAACTCCGGAGATTATATTCGGACTTATTGGTAAATTAGTTAAGCTGATTTAAAGGGACATGATATAAAACTCTGATGAATTCTGAATTCAAAGTCTTTTAATTTCTCAATTGTCTGTTTAAAAGTTGGGCTCATTTTTGTAGTATAATTTTCAACAATGTCTAGGGAACCCAAATTTGACTATCTTTTATTAAATATTGGTGCTAAATTTAGGTGATGAGCTCCATACTTCAAGTTTAAATCTTGCTTATTTGTGTTGTAGAAATTGTTGATCTAGAAATTTTAGTTTGTTTTATTGCAAAATTTGGGTAACTTTGTTACTTTAGAACAAAACATCCAATTTATATTTTGAAAAGTTGAATAGTATATTATTAGTATAACGAGCACTTTTAATTATGATAACAAGATTTTAAGCAAATTCAATCACTAATTCTTGAATTTAAAGTTCAAAAGACAATGTAAATTTGGTTGCAAAAACATTCTTTAATTAAATCTTTTCATCAATAGTTTAGAAGGAAATAAGTTGAAAAATACTTGAAGTTAAATAATTGCAAAAAAAAACAACCTTGTTTGTATCATTAGAATTTAATAAACTGGAAATAGGGTAAAATTATCAAAAGAAGTCTTTAATTTTGTAATTATATGGTACAACAATTTTATAGTAATCTACAACCATGGTTGAAGCTTGTCTAGTTCTTTGTAGTTTCTCTAGAGATAAATTCATATATAATTTATACAGAATACAATAATATAATATAATTTTAAACAAAACTTATTATAAAGCAATCGTAACAAATTGAAAAAATACCTAAACACAACAAGCTTGCCCCTAAAAAATTCCACCACTTCCTTGTTAATAAAGGTGTTGAAAGCTTTCTGTTTTCATTTTATGATAATATACATTATTTTTCCTAAAACTTTGAAAAAACTGGCAATGAAAACTAAAGGTGAAGTATATCTGTTCTCACTTGCATTTTTAGGTCACAAAATAGATTACTGGGATTAATAATTAAAAAAAATTGGAAATATTGATTCTTCAAGTTTAGAAGATTACTTTTGTGGAACTAATTAATAATAAGATTTTGTATTTTATTTCATTGTCATTGGTATTAACTTCTTTTTTCATAATTTTGAATAAGTGTCTTTCTTTAAGGATATCATATAAAATGAATGTTATTTATATAAGGTTCATATATTTGATTTTGTGTAATACTAATTTCTTATTCATATAATAATTTGCTTTTCATTCTATTTGTAGTATAATTTGTATACTACAATCTCCACATTTATCATGTTCAAATCATCAATTGCACCAACAACTTTAATTTTCAAAAGAAATATGATAACAGCTAATGCGGTTTTATACACGCAACATGGAGAACCTAAAGATGTATTATTTACTCAAAAATATCAAATAGATAATGAAAATTTACAACCAAATAAAATTATTGTTAAAACTATAGCTTCACCAATAAATCCTTCAGATATTAATCAAATTCAAGGGGTTTATCCATCGAAACCTGCCAAAACTTTAGATTTTCAAACCAATGAACCTGCAGCTCCATGTGGTAATGAAGGATTATTTGAAATTTTAAAAATTGGTAAAGATATAAAAAATTTTGAAATTGGAGATTGGGTTATACCAAGTCAAGTTAATTTTGGTACTTGGAGAACTCATGCTTTAGGTGAAGAATCGGATTTTATCAAAATAAGTAAAAAATTAACTATAAATCAAGGTGCAACTATATCTGTCAATCCATTAACTGCATATCTTATGTTAACTCATTATATAAAATTGACACCAGAAAAAGATTGGTTTATTCAAAATGGTGGAACTTCAGCTGTGGGTAAATATGCAATTCAAATTGGGAAATTATTAGGTATAAATTCAATTTCTGTAATAAGAGATAGACCAAATTTACAAGAAACTAAAGATGTTCTTTTAAGATTAGGTGGTACACAAATTATAACAGAAGAAGAAAATTCTTCTCGAGAATTTAGTTCAACAATAAAACAATGGGTTAAAGAAACAAATGGTGAATTGAAATTAGCATTAAATTGTGTTGGTGGGAAATCTTCTTCAGGTATTGCCAGAAAATTAAATAATAATGGATTAATGTTAACTTATGGTGGAATGTCAATGCAACCAGTAACAATTCCAACATCTTTATATATTTTTAAAAATTTTACAAGTGCTGGATTTTGGGTAACTGAATTATTGAAAAAAAATCAAGAATTAAAACAAAAAACATTGAATCAAATTATTGAATGGTATGAAAAAGGTGAATTAAAAGACGCTCCAAGTAATTTGGTGGTTGTTGATGACGAATTATCTAAAGTATATGTTAAAGGTATTGAGGATAAGTCCGGTAAGCAAGTAGTTACATACTAGTAAAATTAGTTGTAGTGTACATTGTAAATTATAAAACACAAACGTTTTTGGTGAAATTGCTGCAAATTTTAGAACTTAAAATACCAGTAGAGTGTCATTGAAACACGTAGGAGTTGCAATTGACAATACTTATTTATAGTTTTTAATCAATGTCATGGTCATTATTGTAAATTCAATTCAATAACTACTTCATTTCTCTTTCGGTTACTAAATATGTATAACCACCAAAAAAATCAAATCTGAATCATCGGTGATTTCCGAGCCGTTTTTAGACAACTAAAATTACCAAAAAAGTAAATTGAAAACGTGAATCATATAGGATCTCAAATCTCAGATCAAATTGAAAAAATTTTAGATCTAGAAGTGATTAATATCGAGATACAAAAATCTGGGGTTTTTTCATAATTTTTGTTGGTGTCTTTTTTTTTAACATATTTTAATTTTTTTTCTTATCAGTTACAGATAAGCTCACTGAAATACCAAAACCACCAACTCCCAAAATGTCAAGAGCTATATCGTCAACAAGAGTATTAATAGAAAATGAAATAATACCTGGTACCCTAATATACTCAATTGAAACTGGGAAAATTCTAGAACTACAAAAAGAAATTTTGCAACCAGGAGATCCAATACTAAAAAGATATGATGTCTTATCAATAGATTATAGAAATGTTTCACCAGCAGTAGTAATGCCAGGTTTAGTTGATGCACATGTACATTTAAACGAACCAGGGCGTACAGAATGGGAAGGATTTGAAACGGGAACAAAAGCAGCAGCTTCCGGAGGTGTAACAACAGTAATTGATATGCCATTAAATGCTATACCACCAACAACAACTGTTCAAAATTTCAATATTAAAATAAATGCAGCTAAGAATCAATGTTGGGTAGATGTTGGATTTTGGGGTGGATTAATTCCAACAAATTTATTAGATTTAAAACCACTTATAAAAATGGGTGTACGAGGTTTTAAAGCTTTTATGATTGAAAGTGGTGTTGAAGAATTTCCTGCTATAACTCCCAAAACTATAGTAGATGCAATGAAAATTGTTAAAAATGAAAAAACTTTATTAATGTTTCATGCAGAAATGCAACCAGAAGAACATAGAGTTGAATTTGAATTTTCAGAAGATGAAGAAGAACCAGAGGAAGAACAAAATTTGGTGGTTACAGTTGAAGATGCATTAATGAATTCAAATTTCGATTTGGGAATGTCTGCATCTTTTATTAATAGAGCTCCTGAAAAAGTTGTTAAACTATTAAAAAATGATCATGGTGATTATAAACATGAACATGAAAATTGTCATTTACCTCATAATCATGCAGGATCAATGGATCATAAAATATTAACTGATGCTCAAGCAAGAGCTTTAGCTCATACACCAATATTAGCAGGTGCAGAACCAACTTATGGTAAAAATGCAATGAAAGTAAATAAACATGAACCATGGGAAGATGATACAAAAGTTAGTACACCATTATTATTAGCAGCACAAAGAGATTCAACTTTAAAAAATATTGACCCAACATCATATGCATCATTTTTAGCTTCAAGACCAGATAATTTTGAAACAACAGCTATAGCAGAAATTATCAATTGTTCAACATTAATTCCAACAGTTCCATTACATATAGTTCATTTAGCAACACATGAAGCAATCCCCTTGTTACGAGCTGCAAAAGCAAAAAATTTACCAATAACTGCAGAAACTTGTTTCCATTATTTATCATTATGTGCAGAAAAAATCGAAAATTGTTCAACTCATTTCAAATGTTGTCCACCTATAAGAACTGATGATAATAGAAAATTATTATGGAAAGCCTTGAGAAATGATATAATTTCTACGGTAGTAAGTGATCATTCACCATGTACACCGGATCTTAAAGGGTTAGAAAAAGGTGATTTTTTTGAAGCATGGGGTGGTATATCAAGTGTTGGATTTGGATTACCAATATTATATACAGAAGGATTAAAATTAAATCCACCAATAAGTCTTGTTGAAATTAATAAATGGTGTTCTAAAAACACTGCAAAACAAGTTGGATTAAATCATAAAAAAGGAACCTTCAAGGTTGGTTATGATGCTGATATATGTGTATTTGATACTGATTCACAATTTAAAATTGAAAACAAACAAGTTCATTTTAAAAATAAATTAACTGCTTATGATGGTATGGAATTTAAAGGGAAAGTTTTAGAAACTTTAGTAAGAGGTAAAACAGTTTATGCTTTAGGAAAAGGTCATTCAATTACACCTTTAGGAGATTTAATATTAGAACCAAGGAAAAATTAAATATCATTCATTTCTATTTGTTCTGGTTCTAACATATTATTGAAAAAAGTAGTTCTCAACTCTTTCCATCTAGTTGAGTATGTACTTAAAGTTACCAATAAAAAAGCACTTAGTATTTGTAAAAACCACCATAATAAACTTGTAGGAAATTTACCGACATAACACCAAGTTATTATTAAATTAACGATATGAATAGTTAACGCAAAATCCCAAGCTAATTTCGATCTACCAACTATAATTGTCACAAATAATACACAAGTTAATGAGTCAAATAACCATAAGGCAAATAATGTTAATCCCATAGCATTTTCTAAAGAAACTATTTGCCATTGAAAGATCCAATCTATTGAAAATTCATACCCATTTAGTAGTGATACGATATAAAATATAATTAATGCTGATAAATAATAAAACAATTGTAGTAGAACTATTTGAACTAGTAGTTTTTTAGGGTTTGTATACTCTTTATCTTGATATAGTTTTATATAATTGATCATGGACTTGTTGTTGATAACACAAATAAATATATTAATATATATTTATTTTTTTTGTTTCAAATATTTTTTTAATTAGTACATCATCTTATAAATAATGAAAGAAGAAGATTTGATACTTACAATAGATAGTGAAGAAGAATTTAATGATTCTGATTCTTCAGGAGATGAAAAAGATGAACCAGCCAGAGAAATAGATCCAAGTTTTCAATTTTCATTAGGAGATGACCTTGATGAAATCAAAGAATGGGAAGTTGAAGAACCTACAAAGGATGTTGATTTAGATGAAATTATAAAGAGCAAAAGAGGAGATGATGAAGAAGAGCTAGAAAATGAATCTGATGCTGAACTTGAAGAAATACCACAACAACAATCACAACAACAAGAATCAGAAAGTGATACAGAAGAAGCCATAAATGAATTTTTTGAATCTGCAACCACCACAACCACCAAAACATTTCAAGATTTACAACTATCACGTCCAATTCTCAAAAGTATACAAAGTTTATCCTTCACAACTCCAACACCTATTCAATCAGCCACTATACCCATTGCCCTTTTAGGTAAAGATATTGTAGCAGGTGCACAAACTGGGTCTGGTAAAACAGCTGCATATTTAATTCCATTAATAGAACGTTTAATTTTCAAAAATTCAACATCAACTAAAGCCATAATTTTAACTCCTACAAGAGAATTAGCTATTCAAGTTTATGATGTAGGAAGAAAATTAGGTCAATTTGTAAATAATTTAAATTTTGGTTTAGCAGTTGGTGGGTTAAACTTAAAACAACAAGAACAACAATTGAAAACTAGACCTGATATTGTTATTGCGACTCCAGGTAGATTAATTGATCATATACGAAATAGTCCCAGTTTCAGTGTTGAAGATGTACAAGTATTAATAATTGATGAAGCTGATAGAATGTTGGAAGAAGGGTTTCAAGAAGAACTTACTGAAATATTATCTCTTATACCGAAACACAAGAGACAAACTTTATTATTTTCAGCTACAATGAATACTAAAATCCAAGATTTAGTACAATTATCATTAAATAAACCAGTTAAAGTTATGATAGATCCACCAAAAACAGTTGCATCAAAATTAGAACAACAATTTGTTCGTATAAGGAAAAGAGAAAATTTAAAACCTGCCTTATTATTTGGACTTTTAAAAAAGTTAGATGGTAGAATAGTTGTATTTGTTTCAAGAAAAGAAATGGCACATAAATTAAGAATTATTATGGGGTTACTAGGTTTAAAAGTTGCTGAATTACATGGTGCATTAACTCAAGAACAAAGATTGTATAATGTCAAAGCATTTAAAGATGATGTAAATGTTTTGGTGTGTACGGATTTAGCAGCTAGAGGGTTAGATATAAAAATTGAATATGTTATCAACTTTGACATGCCCAAAACATATGAAATTTATTTACATAGAGTTGGTAGAACTGCAAGAGCTGGAAGAAAAGGTACATCTATATCATTTGTTGGAGAAAGTAATCAAGATAGAGCAATTGTTAAATCAGCTATTAGTAATGGTAAAAGTGTTGCAAGAAAAGTAGACTGGAATGATGTGGAAACTATAAATTCCAGAATTGAAAATAAAGAATCTACAATTGATGAAGTATTAGAAGAAGAAAAACAAGCAAAAGAAATTTTAAGAGCTGAAATGCAATTAAATAAAGCAGAAAATTTAATGAAATATGAAAAAGAAATTCATTCAAGACCTAAAAGAACATGGTTTAAAAATGAGGTAATGGAACAATTAACAAAACATGGTAAAAAAGTAAATTCTAAAAAGAGAAAAGCAAATGAAGTTAAAAAGGAATCAAATGAAAAAAGATCTTATAAAAAGACTAAAGTTGATAGAACTAAAAAGAATTCAAATAAAAAGAAGAAATAGAATGAATATATAAAAATAATTTTGATTCATGATCAAAGATAGATTTGTAGAATTCTTTGTATGCAGTATTGTTGATATAATATTAAATACATATTTTTTACGCGTAATCATCAACTTTAACAACCAACCATAAATCAATGAATACCTCATTTGTATGACTGATTGGGGTCCTGGTGAGAATCATATAGTCTTACAGAATAAACACAAACAATTTTATAGACCGGAAGTATTTGGGGAAGCTGAGACTTATAATAAAAGCGTACCACTATTTATAAATGATATAAGAAATTCAATTGATTTATTTAAAACATATAAACATGTTTCATTTCAAATGAGTGATACTTTGATGATCAATAATTGGCCTATCAACCAGGCAGAAATATTTGGTAGAATTATTGGAGAAAAATATCAACCAGAAAAGGACTTTGCAACTTTAACTATTGATGATTATTCAGGTTCTAGACTGATTTTTGTGATTAGAATGACATATGATAATATACTTGAAAGTAATATTAAAATATTTGAAGAGAATTATGGTAAACTAATCCGAATGGTTGGACATTTTCATAATAATCAATTTAAAGTTGATAATTTGAATATTATTAACAACAATGATATGGAAATTGAATTTGGATTTTGGTCAGAAAGAGTTGAATTTAGGGAAACAATACTAAGAAATGCTTGGAAATTTGAACCAATTGCTAAATCTCAAAAGGTTCAAGAAGAAATTGTTTTCAAATTTAGTCAAAGAGAATTACAAAGGAGAGAAGAAAGAGAAAAATTGAATTTAACACTGGATGATATGGTTATGACAAGTAATATTGAAGATTCATTAGTTGTTCATGAGAATAAAGCCAATGAAATAATAGTTGATTTGACTGATTCACCAGAACTAAAAGCAGAACCTGAAGTTATAGTAATCAGTGATGATGAAGATGAAGAATATCAATTTAAATTGAAAATGACAAATATAATAAAAAAATGTTTGGTAGTGATCATAGAAAACTCATTTGAAGTAACTACATTAAAAGAATTAACTGAAAATGAGTCTGTATCCAAATTAATCCAACCTTTAAGTCAAAAGTCGTTAATAATGAAAAGAATTGGAGTATACTTTTCAAAATCAGATCTTTTCCTGGTGGAAGGTAATATTATTAACTCCTTTAAATTTGATCAAATTTATCATAACATCAAAAAATATTTAAATGAAAAAACTAATTTTAACGTTGTTAAATATGTTAATCATATTAAGTTAAACTTCAACGTAAATGTTGAATACAAATTGATTAATTATTTAATAAATTATATCTTGATAAATACAAATAAAAATTGGATTTATTTGAATGATGAAAAGAAATTTATTAAACAAACTAATTTAGATTAAATAGATAATTATTAAACAATTTGAAATATACGAGATTCTACACAAATTAAATTTACGGAAATATACAAGATGCTAATAACCCTATTCTAACTTTATACACGTGAATTGCACGCCTTTTTTAGTAAGTACCAAATTGGTAGCCTACTTTCACTTTAACATAGTAACTCAATTTCATAGTATTGAAAAAAATGAAAAATGATTTTTTACTAACAAACGAAAAGTAATAGAACTTTATCACCAATCTACTATATATAACTTATATCACATAATACAAGAATGGTATGTTCAAAATTGGAGAATAACCACAGGGTAGACATTTGAATTTAAAAATAGACCAACAGGGGAGTTTTATCAATCAAGTGTCAATACAAATGTACCTTTCAACTTTTAGAATTTTCATACTAACATCAATTTTAGAGTGACTCAGTTACTATTAGAACTAGAAAAGTTATCACCAACCCATTATTATCAAGAAGACAATTTGTCATTGATGTTTTACACCCAGGTAGAGCTAATGTTTCAAAAGATGAATTAAGAGAAAAATTATCCGAAATTTATAAAGCTGAAAAAGATGCTGTTTCAGTATTTGGCTTCAGAACTCAATATGGTGGTGGAAAATCAACTGGTTTTGGTTTAATTTATCAATCAGTTGCTGATGCTAAAAGATTTGAACCAACTTATAGATTAATCAGATACGGATTAGCTGAAAAAGTTGAAAAAGCTTCAAGACAACAAAGAAAACAAAAGAAAAATAGAGAAAAGAAAATCTTTGGTACTCAAAGAAAAGCTCAAAAGAAAGCTGCTAAAAGAAATGCTGAATAAACAAATTTATAAATCATCAAACTGTATAATACATTTTAAATTCTGTAATTTATTTTTTTGCATCCTTGATGTATTAATTTACAAAATCAAATAAATAATTTAAAAAATTGGGGAATAAATTTTGAAAGTGATGTAGATTAAAATTGATCTCTTTAACCACCACCAATAACTTTTTTTTTTTTTTTGAGACCACAATATGTCAGAAAGAAAAGCCATTAATAAATATTATCCTCCAGATTATGATCCATCAAAAGTAGTACGACAAAAGAAGAATAAAAATGTTAATCAAACTATAAAGATTCGTATGATGGCGCCATACTCAATGAGGTGTCTAAAATGTAATGAATATATAGCAGAAAGAAGATCATTCAATGCAAGAAAAGAAACTACTGATGAAAAATATTTAAATATAAAAATTATAAGATTTTATATAACGTGTCCTGGATGTAATAATACAATATCATTCAAAACAAACCCTGCAGAAGCTGGTTATACCCCAGAAGAAGGAGCTGTTAGAAATTTTGAACCATCAAAAAAGAAAAGAAAACAAGAAGAAACTGATGATGAATTACTAAAAAGATTGGAAAATGAAGATATTGAAGATAAAAAATTTCAATTATTACAAAAGAAAAGACAAAAGAATCCATTTTGGAAAGAACAAGATGATTCAAAAGGTGATGTTATGGAAAAATTCGAAAAAAGATTAATTGAACAACAAAAACAACAACAAATAAATGAAGAATTGGAAGCGATTCAGAGGCAAGTAGAATTGAAGAAAGAAGAACCCTTGGAAGAACTAATAACAAAAGAAAATTCATCATCTTCACCGCCATCAAAACCTACAATTGTGGAAAAAGTAATAGCAAAAGAAAGTTCTTCATCTTCACAACAAAAACCTACAATTACATCAAAGATAAAACTTACTAAAAAAAAATTCATGTCAAATTTAAACTATTCATCAGATAGTGACTAATATAAAAGTTTAACTCAAATATTTATTTCAAAATTATCCAAAGTTAATACTGAAAATTGAGGTGCATCAACTTTATTATGATAATCGTTTTGTAAATCAATCAATTGTTTTTCTAAAATTTTCCATTGAGTTTTTTCCATATCTTTTCTACAATAAACGACTGCTTTAATATAATCTAATGAACAATTATAAAAAATAGGTAAAATATCAGAAGACCAAATTGCTGGAATATTAATCATTGGATCGGGACAAGTAGCTAAATCTCCGATTTTTTCAATAGCTGATAATGAAGTAAATAAATATTGTAAATCCTTTTTAGTGAATAAATCTTGTAAACCATCAAATAATAATTCAGCATCTAACCTTATTCTAGAAGCAAATGATTTATAACCTTGAACTTCTGGATTGATTTTTTTACCATCACCATACAAGATATTTTCAAACCCAATTTTTAAATATGAACAAACAAAATTATCTAATAATAATTGAAATAAATCTTTATAAACTGTATAAATGGAATAAGATCTTAAATCTCTCATATATTCTGCAATGGTTTCTGCTATTAATGAAGCCATCATTACTTCTCCAGTTTGTTTTTGACCATCTTCTAACCATTTTTTACTAAACAATTTACATAATTCGGGGTATAAATCGTTAATAATGATTTTACATATTGAATTTGATATTTTTATAGATAATTCAATGGAATTGTCTGTAGTTGTTTGAAATGCTTCTGATATTCTAGTATGATAATTTGAATGAACTTTATCTAGGTATGTTTTTGTAAATTTTTCATTTATTGTTTCATTACTTATCTCCAATGAATTTGCTAATGCTGATAAATATTCAATAAGTCCCTCTCTTGAAATATTTTGTTGTTCTTCTGGAGTTAATTCATCAATATTCACAATTGTTGGCTTTTTGGTAAATAATTTTTTTGCTTTACTTTCTTTAACTAAAAATTTCTCATTATTGAAGACCGTAAAATATCTATCATTTTCTTCATCAATTATTGTCTTGAAATTTTCAATTCTTATTGTTGTACATGAACACCAACTTTCAATAACTTCAACTAAAATTTTGGAGTATTGTGATTCTGCTGCAACATCAGCTTGTTGTTTCAACATATTCAATGGAGTTTTAAAATCAGGTAAAACAAATGCTGAAATGTGTATACTAACAGAAGTTATATTATTAAAATTATCTTCATCTTCAATAACATCTTCATATGGATAAACATCAGGTGCTTTTAATCTTTCAGTGAAAAATTTTGTTTCTTGATTTATTAAGCTTTGATTCCATTCTTTCATTTTCGATGTGATTGAATTTAAATAATCATCAAGTACAGTAGTTTTCAAATCTTCACCAATAATTGAAGTTGTTTTACCGTCACATTCTTTTATAAAATTTTCAAATTTTTTATCATACAGTAATATTTTCAAAATATCTTCAGCTGGTGGTTCTTGATTAATCATTTCCATTGTAAAATCGTGTAATTTATCATAATATACTTTTTGTACAAATTCATCAATCCCCCATTCTTTTGGAAATAAAGGACTTAATACTTCATGAATAAATAAAATTTCTTCTTCTAACCATTGTAAATTATCGTACAATGCAATTTTATCTTGTGAATAAAAATTTATACATTCATTAAATTGTGATTCAAGTGATATTTTAAATTTTTCAAAAAAGAACTTTTTATAGTGTCTTTTTTTGCTTCTGAAATTTTGATAATCTTGATTTATATCAAATTTAAGTAATTGTAAATTATCCATTAATTCTAATTTTATATCTTGTTGATCTTCCCATAAAATTATTGCAATTAGATTATATAAACAAGTATAATTATTATCCCTTGCAGTTTCCGTTATCGACATGATACATTCATTAACTAATTCATCAAATAATTTAATAGTTTCTTTTACATTGGATATAATATTATAAATAATTGATTTTAAATCATCAGATAATGATCTTGTATAATATTCCAAATAATCTTGAAAATTCCGTATTTGTGTATATCTATAATGAATTCCCAAAAAATTTGGTAATGGATATAATAAATCATCATGAATCCCATTATATTCTTTTAATATTTCATTATTTAATTCTTTTAGTAGTGGTTGTAAATTTTTAATATCAATATATAAACTTGAAATTTGATTGAAAGATTGATTTATAGTTGTCATTTCACGTATGATTTCATAATCTTTTACTGATGTTATGGATTCTTCATGAATTTGTTTTATTTTGGATACACTCCCTTGAATATCTGTCATTTTCTTCATTGTATTATCTAATTGAGCTACATTGTCTCTAATAGAATCAATTTGTAATTGCGTTGAAGTTGATAATTTTACATCAATCGCTGATTTTTCTTTGGTGAATTGTTGTCGTATTAATTCTATCTTATTTAAATCATCTTCCGTTTTGATTAATCCTCCGATCTTTGATAATGCTATGTCACTCATTTAATAGTGGGTGTGTTGTCTATAAAAGTATAAATATTACAACCAACTACAAAATAAATTAAAACATTTCCGCTACCAAACAATTTACAATTTTTATTACTTACACTATTTACTTTTTTTTATTTATACCTCCTTGGTTGTTGTTGTTGTTGTTGGGGTGGTGGTGGCGGTTGACTAGTTTGATAAGGATTCTGTATCATATTAAAATTTTGTGGTGGTGGCATAAACCACATAGGTTGTGGGAATTGAGGTTGTGGAGCCATTTGAAAATTATATGGAATTGGAGCAGTTGTTGTTATCATTGGACTTGGAATAAATGAAGGTGATCTATATATTGGTTTAGGGAATAATGATTCATATGGTTCTTCAATTGTTGAATCCCAAGTAGGTGGAGTTTGGAATGATTTTTCATACACCACAGTAGAACCTTCTGTTGCTTTAGATTTTATAGTATTAAACATATTAAATCCATTCCTAAAAGCTTTTAATTTTTCATCTTGTTTTTCTTTAGTTGGAACATTTTGTATTCCTCCGAAAAAGTCTTGTGGTGATACGTGGTGATGTCTTTTAGTTGAACCTTGTGAACTTATACTTCCATTTGAATATGGTCGACTATTGCCTGGTCTCGGTGATTGATATGGAACTTGAGCATTGACTCTTGGTGGTGATGCTAAATTTGCAGGTTTAATAGATGGTGTAAAAGCAGCAGCATTTGGATTTAATTTAAATTTTGATACTTTTTTCTCTGGTTTTGGAGGTTGTTGTGGTTGTTCTTCTTTTGGTGGTGGTGGTTGTTGTTTTTTCAATATTTCATCTTGTTTTAATTTATCTTTTGACAATATTGGTAATAAATCTTTTGGCATTTTATGTGGAATTTTAAAATTTGCACTAAATTCTCGAAGTGAATTAATTTCACTTTGTGCATTAAGTCTAAAAGATTCATTTGGTACAATTGGTTTTTGTGGTATTGATTCTGGTTGTTTTTTTGTTGTAGCAGAACTTGAAATTATAGCAGGATCATTATGATATTGAGCTGCTCTTTGTCTTGGTGTAGCATATTTATTTGAATCTATTTGTGTTGTTGGCGGTGGTGGTGGTACTTGAGATTGCTTACTATTTAATCTTAATGCTGCCATTAATTCGTCACCTCTTCTATCAACACCAGAATATTTATCTTCTTCATCCATACCACTATCATCTATTTGAATACCTCTTTCTTCTAATATATGACGATCAGTGGTTAATTGTTTTTCAATTTCATCAGCTATTTTATTTGCTTTAGCAACTTTTTCATAATAATCTGGTGCATTTTTATCAATTCTTGTTGTGTATATATGTTCATCAAAAGTACTTTCAACCCCAAATTTTTCTTGATTAACTTTAAATTGATCCCAAGGTCCCAGAGTATCTTCTAAAGTTAATTTCAGTAATTCATCACCTGCTTCAGGTTCCCATTTAACAAAATCACGTTCTTCAAAAGTTTTTTTGTTGTTTGAAATATCTGAATCAGTTTTAAATTCTGTTTTGGGAACAACCAAAGTATCATTAATATTCAAATCAACTTCAAAATCAATTAAATCTTTTGATTCAATAATAAGATGTTCTGGAATTTTGTCGAGATTGGTTTTTTCATTAATTAAACTTTTACTAACTAATTGTGGATTTTTAATAATTAATGATATTGGTGAAGTTTCAATCGATAAATCTGTTGCAACCAAAAGACCTTGGTAACGAGAACCATCTGTAGTTGTTACAATACATTGTTTCCCAATTGATTTTGCAATTAAATAAACTAATCTATTATCTCCTAAATCTGGTGGTGGTGGTGGTGTTGAATTATCATTAGTTACGGAAGTGTTGGCGGTTGTGGTGGTTGTGGTGGTGGTATTTACATTATTGGTACTGCTATGACGTGAATTAGAACGACGATGACCATTCTTATTATTATTATTTGAACGATTATTTTGTTGTTGACTTTTCATAATTAAAGCTTAGCCGAGTTTGGTAAAAAAACAAATTTCAAAAAAAAAAAAAAAAAAAAAAATGAACCTAGTTAATTAGGAAAAAAAAAATGATGACTAATGATGACTGATGATGATGATGATGATAAGTAGTGGTTGTAAAAATGAATGATGGTAAATGAATGGGGGTACAAAAACTCTTGGATTTGAGTTGTTATGTATTGTTGTTGTTGATAAAAATAAAATTTATTCTTTTTGGTGTTAATTTTTTTTTCTTCTTTAAATTTTTATTTACTTTATTTTTATCTTTACTAAGATTTATGATAGAGAGAACACATACGAACTACACTTTGAAAGAACTAAATTTTTATCATGAAAAACATCATTTATTTATATAATACTCTCTAACAACATATTTTAGTTAAATTATATCCAATATTAACATTATCAACTTTATTATTATAATAAAGTAATATAAATTCTTTTAAAAATTCAATATCTTGTAAACTATAAGGATCTAATTCCATTTCAATCATATCTTGATATGAAATATTTAAATTTATTTTATTTGTTAGTTCTTGATCTTGATTTTGATCTTGATCTTCTTGCAATAATGATGAAAAATCATTCTTTATTAATTGTAATTCTTCATTTGTTTCAATTATTAATTCATCAATATATTTAAACCATTTTATAGTTAATTTATGGAAAAATCCAATTATATTTAATAAATCAATTAAATCTAAAATTTTTTTATTTTTTGTTTGTAAATCAATTAAATCTTCATCTTCATCTTCATTTAATTGTTGACCAGCAGATGCAAACCATGAAAATGCAAACCAAAAGGATTCTGACCATGTTATTGTTTCTATAGCATCTGATTTCCACCATGAAGGTTCATTTATTATTTGATTTGGTGATATATCCGTATAAGATTTATTTCTTGAAATTTCTTCATCATCATTTCTTGAATTTATTGAATTTAAATCATCAGTTGATATATTTGATTTATTTGTAAATTTAATTTCTTTACTCATTAAATTACAATATAATGATTGAAATTTATTATAATCTCTTATAGTTGACTTCATAGATTGAGTTTCGTTAGATTGTTTAAAAATTCTTGATTTATTATTTTCAATTTCAACTCCAATATCGTATACTGGATGAGTTTTTAAAATTTCATCACTTGTTACTGCAATATATCCATTTAATTTATAATCTTTTAATAATCCAGTTGATGATTCATTAAGTCCTATATTATATAATGGTTGTTGTGCTGATAAATTTTTATTAACTTTAATTTCTTTGGGTATTACTGATAATATTGATATTAAATAACTAAATGATGTAATTATATGATAAGTATCTTGTTGATTATTATTATGATGACATTCATTAAATATTAAGATATTTTTTCTTAATAAACTTTGTTTATAAATGGTAAATATTAAAGGTCCTAAATATTCAAATAATTTTGGTAAATTTAATAATAAATGATTCGTAACATTTGATGATTCTTTGGGGACTGTTAAGTTTGTTGTTGATCCAATATTTTTTAATACGTTTGAATAATCATTAAAGTCTATGCCTTTGTTTTTTATTAAATCTTCTTCTAACTTATCTAGTACTTCATTTATTTCATCAATATATTCCCAACCATTATTTATAAATTCATTTGGTCTCCATTCATTTTTTGTTGGTTCACATAATATACCTATTGAAAACATTTTTAAATTATTTCGATCATTCGAGTCATCTTGTTTATTTATTTGAAATTGTTTAAAACAACTTAGTCCATAATATATTTTATTATTTGATTTATGACTTATAAAAGTAGTGGCATTTTTAAAATCATGTATACCACTTGGTAATGATTTATATTCAACTGCATCAAATGAAAAATTCTGTAGTGTTGTGTATGACCATTGTAATTTATAACCTGATTTCATATCAAATTCTGATAAAAATATAGCGACAACTTTAGACATTATTGTGGGTGATTTGTCTTTTGGTGATTGTCTTTTGATATTAACTTCAATATATTTTTTTTCTTTTAGAATTTAAGGAAATCTGTAAAGAGAATGAAAAAGATATAGATTAATTGAAGAAGAAATTCAAATTACGATTTTAAGATCTATAATTAAATAATATTGTCTTTAGATTTAAATTATACACATAAAACTGTTTTAATAATTATCAATATTAAGCTCTAATTCTTAATATAAAATTAACAATTACTGCAATTAATAAAAAGAAACATAACATAGTTGGACCAAACCTATCATCATAAGGACCAGAACCTCTTAATCTAATAGCTTTTGCTCTCCAATGATAAGTAACTAATGCATAAATCATTGTTAACATTGCAATAAAAGTAAATAATCCTGCAGAAATTCTACCAATATAATCACCAAAATTTAATAAACCAACTCCTAAAGATCCTAATATAATTGTAAAATTTAACCAAGATAAAAAAGTTCTTTCATTTGCAAAAAATACTTTTGGTTCTACTCTTGCTGGTAAAGCTATTCTTTTATTAGTTGATGACATTTGTATTTGATGAAATGGTTTGAATTATAGAAGCAACTGAATATAAAATTTATCTTATCAAGTACAGAAAAAAAAAAGAATTGATTAATTGATAATAATAATGAAGTGAGTAATAAATTTTGAAATATACTAATGAAAACTCAATTCTAATTTTGTAAACACTTTTGAATAATAGATTAGATCTTTCTTTCGATATAATCCAATAGATCTATATTGTTGAATAATTTTAAATTTTAATTTATTGGTTATTTAATTTTATTCTTTTTCAATGTTACATTCAAATCTTTAGTATTGGAATTTAAATCTCTAAGTATATAAAAAAAAGCCGCATTGCTTTATTTAATTAGACCAAATAATTTTTATCTAATATTAAATGAGCACGTGTTTGCTGTAACAAATGAGCTATCGTTTGAGATTGAAATTTGGTATTGAAATCTACATTATCGTAATAATAATCATTTTCATTGAATGAATTACCCTTTCATAATTGGAAGAATTAATACCCAAATTATCACATGATGTAAATAAACAGAATTTAGCATCCTCTCGTATCTTATTTATTTAAGTTGTTCTGTTTAGAATAATAGTTTAGTATTTCATTGCAACTAGCACACGATACTAAGAAATTTGAAACAAAATTATTCTAAACTTAAAAATTAATTTAGTCAAGGAGCCAGAGTTTTAAAAAAAATATGAAACGAATTTCTTTAAATTTAAAATTGTAAAGTCATTTAAAATCTCATCATTATCCCCCTTTTTTTGTGGTTTTCATTAATTTTTAATTAATCAATTAATTTTGAATTTACTACTAATATAATGCCAACTTTATATGCTGGACCAACTGGTAATGGTAGAAAACCTTTAATTTTAGTTAAATTATTAGATGCACCAATAAATATTCATTTTTTAAAATGGCCCAAAAATACAGAAATTAAACTGGATTGGTATTTAAAAATTAATCCAAATGGTTCACAACCAAGTTTATATGATGAAGAAAAAAATTTAAAATTATTTGAAAGTAATTTATTATTACAATATATTTCAAATTTATATGATGAAGAAGAAAAATTTAGTTATAAACAAGAAACAAATTTTGAATTATATTGGGAACAAAGAAAATGGTTAGATTATCAATCAGCTCAATTTTCAGCTTATACATTATCAAGAGCAAATAATTATTCTAAAAGACATTCAAATGATGAATTTACTAAAAATGATGTAATTTATAATTTTAAAAAAATTTATCAAATTTTAGAAGATCAAATTATTCAAAATGGAACTGGTTGGATCATTGGAAATAAATTTACTATAGTTGATATTGCATGGCTTGTTGGAAATCATAGAAGAATTGAAAAATATACTGATAGTGATTGGGAAATTAAAGATTTTGAAAAATTATATCCAAATGTTAGTAAATGGTATAAAAATTGTTTATTAATTAAAGGAGTTCAAGAAACTCTTGATAGAAGAGAATGAAGAGTGTTAGTTGATAAAATTTTTCCGGTTCAAACAGATATTTATGTACTCAAAAAAGTCAAAATGAATAAAAGTTTTCCTTCTTACAATATAAAGCTATTTCAATACAGCTTAATGTAGCATCTCTAGTGCTAATTAATTCCCCACACTTAATGAGTTAAATCTCATATTTTGTGTCCAAACTGGTTTTAATTTATTTGTAACATCAATAATATTTTTTTTGCAACAAAATACAAAATATTTGTTTTGCTACTCAATTCTTACTTTCACAGCTTCATTTAATTTTCCTTTAAATTTTAATTGTAACACAGCAATCTGGTGATGCGAATCATAATTGGAGTCTTAAGGAATTCGAAAAGTTCAATGAAACTAACTATATATTTAATAAACCACCATCGAATACAACAATTAATGAACAAGCCTTCTTTTAGTTAATATATTGCTTCAGTAACATTAAAGCAAAAGGTATATAGAGAAGTATGTCAACAGTAATGGCTGTGGTGATATACAACATGTAAAACAAACAAAACAAAAACAAAATGATGATGATAAATGTAAATAATCAAATCTTTGGTTTCAACTTTTGTAGCATCTTCGTTATAGCTTATCCATCATCTTGATTGAATATTTGTTTGATTCATCGAAACATTAGTTGCTTGGATGGTTGACTTACTTTTTTAGTACTAAGTTGGGTTTTAAAATTGTATTCTTATTACCATATTTATACTGAAGTGCGAATATAATATTAAGCAATTCTGTCAAATCTTAAAATTTAAAACTTTTTGTTTCAAAAATGTTTCAAAACTGTTTCAAATCTTGTTAAATCAATCTATATATTTGATTTAAAAGCTGAGAGGATTTAAAGGTCAAAGATTTGTTTAATTTTTATATTTACAATTTTTATTGAAAGTAATATTTGTAATCTTTTTAAATATTAATATATAATTACAGTCATTAAATATAATAGTTATTACAAAAAAAAAAAAGCTTGGAACTTTTTAAAAAAAAATACTCGGGATTGTTTAGAAATTGTTTAAAGATTAAATTCTATTAGATCTTTAAACTGAATGATTAGATTTAATTCAATAATAATATAAATTAAGATCTGATTGGATCTAATAGTATATCATAAATATTATAAATTTAAGTAAATAATTTCTTTAAAAATATATTATATTATAAATATTGGGAATAAAAAAAATAAAATATTCTTCTATTTATAAGAAATTTAAAATTAAAAAGATTGAAAAATAAAATAAAATTAAATAAATTAAAAATAATTTTAAATTATCCGAGATTTATAAAAATATCCGTAAATAATTATTTTATCTTATTAAAATATTTTATTAAATTAAACGATGAAATGCAATATATAAATAAATTGATAAATTTATTAATTAATGATACTATTATCAATACGATCAAATTGAACGAACAAAGTAGATATTGAATTAAAAAAAAAACTAATCCACGTCAATAAGGCTGAAATTTAATATGGGTTTGTAATTTATAAATAGAAAAATAAAACAACACTTTATGCATATATTCTTTGTATATAACCCATATATTAATTTTTTCTTATTTTTCTTAGGTCGAATATTTAGTTTCAATTCCAAAGCATGGCATAATTTTTGGCACATAATTTTAATACATAATGCATAAATTAGCCGTATGCTGTCCTAAAATTTTTCTTTTTAAATGTTAATGGAATTTGAATTATTGAATTTTTAATAAATTTCACCACAAATTAAAACTCTTCAGTAAGTCTATATGAATAATTAAGATTTGTATATAATATTATTACTTTACAAGCTGATAATACAATCATTAGAGTTAATTAAGTAACAATATTGATTGAATCATAAAGAGGTTTATCAAATGCTATTGTAATAAAATAGAAATTCAAGTTTATAATCATTTAGACGGCGTTATGATTTAGGACGGATTTAATTTAACGGATATTTGATTTTTTTTTTTAAACCTGAATTTACCCTAAATTTTATTTTGTACTACAAATTAAAAAAATTAAAAAAAAATAAATTCTGCAAAATTTAATTTCAGATTTTTTTATATTTAATATTTATATAAATAAATATTTATCTATGAATCATTCAATGTTTATTTATTAAATTACTATCATCAATTATTTATCAATTAATTCATTCACTTATTCCATTTATTCTATTTTTTGTTTTCATTTTCATTATTCTTATTTTATCTATTACTTCATTAATTTATTTAATTATTCAATTCAATTCATATAAGATTTACAATTTTAAAATAATTGACTTGAAATATGTCAAATTCACCTATAAAATGTAAAGAAGATTCTATTAATAGGTTAGAAAATCAAAAAACTAATTCATCTTCTTCAATTTCTCATTCTATTGATGCTTATGAAGGTATTGATGAAAATAATGTTAGAAATTTAGCTAAAACTTTTACAAACAATTCAAATGATGATGAAATACATTCAGCTATTGGTTTACATAAATATTTAACTAATATGTCAACTGTACCTGGTATTAATCCAGTAGCTGAAATTCCAGATGAAAGATTAGATCCAAATTCTGATAATTTTGAAGCTAAATATTGGGTTAAAAATATTAAAAAATTATTTGATTCAAATTCTGATTATTATAAACCTTCAAAATTAGGTGTTGCTTATCGTGATTTAAGAGCTTATGGAGTTGCTAATGATTCTGATTATCAACCAACAGTTACAAATGCTATATGGAAATTAATTACTGAAGGTTTTAGATATATAAAGAAGGAAGATCAATCAAAACAATTTAATATTTTAAAACATATGGATGCTATTATGAAACCTGGTGAATTAACAGTTGTATTAGGTAGACCAGGTGCTGGTTGTTCAACTTTATTAAAAACTATTGCTGTAAATACTTATGGTTTCCATATTGGTAAAGAATCAAAAATTACTTATGATGGTTTAACTCAAAAAGATATTGAAAAACATTTTAGAGGTGATGTTATTTATTCAGCAGAAACTGATACTCATTTCCCTCATTTATCAGTTGGTGATACTTTGAATTTTGCTGCTAGATTAAGAACTCCACAAAATAGAGGTGAAAATGTTGATAGAGAAGCTTATGCTCAACATATGGCTAGTGTTTATATGGCTACGTATGGTTTATCACATACAAGAAATACTAATGTTGGTAATGATTTTGTTAGAGGTGTATCAGGTGGTGAAAGGAAAAGAGTTTCAATTGCTGAAGCATCATTAAATGGTGCAAATATTCAATGTTGGGATAATGCTACAAGAGGTTTAGATTCAGCAACAGCTTTAGAATTTATTAGAGCTTTGAAAACTTCAGCAACAGTATTAGATACTACACCATTAATTGCCATATATCAATGTTCTCAAGATGCTTATGATTTATTTGATAAAGTAGTTGTATTATATGAAGGTTATCAAATATATTTTGGTGATTCAATACATGCAAAAGAATTCTTTATAAATCAAGGTTGGGAATTCCCACAAAGACAAACTACTGCTGATTTTTTAACTTCATTAACAAATCCTGCAGAAAGAATACCACGTCAAGGTTTTGAAAATTTAGTTCCAAGAACTCCAGAAGAATTTGAATCTCGTTGGAAAAATTCATCAGAATATAAAGCTTTGATTACTGAAATTGATCAACATTTTATTGATTGTGAACATTTAAATACAAAACAATTATATCATGATTCTCATGTTGCTAGACAAGCTAATCATACTCGTCCTGGATCTTCATATACTGTTTCATTTAATATGCAAGTTAAATATATCATGTATAGAAATTGGTTAAGAATTAAAGGTGACCCTTCAATTACTATATTTTCAATATTTGGTCAGCTAGTTATGGCTTTAATTTTATCATCAGTGTTTTATAATTTACCACAAACTACAGATTCATTTTATTATAGAGGTGCTGCTATGTTTTTTGCTGTTTTATATAATGCATTTGCTTCACTTTTAGAAATTATGTCACTTTTTGAAGCTAGAGCTATAGTTGAAAAACATAAGAAATATGCACTTTATCGACCATCTGCTGATGCTTTAGCAAGTATTGTTAGTGAATTACCTGTTAAATTAATGATGTCAATGTCATTTAATTTTGTTTTTTATTTTATGGTTAATTTTAGAAGAAATCCAGGTAGATTTTTCTTTTATTGGTTGTTTTGTTTCTGGTGTACTTTAGTGATGTCACATTTATTTAGATCAATTGGTGCTGTTTCAACTTCTCTTGCAGGTGCAATGACTCCAGCAACTACTTTATTATTAGCTATGGTTATTTATACTGGATTTGTTATTCCAACTCCATTAATGTTGGGATGGTCAAGATGGATTAATTATATTAATCCAGTTGGTTATGTATTTGAATCACTTATGTTGAATGAATTTCATGATAGAGAGTTTGAATGTACTAGTTTTATCCCATCAGGTCCAAATTTCAAACAATTTTCAATTGCAAATAAAGTTTGTTCTGCAGTTGGTGCTAGACCTGGTAGATCATTTGTTAATGGTACTGATTATTTACAAGAAGCTTATAGATATACTAATGGTCATAAATGGAGAAATTTAGGTATTACAATTGCATTTGCTGTTTTCTTTTTAGGAGTTTATGTTGCATTGACTGAATTTAATAAAGGTGCTATGCAAAAAGGTGAAATTGTTTTGTTTTTAAAAGGTTCATTAAAGAAACATAAAGAACAAATGCAACAAAAAGCCCATGATTCAGAATATGGTGGTATTCCCAATGAAAAAGTTTCATATGAAGCTGCAACAGAGGCTGAAAAATTTGAAAAAGGTGGAGAAAGTGGTTCAGTTTCTTCAGCTCCAATTCCAGAAAATAAAGAAATTTTCTTTTGGAGAGATTTAACTTATCAAGTTAAAATTAAAAAAGAAGATCGTGTTATTCTAAATCATGTTGATGGTTGGGTTAAACCAGGTCAAATTACTGCATTAATGGGTGCATCTGGTGCAGGTAAAACTACTTTATTAAATTGTTTATCAGAACGTGTTACTTCAGGTACTATTACTGATGGGGTTAGATTAGTTAATGGACATGCTTTAGATTCTTCATTTCAAAGATCAATTGGATATGTTCAACAACAAGATTTACATTTACCAACTTCAACTGTTAGAGAAGCATTACAATTCTCAGCATATTTAAGACAACCAAGACAAGTGTCTAAAAAGGAAAAAGATGATTATGTTGATTATGTTATTGATTTATTAGAAATGACACTTTATGCTGATGCATTAGTAGGTGTTGCTGGTGAAGGTTTAAATGTTGAACAAAGAAAAAGATTAACTATTGGTGTTGAATTAGTTGCAAAACCTAAATTATTATTGTTCTTGGATGAACCAACTTCAGGTTTAGATTCTCAAACTGCATGGTCAATTTCTAAATTAATGAGAAAATTAGCAGATCATGGTCAAGCTATTTTATGTACAATTCATCAACCATCAGCTTTATTATTAAAAGAATTTGATAGATTATTATTTTTACAAAAAGGTGGTGAAACTGTTTATTTTGGAGATTTAGGTAAAAATTGTCAAACCCTTATAAATTATTTTGAAGAACAAGGAGCAGATCCATGTCCACCAAATGCTAATCCTGCAGAATGGATGTTGGAAGTTGTCGGTGCTGCACCAGGTTCACATGCTAAACAAAATTATTTTGAAGTTTGGAGAAATTCAAAAGCTTTTAATGATGTTCAAACTGAATTAAATAGAATGGAAGTTGAATTATCAAAATTACCAAGAGATGAAGATCCAGATTCAAAATTAAAATATGCTGCACCATTATGGAAACAATATCTTTTAGTTAGTTGGAGAACTATAGTTCAAAATTGGAGATCACCAGGTTATATTTATTCAAAATTATTTTTAGTTATTACATCATCATTATTTAATGGATTTTCATTTTTTAAAGCAAATAATTCTCAACAAGGTTTACAAAATCAAATGTTTTCAATTTTTATGTTTTTTATCCCATTTAATACTTTAGTTCAACAAATGTTACCATATTTTTGTAGACAAAGAGATGTTTATGAAGTTAGAGAAGCACCTTCAAGAACTTTTAGTTGGTTTGCATTTATAACTGGTCAAATTACTTCAGAAATTCCTTATCAAATTGTTGTTGGTACTATTGCATTCTTTTGTTGGTATTATCCAGTTGGATTATATAGAAATGCTGAACCAACAGATAGTGTTAATTCAAGAGGTGTTTTAATGTGGTTATTTATTACTTCATTTTTTGTTTATACTTCAACTATGGGTCAATTATGTCAATCATTTATTGAAATTTCAGAAAATGCTGCTAATTTAGCTGTTATGTTATTTACAATGTGTTTGAATTTCTGTGGTGTTTTAGTTCCAGGACCTCAATTACCAGGGTATGTACAAAACTTTATTTTGGTGAATTTCTGATTATTTTTACTAACTTTTCTTAGGTTTTGGATTTTTATGTATCGAGCAAATCCATTCACTTATTTAATTCAAGGTATATTAGCAACTGGATTAGCTCATACAAGAGTTATTTGTAATGAGGCAGAATTAATGGAAATAAATCCACCATCAGGTCAATCATGTAGTCAATATTTAAGTGAATATGCAAATCAAGCTGGTGGTTATTTAGATACTGTTGGTGGTTCATGTAGATACTGTGCAATGAGATCAACTGATATTTTTTTAAATTCAATAAATGCTAAATTTAGTGAAAGATGGAGAAATTTTGGTTTAGTTGTTTCATTTATTGCTATTAATATTATTTTAACAACTTTCTTTTATTGGTTAGCAAGAGTTCCAAAAGGTAATAGAGAGAAAAAGCATAAAAATTAGTTTATAGATTTATACATTTAATTATATAGAGTAATGACAATTATTAATTTTGAATTGATTAATTAAAAATAATGATATAGTGAATAGTAATTTATTTCAAATGACTATTAAAATTTTCAGAAAGTTTTGAAAGTTTTTGGTAAACTTATTATTATAAGTTTTGAAGTCAATTTTAAGATATAAAACACAAAAAAATGAAAATGAAAATTAATATACCAAACAAACAATCTGTTCAAAATGAATCAATTTACTCATATTTCGTTACCTATAAACAAGTTGACGTGTTAGGTGAAAATTTTGAAGTAGTAAAACAATCAATCTATTAAATATTTGTCAGTATCATAAAATTATATGAGTGTTTGTATTACCAAAATTTCTTATTTCAATAAACTGTAATGATTTTTCAGTTGAAACTAATATTAAACAATATCATATTCAGCTTTGTAATAGGTTTATATATTTGACACTTATAATCAAGTTTATTTGAAAACCTTTTAATTTTTACGATTATTTTAGTTTAATTATCGATAAGAATTTGGTCCAAAATTAATCATATAATATCATATACGAATAATTAACATTATATTCAATAAAATGTAAAATTTGACTATCAAAAATTCAATAAATGTTTCGTTATGTAAGTAGTAAAGACGAAACTTGAAGAAAAATTATTAGTTCTTCAAAGTTGAATGAAATTTAATGATGATATAATCTAAATTCAATAGTTGGGTGAGTATATAGAAAATTTGGATTTAATAGAAAATAGACAGGAAATAAAAAAAACTTAATTACTGAGGTTGAGATTTAGTATTTTTTTAGCTTTGTAAAATTTAGATGGTAGATATAGAAAGTAAATTAAACAGTTCAAATTTAATAAATTTTATAAATTAGATTATTAAGTGATCAGTTGATCTAAAGTTTCACAGTGTTGTTCAACGATCTGTGTTTTTATTTATAAATTGAAGTAATTTTATGAGGAAATTTCTACAATATTTTAACATACTAAATTATTTTCGCAATTCTCAAGGGAAAAGCTAACAAATTTGTTAGTGCGAAAATTCTCAAGGGAAAAGAAAAATTCTCAAGGGAAAAAAAATCTAATTCTCAAGGGAAAAATTTTTATTGTTAGTAGTGTAAAAAACTCAAGTTTAATTTTACGCACTTGGTGAGTGTTTTAAGGTCTCAAAAATTTCACGCACTTTCAATTTTGGTGCGTATTTTATATGTCTCAAAAAATTTACGCACTTACATTTTTAGTGAGTGTTTTACATGTCCAAATATTTTAAGTCAATAAAAATTAAATAGTAATTAGAAATAATAAATTAAACAGAACAAATTTGATAAATTTTGTAAATTAGATAACCAAGTGATCAATTGATCTAAAATTTTACAATGTTGTTCAACAATCTGCGTTTTTATTAATAAATTCGAGTACTTTTATTAGTAAATTTCTACAATATTTCTTTTCAAATAAAAACTAATAAAAATGTACAAATTAACAAGATGTTTAATTAAATTTATTGTTCACAAGTATATTGGACTTATGATCAATCAGCTTGACTTATTTTGTCGTTGAAAAATTAATATTTGTTTAAGAATTTCTTATATAATTTTTAAAATTGGTGTCAAAATTTTGTGAAAATTTTTTAGAGTAAAAATATTTTTAGTATTACTTTATACACAATAAAATAGTCTTATTATTACTTTATAAAAAATTATATGTTCAGTAATTATATGAGTAAATATGTACAGTGATAATTTATTAAACTGAATATCTATATAAGTAGAAGAAAATTAATAAATAGTTGAGTAAGTGAGTTTGGATTATTTTATGAGGTACGAAAAGTTTAAAAATACGAGATTTTTTTAACCGAGGAAAATTTAAAAATACGAAGAATTTATATCCGAGCGAAAAATTTAAAAATACGAGTTTCTTATATCCGAGACGGAGTTAGTTTTGAAAGACGGAATTTTTTATCGGATTACGGAATTTTAATATTTGTACGGATTTGTGTTTTGAAGTACGGAATTTTTTTAGGAAATTACGGAAATTTTTCGGAAAGTTAAAAATTAAGTGGTAGCGTATTGTATATGTACGTTGGGAGGTAAAGGTTTTTGAGTTGTAAGAGTTAATATTGAATTAGATTACTTTTCAGTATAACGAAACGAGGGACGAGGGATGTGGCGGTACGGATGGGATGGATGTTGGATGGGATGTAGCGGTACGGATGTAGCGGTACGGATGTAGCGGTACGGATGTTGCGGTACGGATGTTGCGGTACGGATGTTGCGGTACGGATGTTGCGGTACGGATGTTGCGGTAC